AGTATGAAGTGCAGGCTTATTTTTGGGAATTCATTAAAATATCCGAAAAGAATTGATTATTCTCTCATTTGTTGAATATGAAGATACTCTATGAAAGTTCTGACAATTTGTAAACGTTATGCAAAAGAGCAGGACAATTAGATGATATACAAACATAAAATGAGATGAGATACAAAACATTTGATATCAACTAAAATAGTAGCATACTAAAAGCAATTATAATATTTTCATTAATTTTATAATTCATAAACTGAATATCCTTTTGTATGGAAATCCCAAAAAACCAAATATTCTCCATTATCTGTCATTGTTCCATAAATATCTGAAGTATTGCAATTCAATTAATCTAATTTTTAAAACTACCCTTTTTAATTTTCTCTAATTAAATATATATATGATTTATGTCGAACTACTATAAAATTCCTTTTCTCATTGTAAATTATTGGAAAGAAATATTCATCATAATCCTGATAATTTGTAGCTAATTGAATTGTTTTACTTATGTTCTCCTAATAAACACCTTCTCTTTCTTCAAAATTATAAATCATGTTTATTCCTTAATCACCGGTTGTCCAAATAAATGAATTCTCGCTTATAAATCCAACTTTGAATCCTACATAATTAACTGATTATTTAACAAAATATTTAAATTCATACTTACCGTTTTTCTTTTTTTCCCAAATAATAATCTAATTCTTCTATTAAGCACATGATACTAATGAATTTTCTGATTTATTTAAACTTAATGAAATAACGTAATTTTTATGTTTATCCAATGAATACAGATATTATAATTCATTCTTATCAAAATCAACTTTCCATACTTTTATTGAATAATCACTACCACCAGAAAAGAGTAGATCTTCATTCGAATTCATTATAATACACATAACCCAATCAATATGTTATTTATAAGGTTATGAACTAATCCATTCATTCTAGTTCAATTGTTTCCAACATCGTATTGTTTTGTCTCCAGCACCAGAAACAAATGAATTTTATTTCTTACTGTAACATAAACATTAAACCCAATTGCTATGTCCTTGCAAGGTCTATAATAACTCAAATTATCCTTTTGTAAAGCTCCAAACATTTATATTCTGATATTCACTTGATATCATTATAGATCCAGATGAATTAAATGATATTGAATTACATTTTATACTTTATTTAGCAGATTACTAAATTAACTTGAATTTGATTTCATCTTCTAATGAATCTTTCTAATTTAGAATTTTCTTGAATTTCAGTCTTAATTCTCTAAATGAAAGCAAACCTTTATTTTCATTATATTAATTCAAGTTATTATATAACTTAGTCATCCAACTTCTATTAATAGTCTTAATTTTTTCTGTATTAGCAGCCTCACTATTATTTTCTTTTTTAATATAATCATCCAATTCATCATAGAAGCTGTATTTATAGAATTTTTGCATCTATAATAATAATTCATCGCTCCAACCCTCTGCTATTCCTATAAGGGAGTCAAAAAGATCCATAAATTACTACTTTAATTTTTGTGTAGAGTTGATACTTGATTATAACTATTGAACAGTTTTCATTGTTTGGTTTTCCAATTCCTTTATTTATGTTTCATATTTCTCCTCAATATTTTGAATGACTCTATGAATCCCGATAATCGTATATTCAGAATCTGAATATTCCATACATAATCCACATAAAAATCTTTGTGTTTTTGTTAACTTTGGATCAAGTACAACTGAGCATATAGGTTAGTTGTGTTTGAATTAGCAATGGAACTCTGACTAATTTTCTATAATAGTTAGTTTATTCATTTAATTTATAAATCAATCGTGAATATTCTTATTTTAAACAATTACAATTAATTCTTAGATTTCTTTAAATTGTCTTTATACTTTCATCAGTTTCTTTATCCATACAACTTGAAGAATGCGAATTTTAAAAACTTTTTCAACATACTAATATATATACTAAATGATACCAATATAAAATTATTAAAACATTAGATAAAAAAGATAGATTCACTGTGTAAAATTTCAATTTTGTAATATTAAGATTTCATTAAATTTAAGTTGTATTAAAAATATTTTTTCATTTAAATAGAATTCGAATAGATAGACAATGTAGTTTAAAACATTTTAAGCTATCACATTTATGTATTCCAATGTTTTTATATGAGTCTACATCTTTTTATAGAAAAAACGAACTTACTGCTTTTGAAATAATGAATTTTCTTATTTATAAGCACTTAAAATAAAAAATGGTAAATTCATCTACTTTGGTTGAGTAATGTAAATCATAATAATCACCAATAACCAAATACTCAAATATTAAAAAGATATTAGCAAGAAATTATAATTAACTTAATTAGTGTTTTGATGATTAATATATATTGTTGTTTGTTAAATTTAATTTGCTAAATTTTCAGTCATTAAGAGTTTATAAATTTATAGAATTACTAATAATTGTCAATTTATTTTTATTTGCTGTGTTAAATTTTAAAGAAATGTGACACATTTGGAGAGAAAACTGTAAAACTTTAAAAATTTCTAAATACCAAATTATTAGTTCATAACAATATTTTGATTGTATGTATGAATCTTTAATTTATTGACGATCAATAATAAGAGTAACTTCATATTGTATTTATCATAACTATATTGATGAAGTCATTGTTATTTCTATTTTTCTATAAAAACTATTAATAAACTAATTACGTAATATTAAACGTAATATAAACCTTATAAATTGACTAAAATTCTTCATTTTAATAATTATCTTTGAAGAAGTACATATCAATGAAATCAGGATTAATCATTTTACTAGCTTTAATTCCTATCGTTGCCGCATTTGATGAAGGTTGTGCTTATTAGCAGTGCCCATAAGAGTATAGCGCATGTATGCAAGAAGTTTTCGGGTGTGCTTCTTAAGAATAAGATTGTAAAAGCGAATGCGGTGAAACAGAACCATGCTTTTAATAATGTGTTTATAAAGTAGGAAATAAAAAACTAATAAATTTGTACGTTATATTCAAATATTTAGATATGGTTGTTGGTAAGTATTTTGTTAAAGTACAACCATAAATATACCTAAAGAAGATTGTAAAATAGAACAATGCATCTAGTATTTCGAATCAGAATGCTTTTCAACAAAAAATATGAAGTCAATTCCATGCATGATTGAATTTTCTTAAAGACATCCTGAGTGTGAATGTTTAAATTAATGATATTACTATAATGATGATATCATATCAAGAAATTAGAAAATTAATATTTTTTTAATTCTTCCCCTATTATATTGATGATAGAAAAATCTTACATCTTATTGTACAGTAGGATAGATTGAGTGCCAAAGATATCTTATTTCAAGATTATCAATCCTTTTAGAATTGAAATGATACTCTTCATTAAAAGCGAATCAAGTATGAGTTTTGAAAAAATAAGTTAATAAATTTGTATTTTTGTAGCAAACTATTTAATTAATTTATTATTTAGTCTATATTTCTCTATAAAAGCTAGTTAATTTATAATTAATTATTCATATAAATTTTTTCAAATAAATGAATTGATGCATCCATTCTTAGATGAGGATGGCAAAGTTAGATTAAAAGTGTATAAATTTTACTTACAAGGATTTTAGATGGATGTACTAGGTTCTTTAGATGTCTTGATTTGAGAGAATTTAATAGAAATTCCATCCTCTAACTATTTTTTATTCTGTATTCTACTACTATGGACTTAACATTTTATTAAATTAAATATACTTTAATCTCCAAAGTGATGAAATGCTTAAACTTAATATGATTTAAGGGTAAGGAAGCACCTTTAATAAAGTAAAAATTCCTTAAATCCTTTTGAAAAAATCTCTTTCTCTTTGGTTGGTTACATTATTTTTACTGCTTATTAGATAATCTCGCATAAATAAAGGATTGCAAACAATAATATAATGACAATCTTTAAGAGTTTTTACTATTTGTAAATGATTTATAAATCAGATAGGTAGACATGCGATATTTTTTAAAAATATGATATCTTTATTAAGGTGTATTAAAATATTTTAATACTCTAAACAATAAAGTATAGTTAAAACCCTTTAATTAAAAAGTATATTAATTGAAAATGTGTAATATTTGAATCTAAAATTTAATTTCAAAGTAATTAAAATAAACTCATTTTAAATTTGAAAAAATGCACAATTTCAACTAATATTGCCAAATACATACCAAATATTTAGTCAATAATATTTGCATAGATCCTAATGATCTCAAAAGAAAATATTGTAAAATTTGTCAATTTTATCATAATGCTGACCCTAGTTAATTCCTTTCCAGTTTTGAATTTTAAGAAAAATATATCATAGAATTAAGAAACAAAATAGAATAATATAAAAAATCTAATTAATCCAATCTTTCCAAATTTGATAATATTAGAAAGACTTTAGAGAGTCAGATTGAACGCATTTAAAAAAAGTTTGTTTAGGTGAAACAACACATTTAGGATATTGAAATTAATCTCTCCAATTATGAGAATTTATTATTGAAATACTTTTCTCCTGATGAATTTTCATCTGGGGACTTGGACAAAATTGTTCATTTGAAAGATGGAAAAGAGTTAGATAAAGTTGAAGAAAAATTGAAATCACTTCAGAGCTAATTTGATGAAATTCAATCCTGTTTAATCTATAATTTAGAAAAAATCAACAGAAGTTTAAATTTCGATTTCAAAATAGCAGTCAATAAGGACGAAGTAAGAAGGAAAGTTATGGAATAACATACAAAAAAGATTTACAAATATCTAGTTTGAAGTTGAAGTTTTTTCTGAGAAGTAGATCAAATATTTAGGAAATGATGGTTAAATTCTAAGAATGTATTATACTTACTTTATTATGATAGACAAAATGATTTGGAGATCTCAACCTCACCTGAATTATTAAATAATTTAGAATAAATCAAATATTTTAAATGGATAGGAGATTATTGCAACAATATGAAAAGGATGGGTATGTGGAATGCATCTTGGAATAAAAAAGTACTCTCAAAAGTTGGAGGTTATTACAGCTATGGAGTTAAGCAAGGATTGTGGGGTTGGACTGTGCCAAAGGTTTTTGCATGAAGTTATTATTAATTATTATGTAAGTCAAGCTTACATTCTTGAAATTGGAGAATATATAAATGACTTTAGAAAAGGAAAATGGAGTTATGAGTTTGAAAAACAAAAGATGTATTTATAATTAAAATATCTTATAGTAAGGGAGGATTTTATAATTTGCACTCTTAAAAAAATGGAAAATGGGTGGAGATCTAAGATGAATTTTATTATTATTCTCAAGTTACTTATGTTGGAGAATACTAAATTGATAAAAAAGTAGGCCTCTGGGAAACATGGTATAAAAACCATGTTAAAGATTAAAAGAATGTATAAATGTAAAATATTCACAATAAAATGCATATTTTTAGTGGAGGTGGATCATACAGTAATAATATTAAAGTAGGGAAATGGGTTGAATTGAGCGATGAATTTTATGAGTATTCATAAGTCACATTTAATGGCGAATATAAAAGTGGAAAAAAAATTGGGCGATGGGATATATGGTATAAGAAGCGAGGAGATTAATAGAGCCAGTAAATGTAAAATATAAGAAAAAGGGTTAATAATTTTAGTGGTGGTGGATTATATGATGTAAGAAATGAGGGTACTAAGACTGGGTTTTGGATAGAGGTGAGCGATGGATTTTATGAGGATTCGTAGGTGATAAATAATGGTGAGTATAAAAATGGAAAGAAAGTTGGTAGATGGGATATGTTATATCGAAAGGGAGATAGAGATTAATGGAATAAAAGAGTGTAAGATATTCGATAAATAGGGTTAAATTGTAGGAGCGGAGGATCATATTGTAATGATACTAAAATTGGGGAATGGATTGAATTATGTGATGGTTTTAGGAACATTTCTTAAGCTACATACTGTGGTAAATATAAAAACGGAGGCAAAGTTGGCAGATGGGATATTTGGTATAAGGGATATGAAGGGGATCAAGAGAACCATAAAATGTAATAGTGAAAAATAAAGAGCATATATTTTAGTGGGGGTGGGTCATATAATGAAAGAGGCGATGAGATTAAGATTGGGTAATGGGTGGAACTGAGTGATGGATTTTATGAGTATTCATAAGTTACTTATTGTGGTTTATATGACTAAGGTAGAAAACTTGGTAGGTGGGATATTTGGTATAAGTAGCATGATGAAGATTAAATGAATTAATAAGTGTAAAATTTTACAATCTAACATTATGTTTTTATAGGGGTGGAGGACAATATCATGATAGTATTAAGTATGGCATGTGGATCTTGAATTAAGTGAAAGTTTTAGAAAGATTTCTTAAGTCATTTTTAAAGGTGAATATAACTTTGGTTAAAAAATTCGTAGATGGTCAATATTGTATTTGGAGGAAGAAAAATACAAAAAGATGTAATATATTGATATGTTTTTAGAGGTGGTGGATCATATGAGAATGGCATTAAGGTTAGTAAATGGATTGAAGTGAGTGATGTATTTGGAGATAATTCTTAAATTACATTTAGAGGTGAATACAAAAATGGTCACAAAATAGGTATTTGGGATATTTGGTATAGGAGATATATTGATGAGCCATATAAATTGATGTAGAATTATAAAAAATAAAGGCGATATTTTCTAGAGGTGGAGGATTATATGATCAATTTAATAATGGAATTAAGACCGGATACTGGATAGAATTAAGTAATGGTTTTAAGGATTATTCACAAGTCACTTATAGAGGCAAATATCAATGTAATAAAAAAATTGGTAAATGGGATATTTACTACCGATATAGCGTTAAGTTACCTTTTGAATTAATGTATAATCTAAATAAAATAGAGCAAATATATTTAGTGGAGGAGGATTTTATGATGAAAGAAGCAATGGAATTAAGGTTGGTAAGTGGATAGAAATATCTGATGACTTTAAGGATTTGAACTAAATTACTTATGTTGGAGAATATAAGGATGGTAAAAAAGTGGGTACTTGGTAGTAAATTGAAAGAAAGAAAAATGAATAAAGAGCTATAATAACTTATAGTATATGATTTGGGAAGCGGATGATCATAGAAAATTGTTATGAAAATGAATATATATATTTGTAAATAAGTTGTTGCCTTAAAATTTCATATGCAAAGCATTGTATTTTTAAATCCTGAAATTCTACTTTTTACTAGATTATTCTTAAAATTTTAGACCAAAATAAAATTACTGTTTTTTAGTCTTATTAGAAATATAAAACAGTTTAAAAGAAAGGTAATAAAAGTGTTTTCATACTTTTGATCAAAAAATAATATATTTGAGAATATATTTTTCTAGATTTCTTCGAAACAGATTTATATTACAATAAGTTATTAATTTTTTTAAAGTTTGAAGGACTTGAAAAAAGTGAACTTATAATGAACAAGAGCAGCATTAATACATTATCCATTAATATTGATAATAAAGATTGGAAATGAATTATGAATTACGAATTACCACTCAATTACCATAAACTTAAATTTCCTTCATTCATTCATATAATAACTCATAAGATATTAGACTCTAAGTTGACATATCAAAGAAAATTAAAAATTTTCCATCATCAGACAGTATTCCTCTGCTTGCATGCTTTAAACAAACAATTTTGTCTACAATTTCAAAGCCATTATCTTTGGTTTATCTAATAATATAAATAAACCCCTTTGATTTAGCAATAAGAATATTTTTCAATTTATTGTATAGAATTGGGAAATTAATATATTCCTCACAATCATTATCTTTGATTAATTTTATTGTTTAAGCTTCAATTCGATTACAAGCTCCTTAATAAATTTAGTAAATAAAAAGGGAATTTATTCGCTAATTAATTGGTAACAGACAGAAACAATTATCTTTCAAAAACTTGGCTTAGAACAGTGATTCTATCTTTTCATTACATAAATATTCCCATTTATTTTGTGATTATTGCTTCTACCATATTATGTATTCACAAGCACTGCAAGATATTAATAGATTTTCTGAATCATTAAAACTAAACGAAAAAATAGTAATGGTTTTTGAATCTAAATTATAAAGAAATGTCAATTCATTATTTAAGTAATCCACACCCCACACATTTATATAAGGATCTTCACCTCCAGTAAATAATTGATCTTCGGCTTTATTTAATATCATATTGTTAACCCAAAACTCATGTTTCAAATATAATTGTGATCTTCTCCACTCTTTCTCATTAACTTGCTTCCAGATATATATTCCTCCACCATTCAAACCTGTGATTAGGTGATTCCCCTGTCGACTTAATAAAATACTTCTAGGGGCTTTACCAACCTCAATAGTTGTTATATGATTTTGTTTTCCATTCTCAAAATACCAAACCATTATATTGTTTAAATAATCTGAGGTTATTAATAGATTTCCATCATTATTAAAAGCAGCTGGCATGCTCGAATTCTTTTCCATTTTTAATGTTTGAATTGGTACTATTTTTACAATTCCACTAGATGGTTAGAGGTTTAACTATTTTTCTATATTTCGTATTTAAGTTTAATAACTTCCCTAAATTTACTGTTATTATTATCGTTATAAAATGGATTTATCGAATTCTAAATTAATGTTAATTAGATTTAGTTTTAAATTCTCGCAATTCCTAATCAGCACTTCTTTGAAATCTAAATTTTTTATTTAATTAATAACATTATCAATATAATGCTAGTTAATTTAATTTAATTCTGAAAATAAATTTTGCTGATTTTAAAATATCACCTAGTCATTTTTAATTATATTATCAATCTCATCAAATATGCTGAATTTGACATTTTAATAACCAAAGGATTGTAAATTTGAAACCCATTGATTTGTAGACGAAACTACTTTGTCACACATTTAAATTAGTTTACTCTTAAATATACAAACATCTCTTTAAAGTTGTTCTATTTATCCTAAATTAGTGTTTAATAAGTTTTCTAGTATCTCGCTCTTTAATTACTAATTTTGTTCTATCACTTAAACAGTCGCATTATAATTCATTTTTTTTTCATTCGAATTTGTACTCAACAAACATTGATAACATAGTAATCTCTCATTTTTATGCAACTATGAATCTAAACTGACTTTTTCTATTCTTTAATAGTGTTTCTAGTTGCAATTAAGGTTCAACTGTTTTTCAATCATCTGAGATTACAAAATCACTTTTTGGTAGACTATTTTGTTTTCTTAATTTGCCAAAAGTAGTTTCTATTCCTATCTTTTGTAGAGCCAGCAATTATCTAATAAGTACAAATACTTTAACATAAATTCTTTATAAACTAATTATCTGTCACAGTATAAAATATAAGTGACTTTAGAATATAATTATTATAAACAAAATACATCAACTAATTTATGAATTCAAATTCATTTTAAGTAAAGAAAGTTTTGATATAAAATTTTAATATTTAGATCATTAGAAACCAAATGAGATAATTCAGGAGCTTAATAAATATCTAATTATGAGTATAATCGATATTTACAATTTTAGAAACATAAAATATCTAAAAAATTCAATGAAGTAAATATTTATTAAGTACTCACCCTTACATTTTAGAATGATTAGTTAATAGGATTTTGATATTAATCATAATTTATATATTTTAACTTAAATGAAAATTTATAAATTAACAATAACAACTTCCAAAAAATAGTTTTTATTATATTTAGAGAGTTCTGAAGGTTTAATTTCTAATAAATAAATATTTTACTATCATCCAATTTGAGATGAGTTGTCAAAATATATAAGAAAAATGTGCATAATTCAATTTTTCTTCAAGTAGAATAACTTTAAAACGAATAAAGTTTAACACAATTGGTTTGTCTTCTCAGTATTTAATTAAAATAAAATTTGATAATTTAAATAATTATATCATAATTATACATTTCAAAGAATATGCAAGTCTTATAGATGTCTGAAAATTATAATGAATTAAAGTGCATAGAACACCATAATTAGGTAGTAACTACTATTCTGATTGATAGAAGTCGCAACAAAAACGAGAGGTTTTTATGTTAAGAATGTTTTGATAATACACTTTAAGGTCTTAAGAGCATAAGTATAGTTGCTATGTAAAAGATCATTGAAGATAAATAAATGAAAAGGAGAGTTATGATAAATGAAATTGCTGATTAATATATTTCAATTATCTAATAATACAATCTCAATCTAGAAAATTTAAAGACTAAATTCACATCATCTATTGAAATGATGATAAATACAACTTAAAATTGGATGAGAGAATTGAATTAAACAAAATAAGATTCTCGTATTTACAGCTTCTGTAATGAATTGGAGGATTATATTAGGAGTACAGAACAATATTTACATACTTTTTAGTTTGATTTTTTTGATAAAATTAATTTTTCGTAGTTAACTAAATTGAAAATAGGAATTAAATAATTAATTGAAGCAAATTACACACATCAATACAAAGTGTTATTTTAAAAACTGAGAGATATTAAGGATTAAAGAAAATAAGTTGAAAAATAAGAATGGTAACTTTCTAAGGATGGCAGTATTAAATTGGAGTAGATAAGCACCCCTATAAAGTAAGATAAGGATTGCTAAGCTTTGGCATTTAATGCTACAGGAAATATATTAGTAACAAGTAATGATAGAGAAATTATAATTTGGAATTTTAACAGGGGTGTTATGAGTTTTTGCTAAAAATAATAATTATCAAATATCATTAATTGCTTAGTATTTAGTAAATAATTGAATGTTTTTATTTCTGGCTGCATTCAAATTATTTGTTGGAAAGAAAAATCAAGCAATTTTTGGGAAAAGTCAATATAATTTCAAGAAAAAGAAAAAAATGAAAAGGAAAATGAAAAAAAGAATAATGAAATTACCTGTCTTGTTCTGAATTCAAAGGAAGATCAAATCATTTATGGGAGCAGGAGTTAAATTATAAATATATTGGCTGTTGACCTCCGAATCAATAAGTTAGAATTTTTATATTTCATCAAAATGAGTGAGGGTGGTTGGGTTTCTGCATTGAGTCTTAATCCTTCAGAAAATCTACTATTATCTTGTGGGTATGGGAATAAAATAATGATATGGAAAAAACAAAAGGAAAATAAATGGGTACCAATGACTGAGCCCACTAAATATTAGGATAAATATAAAGAAGATCCATGTAAAGCAATATTTGTGGAAGATGACGAATTTATATTATTTGATAGCCACAAACAATTTTATAGCTCATATAAATATTATTAAAAAGACAAAATTGTTAAACAAAATTATAAGCGTGATTTTACAGATTTATTCCAAAGTTTATTACTTTAATCATTTGACCTCAAACTAGAAAAAAACCTATTATTTGCCCTTTCCAAAGACTGCATATATATATTAAGAAAAAAGAATAATGGATAATATAATATTGCTTTGGAAAACCATTACTAAACAAATGCTAATATATGGAACTTTGTCTAATAATGGTTAATATCTTGTAATGTTTGATAAAAACACATTATCATATAACACATATGAATTTATAAGATTTATGATATTATTATTTAAAATTTATTTAAGTATAATAAAACAAGGAACTTAATTTATGATTATATTAAAATAAATTTATTTTATTTACAAAAGTAAGTTAATTTTACCACAAAAACTATTAATGCAAAAATTCTAATATAACAAAAATGAAGAGAAATTATGTCAATTTACTTTTTCCTATCTAAACCCAATTCAATATCATATTTTATATTAATTAAAATCATCAATTAACACTCTCAAATTTGCTGTTATAATATTTATTTTTCTTTAAATTATCTGAAATTTATATTGAAACCAGTTGATTCTTCACATAATTCGATAACTTCAGAAAAAATTACAAAATCCTTCTATAACTCTTCATATAGGAAAATGACTGTTTCCTTCTTAATGAGTTTGTATAAATGTAATTCAAAATAAAATAATCGAATTATAGGTAAACAAATTGAATACATAACTTAAATACCTCTCTTGTAATAATAATTAATTGAAAATGAAAAGAAATATTATTCATTCTAAAATGCGATTTTATACCTTCTCTGGAGATGCAATATAATAAATAGAATGTAGAAGAATTCTATAATTTTTAATTCTAACATAAATTAACATTAATTTCTTTTATAAAATAACAATGGCATTTTATTATGAATCAGAAGATCTGAATTTAAGAAAGAAATATAATAACTTACAATATGACGAATTGGAAGAGTAAGATAAATAGAGTGCTGCATATTGCATATCCGAATAATAGATGACGAATAAATAGCATGAAGAATAATTGCAAATGGATTTTGAAATAATAATAAAGGATATTAAAAATATGTGTGTTTATTTTACATAAAAATTCATTTTGTAAAATGAAAACAATTACTAATTGCAAAAATTTCCATTTATAAAAGTGAAGAATAGAGTGTGTCATATATTTGAAAAATACCAAGAACAAAATACATTATTGGATTCAATTTTAGAGTAGATTTGTGTTAGTTTGATGGATGTTGTAAAGGTTTATGTGTTAAAGTATGTTAACAATTTTGGGAAAAGTATTTGTGAAGAGTTTCATAATATTTGCGATACAATTTATATTCTGACAAAAGTGAGAGGAATAAGAACTATCAGTAGATATTGTCCACACGAAGTATGCAATTTGGAACCAGTTGTTATGTATTTATAACATTGTTCCACAGATCTTAATTAGAATTGGGAAACTAAATATGTTATTCTAATGTGGTTAAGTATTATTGTATTAGTTCCATTTGATTTGAATTCAATAGATTCGTAAATCTATAATGCCATATAAGACACATTCACTTCAAGTAATACAATCATAACCTCATTGTTAAATTTGGGAGTCAATTATTTAAAATCATCTACAAAGTTAAGAAATATGGGTGCTTTATATTTGTCTAAGTTATTTAGTCGAACAGATATTTTGAAATGCAATCTATTGGAACAATTTTTATTCTGGAGTGTCAAATAAATTCATGAATTGCAAGATAATATTTTAAATACTTTCTACATAACAGGGATATTGGAAACATTGGTAGAAATCCTAAAGGTTGTCTAAAGAGATGTTTTAAAAGACAACTTGCAAATTTTATTGCCTTTACTCAATTTGAAATAGCAAGGTACCTTAATTAATCTGTTTCTAACTAAATTAACCTAGAGGATTGGATTGGTATACTTGAGACCAAGAGTAGTTAGTTGGACATATAAAAAAGGTACAACAAATCTATAATAAACATTAAAAATTATTGATTATTCAAGAATTGTCACCAACTCACAAATATCAAGATAAAATTAATAATTACAATAATAATAACTATCGAATATATTACTAGAAGATGTGGATTATTTCATTGATGTTGATTAGGAAGGATTAGAAATTGTTGTAGATACTTTATTATAATAAATAATAAATAAGGATACAGTTGTTAGATGGTCAGCTGCTAAAGGTATTGGCAGAATCTGTGCTAGATTGAATTTAGATTAAGCAGATGATATTTTCAATTCATTAATCAACACCTGCTTTACACCAATAAATGGTGACACAGCCTGGCATGGAGGTTGCTTAGCATTAGGGGAATTATGTAGAAGAGGATTGATTCTTGAAAACAAATTAGAATCCATCATTCCCATAATTTGCAGAGCCTTGATTTTCGAGTAGAACCAAGGAGGCTATAGTGTTGGTGTAAATGTTAGAGATTCAGCCTGTTTCATCGCTTGGTCAGCTGCAAGAGCTTATGATCCAGAAATATTAAAAAATCATGTTCTCTCTTTGGCACAACATTTAGTGATTGTTATGATATTTGATCGAGAAGTAAATGTTCGAAGAGCAGCATCTAGTACTTTTTAAGAATTAGTAGGTAGATGTCCCAATATTATACCACATGGTATAAGTATTCTAACAGAAGCTGATTATTTTTCATTAGCTATGATTCATAATGCATATTTAAGAATTGCTCCATTTGTCGCTTCCTATCCTGAATATTATAAATAGATGGTTGATCATTTGGCTTTCATTAAAATATCAAGTCAAGATAAAGAAGTTAGAAAGTTGGCAGCTAAAAGTTTGGGAAGATTACTTGTTTTGGATCCAACCTACTTTAAGGACAATATGATTTATGAAAGTGTTTTAAAAATGATACGATTGCAATCACTGAATTATAAACATGGTGCCTTATTTGCTTTAGGAGATTTACTTATAGCATAATCAGGAAATATCACTAAGAATTCAGAAGAAAAAGAATTGAAAGATTCAGTTTTCTTAAGAACCTTAACTAAGAATGACAGATAATTAGCAAAAGCTGGAGAACATATCACAATTTTCAAATCTTAATATGAGAAATTACTTTAAGTAGACAATATGAATTTGCTTTCACAAAAAATAATAGATAACATTATGCAAACACCTCAACTATTAGAGGACTCTTTGAAAGGGAAGAGTGGAGAATAAATTAGAATTGCTGCCTACAGATTAATTGAATGTATCTCTATTTCTAAATTACCACTTTAAATTGAATAACATGCATACTACTTGAAATTTATAGAAGATGGATTAAAGAATCCTTTGGAAGAAATACAATTATCAGCAGCCAAAGCTTTAAGATTATTAAGTAATCAATATCAAACAAAAGATCAATTTTAGATAGATGGTAAAGAATTTTTAAAAAGAGTTATAAAACAATTAAATCAAAAGTCTACTACTGTTCAAGTTCTTATACAAGGAGGCTATGCTTAAAGTGTTGGATCCTTTTCACCATAAGTACTACATGGCGAAGATTTAAGTATATTGTACACTATTGGTTTATCAAAGAAAAGAGCAAAATTAACAAGTTGGAGTATTGATCCCGATACTCGAAAATATGCTATAAAGTCTCTTGGATAAGGAATTATAAATTAGTTAAACAATAATTTAAATTGTGATGCTCAACTCTTACCTTTTATTGATTGCATTCTTTATGCAATGTTAGATTACACAGTAAATAAAAAAGGAGATGTTGGTTTATTTATTAGAGAAAATTCAATTATTTCTATTTAATCTATTTTAGCTAGTTATGTAGGTTACATTGAGAGAAATCAAATTAATAATATTATTATAAATGAATAATATATTATTAAAATTATTGGATAATTATTATAGCAATTATGCGAAAAGATTGATAGAGTGAGATTATTAGCTGGAAGTGTTTTGTAAGATTTATTTAAATCGGTGTTACCTAAATTGTAATAATTTGAAAATTATGAATAAATATCGGCAATATTCTCAACTGCTAACTTATAATAGACTATAATAAAGGATTAAGAAAGAGTTGATCAAACATTTTAAAGCGAAATTATTGAGGCTGAAATTAAAAATCTAAAAGATGTTCTATAAAACATCGGAAAAACGGATCTAATTTATCATTGGAATCTACCACATTGTTGTTATAGACTAATTGTTCCCATTCTTGCATATCCTACATTTTGTAGATACATCCTAACCGGATTATGTATAAGTGTGGGAGGAATTAGTGAATCAATCCAAAAATATAGTGAAGAAGCTTTAGTATAATATATCCATATGAATCAAAATCTTGATCTTTTAATGGTTAATTTAATCGAAATCCTAAAATTATACGTGCTAGATGAAAGAGTCGTTATACCTTTGTTTAAAACAGCATCACTAGTTTTATAAAAGGAAGAAATATAATCATTACCTATGATTAAATAATACACTGAAATGCTGTTCTAATTAATATATAAAGAAACTCATAAGACTCAATCAATTAATAAATTAGCTGCAAGCGTATAACTAATAATTGATATTTTATCAATCAATATAGGATTGTTTCATCAAATTATTTAACACATTTATGATATATTAACTAGCGAGTATCTTATTAACGTTATTTTTTTAGTTTACCTAAAATAAGAAAACAATTAGCCGAAGCATTTTACTTGTACTTGTTATCTCATGATAATGAAGAATTGATATCTATGGACAATAATTGTTTGTTATAAGATTACTTATTAGAAACTGATTGGCTATCTGTATTTATTTAATCTTATCATTATTAGGAGGAATTAGATTAAAATATTGACTAGTGTAGAAACCAATTAAAATAATTATTAAATTTATGAGTTAAAATATAAATCTAAATATTTTTGAATTAAATAAATGATCATCTCAGAATTGCAATCATTTATATTAAAGAACATTAATATCAAAGTTTAATGTGATATGATTTACAACAATTCAAAATCGAATTAAATATAACTTATATAGAGCAAAATGGTAACAATTATCAATAGAATATTAAAATATTTTAAAGGCAAGTGTAATGAGTCTTTAAATAAGAATTAGATTTAAATAAATTCAAAAAAATACTCAAAGTGAATTATTCATTATTGTACTATTTATTAGAATATATATTTAATGATTCTAAATAAGAAATTTTAGAAATTTAAAGTTTATATCAAAAATTAATCTAGGAAGAAAATCAAATAAGAAATAGATAAAGTCTATTTGATTAAATATAAAAATAGGAAAGAAAAAATTAGAATAGGAAAAAGTTAAAAAAAAAACGAGAATTATTCTTTTTTAATACATATTACAAAGTATCTCATTCAAATTTAATTGCCTTGTAATCTTTTTCATTTTCTATTCCTATCCATCCATATTATTATATAATTTATTGGATCCCATTTTATAATTAGATATTTTAAATCAATCCCAAAGGATCGATGTTTTCTCTAGTAATAGGATCCACATAACCATTTTATTTAAATTACTATTGGATACTAATTTTATCATAAGTTAATCCTGAATTGAGAAGTGTGGGTTCATCCATTATTTCATATGTAATAGGGCATAAAAAGTATTCTGGCAATATTATTTCGGTTTTTTTGTGGATATTCTGCTCTATAAGATTCCAATCTAGTTGTTAATGCTATCTATGTGCAATATCCTTTAAAGTTTATTTTAGAGATAGGATATCTATTTAAGAATGATTATAATAAGCGTACTTCTTTTATCAATTTCTTATCTTATCAAATAAATCATTCTTTTTCCTTTAGCCAAATTTTGATTAATCAAGACTTTTAATTTATTTTTTTATTCATTTTTATTTTATTTAACCTATTCAGAAGCTATAAATATCAAGATTATATTACCTTTTTCAAGTTCTTCAATTCCTAATTATGCTTGCTTTATAAGTGCCTCGGTAATATCAGGGAACATTTGGACTTCAATCAAAATTACAGTTCCATAAAGAAAATGTGCTCTTGAGTTACACTTATCTATCTTTATAGCTTATTAAGCATCTTGTTTGGCCTCCTAGAATCTATTGAGAAGCTTATTTGCCACTGATCGATTTGAGAAGTAGATAGAATCATGATCATAGAGATTCTATTTTAGGTAATACAACTTACAATAGCTTGTGTGTAGGATTCAATAGCTTTTTTATATTGTTTCATTTATATGTAATGATTACCTTCACTTTTGAACTCTAACGATTTGAGAATATTAGGAGCAAATCGACGATTACTTCTATGAGGTAATTCATTTCCCTTTGAAGCAGCCTTTAATATTTTTCTTTATGTAGAATGAGAGGAAATAAGACAATTTTTATGGTGAAAAGAGTATTCACTAAAAACTCCTGTGATTTGAGGGTGATTAGAAGTTGTGTTTCCCATTATTAAATATATAATTTTAATTTCATCAATCAAATTATATTGATGTTGCTTAATTTTAAACGATAATTATTCATTTAAGTTAGTATTCAGAAATGCCTAAAAATGCATCTTCAACAAAATGATCTTCACACTTTTCTAAGGCTTTGAATAATCTAAAAGATTTAAAATGAAATCAAACCTATGAATTGCCATACATCTTAATTTTTCTTGCAAATCCAATATCATTCTTTCTTATTCATTTAGTTTTGTTTGCTACTCCTTTATTTAACTTAATTCTAATCTACTTGCACTTTAAGTTGATTGCTAATAATTAATAATTTCATTGATTTAATTCAAAACTCCTTATTCATTAACCTAAATTAATTCTAATTGTAATACTTATGATATTTAATAACAAATGACTTATTATTTCAATTTCAAGTTCTACTCTAGAATTGCAAATAATTTCTCTGCTCCTTTTTTTTATGGAGTTGACCAACTTTTTTGTTTCTAATCATCCAATTCAATCATAAATTCAATAAATCTCTACTTGAGGAATCCTTTAAAGACCCTTGAAATTGCATTAAGCGCCAACTTTTGACCATTCTTTTAGATGATTGAATCGAAGTCTGATTTAAAGAAGGCATCCTTAATTGGAGTCTATTGAAGGAAACTAGAATGTGAAGGTTAAAACGAAGTATCATCTGGAATACCTTTACCATAATGTTCTAAATGAGTAAATGCTCTTTGTTTGATTCTATCAAAAGCTTTACATAAATTATTGAACAGTTTCTTACATTTAATAATTTATTAAGTAGATAATCCAACTGCTTTTTGGTTAAGGCTATTGTCTCTCATTCTCCAATATGCTACTTGTTTACTAATTCTTGAATTCTTAGCTATAATATCAGCTACCCTCTTAAACCACTTATTCTTAGAAGGTTAACCTTTCCAAACATCCATGACATATTTCTTTATGGCCTTTTCAGCAAATCTATTTAATTAAATCATTCTTTAGATTGCTTAGCAAATCTAAATCATATTTCTTTTGACTGCTCTTATCTTCCATTAAGTGAAATAAACTCTTAATCTCACATAAGCATAATTTTGGAATAATAAAATAGCTTCTTTTTTCAATCTTTCTTCTTTTTAAGTCTTATTTTCTTATTTATTTGTGTGTATTCTTATGGTATCTCTCCATTCAATGAAAGCAACATTCAACTAATTCATTTTATGTTAATAAAACAATTATATTGCTAACTTTCTATTTTCTTATACATTCTGTAATTCTTATTGATTCATTTGATTTATTGCATCACGCCATCTTTGTACTGATTATTATTATTATGATTTAGTGGTTCTTACCAATAATAATACAACTCTTCTCTTTTTGTTTAATGCCTAAAAATAAAGATCTTATAAGCCATCGAATGATTGTAAGAGTTGTCTTCTAAATAAACCGAACAATTTCTTTTCAAATATATATCCTTATTTAGTTTTCTAAGGTTCTGGCAATCTTCTCCACATTTAAAATGAATTATGTAATTAGCCAATTGAGGAATTTGATATTCCCAATAAAAATTTATTTACTGCCTTTTACCTCTAATTTGAATTACTAAATTTCCTCAAAATCAGTCTTAAATTGTAATTCTTTTTGTTTTAAATATAATCTTTAAGTATTTCAATGATAGAAAACTTTTACTTTTATCTATTTTGACTAGCCAATAAATCTAATTTAGCTTGGGTTTATTTCCATTTCTAATAAGAATCCTTGAACATATCTTCCCATTCTTTCAATAACCGAACTAGTTCTTCTTGCTTTTTCAATTCTTTAATCTAATCCTCAAAGAAAAAATACATATGATTTTATTGAATTTTATTTATTGAACCGAAGAAACTAAAAACTTTACTAGCTCTCTGTTCTGTCCTTTACAATTCACTTACTTTATTCCATTCTAAGAATGCTTTTTTTTCTGCACTCATACAATTAAATAACAACTTATTGATTGCAAATTTCTATTTTGCTTATCCATCCTAATATATGTTTTGTAAATATTTAAAACTACTCTTTCTTAAAACTTACAACTTAAATGAATTTAATTTTTATTCAAATATTGATGCTTGTTTTAAATTAGATGGATCAGGTAATTGTTTCCATTTCAAAAATGAGGTTTCAACTTAACCTGCAAATGTATGTAAAAGCTTTAATTATATTTTTTTAATTAAATTTTGTCTACTTCGACCATCATTAAATTTTCTTAATATATCCCTTAATTACCCATTTTGATTATGTTTCAAATTTCTTTAAAGAGCAAACAATAAAAACTTTCTTTTCTCTTAATCCATCAATGAGGCAATCTTAGCTGATTTAGCTTAATTATTCCATTTAATGAATCCCCATCTTAATAAATTGTTATATTTGGACAACATCTTTTCAAAAACTTTCTCTTAAAGCTGATTGGTCTTAAAAATGACTTAGACATTACCAGATAATGTCAATGCAAGAGTTTAAAAGAAATTTGTAGTTTACTTACAAGTTTCAATTGATTTCAATAATTTATTTGTATTTCTCCATTACAAAAATAATCTCTTATTTAATCCCATGCCCAAGATGATTAATTTTCTAATGCAATGCAACTTCTTATTCATAGCTTCTTAATATTCATCTTTTAATGGATCATATGATAATTTGATTCTGCCTCTATAAAGGTTTTCCAGTATTTTTTCTAATCTTCTTCCCTTTTTTAGATTTTCAAAATTTTAAATTTCAGGAAGATTTTTCCATTTCTGAAATGCTACGATTGCTCCTCCAAACTTCGTAGAAAATAATTTTGAAAAAAACTTCTATTAAACTGCACTAAGAACTGAATTTCTTTTGAATTTAGACAATGCCAATCTCAATTTAGATTTCATATTATTTCTATAAAAAAATCCAATCTATCGAATTAAAAATTCTTTTTTCTCTCCTTCTATTGCTTATATTCTTTCAAATTTTAAATAATTTGTCCATCTCATAAAAAAATATCTAATGTTATCATAATTACCTCCAATTATTTTCAACAATGCTTTTTCTTTTAATCTTGACTCTTAATTTGGTTGCATGATTTATAAATTAAATTAAATTTAGTCGCCCACAAATTTAAACAATAATATAACACTCTTGCATCTCTCAACTTCCTAAATCAAAGAAACATTCTTATTCCAATTGCTAAGAGCTTTTTGTTGTTCTGATTCTTATGTTTTTATAAGGAGCAATACTGCTCTTTTTTTTATTGCAAGAGCATCATCATATATTTCGTATAATGGATTCCAAATCTTTTTCTTAGTTTGGCGAATCAAGAAATGATTGAATTATTATTCAAATTTAGTAACTTTGGCTAATTAGGAATAATCAAGTTCAGGAATTTATTTCCATTTATTAAATGATATCCAAACTTAAGAGATTGTATTTCTATGTATTATTGCTAATGCTTTTCTTCTTAAATTATAAGATTAGGCATTTTAATGGAATCTCTTCAAAATTTCAATTAATGCATAATGCTTAACTTTATACCCAGAATTAATCCAATTAACTAATCTTTATTTAATTATTTCATCATTCAATGTAACATTCAATTAAGAAAATTGATCAAACATTTTCATTTCCCATGATCTTCTATGCCAAGATAGAAAAGCTGTTTTTAAATCACTTTATCCAACAGAAAAGATTTTATTTATGCAATACTTCTTTTTAGCTTACCCCTCCAATAGATCATCCTCCAAGATATTCCATGAATTTACTTTAACAAATCTATAAGCAACTCTTCCAAGGGATATCATGAATTTACTTACCTTTACAGTTTTTCCATTTACTCTATCTTCTGGTAAATATTTCCATTTCTAAAAGCTAGTACTTACTTATCCTATTACAGTCTACATTAATCTAAGATTAATTTTCTTTATTTATTATGCTAACTAAAGGTTTGAATTGAATAGATTTAATGCTCTTCTTAATCTTTACTTTTTATCATTTTCTAAGAATTTCTTTAAATTTAAAATGAGAAACTTCATCTTTTCATCTCCCAATCTCTCCAAAATTTACTACTATTTATTCTGACTTTTCCACCTAAAGAAAGCAATTGCTAAATTACTATGTTGAGACGCTAAAATTTTTTAGATACATTTTTCTTTAATATCGACATCCTTTTTGTTTTAAATGAATGCAAGTAAGTTTGATTGTAATATCATAGCGAGAGAATAGAATAAATTATTCGTCTTTTAACATGCAACTACTGATTTATAGACTTTAGCAACATTCTGCCATTATTTTATATACCTCTAAGGAGCACTCATTGTAACAGAAAATAATTATCTTATACAAAATCTTTTCTTTTACAAGGCTTCATAATAAAGATATTTTAGAGGATCATATGCTTACTTGTGTTTATTTACTATAAACAATTACAGTTTCATTTGAAATTTAGAAACCTTTTAGATATTGTTGATATCATCAGGGTTCGGTAATATTTTCCATTTTCTAAATGAATCTATCAATTATCCATTAACAGATAGGAGAATTTTACCAAAATATTTATTTTTAATCTCCTAAGTTTCTCTATTAATTTGAAATTTTCTTAAGATTTATTTAAGTAGCCCCTTTTCAGTCTTATTGGCTGTTTCTTTTAATCTTGCTATCAAGTCTTATTTGTTTATATTATTGAGTTTTTCTTCCATTTTCTTTTGAACACAGTAATTTTCTATTTATCTCAAAGCATCTAATTTTTACTTTTGTTGCAATTTCAAAATGATTTTGTCGAGGAAAGAACAGATTTGCATCTTTTTGCTAAGATTAAATAATTTGAAGGTTTCTTGTTTGACTAATTAGTGAGTTACATTTGCACTCTATTACAATGATTTAATTTTCTTAAGATTAGTTTCAGTTAACTTTGCATAGGTATTATAATTTGCCCATTTATAAAATGCTGTATAAGATTAATTGAATGTAACTTCGATCAATTCTCTTATGACTTTGGTTTTTTTATTTTTTGCCTCATCATGAAGATCTTTGAAAGCATTCCAAACTAACCTCTTATTTTAGTCCACTTTATTTCCTAATTTATTAATTAATAATAATCCTTATTTTTTAATGTCGTTTTCTCTTTTATCTGGTAAATCGACCCACCTTGTGTAGCATCTTTAAAGTCTTCCAAATGTGGTTTTAAGTAAAACAGCAAAGAACTTTTTCTTTAATCTAAAATTTAATAAGTCTCCTCTCCAAATTTCAAAAGCCTTATTTGATTATGTAATATAATACTTCTTTTAATCTTGATCTATCTAATCTATCATTTCTCATGTTATATTCATCTCCTAATATTTCTAATGCTTTTAATTGTTTTTCTAATTTATTGGATTTCATTTTAGCAATTAACTTCCACCAATTAAACTTTTCTCTTAAATATCTTTCCCTATACTTTGAACTTATTGACCAAATCAATAAGCCAAGCATTTTATTTGAATCTTGTGAGGTTGGTTTAATTGATTCAATTGCCTATCTTTTGAGTTATAATTCTTTTTTTTGAATAAATAAGGCCAAATTGATTAAACTCAAATTTTTTTTTTTTCTTGCATTCATTCTGGCTTCCTTAGGTTGTTTTGTGCTATTTACCTTATAGTTTTTAATACCCTAACAAGAATTTGAGTTTGTGGAAGGCGTTAAATTAATTCAACTTAGAATTTAATAGGATTTTGTCAACAGCTTACTTCACAATTTCAGGGTTAGTTCTTACTTACCATCTAAAATAAATAGGAAGTTTGCTTACCTAATAAATGCATCTTGCAAAGTGAGATTTTATTAAGTCTTAATTAATTAGGACACTATTATTCCTTTCAATTTAGGAGACAATTTCGTTGAAAGTTGATTGCTTATTGATAGTAAAATATCATACTTGGTATCAGAGAGCATTGTTAATAAATAAAATAATAATAAAATTCGTGATCTGTTAATTAATTTTATTTCTATATAAGCAGATAACAATCCAATATTATGATTATATACAATTATAAAATCATTCATGTGTAAGAATAAATTTCACAGTTTTTTATCTGATTTCCTATATTTTTTACATCCTGGGATCATATTTTGCAATTTTTCCTTGTTTTGAATTCTCAAGTGTATTCTTAAACGTTTCTTAAAGTAATAAGGCTTCTTCTTCATTCATGTCATTTAATGTTTCAATATTATTTTTAATGAACTTTTTTTTCAATCTGTCCTTTGCTTATTACTCCTTTTCTTTTCCTTAGCATTTGGTTATTAAGTGTGCGATGATGAATGCTATTATAACTAACACTATTAGAACAATAAATAATTATTCTTATTATAACATTTTTAATTTATTAAATTCATATTCACCATTCTAGAGCATCTAAACTTTTCTCAAAATCCCTGGATCCCTCATAAAATTGAGCATACCATTATCTCCATCTCAATAGCAATGGATCAGCATCACCCTTTAAATTATAAGAGACCTTATCTGTAAAGATCTTATTATTCCACAAACTGACATCTGCAATCACTTGTCTCAATTCTCCTCCCAAAATGTAAGCACTGGCCCAATATGGTAGTAACCTTGTGGTGTACAATGTATGAAACACTTTCAAATTGAATCTTTCAACTGGTTGAATAGCCTATTTATATAAAGCCTCAAAAACATCAGACAATACATACAAGGCCACAGTTGCTGGTCCCATTTAAAATCCAGTTGCCCAAATCACATTAAATTTCCATTTATTAAAGATCACCAAATATGCATCCAAACATAAAACATTCATATATTATCGTAAATCTTTATTTGATAAATACTGATCGAATAGATTCTTTTAATATTTACGAACTTTCTCCTTGCTATGTTCCATTTTCTTATAGAAATCTGGGTCATTCGCAGGCAGACTTTTCATTGTCCACTTGAAACTGACTATCCAAGTTGGAATATAGTCATTAACTGATGAATGAATATAGTCAAAATGTCTAGCATCAGCACCATTTTCAGGAATTTCTTAAATGTGACAATTTACATAATTCACACTCTCCCCTCTTAATTAAAGATGATCACTTTATTCTGACACTGGTTCATACCATGGTTTAGCTTCCAAACAATGGAGCCATATATACACCATCCCTCTTAATTCTTTCACCAGATAAGTTTTTATTTTGATTTCACCTTCTTATACTTTTTGTAAATATTCTCCTTTCTTATTTGGATCCATATTTTCAATATTATTGTAACAATATGTTGATACAATTTTTGGATCTAATTTTTCAGAGTTGACACATAATCCAGATTTTCCATCGAATGCCCATCCATGGAATGGACATTCAATACAGGAGTTAAATTTGACTTATCCTCCAATTCCAAGATTAGCTCCCATGTGTGGACAATAAGCAGCAACAGCATAAACTACTTTATCTGTACCTCTATAATAAGCAATATGTCGACCAGCAAATTTGATTTCTTCTACTTAGCTATTAAAAATTAGCTTATTTCATTACCCTATCTTCAGCTCTGCACTTCTACAAAGTCTATACCATCCATTTGGATATGAAGGAGGAGGTGTTCCTCGAGCTAATTTATGTCTGATGATATTTGGTTGAGCTTTTTCAGCGATTAGGTAAAATCTGAATTTTCTATAATACAAGATATATAAAATAATGAGAATTGCAGGGACTATGATTTCTAATCTGGCCCAATCCATTTTTAATAAAAATATTATTAACAATTAAGATTTGATTAATTAAATTTATACTAAATTATGGATATATATGTGAGAATATTTTTAATAATTAATAATTTTGGGTAATATTAATAAGCTCAAATTAAAAAAGTTGTTTCTTTGATTAATTCAAATGAAAAACTAAAATTACATGATCAGAAATAAAAAATTAAGAGATAATATATATATTTAAGCATTTTAAATTATTTAAATTATTTAAAATAATGTAAAAAAATCCTTCAGCATAAGAATATAGATCTCACCTAGTAAACCCATAAAGTATCGATAAATTCTTATTATGCTAAATTTGCCAGTAGTTAGTTTTTAAACCTTAAGAGTGCGAGTCATGTTAAAAAATATTTTGTCTCTATTGCCTCTAAAAATGGATGTCAATTTGCAACAACGAGGTTTCAATTAGTTATATTTATAGACATGCCCTAGTCATTGTAAATAATATAAAATAAGGAAACCTCATCAAATTGTTACGAATGCTATAAATTAAATTCTTGTTAGATGTGGAAATAATGGGTGTTCAGAATAAATGATAATGGGAAATTTGGAGACTCATATTAAAATTTGCTAAAAAGTCCATAAGCCTAATTTATTTGAACAAAAGTAAGATACAAATCATGGTCTTTTTGATGATTATTGCTAGAAATGCAATACAAAATATAGCTAATTCTGTTAGCATGATTGTATAAAGTCACTAGTTGAAAAAATTCAAGACATGGAGAAAACATTTTAATAATTTTAAAATCAAACTAAAAAAACTATTATCTGATAACTTATTCGAAAGAGTTTCTTAATGTGAAAAACAATAAAATAATTTGGGTGATCCTTAAAATGGCATTAAATAACCATAGTTGGGTAATCCTTATTAAGAATAACCATAAGTTTTATTTGGTGAAGAAGAAGAATTAATGAAATTATAAGATCCTTCATAAGTACAATAATAAGTAAATTTTGATATTCCTTTATGTGAATTAAATCACAAATTGAAATGGATTTACCCTTAAAATAATATAATATGTACAAGGTGTAAGCTCTCTGATATATCAGTTCGATATGTTTGTGAACAGTGTAGAACATGTTATTGTTAAAAGTGTCGAAAACCGTAAATTTAATAAGGCCTTTGCCCTATCGGCCATGCTTTAATATTTCAATTAATTGTAAATATTATAATTATGTAAGGCTCCTCAATAAGTTTATTGTGATTCCTGCTTATTGAATATTTCTTCAAGGGGAGAAGCTGTGTATTCAGATAGATTTTGTGATTTAGATCTGTGCAATAGTTGCTACTCGAATTTATAAAAATAATATCAACAATGATTTGTATAAGAATGGAATAAATATTATTATTAAAATAAATCTAATGCAAGAATTGGGGAAACAACAAAAGATGGTAATTGGAATGGTTGGATTACCAGCAAGAGGTAAGACTTACATTTCAAGGAAGATTTGTAGATATTTGAATTGGATGGGTTTCAAGAGTAAAGTTTTTAACATAGGGAATTACAGAAGATAAATATGTGGAACAGATTGCAACTCGAATTTCTTTGATCCAGGCAATAAAGATGTAAGAGGTCATAATTAAATGAAGGCATCGAAAGCTAGAGATGAATGTGCTTTATTGGCTTTGAATGACATGATAAATTATCTTAGGAATGAAGGAGATGTTAGTTTGTATGATGGGACAAATACAACGAAATAGAGAAGAAAATTGATCATGGAGACATTACAATAAAAGTTTAGTGAGGTACAAGTATTTTGGGTTGAATCAATATGCAATGATGAAGATGTCATTCTGAGAAATATTTAGTTGACCAAATTGAACAATCCTGATTATGTTGGAAAGTCATCTGATGAAGCTACTTAAGATTTTCAATAGAGAATTGAATAATATGCTAAGGTATATGAACCAATAGACATGGATGAGAACATTTCATTTATAAAGATCATTGATATCGGAAATGATGTAAAACAGAATACAATTAATTTAGATTATGATATATAATATCTAAGGATTCTTGTAATCCAAATTAGTCTCATATTTGATGAATTTGCACATTTATCCTAGACCTATATATTTGTCTAGACATGGAGAGAGTTAATATAATGTTGTTCATAAAGTTGGAGGCGATTCTGATTTAACTTAAACAGGACTGATGTATGCAAAATAGTTGGGCAAATATTTTATATAAGAATTAGAAGGTAGTAGAAATATCAAGATGTTTACTTCAACTATGCAGAGAGCATTGCACACAAGTAATGAAGTTTGTGAATTTTTGGGAGTCGAATATTATTCATTGAAGGCTTTGGATGAAATAAATCCTGGAATATGCGATGGATTGACATATTAATAGATTGCTGATAAATTCCCTTAGGATTATGAGGAACGAAAAATGAACAAACTAACCTACAGATATCCAAGAGGAGAATCTTATCTTGATGTGATCAGCAGAGTTGAATAAATAATTTTTGAAATAGAAAGATCGAGATTACCAGTTATAGTCATTGCTCATCAAGCCATATTGAGATGTTTGTATGCATACTTTCATGAACATGAGGTACCTGAGATACCTAAATTAAACATTCCATTGCATCAAGTTATTAAATTAGTACCTGCTGCATATTATTGCAAAGAAACAAGAATAAAAATTGATCCCATGACTGGACATTGGGAAATTCAAGATGAAGCTACAATAAAGAAGGTTAAATCTTTCCTTGATTTGTGAAATGGTAATAATAAAATAATAATGTTTTCACACTTTCAATATCCATCTTTTCTTATCTTAACTAAGTAATACATTAGGTTATTATTGAATATGCGTCACAATCTATTTTTTATATTCTATAAACTTACCTTAGACCAAATAGTATTAGTTAATTGTTTTTCATAAAACTTTTTCAATGATTTAAGTTAATCATCTATTATAAGAAATTTTTGTTATTCAAGATTACTTAATAGAGATTGTGAGACTATGTTCACAAACACATTCATTTGTTCTTCATCCTAAACATTTCCTGATTTCATTATTTTATATCCAATCACTAAGCCAGCGGTTAATCCTAAAATAACTAATCCTATGATTATGATATTAAAGTAGTTCCCAGACTTGCTTTTAGATTATTAACTGTCAAAATGGTCCTCGTCCAAAATTTTGTTTGATTATATTATTTCACTTTTTGGACCTCTATAGACTACATCATTTGAATTCGACAAGACTTCTGATTTGGAGTAAGACATAGATTAGGTTTTTGGTTTAGGAGAATTGCTATTTGTTGCTGACATTTGCGTGCTATATTTTATAGAAATTAATTAAAAAATAAAAATTGTGTTGGTGTTATCAATTTTTAGTTTTAACAGATAGGAATTTCGATGTCAACTGACTTCTTTTTCTTCATTTATTCCAAGTGCCAAAAGAAATTAATTATCAAAAACAATTATTATATTTAAACTGTTTATTTAATTATTTTGTGTATCTTAAAACAATCCTTTTTATTTATTCATTTAACAATTCCCAATAATTATTTATGGCTAACAAAGATCCATCGAAGGGTGTAGAGGATGATATTTTGCATCATCTTGAAAGAAATGCTAACATCTATACACAAACTTAGGATTAACTTAACAATAAACTATATGATTAAACACCCTACATGATTCCAACCCAAAACATTTCTCCATAAATTTCAAGTCTTCGAGAAATAAAATTAGTCAATTCTCTGCTTGAAAATGGAGACGGTAAAATCCATCCTGTCAAACTCATTTGCCAGAATTGCAAGAAATAAGTATATATTTAATAATACAATTGTTAAAAGGTTCAAACAAAATTAAGCAGAAGAGTTGGGAGTGGTGCATATTTGGTTTCATGTATTCTCCTTCTATGTTCTTTTGGAATCTGCTGTTTGGCATGTTTACCTTGTTATGTAGATGATTGCAAGGACATTATCCATCTTTGTCCGGATTGTCAACATCAGAATGGATCAACGCCATACTCTGTTTTTTAATGACATATCATATATATATATTTATTATATGTCAACTTCATATTTTAATTTGAAATGGAGACAGTCCATCAATTAACTTATGGAGGCCTTATAGATAGAAATGGATCCCTTGGTTGAGAACCAGATCAAGCAAAATCTAAAACTAGTAAGGCCTGATTAAGAGTGGTTTGTATACTATGGCAAATTATACCTATTTTATGTTGATGCATATAAATCACTTGAAACCTGTTATGATTAATTGTTACATCCCTAAAAAAGACGTTTATTAAAGAAGATGCTTGAAAATACCATGTTAAGATAAATTCAAATCAAGCAGGTACGATAATGATTTTAAATATGTAGGCTATGATATTCTATTCAACTTAAGGAAATGTGATAAGATCAGATTTTGTAAATTTGCATTAGGTAATATTTGATGAAAAGAGACTCATAGAAGATACTGAAGTTACTTTACCTCATTATTTTTCAGATGAATAAAATAGAAAACTTGCTTATCGTAAATAGATGCTTAATCATTTTTTGAATGAATTTCATGATACCACCTAACCAGAGGAAGAAGTATTAGTAGACAAAGCTGTATTGGAAAATATTGAATAAGCTATATGGTTTATATAAAAGAACGAGAGAGGAAGACAAGGTATTGAGAGGGTGCTTTTAGCAAAATAATTGAAAAAGCAGGATTTGAAGAAACAGGAGAAACAAAAGAAATTGCAAGAAGGGTTAGAAGTGCATGATTCTACTGAGAGAGAAGAAGCCATAACAACGATCTAAAAATATTATAGAGGATTTAAAGCCAGGGAAATAGTTTGGGATTTAAGAGAGCAGGAATCACTATTTCTGGGATTTACATTGGAAAAACAATTACAAGAAACTGATGCTTATAAGACATATCATTTGTAGAGAGAGAAGATGAAAGAGAAGCAATAGGAAAGATTATAAGAGTATAAAACTGCCTTAGTTGAAGCAAGGGATAATTTGATGAATGATTGGTAAGATGATATCTAAAATTAAATGTTGGCTGAAAGAAGAAGATGGTATATGAGTGAAGTCCAGAAAGCAGAAGGTAAATTAGTGCCACCAAAAGTTGCTTAATTTTATAAAAAAGATTAAGTGAGATTGCCGTTGACGGAGGAAGAATAAGAAATGATGGATTTGTTGGATAAGGAAAAGAAAGCAGCTAAGAAAAATAAGGGAAAAAAAAAGAAGAAGAAGAAACAAGAAGATGAGGATATTAGAGTAGAATAAGGGCCTACTGAAGCTATTGTAAAGATGCAAGATTTAATTGAAAAACATAATCATGAATGGAGAAATGATTAATTAAATCCTTATTAAAAGCATGAAAATTCGTTATTAAAGGGAGAAATTGCAAAAGGAGTTGAAAAATAAATAAGAGAAGTAGTGGATGAAATGATTGACATGGAGTTAATCAATTTAAGAATTGCATTGAAGGCAAAGAAAATGAAATATCCAAAAAAAAAGAAATCTAAAAAAAAGAAAGCAAAACCAGCTGCAAAAGCAGAAGAAGATGATCTGTTAGAAGAAGGAGAAATTAATTTTGGTTTCAGAAGTGTCGCAAAGAAGAAGAAAAAGAAATTCCCAGGAGATAAGGGAACAGCAAAAAAAGATCCTAGAGATATGTTGGCTGAATTGATTGAATCAGGTATAGCTAAGAAATTGGAACCAGCAAAAATTTCAGATCTCATTGGAAATTGTAATCCTTTAAGATAAAAATAAGAAATGCTATAAGAATAAGTAGCTGATCCCTCAATTTATGATTTAAGGCAGGTTTTAGTATAATTTATTGGAATGCCATTAGGATCTCAATATATTAAGGATAATGTCAAAGAAAGTAACTATGTCTTATTCTATGGGCCACATGGGTCAGGTAAAACACATGCAGTTAGGGCATTATAAACTGAATGTGATGCTTTGATTCTAGACTTATCGCCTGCCAATATAGAAAATAAATACTAAGATAAACCTGATTATTTGTTATCATTAGCATTTAAAACTGCTGCCTGTTTCTAGCCTGCTATTATATATATTGATGAAATTGAACGAATTTTCAAAGGAAAGAAAAAGAAGAAGAAGGGTGATTAATAGCCATCATCTGCAGGAGGAATGAATTGGGTTAAATTGAGAAAATATTTGTTGAAATATGGAAAGTACTTCACTGAAAAGTAGAAAGAAAATGTTACCATAATTGGTTGTAGTTATGCTCCTTGGAATGCAAATAAAAAACAATTGAAATCATTTTTCAAACGAAGAGTCTATTTCCCTTGTCCAAATTATGCTACAAGAATAATGATATTCTAGAGGTTTTTTGATGAACGAAAGATTTAACTGCATCCCAATTTCCCCTTGAGCTCCTTGGCTCATGCTACAGAAGGATTTACTGCAGGAAATGTATTACATTTAATATATTTTTTAGATCAAAGAAGCTCTCAGAAAGATATTGACAGAGAGACGATTATTTTTATCTGCTGAAATACCATATCGAATAAGTGAATTTGTCGATCCGTTAGCCGTGCAATAATCTACGTTTTTGTAACAATATCAAGAGTTTCGTAAATTGCATGATGATCTCTCTGGGAATAAAGCAAGAATTGATAAACTCAAAAAACCAGCTGATGATGAAAAAGGAAAGAAGAAGCCTGCCAAAAAAAAGAAATGACTAATATTATCATTATTTAATAGTAATTTACTCAAAAATGAAAGTATAACTAACTATTTTTCGTATTAAAGTCTTTTATAAATAATTCACAAACTTATTCTAACTCGATTCAATTAGAAAAACGGATAGAATTGTGTCATAAGAGACTAATAATATGAAAAATATAATATTTAGCGGCAGACCTACATACATTTAGAATACAGTTTCTAGATATACTATTATTTTATTTTATTCTAGATTCAGAAGGTTTTATTAACTAAATTATATTTATATATTTTAATAATGTAAATGCTCTAAAGTTTAATTCAATAATATTAAGGAATCTATAATTAGTAATTGATTGATTGTAATAAAAATAAATTGGTGATTCAAAAAATTACATAACTTTATCATCCTTACTAAAAGGGGTTGGCCAAGATTTGATAATCTCGAAAAGGAAATTAATGTATGAATTTCGAAATAGACAATTTATTTTAAGTAAGAAAAAAAATCAAGTGGAAAATGAATAATAAACAAGATCACATATAGAAATTGAATAGGACTATACTAATTCAACTCATGGCAAATATCATTGCTATAAGAACAAATGAAATGAATTTAGATCTTTAAATCTAACTCAAAAGTATTAACTTTGATTTAATTTAAAACAAAATATTTATTCAATTCTAAACTCCTAGATTTTATAATTATAAATAATTTCATTCAGCAATGTTGATTTCTTAACCCTCAATCATCAAACAAGGATACAAGTTCTTAGTATCCTTAAATCTCGTTTCCTATTCAGATTTATTAAAGCTTTATAATAATCTCAGTGGTTGAAATTTACCCCATCATAATCTTTTGATTCACAAAGATAGTAATTTTTTCATTCTTTTGAAATTTAAGATTAGTTTTACCTTGTTTTCTGAAGGTGAATCTTTGGAAAAAGCAAAGTAGTTATTACATAATAAATTTATATTTATCTTTTTGCAAAAGCTATACTAAACCCCATTAGTCTACTTGTAATTTAGGATGCTTATTTAAGTCAGAATAACTAATTTTTAATTTTGTACTCAATCTCTTATCTTATTCAAGGCATTTATAAATAACTGTAGCCGCATTTATCCATCTCTCTAAGTATAATTCTAGATGATTAAACACTATGTACATAAAAAATATTTACTTCTTCTTATACAATAAGAGTAGACATGAGTCAAATATTATAAACAATACAAAAATTAATTTTAGATAAGTATTATACATTTGATTATATAATTTTATCACTCACTTAAGTAATTTGAATTTCTAAAAGCAACTATTGCAGATATCAAAATCGCAAGATCGGTCACTGTAAACAGAGTCATGTTTTGAATAAATGTTCAGTCTACAGAAATCGCATTTCAAACCAAACGAAGGCTAGCATATAAATAACAAGTACTTTCTACGTAAACTATAGAATATGATTAGCAGGACAAATGTTTCCATTGAATTCTGGCAACTTACATCTCTAGCAGTACCCTACTCTGCAAATTTCACAAACATATCTTATATTCTCATTTGCATATTTGCAAGACTCACATTAGATTCCTTGTTTAGGATAAATCCATTTCAATTCATGTCCTTGAAAACATTTTGGTTTTTTGGGTCCTTTTTAGGAATCTTCTAATTTAGTAAGTCTTGAAACCAAATCCATTATAACTTAATCAGTTGTCTTTTAATAAGCTTAGAAGTTCGCTTCTTACAATTTCAATTTCTAAAGTAAATGGACTAGACAATCATGTTCTTAATTGACTTTATATGTTGCATCACATTTCTAACAATTTTATACTCTGTGTTCACAAATTTATTCATGATGCTTTATTTATTTTTAAATGTCTTTAAAATCACAATCAGCAAATTAACATTGTTTTTCTTAGTACTCACATTGTTGCAGATGGGAATCTATATTCTAAATTTACATTTATAGATCACAGCCTTTATTTACACATTTTACTTCTATTTAAGAAATTTAGTTTTTGACTATGCGATGAGGATTCTTCAATTCAATTTCCTTACTGCAATTATAAGGGCAACTCTCTATAAAATTGAATATTTGATAATACTTCTCTTTTCTAGCCACTATGTAATGCATTCTGAACAAAATAGATTTTGGCATTAACTGCACTCCTTAGGATCAACAACTAATTCTTAACATATTAAACACAATAAATTTTAATCTATAGTATTAGGATTAACGATTAAATCTCTTAATATTGACGATGAGGAAATTATGGAAGGATTCATTGATTTTAAAAATTATTTATTAATAAAACCACTTTGTATTATAGAAAACATTTCAATTATAGTAAACTGAATTATTTAAAACACTTAAAATTCTAATAGATTTACATATCAATAAAATTAAAGCAAAAATAGAGATAGCTGATTTAAATAAGGGTACATTTGAGAAAAATCAAATTATATGGGATATATATCAATGATAGATTATTAATACGATAATTGACATATAAGTGTTTAATTCCACTTAAAAGAATTAATCAATACTTTTAAATTAAATAAACAAATATTTATTAATCAATTAAACTAAAGCACTTAAATTGAGGAATCATTTAATCCTAAGAAACAAATTCGTTGGTAAGTATGAATAGATGTCACTAATGGATAACGACCTATTTAAGAGTGTTCTTTCCATTATTTTTCTTATTACCAAATTTTAATAATCTTATCATCATCTGTAGATATAAGATATCCTCCTACATAATCTATAAAGTTGATATAGGAATTGTGATCGTAAATAGTTTAGATACAACTATAATCTCCATTTTTCAATTCCATCCATATTTTAATCTATTTATCCCAACCACCTGAAACTAGGTATGATTCATTTATAAATTTAAGTGCCTTGATACAATCAAAATGACTTTCTAATTTAATGTTAAACTTTTCTTTTCTAATTCTAATAATTCCATCAATTTATCCTATTGCAATTTAAGAATAATCCTTATTACAGTCAATGCTAGTAATTTCAACTTTATTCTTTAATTCACTTACACATGTGGTGTCATTCCAGAATGCCAGAACCTTATCACTATTGATTGAGGCAAATGAATTTTAATATCTTATTAATTGAAGAATTGTAGATTTGGTATTAATTTTATTTTTTACTTCAATTCTGGGTCCAGTTAGATTCCAAATAACTAAAGATTTATCAATTGCAGTTGAAATTAAGGTATCATTTATAATTAGAAGGGCAGAGATTCTATCGGAATGAGCAGAAAGTTCTTAGATGAATTATTTTGCCCTAAGATCAAATTGCAATATTTTGATGTCCTAATCAGCTGAAAATAACCATTTCATTTTATCATAATAAGCCATAGATTTTACTGATTAAACCTTGGTATTGAGTTTAAATAATTCCTTATAATTTTTATGAGTATTTTTATGATTGCTTGTCTATTGAGTTAAGTCAATTTCTTCTTTCTTTAAAGAATTGATTTACGAACTGATACTATCAAAGCAGTCATTCATATGATGTTAAGATTTCGAAATTATTTTATTGAATCTAATATGGATTGCATTTTAAGATTTAATTTTATATTTTTATTGGTGAATGTCATATTGGCAATTCTCATGTAATACTTAAGCTATTTATTTGTGGTCTTTAGAATCCAAAAGTTCTTGTTGTGGATCTGATTGAATAATTAAATCGAAAACTACAGAAATTTGATCATAAAGCGATTTCAATTGACTGTATAACTGATTAATAGTTTGCTCAAGTTAATCGAGGATTTCTGATTTATATTGTTTTAATCCAGATTGTTTTAATTAATCTATTAATTGTGTGGCTTATTCGAAATTAAGATATCTTTATTCTCCAAAGTATCCCTTGCTGAGAGAAGGGATGCAACGAGAACAAATAGGTCTTACAGTATCAGAATTCTCTATATTATATCCCACATATATCTCTTTGTGAGTAGGACATTGCTGTATAGGATTCATAATTTATATAATATTAATAAGTATAATAAATAAAAAGGAAAGATTAAGGTTAGCAGAAAAATGAGGAGTAGATCAATACGAGGTTGATTAAGGTAAGATGAAGGATTTGGAGAGAGAAGATATTGCTAGATATTAAAGACAATTAGATCTAGATATTACAGAGGAATAATTAATTAATAACTGCAGTGATTACTAAAATTTAATGGAAATTAAGCATTAATAATAATTAATTTGATGCCATAAAGTATTTTGTGCTAGGTAAAATCGATTATGCTATTTCAGAATTATTTGATTCTGTGATTATTAATGTCATTCATAACAAATTAGATTTGACATAGAATAATAAGTTATTTACTAAGGTTAAAAAAAAATAGAGGAACTGAGATGGAGCAAACTTGAAGAAATGCAACTGCATAGAGGAGAATGTGAATATAAAAATATTAAAATCTTTTAATTATGATAAAATATTTATAGAGATCTCTCTTTAGAATTTGTTAGGAGTATGAATATCTCAAATCTAAGTAAATATTCAAGTAATAGCTTGAATAATTTAAGAAGGCTCTAAATAAAGGTATGTTGAATCCATCTATATTTAATAGCAATCTAATTACAAAAATAAATTGATCAAAATACTCAAGCTGCCTTCAAAATGTAAAATCATGCTTTCTTTACATCTAATGTGCCTGCTAAAACTATTTTGGCTGCATTTTTGTAGAAAAGAGAATACTCAAATGAAGAAATTGTTGGATTAACATTTGTTTAATTAGGTCATGCAATAAAAGGAAGAGGAGATAGATCCTACTTTGATCATAAATCGGTTGAATCTTCCATGGGATTCGATGTCCTAATTAAAGACTTATTAAATTTGAATGATTATAGAGTTTTAGCTGAAGCAATTCATGGATTGGCTCTCACAGGAGTAGATTTACATAGCGAATAAATTGTTGATAAGGCATTTTAATAATTGGATGCCAAATAGTTAAATTCTGAAGAAAAATAATTAATTGAAGCATTTATATTAGATATCTTTGAAGAAAAATAAGATGTGCCTATGAACAATTTCATTTATGATGTTGAAAAATTGATTGAAGAAACACAATCTGATATCTTCTATGTTTTGGAAGCAATCGTAGAAATCAGAAGAGTTTATTTAAAATTACTTGATATCTAAAAATCTGATTGGATTCACATCAATACGAATATTAAAATGATGGAATTTGAAGAAGCTTTAATATCCACAGGTCTGTTGCATCCTGCTGAAGTTGAAAAGGAAGATATCTCATTATCATTAGAAACTGCACTTTCATATATTTCAGGAAGAGACCCAAATCTAATGGCATTTATCATTTCTCTATTAGAAATACAATTAATTCATAGAGATCAAACAAAACCCATTGAACCAAAGTTATCTGATTTTGGAGATTTGATGGTAGCAGTGTCTGAATACAAAGGACATCAAATTGCAGAAAGATTAAAGAATGCATAATCTCTATTGGTTCATTCAGATAAATATAAGTTAGCAAAGGCATTTGCTAATGCTGGTCTCAATGTTGAAAGCAGAGAGTATTTAGCTTAAGTTACTGATGAAGAACTTCTTAATTCGGTAGATTCATTACATCTTCATTTATAATTGAATAAAACAGATAGACAATTCCCATAGCCTGAGAATTTATCTATCCTCTCTTTAGATGAACTAATTGCCTATGCTACATATTTGGCTTTGTAAAACCAAAACTATGGATTGTTCATTGAAGAACTCAAATTCAGAGTTAAGAATTTGAATACAATTAGAGATTTGAATGAAAAATAACAAGAAAGAATCAATGTATTAGAAAAACACTCTGGACAGAAGTTAATTTATGAAGAGAAGGACATTAATCGTACTGAAGTATATAAGGCCATTAAAGAGACTTTACCTAAGTCAGTGTAATTGATTGAGATTTATGATCTGAGTGTCAATAATGAAATAAATGGATATGCTTAATTAAGAGTAGGTTCATAGCCATATATGACGTTATATGATTTCTTAGGTAAAGATAAGGAACAATTCAAGTAGAAATTGCAATTGGCATTTAATCTAGAAAATTCTGATATCATCTTATTTAATAAAATTAAGGACAGATTGGAAAGTGTCTAAATAGAAGAAAATAGTAAATAATTGAGTTCATAAACAATCTTTAATGCATAATGGTAATATTTGAAGAAAAGAGCATTGAATTATTTAAATAAGAATGATAATTTAAATAAGTTGAAATTGAAATAAACTTTACTTGATTTATAAGAGAGATTGAAAATATTGAATTAGAATAATGTATTCTAAGATTTGATTGATGAAATTAAAATTCAACCAATCAATTTTCCAAAATGGTATGGAATGATCCCATCTTAATCAATATATAATCCTTAATCCTCTATTTAAGGATTCAAGGCTAGTTTGATTAGTAATAGAATTTATGATCCCGCTTATTGTCCAGACTAAGACTTATATAAGAGATTGGAAGATAATGGTTTTATTTCAAATATGATTCCAATTCCACATTCCGATAAACGTAGATAATAGATAGTTGTTCAATCGTATTCGCTTGCTTGGAAGAAACATTCAGCTAAGAAGTCAGATGAGGAATTAGAACAACTTAATCAATTATATAAATTCTTATAGAAGGATTAAAAGGATCACCATAGTGATGCCAGTGATTTGTTCATTGCAAATCTATTGAATTTGAATGCAGAATTGAAATCTAAGAGTTTACCTGAAATTGCTGATTTTGTATTCAACATCAAATTTTGGGATAAATTGATTGAGGAGAGATTGTCAGCTTAAAAATCAACTAAGCCTGCTGGTATCTACTTATAAAGGGATCCAGAAGTTGTCTTACAAGAATAAATCAAATAATACAATCCATTTTTAACAACTCAATATCTACGGAAAAAATTGTAAGTCAACAAAACATTGGAAGATCTCATTAAAATGAGAAAGGAATTATTGATGAAGTTGTAAGAAGATGTCAAGAATAAAGAAATTAATAAATAATAAGCTAGAAGTATTGTTCGTAAAATTAACAGAATTCTTTATGATAAAATTTAAGATATTAAGGGTGAATTAAGAAGAAAACATTCCTCCCCCTATTACAAATAGAAAACTAACTATATCGATATTCTATTTAATGAAAGTGATATTGAGAAGTTAGATATCCAATAGACACCTGATAGATATCTTGATGTAGACTTATTGTATGGTATCGATTAATTTATTACAAGAAAGAGATCAAGAGCAGAGGAAAAATTGATTACCTACTATTTGATGAACAAACAAATGGAAGGCAAATAATTAAATAAATAGGAATTATAATTCTTAGATTCTTTGAGTCTTTACTAACCAAATGTTTAAGTGACTCAATTAAGAATAAAGGACATGTAGTTTGATGATCTTATTCATTCAGATTTCAAACAATTTGGAGAATTCAGTGCCAGTGATCTATTATTATAATTGAGTTAATTATTTGATGATTAGTTGTTCTTGGATATTTTAAGTCACAAATATTACAAAAAATAAGGAATTTAACATCAATTTAGAAGAAGAGACAATTAATTGTATTTGTAATAATAGGAGAAATTAGTTTGGATTGAAGAGTCCAGATTAAATGATGTAGAATTAAAAGATCTTAAAGAAATGTTACAAATAGGCAATGCCTCAGATCAACATGTTGAATCATTGAATCAAACTGATTATCCTTTGTAGAATGTATATAGTTGGATCCATGCTAAATCAGCTGAAAAGTTTGACTTATCACTTTTGGATTAACATAATTAGGAATTATGGAATAATATATTCAAATGTAAATATGAAAATACAACCGAATAATAATTACATGATGTAGTCAATCTTTTGGTCGAAAGGTACTATATCTTATAATTTCATCCTGTTACCTATCTCAGATAGCTCTTAAAAATGATCTTAACTCATCCCAATTTGTCTGCACTTGATAAAAAAGTAAAAATGTTCAATATATAAATTATAGAATCTTTAATGCTTGAAGAAGACTGTCGGTTTCAATTCTGAGGATATTCTGGCTATTTCTAAATCTGAACCAGATGCCACTGTTCCATCCTATCTAAGTGAAATGTGCTATCCTTATGCTGAGAAATTAAGTATAATTTGATGTACAAGAATTTATATTTAATAATAATAATTATTATTATTATTATTCATTTATACTCCAATTGTTATCACAGTAAATCGCAATTTAATATTATAAAAAATATGTTTTTGTGGAATAATTATATTTATATAACTTAATTTGTCTTGAAATCTATATCAAATAATTATATTTATGAAGAAAGTTGAAACTAAGACCTAATAAGAAGAGAGCTTGCTTGGGATTAACACGTCCACTTAACGAATAGGAACCTTAAAGACTTACTTTTTTCTATGGATATACAAAATATTTAAGGTATTAATTTAACATCAATTGATATTTAGCAAGGGTCAAAATAGCCACTCAACCAAAAGCTAATTCCTAAGGTTCTAAAAGAGCATTCATCACTAACTAGTTACAAAACCTTTATCAAATCTTAAGAACTATACCCTGATCTAAGATAATCATTATGGATTTCCTTCAAATGTAAAATATTGACAATTATTCTAGTCCATATAATCCTCAATTGTTTGATATATTGGTTTACTTGTACTCTTCAATTAACCTTACCTTACATGATGAGCAAAGCCTAAAGCTACTTTGTTGATCCAAACAGAGTTTTCACCATAACAAATATACTTGTGTTTGCTCTTTTGTAATTATTATATTACATTACTCTTTCAATATTTTAGCCTATCTAATAATTTTTGTAGGCTATCGTTTCCATTAAAATTTAAGGTGCTTTGTAAATTCAATTGATGGAACATACACTGAAATTTCCATTACAACGCTCATCTAAGTACAACCCCGGAGATTTAATTAATATGCTTTAAGTTGATGTTTTGTAATCGTCATAATACTTCATCAACAGATTCTAAGTTTATTTAGTACCATATCAACTCTTGGGAGCATTTTTTATATTTTACGTAACAGTGAAGGATAATAGTTTACCACCTGCTATAGGTGTTATAATTTAAGCTATTTTTGGAGTCGCATTTGGATACTATTTTGGGAAGATACAAAACAAATTTATGCATGCTAAAGATGAAAGAATGGGTGGAGTTGATGAATCACTATTACAGATTAAATAAATCAAGTTCAATTGTTATGAAACATACTTCGAAAAAAGAATCGAGAAACTTAGAGCTAAAGAATTAAAATTCTTAAAGTAGCAAGTTCTTTTATTAATTTTTATCTAATTTATGTAGAATATTCTAAGTTTTGCAACATGGGAATGCACATTCTATTTTGCTGATTTTATTACTTTTGCAATTACAACTGTAATCATGTAAAATTCAAGTTAATTGATGTATTTGTTGTAAGCATTTCCTAATCAACTCAAAAATTATTATGCGTCTATCAATTCTATTATTAGAATCACTTCATTTCTAAAAGAAAATCAAATCTAACCATGGAGTAATGATGAAGATAAAGTACATGACATTAAAATAGATGGAACATTTGATTGGAAATATATTGATGAAAACTAATATCTTAAATAAAATTAATAATTCGATTTGAAATTAAATGTTGTGAAAGGCTATTACATAGTAATTGTTGGAAAGTAAATATCATTCATTTATAATTAGTTCTGCTTCAGGCAAATCTACAATTCTTAAGTCAATCTTAAATGAAACGAATTGTGTTTCTGGTTAGATTGTTATTAATGGAGAAATTAGTTTGGCTACCCAAGAACCATGGATACTTAGTGATACTATTAAAAATAACATCATCTATATGAATAAATTTGATGAATTAAGATATAAAAAGGTTATGCATGTGACTGCGTTGGAATAAGATATTAATTAATTTGTTAATAAGGATTTCACTCAATTAAGCGAAAAAGGAGATAACCTATCAGGAGGCTAATAGAAAAGAATCAATCTAGCCAGAGCTGTTTATAAAGAAGCAGATATCTATTTATTTGATGATCCTCTAAGCGCTCTTGATATCAAAGTCAAATGTCATATTTATTAAGAATGTTTTCTTAAATTTCTTCATGGTAAAACTAGAATATTATTTACAAATTAATTGACAAATTTATCAGGAGTTGATTAAATCTATTTGTTATAAAATGATAAATTGGTTCCTTATAATACACAAATTAAAATTGAAGAAGAAAAATTAAATCTAATAGATATCTAATTTGAGAATAATCATTTAGAAGATAAAGAACCAAAGTCAAAAGCATCATTTACATTAATGAGTGAAGATTAAAGAGTTGGAAAAATAGATAACAAAGTTATCAAAACTATATTTTAATTCTAAGGAGGTTTCTGGGCTATTATTGCTGTTGTAACATATTTTAGTGTTCTAATGGTATTATCTACACTGTCAAGCAAGACTCTATCTAATCCACAATTGGACCCTGATGAATTTAGGGAGGTTGCCTTAAAAAGCTTTCCTCTTTTTAACATTCCAATTTATATTGCTATTATCTCCATAACAGGATATTTCTTGCTAATTGGAATTAAGACTAGCTCTGTTGTTCATAAGAATATCTTTGCTTCTTTAATGAAAGCATCGTTTACTTAATTTTACAATTAGATTTTGATAGGAAGATTAATGAATAGATTAAGTAAGGATATCTACAATATTGATATGCTATTTCCTAATCAAATATACAATCTAAGCATTCAATTCACTAATTTGATTATGCCTTTGATTACTAGTCTGATATTTTTGAATTACATAGCTTATCCTATTGTTCTAATATTTGTTATCATCCTCCTCCTGTTTACAATATCATACTATAAATGTTTAACAGAGATGACACGTATTGAATCAGTTTCAAAAAGCCCAGTGTTCACATATTACCAATAAATAATAAGGGGTCTTTTGTTTGTTAGATCCTGTCTTCCTAAAAGGTTAGTTCTCCAAAATCATTACAATAATATTGATTTAGATCTAGGAAATTAAATGTATTTGGCAGGATTGCAACAATGGTTTTCCTAAACATCGAGCATTATTACTAATATCTTTTAAACTATATTATTTGTGGTATGTCTTCTATATCCGAATAATAATCCAGCCATGACCTATTTAATAGTGATTTAAATGTCCAATGTATCTTAATTGCTAGTCTAAGTGGCTGTCAGTTATGGCAACTTATTAATGTATTCAATATCTTTTGAAAGATGCTTACATTTATCAAATGATATTGAATACGATGACTATGCACAAGGTTCTATAAATTCTAAATCAATTGGATCAATTACTCTAACGAATGCTTCATTCCAATATCCAAACAATCAGAAAGATGTCTTATCTAATCTTAGTTTAACAATTGAATCTGGTTAAAAAATTGGAATATTGGGAAGAACTGGAGCTGGTAAGAGTTCTATAATAATGGCCTTGATGAGAATGATTCATCTAACAAATGGGGATGTAAAAATTGATGAAACAGATCTTAATGAATATGCATTGCAAGAACTCAGAAAGAAATTTAGTGTCATTCCTCAGGAGTCATTGATATATAAGGGAACTTTGAAGGAGAATCTTGATCCTTATGGACTAGCGGATGATTAAAATTTAGAAGAAGTGTGTTAAGCTTGTTAACTATATAATATGAAATCCTTCTAAGATTATAAGTTGGAGACAAAGATTTAATAAAGTGGTGGTAATTTGAGTTTAGGTGAGAAGTAACTGATTACGATTGCAAGATGTATGATTGAAAATAGAAAAATTATTTTAGTAGATGAAGCTACTGCAAATATTGATAATCCAACTGAGGAATTAATCAAAAATGTAATATTTAATATATATCAATTTAGATCTTTAAAGTCCATTTCTTAAATTAAACAATGATTACGATTGCCCATAAGGTTTCCACTATTATGGAATCTGATAAAATCGTTGTATTAAGTGCAGGACAAATTATTGAGTGTGATTCACCGAATAATCTACTCAAATAACCCAAGAGCGAATTCAAATAAATTGTTGATTTAATAAACAAAAATTTATGATTCATTCTTAAAGATGATTTATTTAAATAAATCTTATTAAAATTGATTACAAGATAATAATAAATTTATTAATTGGAATTAATAGTTATTATATAAATTTTAAAGGATAGTAGAAGATCAAATGGTCTTATAAAATAATTCATACAAGAGAAATTGTTATAATTTTTCATGATTCTTCATAGAATGACCATCCTGTAATCTTATTTTTATTTTCATCAGTATCCATAAAGTTGATCCTCAATGGCACATTATTAAATGTTTGTTCTGTTGGTTTAGGTGGTTTTAATTTTCTATCATAACAATCCTTCCAATTGATCGTTGCTAACCAAGGATGTTCTCGAACTTCTTCACCATCTAGATTAGCTCCCAATCTTTTGTTTGGATCTCTGTTTAACAGCTTATATATTAATGGTAATTTACAGCTACAATAAACTGTTTTGCTTCATTGGATAAGCTTCTTGGTATTTTTAATGGTCCTTTTCTGATATTATCAAACAATTATTCACGTTCATTGGCATAATATGGAGGAATACCAACCAATAATTCATAGGTCATCACTCCTAATCCATACCAATCGGCCATTCTGTTGTGTCCCTATTTAGATAATATCTCAGGTGGTAAGTATGCAGGTGAACCACAGAATGATTTATTTAATTCTTCATCAGTGACTCCTTTCTTTGACAATCCAAAGTCTGTTAATAGAGCATGTCCTTCCGAATCTAATACAACATTTTCTGGTTTCAAATCTCTAAATATGATGTTGTTTTTATGTAAACATTCAATAGCTAATAATATTTCAGCCACATAAATTTTAGCATCTTCTTCTGGTAACTTCCTCTTTATATCAAGCAATTTGGAGAGATCACCTCCAGGACAGAAATCCATAACCAAAAATAATTTAGATTCTGTTTGAAATGCATAATTCAATTTGACTATGAATGGATGATGCATTACACTCAATACTTCCTTTTCTGTTTCTGCATATTTTAATAAGTTCTATGACATCATTCTTTCTTTCTTCAATATTTTCATTGCAAATAATTTCCTATTTTCTGATCCAATTTTATCCACTAAATATACTTCCCCAAAAGATCCTTTTCCCAATAGTTAATAAAAATTGAACATGTTTGGAGTCATCTTATGTTTCAAAAGATTAACATTCTAAAATTTAGCCAGATTTTAGAATTTCGATATTTTCTTATTAGTATTGTTTTGGTTTGTAACTTAATTCTAAGCATTTGCAGTCTATCCTTCAGTTTGTTTCTCTTTAGTCATAAATTTCATCACGTGATCATACCTACTATTTCTTAAGAGGAAGTTAGTGCCTGGTATTATGGTACGTTCATAGCTCTTAATATAGATCAAGTTTAATTACTTCTTCATTGTGAGCGTACCCATATTTGATATAGATTTGTAAACTATTTGCATCACAACAAATCTGGATGCAATTCTAATTGAAAGAGTTTCTTATATTCGGATCAGCCTTCTTCTCTAATAGAAAGGCTATCATATCTGTTGATCCCATTTAAGATGCAATATGCAAAGGAGTGTTGCCATCCTTATCCTAGCTATTGATATTGGCGTTATGTTGCAGCAAAACATTTGCACATTCTATGAAATTCTACATTACTGTCAAAAAGAAAGGGGTTCGTGAAAATTTGGTTAGTGCATCAACTGTTGCTCCATGTTTTATGAGGATGTCCACTATGTTCAAATTCCCTTCATTTGATGCAAAATGCAAGGCTGTCCAATCATCCAGACCTCTTAATAGTTTAAATGAACTTATTATACTTTGTATCCACATCAAGGTAATATTCGATGGTAGGTATCAATAATGTCTCTATTGATTGTGCGTCCCCCAATTCTGCATAGTCCAAGAGGTGTTCATTCATTTTTTTGGTCAACAATCTATATAGTTATATTTTAGTACATAAAATCATTCCATGCCTAATCCTTGATAAAATTAACCGTATTACCATTCATTATTTCTTGGATTTCCTTGGCTTACTTAATAAATAGCAAATTTCATACCTCTGGAATTCGCATGTCAAAAATTCTGCCTGAATCCTTATCAATCATATAAAACATCCTTTCTTGATTTGGCATATTGTAAAATTTCTATAATTAGTTTTCTTTATGTTATGTATATCGTACTTCAAACACTTATTATAACATTGGAATTTAATCCCTTAAGGTAATAATCTCATTACATCATCAAGTCTATATTTTCAATCTGATTGTTGAAAACATCGCAATTTTCCATCGAATAAAACGTTTAGTTTGAGTATCGAGTTAGTCGACTTGGTCTAAATTCTGGTTGACCTTGAGGAATTTGCATAACCTTTATTTGTAATCGTATATTAATTTTAAATTTAACTATTATAACACGTCACCAACCCCAGAAATAATAATAATATCCTTTTAATATCTCATATTTATAGTAAATCAACTCTTAAATTCATCTCCTTTGTAATAAGTCCTCATTATAAACAATATTTTAAATTGACATATTAATATAAAATGATATAATCTTTATGGAACTCTTGGGTCTTCCATAAATAACTAATATTAACTATTTGATCTAATGAAGTTTAAGTACTCACTTTAATACATGGTTGTTTCATTTTGGAGATATTGACAAATGTTTAATAATAATTTTTTTCTTCATCTAACATAAATTTACTGTATCCTATCGATTATCATATGATTCTATACATTCCTTACTAAGTTTTAATAAATCTGCAACTTCAACTTCAATTTCAATCTTTTAGTCTAAACATTTTTGATCTATTTACTACTACAGTTTGATTTAGGTAGAAATTTAAAATAAAATAAAATTATAATTGAAATAATAGAACCATTAATTTTTTATGCTTTAATTATTAAGGAAGCATTGTCCTCATTTATTTTTGTAAATTTACCAATAGAATGGATTTGAATTTCAAATTCAAGTATTTTAAGATTAAAATAGTTTTAATACATCTTTTTCACAGAAATTTTTGATTTTATTAGAATAACAGATGAATAAATAAATGTAATTAGCATTTGAATGAATTTTATAAAAATAATTGATGGAAAATTAATTATAAATAATCAAATATAACTTACAACTTGATCACTCTTTTTTCGCAATCCAAAAGAGGAACAACTTAAAATAAATAAATAATGATACTTTTTTCTATTTGATGATTTGGCTGTGTGTATTCTTTGAGGTAGTTAGAGGTGAGAGAATATATCTTCATTTTCAACTTGTCTACTTTATAATGTGTTTTGACTCATTGCTCCACTCATTTTTCTTCTTAATTTAGCCTTTAGTTATCTACTCTATGGATTCCAGGATCTTTAGATTAGAGGAATAGTGTTGGTTGAGGAAGTGATAAAGGTAGGAGAAGTCTAATGAGGCTCTGATGAGGTGATTTGGAGTATGGTTTCAAGAGATGAAAACCTCTACATTTTCTTAGATTTGACATTGAGTGCACTCTAAACTCTACTAGTTAAAATTTAATTATCATCTAGATGAGTAGTTTTAACTCTCTACTTCTTTTCAGCACCAGTCCAAATCTTTCTGGATACTCTGTCTCTGATTTACTCAATGAGATTTGTGTCAACCATCAGAAATTAAGTTTTAGCATCAGTAGGCAATTTCTTCTAATGATATAACATATTCTAATGGGCAATTTCAGTCTGTAATAGTATTTTAGGTTTTTATGATCTAATATCATTCTTATCTGGTCTATCATGTGGATCTTTGAATATCTCCTACACAGTTTTTCTTTCAGTAATCATCAACTATGGTTATTCTTTTTATTAATTTTCATGTTAAGACAGTATTGAAATGATGTTATTTTATCTAATATTCATATAATCAGATATTAGAGAACTCTTGTCTTTCAGTAATTTCACTATTTCTGGAAAGTTCTTTTTCAGATTATTGAACTCACTTGCTTCCATAAAATAGGCTGTTGTATTATCTAAGACTTAACAAGAATACAATCGATAAGGAAGAGAATCAATTATCTCTTCTTAACCGACGAATGAGTTATCTGATAATTAACTTAAGATGATCTTCTTCTTCTTTCTACTGACAGATTGAGTAATCATTTCTTCTGCAATATACTTATATAATTGCACTCTACCCTTCAAAATCAAAAAATAGAATTTAGGTTCATCTCCCTCCTTCCATAATATTTCTTATGCTGAGAATTGAATAGTTCTTAGATTCTATATAAACTTAGTGACAGTAAATTTGCTAGCTCCATTAAATAATTTCATAAAATAATCAACATTTGCATTCTATTCCTGAATCTGTTTCTCACAAACTTATTTATAATCATGTTTATTCATTGATATCAAATGCGCCTCCTCTGATACTACTATAATGCTTGCCGATCTTGGTTGATCATATATTAGTGCTTAATCACCAAAACATTATCCTGAATAGTATTGCCACACTTTTTTAAACAATGGAACTCCATTATTATAGTACATCGTATTATCCATTAGCATTCTCAAGGCTAATTCATATTTGTTTAGTTAATTTAATAGAACAGTTTTCTTTTTCTTTTAAGCATTACTTATAACAATATTAGTCTCACTACATTACTATGTCGATAACTCTAAATCCTTCTAAACATCTTCATTCGATCGTTTCATGTATACACCCACATCACCATTCAGTAACAAATAAACTCTATCTCCATACTCTCCTTAATTCATTATTGTTTGGCCAAAACTGTAATATTCATATTTGAAATATTAGGCTGCATACATAGCAAAATCTCTAACCTTCATACTATTTTCACATTATTTCTGTATGAAATCTATTGATGACAAAGAATCAGCCACTTATTCTGCTTAAGCTACTGTATGTAATTAAGTATACATTCTATATACTTATAGTGCTGGTTGTAAATTGATTTCATTCTGTTTACGAATCAAATCATGATCTGGCTGTTATTCTTAGATGATTGATCTTTTAATTTTCATTTAATTGTTAATTTTCCTTTTTTATTTATAAAATTCACACACTTTTTTTTTATATTAAGACATTTCAGGAATTCCAAAAAAACCCCTTGAATTTATGAACACATCATGCTCCCCTTAGATTAAGGTAATTCAAATTGTTTGATTAAGAATATATATTATATTTATCTATACATTATGTTAGTACATCAGATAAGATTTAAAAGTTTGGATAAGACAAAGGATTCAAAATGTATTGATTGTATAATATAGTAAATTTATAAATTAAAACGCAGTAAATATGAAAGTCATTGAATAAATAAAACCTTCAAAATAAGAAATCAATATTTAGTGTAAGGCTCTTTATTAATTACAATTCTTGGTGCCGCGACTCTAGGTTCAACGGGTGGTTTTTTGCCTTGTTGAGTTGGCAGTTGGGGTCTTTTAGGGACTACGGGTTTTTGAGCTGATTGAGGGCGAATTTATTATTGTTGTATTTTTTGATTGCCTTTTGGAGAATTGATGGGTAGAGGTTTGGGTGCTATAATGGATTAAGCTTTGGCAGGATTTTGTTATGGTTATTAAGGGATTTGTTTGATTTTAGGATCCTATTCTTTATTGGCAATTTCTTCTTTAACTTTTCGAATAGCATCTACTTGATCATTTTCTTATCGTTTTTTTTCTGGTTTTGTCCAATCGTAAATGTAATCCAACTAAAGGTTCTATCTTTGTAGTGCTTATTTGAAGAGATTCCTCAAATAATTATAATCTGGTTTTTCTTCGAACTTTAATTTCTTAACATAATTTAAGTACTAAGTCATTTCTTCAGGTAATCCTGAGCAGAGTTGTTCGGTGGTAGTTTTAATTTTCTTTTCTTTGATTAAGACGTATTTGTCATTTTTATTATTGCATGCAAGATTCATCCAGGGTAGAGTACCTTTAGCTAGATAAACAAGAACGTAAGCCAAGCCTTCGAGATCGTCTCTTCTACTTTGTTCATATCCCAAATGAGTATTGATACTAGCGTAACGAGCAGTTCCAGTGAGTGGTTTGTTTTCTTTGAATGGGATATGACCATCTTTAGTTAAATATCTTTTGGCCAAACCCATGTCTACCACATAGAGTTTGGACTGCTTTTTACCAATACCCATGAGGAAGTTGTCAGGTTTGACATCACGATGTATGAAGGATCGTGAATGCATGAGTTCAAGTCTTGACACCATTTGTTCTGCAAGCATGCATACCTGAATTAATATGGATGTTACTGTTTTAATGGATAATTTGCGATGACATTAAGCAAACAAATCTTCAATTGAGGATCCCAATAGCTCCATGACCAAGTAATTGTAATCTCCTTCAGTTGCTGCTCCGAATACTTTTGGAATGCCTTAGAATTTGGATTTAGTCGGTACCTTTATCGAGTTGTTGTGTATCTTAATGAAGGAATGCATAAACTTTGGCTTCATATAGTATTTGAGGATATTGGCAATTGGTTCTTTCCAATTTGATAGCAAATTCCTCTTTCTGCTTATTTTAGGCTAGATAGATCTCTCCAAAAGCACCCATTCCCAGACGTTGGATGAGTTTGTAATTTTATTGTTATAAGTAAGTATTTGATAAGTTTCGGTTGCCCAATGGATTATCCATTATTAATTTACGTTTTTAATGAGAATATTGATTGTAATAATTATATCAGTTACTCTAAGTGCATTCTAAGCCAGTTAGAATAATATTCAGGATTCTCAGAGGACTGATTTTGTAGAAAGAGTGGTAATAAATGAGATTAAATAGGACGTAGTTGATTAATTGGATCTGAATTCGTAAACTCCATTTGTAGATTAGATCAATGCATAAGTGGAATCATTGTTGAAAGTCAATGAAATGCAATAGAACCATTCTGAAGATCCCTCACAATATCCCATCAAACAAGAATTCATACATTCAGTGTAATATTGGCTAGACAAATTAGATAATGATTAGCTCTCCTAAGACTCATCAACCTAAAATGATATCAATAACCTCTAATAAGTCCAAGAACAACTAATAAATCAACCTGATTAGTCTACTCATCTTAGCAGATTGGCTAAATATATATAAATTCAATAAGTAGAGCAACAGTAGCAATCAGAAACACTCCCAAATAACCCCAATTCTAAAGTTGAGGAGACAAACCCTCTGAAATTGATGCTCCTCTATTCCGATAATCCCAAATAATACAACGATGAAATTGATTCACACCAAATCCTTATTACCAATGAACAAATTTTAGATCAACTGGAAAAAGAAAAACAAGATAAGATACTCAAAATGCAGAGTCTCATTATTGAACAACTCAAAGACAAAAAACCAGATCCTATTAAGGAGGAGAGTTTCTTAGAAAGGGATTACATTGAATGGGAAATGAAAACATTGACAAGTAACGACAATTTGAGGGCTAAATGAATATATTATTTAATAAATATATATATTGTGATTCATATTACCAATCAAAAATAAATTTATTTAATATGGAGTATAGACCCCCTATGCAACCAAATAGAGAAATCCCTCAATCCATTTCGCAAATTCAATAGGAATAGAGAATGAAGTTCCAATTGCAACAGATTCAGGCCAAGATCATTGAAGAAAGACCCAATTTCCAAGAAATGCAAGGTGGACAACCTCCAAATAAACCCTGGTTAGGAGAAGATATCTACATGGTTGTATTTCTGCTTACTGTTGAAAATGATCGATTGAGAGAAGAAAATACTCACTTTTAGCAATTACTGAATACGAGTGAAATGAGATACAAGGGAGTGGATTTAGTTGAAAATGAAGTTATATCTCAAAGAGTTAAAATAGGTGAATATGAAAAGAAACTAGCTTTATTGCAAATGGAATGCGAATAATGGAGAGTTAAATATTAAAATAGAGATAAGGAAAGTGAGGATCAGAGATATCAAAATGAACTTTAAAGAAGAATATAAGTGGATAGAGAAATACGAGAACTTACGGCTAGATTCATCGCAGATAGAAATCAATTAGAATAAGAAAATCGATCTTTAAGAATCGAATTAGATTAAATTAAATTGTCAAAATATTCTTTTGAGGACAACAAGAGATAGTGCGAATTCTTGTAAAAAGAAAATTAGAGATTGAAATAAGAATTAGATACTTTAAAGTATGTAAAATGCATTATTAATTTATAGGAAAGGTTTTGATGAATTAGAGTATGTATTGTAAAGTGCTGGAGACTTAGAATAAGAGAATCAGCATCTTAAAATACAAATTGAATAACTTTAGAAATAATTCTAATAATTACAATAACAACAATCCCAAATTGTTCAAAAACCTTAATCTACTAATAGAATTGAACTATGTAATCTAATCCATTATTCACTCTAGCCAATTCTAATCATAATGTTCTGCAAGAAAACAGGAGATTGAAAGATGAAAATGATAGGTTAAGAACATTACTCAATCTAGGAACTGGAAGCTATTCTAAACCATTTATGTGAATTCCATAATTAACATATTATTACAAATATTCTACTTCTTTCATATCATATATTCATCAAATTATTACAAAATAATACACCATAAATAAAAATATTAAATGTAATTTGGAAAGCAAAAAGGCTCTCATCAAGGAACATCTTGGGAGAAACTCAAAAAGTCCATCTACCCAACCAATAAAGCTGAAAGAGAAAAGAGATTAAAACAATTTAGAGATATTGGAATATTTTTAGCTTCCATATTGGTTGTTAGTGTTTTTGAAAAAAAAATATAGAACTTGCTGAAAGTTGATAAATCAGATATAACCTAATTTAGCAACATGTAAAGCTCAATGCATGCAGCCTATTGATTTATTCAATGAATGACGAGATTATATAAACCATCCAAATAATTTTAATCTCTTATGCAAGTCTTCTTAAAATATTATTTTTTTAATCAAATTTATGTGGTTATTTTATCAAACTCTTTATATCAATAAAATGTTCTTGTACAATGTCACGTCAACTTTTGAACCTACTTTCAAGGTTCATATGCCTATGCCTATATAAACATTATATTGTAATCTGAAAAATCACTAATTTATTATAATAATTATTTTCACATCACACTTAATTCTAGTATCCGATAATTATCTATCGCTTAAAGAACGCTGCTTGCAAGATGAGAATATCATTGTTCTATAAATATCTAGACTCAGAATTCAAAAGATATCATTTTACAGTTATTGAAATAATAAATCATAGTATATAAGCTAAAGGTACATCATCTTCGAGAAGGACTTCAATTTCTTCTTCTCTGTCGTCCTTCAGTTCTAGAAAGGTCTCTTTTTAGTTTTTTATTACTTAGCCGTCATAAAACAAGGTTAAATTTTGTTGTCTTAATTTCTATTGAACTTAATTAATTAAATATTGGATTACCTAATTGATATAGGTTTGAGTGTTCAAGTTCTTTATCAACTTGAATTAATTGATTTGGTGAAAATCCATCTGGAATCATCTTGAGAATGAGGTTTACAAGTTTTCTTTCCTTCGAAATAACTTGTTCTTCCAAAATGAAGAGATTTTCACTTTCTTATAGAACACCTTAAATATTTGAATTCAAGTTTACTCTATTTCCATTATACATTAATTCATAATTATCAGGTAATTAATATTCAGTTAACAAAGCCTTTTTAACTAAAGAGAATTTAATTGTATATTAATTGTACTTTTTTTACTCTATTCTTTAAATTCCATCCTTGTTATATTAAATGTGAATAATAACATTTGCATTATTTACTTAATCCTCTTCTTACGAAACAATTTAGTTTTAATATTCAGCATAAAGAGCCACTTCAATTATGCTGTCATTTGATATTCCAAGTTCTTTCAAACTCTTGCCTATGTCTACTGCCCTATCATTATATTTGAGAATATAGGTATCTCCATATTTTTAGATTGATTTATAGATTATGGATTGAGATAAGATTATATTTTCATCTATTATTACTTATTAAGGGATTAGAATATCTGAATTTTCTTATTTGCAAATAATATTTACAATTATGATATTCGTATTTTCTGTTTTACCTTCTTCTTTGAAATTCTCCTCATCGTCTGTAAAGTATGGATTTTCTGTAAAGTATGGATTTTCTATAAAGTAGCCATAACTATGAATGCTGTTAGTAGCTTTATGTTACTCCTTATCGTGTCCAATATTTTTCATTTATTACTCCTTTTACTATTATTAAATCTTATTACAAGGTTATATCTTATTATCATAGATAAGCTTATATTATATTAAGTAATGTTTATTTGCTTCAAAGCCTAACTATTAAAATGTTGTGTTATCAATATCTAATTATTGATTATCATGAAATATAAATTCCACGTTTATGCATTTATTATTTTAATTCTTAATTATATTTTTTAAAGCTCCCAAGGTTTACTTTAAATTAACAACTTTAACTTCTCTATTGGTCTTATTAAAGTCGTTTATGATTGTTATAATAGCTGATTCATCCTTACTTTCTTCCACTTCTACAACACCGTCCATTAGATAATCTTTATCCTTGTCTTTGGGAAGTTTTGGAAGAACCTATCCATTACATTTAATTTAATAATCGGAAATGTTTAGTACTCTATGTTTCTTTCTTATTTCATTGATGTTGTCTTCTAAATTTTGATCAGTTTAAATCTAATACTATTCGGTACATTAATTAAACTTATAAACTAAAGCGATATGTTGTTAACTATTTATGGTCAAGGTTTAGTAATTTGGAATTTGCAATGAATAGATGGTTTCTTTCATATTTTCCATTCTATCTAGTTGAATTCTATCATTTTTAAATATTTAAAATCTCCCTTTAATTTGCAATTGCTTGCGTATTTTCTACTTAATATTTGAGATAGTATCAAATACGGAGAAACGAAACAAGTATAATTTATCCAAATTCTAAATTTATAGATTAGCCTGCATCTGGAATTTATGTACTTTTTTTTAAGGTATTTAAAAAAGGGACTTCGTTTTGCATAACTTATTGCCATCAAGGATGACTTCCACTTGATAATCAGTCTTAAAGTGTTCTGCCAATTACCTTTCTACTTCCAAATAGCTTATGTAAATATTCATAAAGAGAGTCTTGACTTATTTTTTATCTTCTTTCAACTAAAATTGAATGTAGTCAAAATAGGAAAATTACAAAGTTATTTTGCTATTCTATTTTAATTCTAATTCTTCTATAGTTTTATCTGTATTTAACATTTTGTCATCTTGATAGGCAACTGCTAAAGTAGCATCATTGAATCTAAAGTTTTATTTTATAGGATCTATCCCTGATTCTAAAAGGGATTTAGGATCAGCTTGAATCACAAAGATTTATTCAAACTATATGCACTCGAATTTTAATAGCATTAAAATTTATATATAATAATAAATTATAAATTTTGAATCATTCAATTGTTAATTTACTCTATAAAGAACTTTGTGTTCCTATGAGTAGAATCAATTTCGAAAGTTTCTTAAAGTCTATTTTGGTTTAATTTTAAGATCAAATTAGTAGAAGCATTAATTTGATATAAATTTTTGAATTTATTAATAATATTTTAGACAGTCGTATTGCACTTCACCTTTAATGTTATTTCGTCTTATTTATCAACAATGTATAATGTAATTGGTATCAAATTATTATCATTTATTCTGCTCTAATTGATTATGAGACTAGGTTTTTAATCTGTAAATTATATGACATCTCCTTCTTTGTATATGGCAAGTATGTTTTAACTTAATTCAGGTTAAGCATCGCGATGTATCAAACAATAACTATTCGTAGAGCCCTAAAATAAACGTAGAAGATTTTATCTTAATTCTTCAAAAGTCCAATTGTCCTGAACTTCAATAATATGATTAGTCTCTCTATATAATACCAAAACACTTTTCTTGATTATTTCAAAAATAATGCAATCATTATTTTATGCTCCAATTCCTTCAAAGGTATGCCCTTTTGAAATCTATTGATCTCCTAACCAAAGTTAAGTTTGCTACCCTCCAACCAATTCCTATACATATGTATCGATTAAATCATTTTGAGCTACCTTCTTTATAGTCTTCACTTTGGTTTGTTTATTCAGAAATCCTATTTACAACCAAGAAAAAATCTAGCTTTAAGAGATTTCCTTATAGTATATAGTTATTTTCGGTTCCAATTTAATTTCATCTTAATTGGTTAATTGTTTATGAGAACTGTTATAAAAATAAATCCTTTTCTCTTTAAATTAAGGCAGACCTTGTAAGAATTAAAGATTAATAGGAGCATTAATCTTTTTTTTAAATTACTATTTTGGATTGAGGTTATTTATCAGATACAAATCCTACATAATTATTTATTCTAATTTAAGTATTTCATAATCTTTAAGTTTAAGTTCCTAAACTGTTTATTCAGGCAGCAACTCCTAATTTCCCTTTGTTAAAGATACTTCCTCAGCAATCGCATATAATTACTTTAAATACGTAATTAATTCTTTGATTTATACACATTTACTTACTTTAAAACTTTGGGTCTCAACAGAGGATACGATAAGTATGACACTATCTAGTATTTTTAGTTCTAGCTTTTAATTTTGAGGAATAGAATAATTATAATAGTTATCACCCTCGTTATTAATTACTTATTCATTGTATATAAGCTCGAATTCTAATTCTAAATTTAATTTCTATCTAACCTTTTGGTTGATATGCTTAAAATCTTCATTTAATAAGGTCAGAAATGTGTATATTTCAGATTTATATTCTAGTAAAAACGTTGGCCTTGCTATACACCTCAATTCACAATCCTTTAAAATTTATTATTGGTAGAGTGATTGATGAGGTTCCAAGAGAGTTTAACCTGAATAGAGATCCAAATGATAATTTGAAATGGCAAACTCATTATAAATTTGTTTGTTTAGGCATGTTAATTTATCATAGATATTTATTTTAGAAATTTCACAGGATTCTTGCATTTCATTCGTAATTTTTACTTTAACATAGAAAAAGAGCTTAACATTTATACTTGATGAATTGTTGATATTTAGGAAATTGATTTTGAATTTTACATCCAATTTATTATTTTCGTAAAACACATCTACATTATGAAAAGGTAATCTATTCTATTCTCTAATTTTTTCAACCAATTTCTCCAAAGTCTCATTATCATTTATCTCGACTTAGATATCTTTATCTAGATTATCTATGTGAACTTTATAAATTTTTTCCATTTTTATGTAATATTATTATTAAAGTTAAGAGAATATGTGATTCTTTTTATCTCAATTGAAGCATTTAGCATTTAAGATTGCAATTAATAATAGTTCAGATTAGTAATAATAATTATATAACTTGTATAAGGATAAAAGGAATTGGAAGAATAAAAGAAATTAATTGAAATGCTGGAGAACCAAAATTTTGAATAATCGAAGAAAGAGAACATATCAGAAAAAATAGAAATAGATTAATTGAATATTTATTATACTATTATCACTGAATTCACAAAATAGAGTGTATAATTTAAGTTTAGTAAGTAATAAGCTAAATTTGATTCATTATTGAGATTGTTGAAGTGATATTTTGAAAAAGTTTCTATTAAGGTTAGAAATAAAGGGCAAGTTTAAGCAATAAATGTTTCTAATAAATAAAAATACAAAAATTGTATAACATCAAATTAAATCAATCTTCTCTAGGGAAAGATATACAAATAATATTTAAATAAAAAGTAGAATTATAAATTCATAATGATTCAATACTTTATATCTTTGATTCTCCTTTTTTCGACTTCTTGCAAGGTGTGGTATAGTATGAAATGATGTTAATCTATTGTGATGTTAATTTAATGTTCAATTAATGTCACAATAATTATTAATTTGATGATTTAATTATTTCAACTATTTTTTATTAATTAATTAAATGTAGATTTCTGTAACTGTAAATTTTAGTTTGCTATCATAAATTATGTATTTGATTAAGGGTATTAATACTCACTCTCATTTTTATCATAAATATTATAATCTCTCTTTAAAGATACTTTTATATTAATAAGTAGATTAAGCTTCATTGTAATGAAATTGGAGATTAACTGATAATCTTATTTTTTTAAGATAGATAGGATACATACAAGGTCAGATCTTATAGGATTGGTTGGCTTGTAAATAATTTTGTTGGTTAACTCAAATTAATATTTTTCATTAATGATTAAGCCTTAAATTATTGGGAATAATCAAGGAGGAGAACAAAGTTCTGAAGAGGATTTTATTAAAGCTGCAGCATATACTAAAATGATAAATAGAAGAATATCATATGTTTATTCTTTGTATGCATTAGCTGTTCATATTGTTCTAATTGTAGAAGTTTTCAATCATTAATAAATTCCCTCCTAAGTTTGTTCCATAGCATCAAGTGGTTTATTAATTATATAGCATTTTTACCATGGAACAATTATTACTATTTTGAATTTATATTTAACTTTACCACTCTGTGGGGTAGGTTATTTTCTAAGCAAAATGGAAGTAGCTAATACTCTAGCTTTTCTTTTTTAAATATGTTTGTGGTTAGGAGAGCAGCTCCACATAATTTTGCAATATAACACTGATAACTTGATGAAAAAACGACCTGTAGTTCAATAAAGTACATATGATTAGAATGGCGAATAATTAATAATCAAAGCAGATGGGTAATAATCAAACAAACCACAGCGAGAAACTACTAAAGAGATCAATGATTTAGGAGAAACACTTAGTATAGGTACTCGATAAATAAATAATAAATAAAAAGATGAGCATTAAGATGAACGTCAATAGAACTTGGTTGATTGATAATTAATATATATGGCCAAAGCCCATTAATTGATTTATAAAGTAATAATCAATCATTATAATTTACTATTAACATATGACCCTGGATCTAAATATTACTATTTATTTTCTTTATAATTTTCTTATTATAAATTAATTTTTAACATAACATAAAGATAAAGCAATTTTATGAATTTATACTTAATTGTTTATCTAGACATTTTGTTGTTTTCATTTTTAATCAATTTTATGTAGACAAAAGAAGCCTTTTTAATAATAAGTAAATTTTTATAAAAATATTAAAAAGTGCAAAAGTTTAAAAATATATCCTTATTCCTTAGGAAGGTTTTAAAAAGTCTTTTTTAAATATTTTATCTATCGATATATTATATCTCATTCACGGTTAATGTATCTCAAAGGGACATTATAAAATAGATTATGATGTTTTTAAGAAGAATGATTACATTTAAGTTAAGAGTTGAAATTCCTATGATTTGAAATAATTGTGGATTATTATAATTCTAAAGGGAAGGTAATTTAGGATTCGGATCATGATTAAGATATGCAATACTTATTATTCTTATGATGGAGCTTTGGTTGAGGTATTAGAATGTTTCTACCAAAAACAAAGATTTTATAGGTGTAAAGTTTAGGTAAAGATTTTTTAAATAATTTATTTTTTTTGTATTGATAATAAAAATTTTATAACGAAATGAGTGAAGAAATAGAACCTCATATTGCAAGGAAATTCGAGATTATATCAAAATTGGGGAAGGGTGCTTATGGCATAGTGTGGAAAGCAGTGGATAAAAAATTGAAATAGGTATTTTGAATAATTATTGAAGGTCGTTGCGCTAAAAAAAGTTTTTGATGCCTTTCATAATGCCACTGATGCTTAAAGGACATTTAGGGAGGTGATGTTTTTGTAGGAATTAAATGGCCATGAAAATATAGTGAGATTGCTGAACATCATAAAGGCTGAGAATAATAAGGATCTTTACCTGGTATTTGATTATATGGAAACCGATCTTCATGCAGTTATTGTAATGATATAATAATAATAATTACAAGCGAGCTAATATATTGGAAGAGATTCACAAGAAATATATAGTTTACTAAACTCTGAAGGCATTAAAATTCATCCATTCTGGAGAATTAATCCACAGAGATTTAAAACCATCCAATATTTTATTGGATTCCGAATGTTTAATAAAAGTAGCCGATTTCGGATTAGCCAGAAGCTTAGCTCAAGCAGAAGATGATAGTACAAGATTAGATTTAATATATTTGTAGGTTAAATAGTGTTAACTGAGTACGTAGCAACAAGATGGTATAGAGCACCTGAGATTCTGTTAGGATCTACTAAATACTCCAAGGCAGTTGATATGTGGTCAGTTGGATGCATTGTAGGTGAGTTGGTTGTTGGCAAAGCCATTTTCCCAGGGACTTCAACTCTTAATCAGATCGAGAGGATTATAGAACTATTAGGAAAACCAAGAGCAGATGAAGTAGAATCACTTGATAGTCCCTTAGCAGCCAACATTTTGGCCTCTATAAATGCATCCAAGAAAAAATAATTCAATACTTTTTTCCAAGGTGCTTCAGATGAAGCTTTGGATTTGATTAGAAGATTGTTGTGCTATAATCCAAATTAAAGATTGACAGCAGAACAAGCATTGAAACATAAATATGTAAGAGACTTTTCCTCACCAGACGAAGAGATAGTCTGTTAACATCCCTTAAGGATTACAATGAATGACAATAAGAAGTTTACAATCAAAGAGTATCGAGAAGCTTTGTATGCAGATATTAGTTAACGAAAGAAGGAACAACGAAAGAAATGGTAAGCCAAGTATTTGGCATAATTGGGAGTTTCTCTTGATGACAAGCAAAATCAAGTTCAATAGGCCCCAGAGAAAGATGATCATCAATTAGAGCAGAAACTTTCACAACCAGATCTCATTCAATAACAAATTTATCAGCAATAATTGTTGTTGCAACAGTAACGGAAGGCTTAGAGACCACAATCAGGTTAAATGGGTGGAAGACAATCCTCAGTTGAAATGCCAAAATAATCATAGCCATCATAACAAGCCACTCAATAACCTACACATCATAAGAGTAGTTCTATGATTTAATCGATGCAAACTAAACAAGGATATTATTATCCTTTTATTTAATAATAGATGGCTGCACAAACTAATAAGGTCAACAAATCTGCTGTTCAATCTTAACAGTAATAACCTTAACAAAGACCATCAACCAGCTATTACTAAAAACCTCTGACTTAAGTCTCAACTACATCTGTTAAGAAATGACAAGTTTAATATTATTATTATATCACAAATAACTCAATTAATGTTCTTCATTTTTAAATTACTCTTTTTCCATTAACAGTTTAATATTTTATTGATCTACTTTAGGTAATCAAATAAATAATTTAGAATATTGAGTTTTATCTACATACTATTATATTTTAAGATCTCTTTAAGACAAAAAACAATAGTTAGATCAATATATTGTAAGAGAATTATATGGTTATCATTTTAATATTGTTTATATCCCTTTTAGAGACAGGTCTGATCTTATCAAACTATGATTTATCTGATATCTATTCGTTATACATATTTTTAATTATACGAATTTCTTGGAAAATTTAATTTAATTTAAAATAAAATTTAATAATGATTTGACATTTTGGTATTAGAGAATAAGAACATATTAATATTACTTATACATTTAATATAAACATTATTCTACTCCTTATGCATCACTCCGTCTACTTTTATCTCTTTAAAGGTTCTAAGTGATTGAAAATAGATTTTCTTATTGCAATTTTTTTCAAAAAATTACATTGAGTATTGCATCTCTAGCTTTCTCTTGGAGTTGAATCATCTTCAAGTTAAAAGTTGCTGAGCTTTTTTCCGGCAATTTTAGTAAGAAACGAGGATTGCTATGAAGGATTGGTTATTGGACTTTGGGGTGATCTTGGAGTAGAAAAAGGACTACTCTTACCTATGGGAGGAGTTAACATAACATTCTGATTCGTAATTGATGCCTTCTTGTTCTTCAACTTAAAAACTTTAAGATTGCTTAAATTTTATTCCAAGAACCAAGGATGAATCAGTGCATCTTATAAATCTATTCTTTTAGATGGATAAGGTTATAGGATACTATTAATAAACTATAATCCCTTTGGACTCAAGTTTAAATTACTAGTTTTGACTTCTCCTTTATAATTTTATTAAACTTTCTGGTGAGTATTACCTTCAAAAGGTATTGTACCACTCAAGGCACAATACATTATAATTCCAACACTATACAAGTCAACTTTTAAATCATAAGCACAATCGTGCAGGATTTCAGGAGCTACGAATCCGACACTTCCACATCTGTGGAATAAATATTTAGCTTCTTGGTTATAAAAGTCAGCTAATCCATAATCTGTAACACAAAGACTGTCGAAATTTCCTTTTTCACGAAATACAATATTATCAGGTTTCAAATCCCGATGGAAGATTCCAAAACTGTTAATGTGATTAAGAGAGACCAATAGCTTATAGATAATTTAAGCTGTCTGTTTTTCCGAAAGAGGAGCATACTTATCAAGGTACGAACTAAGATTTCCACCTTTAAGTAATTCCATGACTACATAGATATAGCATTATGTTTCGTATAATTCCAATAATGACACTGTAGATTCATGATAGATTGTTCTTAGGACCTTTATCTCCTTTAATAATGATTATTTGTCTAAATGAGAATTTATAAATGATTTTTCGAACATTTTTACTGCGAAATAATCATCAGTTTATTTTTTCTTGGCTGAGTAGACCTAATAAATGGTTATAAATCATATATACCTCTGCGAAGGCACCTTGTCCAAACTTTTTTACTAGTTAGAATTTCATTCTGAATTCTTCTTGAACAGTGTATCGTTTTATGATTTTAATCAAATTTTCTATGTCTCCTCTTATAGCCACGAGGTTTTGGCCTTAAGATAGTTCGAGAGTGCTTGTTTATTCTCTTGGATTCTTAATTATTTTCAACGACGCATTTAAATAACATATCCATTTCAAGTCATTCTAAAAATAATGGTCTATTATACTTATTTAGTATTGGTGAGTATGAATTCATTTTTTATTTAGAGAAGTTTCGTTTTCCATTTGCCATTGTTGATTTAAATTTTGAGATGGGCAGAAAAGGTGATCGATTAAGTATCGCAAGGACAGGCTTCATAACACCAGGTTGGAAATCTTGTATCGTAAGTCTCAGAGAAAAAAGATTAAGTAGCAGCCATATTGTAAATATATTATAGGAATTAAAAAGCAAATGCAATTAGCTTTGTATTGTAAATAATTTCAGACAGTAAACATGTCTATATTATTGTAAATAAATTATGCTTTTGATTTTAATTTAAATTATTTCTTTGTTTGTTTGGTAAAATTTACTATTATTGATGACGCATTAGGTAATTAATAATTAAGGTTGTATGGTCAGCAATTCCATTTCATACACATTATAAAATCTAATATTTAAGAATATAGAGAATTATTAAATACTAAGAAAATAATTTATAATGAGTGCTTCTAATGTTTATCATGTTGACTAAAACGTAATATTTGTGCTGAAAGATAGTTCATCAAATGATAAATAGAAACAATAAAGTATTCAATTTACCAAATATAGTCCGCAAAATCAACAAGGAAAAGTTAAAAATAATCTTGCAAATTAGCGGATGCAAAGCAGCTCATTCATATTCTCTTTGTGAGAAGATCTTTGAAATGATATTCAGTAAATTGTTGGGTACAAAAACACTCAATACTTTTAGAAAATTTTGATAAACAAAAGAACCATCAACCATTAAATGGATAATCTAATAAACAAGTAAACTCAGCCACAATAACTGAAAAACACTTCAAAGAATTAGTATTCAACTCTGTATTTGAGAAAAAATATATCCGAGAAAAAGAAGACCTTTATAAGGAAGATTTTTAAATTGCATGGAGTTTGACAGAAAAAAAGCAGCCACTTATCATCCTATTTGGTGGTACATCAGGTACTGGTAAAAGCACAGCCAGCAGTATATTAGCATCAAGGTTTGGGATTTCCACAGTCCTGAGGTATTACTTTATCAAATGTAAGCACTGATTCCATAAGACATATAATGAGAAATTTCTTGTCGAAAGAAGAAAACCCTGTATTGTTTGCAAGTACTTATGAGGCTGGTAAGACATTGCCTGATCTGAATATCAGTGATCAAAGGAGAATAATCAAAGGATACAAGGCTTAATGTGAATTAGTTTAATAGAGATTAGAACATGTAATTAATACTTTTGATGAAAAAATGGATTCTATCATCATTGAAGGAGTACATCTGACCCCTATTTTTATGATGAAGATTATGAAAAAGTACAAGAGAGTTTTACCATTTGCAATATGCATTAAGAAAGAATCAAAACATAAGGAGAGATTTGCAGTGAGATCAAAATATATGACTCTGGATTCCAGACATAATAAATATGTTGAGAATTTTCAAAATATTAGATTGATTCAAAAATGGTTTTTAGAAAAGGCAGATGAATTCCTAATTCCTAAAGTAGACAATGTCAATATTGATAAAAGTATAGATACCATACATAGAACTATTATCTAATATATGAAACATATATCAGATGATCAATCTGTTACAGAACTTAAAAATGCATTGCCCATCTATGAAGAATTCAATAAGGTGATAAGTGATGCATGGAGTTCAAAGGAAGTAAAGGATTATATCCCATGGTTAAGTGAATAAAACTGAGATCTATGAGCAATTCTTACAAAAGATGAATGAACAATAGGCAGACACCAATACAACCATCACCTAAGAAACAGACAAAGTAAACCCAAAAGTCTTGATTTAATAATCAGTTCAAAAATTCAATGAAATCAGTTTCAAAAATGAAAATAGAGATAATCAAAACAATCTAACTAATACAACTGAAGTTAATTATATAGTGGATGATCAAGATGAGAAAAAGGAAAATCTCAATCATATAAGTGATCAGGAGGATCAAAATGAAGAGAGAAGGAGAAGAAATCAAGATGATAATGCCAATCCAACTTTTAAAAAAACTAAATCATTGAAAACATTGATCACTTAAAATGAGAGTGAATAACAAATCCAAGAACCCATAAAAGAGTAGAATAGCAAAAAGTAACTGAAAGTGGCATTTCAAGAACCTGAATTTGAGAAGGAAGAGTAGGAGTAAACAGAGTAAAGACCTCATAGAACTGATTATAAAGGCATCTTATATCATTTGACTAAACATAAAAGAATCTTCTTAAGTAAAAAGACTAAACCATCAAATCTGGTATTTATAAAAAAGATGATTTCTAATTATAATAAAAGTTATCAAAGTCATGACAGAATCAAATTAATTCAGAATAATGATGGTAGTTACTGCTTATTTAAAATGAATGTATCAAAGTTCATTAAGAAATCTGATTCAAGAGAAGAGTCTTCAAGTGAACCTGATGATAAGTATTAAAAAACATTATATAATTTAGTGAACAATCAGTTGTGTAATAGGGGAGATCGCTTATGACTTTATCTAACCTTCCATTCAGTGAAAGAAGAGATTAATCAGATGGGGATTCTGTGAGATTCAGAAATGATGTCAATAGCGATGAAGAGGAAATTGAAAATGAGAATGAAAATGAAAATTCTGTGGAAGGTAATTTAAATTGATCCATACAATATTAGCATCTAGTTCTGATGAAGAGGAGGGTAATCTGGAGAAAGTTAAATTGAAAATGAATGACGATGAGGAAGATTACATTGAACTATAAAAGATTATTGAGGAAGATGAACAAATCAATGAGTAAGATGAAATCATGGAAACTCCATTATAAGTTTAATTACTTGATTAATAAGATTATTAAGATCAATCCCCTTGATATTATACAACTTACTTATATCATTATTGAATATAAATATCCTATTATTCCTTTTTTAGTGGAATAAATTCTTTCAAATACCTCTGTTTTAATTTATTATAATTAATCTATCATATTAAATTTGAAAATTTGGAGTTTTCAATTTAGAAATAATAAACATCAGATTTAATCCTTTTAGGTAAATCCAATTAAAATCTAGAATTAAATGTGGCCATATCTTTTGATTATTAATTCTCAAGAATTTCTAGAAGAGTAAACACTTTAAAATGAAAATTAAATAATGATAATTCTCATTAATAATATTAAACTCAGATGATTCCTACAATTATTCATTTAGTGCAATTGATTGTGCACACATACTTTATGTATATCAATTTTGACTCAAAATCAATCGAAGAATTCTGGAACTAAATAAAGTACTTGACAAATATCAGCAATTTGTGCATGTACTCCTTCCTCATCCCACAGGTTGTTGAAGACTTCAAATTCATCCGTAGAAGAGGGTGGCTCATCAACATCCCAAGACATCACACTTTCACTCACTATGCATACTAGTGCATGAATCCAATTATATTCATAGTCATGACAATGTTTTGGACTATGTTTCTCATCGACCCCAAGTTGATCTTCGCCGATAGAGATGTTAGTTAAATTGACATGGTCCTCATGTGTTATGTTCATGGAGGAAACTGGATCTTAATGTAACACTCTTGACTATTTTTAGGCAACTCAACCAATTCGAAAAATAGCCTCATTTAAAGATGAGAATCAAAGGATTAATCTACTTTGTCTATGTAGTACTCTACTTTGGAATTTATGGTATATATATATATAATATCTCGAAAATAGGCCTCCATTATTTGATTTATGAATAGCATGTCTATGGCTTCCAAGCATTACTCTCTAAGTTTGAACTCATTTCCATGTATGCCATTTTATTCGCCACTCTGTTTGGTTTAGATGTTGTTTACAATAAAGTGTTATTCAAGCCACGCCATAACTTTGTATAAATCAAAAATCATTGACGTTCATTAACTAATTATAATATATCTTATAATATGTAATAATCGTTAATTATTATTAATAATTTTATTTATTATTAGAAATTTAACAAAATATTATTCAAGCCAATATGATCATTAAGTCAATAAATAGAATATACCAAATAGCTGACCAAAGGTTAATATAGATTCATCAAAATAATGATTATAATTGCTTTAATCAATTATATTGTTGATAAGCTGGGTGTTAAGGTGTAATGGTCTATAACCTCAAGAACCTAAAAATCAAAATATTTAAATGTAATTCCTTTCTACTTTTTAAAATAAACTGCTGATTGATAAATAAAAGATTAGATTGATCATTATACAACAAAGGCTGTTAGATATCTTAATTAAAAATAGAGAATATAAAGTATGTTAATTTCAGTATACAAGGTTGATTACAAATTATACCAATCAAATATTAATAAAAAGGAATGCTATATTTTAGAATTCAGAATTATTATTAATTATTTTCTGATATATGGTTAGTTAGAACAAGTCTGTAGTTTAAAATAGGGTTTCCAAAGTTACCATAATAATCATCCATCTGGAATATTGAACAAATTGTAAATTAACCTGTTCTAATTGAGTTTATTTCTAAGAAGGATAAACGATATTTTCTTAAATAGTGATTATAAAATTCTTAAAAGTTTATAATATTAACTTAAATATATAGTTATGAACAAATTCAGTCCAAGTTAAAGGTCAGTCTTCTTGTGGCACTACAGTTAATTCTATCCTTCTCTTATTCATCTTTGGGCTCTTTGATTTTTGTAGTTTAAATTGAAGGCGAATAAACTTTTGGTTATGGTGTCTACAACAATTCTTTTTGCTCAATTATTTTTTATTCTTCTCCCACAATTGGTTTTTCGACAGAATTCTTTGCTTGTATAGTAAAACTTTCGAATAATTTTTCGATTTCTTATCCATGCTTCATTTATATCGATCTTGTTTCTATTATAAAAGAACTGCTTTTTTTATTTCTTTCCTTTGGTTTCTCCTTCATCTCTCATTGGAGAATTATGTTTAGAAACCGATTCCTTAATTAAATTCTCAATCTCTTATTCGAATTCCTAGTTACTTTTCATTATTTTTATTTTATTGATTGATAAATTTTTATTGACAAAATTTGAGCAGGTATTTAATCATAATATATTTATAATTAATTTTCCATATTAATGAAGTGACCTTATTTTTCTATTCACACGTCCTCATATATATATAGTCATAATAACTAATATATTAAGGTTAATAGCTGTAATCACTTGGGATTTGTGAATTGATTATTAATTAATAGTTCTATTAAGGAAATAAGAAATTAACAAATATAGTGTATCAATTATCTTTAAAATTACATGAATCATATTTATATATACTGTTATAAATATGTAAAATATAAGATAAAAAACAATAATATATTGTATGATATTAGAGTTGCTAATATGCTCATCGATTTGATAATCGTTATTAAAACAATTGTTTTATCAGTTTTATTTGATCAATAATATTAAAATTAATATTAGCTCAACACATCATGTCATTATTTGCTAATTATGCGAGGTTGAAAAGAAAGACGTTTTGGGTTATGAGATACATCGAGGTGACACAAGAAGTAAGTATACCGATGACAGTAATAGGGAATACTGGTGTATAGAGACAGAAAAGAGGACAAACAAAATAAGGCTGAACTTAAATTGATTCATTGCAAAGTGAAAGAGTTATCAACCAATAATGGGTTTTAGATATAAATTATACATGGCGATGATTCTTTGAAAATAATGACTCACACAAACCAGGAACATAAAATAATTGTATAAGCAATCACTTAGATTAAATAAAAATCTGAATAGAAATAGGAAATCCAAGTGCAAGCGCAAGAGCAATTCTAGTAAGTCAGATAAACCATCGTGCCTTCAATTATAATTCAACAAGTAAAACCACCCACATTCCAACCCGATAATGATTTGATTAAGCAATCTCAAGGGGATCAAATTAAAGTTCAAGCATAGCAATTGATAAAGAAATTTGAGTCTTAATAGCTAACCTTAATAAATGTGATCGACGGCATATTTTTCTACAAGACCGAAAAAGCAGAGAGAAATAATGAAGAAGCTGAGACTAAGTCTAACATAATGAGTTTAATTTCCGACGAAATAAAAAATGTTGGATACTTATTAACAATCGCGATAGCCATCATATTCTTTACTTTGTTATCCATATTGGTCTATCTACTATTGAGTCTCGTGGACAATAGAACCTACACTTATAGCATCCTTATAACATTGAACATAGTAATTCTTCCATTGTTGTTCAAAAAGCACACCCCTCCAAAATAAACAGAAAAAGTGTAATAATTCATGGTGTAATGTAAATGTCTAATGAATGTGGATTACAATGCATTGGTGTATCTGATTAGTAAATTTGACGTTAGAAAAGAATGGACTCCAAATCTGCTGTTGATAAACAATGATAAGAATTTGATTACGGCATTGTATTCAAATCAATTGGTTGAGAAGTTTACCTAAACAGTATTTTACGATGAAGATACATTCTATGTGGTTGAGCACTTTCATGTAAAAATCTTGAGATTATTTGTTATCAAATATCTGTTTGATGAAGACAGTGTAGAAGTGAGATGTATTGCTGACAGTACTCAAATGCAAATATTGCCCTGTCTTAAACAGTTTATCAAAATCCAAAAGCAGAACCCAAAAAGCATTTTAATAGAATACCAAGCGTCTAAGACATCAGGTGATTAGATGTCTGTTATTTAATCAGAAATTATCTACAAATAATCTGATTATTCTAGAATTACTCAATCTCCTAATTAATCCATCTCTGTCGAACAACAACCTCCATCCCTTCCATCTAACTCTCCTAGACAAATTTCGCAATAACTGCAATTGCCTTAAAAGCCATAACAACCCTCATAACTACAGTAGCTATAATAACCACAATAACCGCAGTAGTCTTATCCTCCAGAAATCTAAAAGATATTTGATATGACTATTGAGGCTAAAAAATAATTAGAGTCTGTCTATCCTTTAGGTCCTTCTTGGTAATAGAAGGAAGACAAAGGAGGGTTCTTGATTCACACAAGATTCGACGAAGCAACAGGACAGACTATGAGTAGAGGGGAAGGGATCTTGCCTTATACAATCCAAGAGATTTTTGAGATCATTGAGAAAGTTGAGAAGAGAGGAGATTATGATTCTCTCTTTGATTCAGTATACATATGTAATTTATGATAGGGATACATGGTTAAAAGATTGGATGGAGATACAGGCATAGTGTACTAGAGATTTAAGACCATTAAAATTGTTGTGAAAATCAAGAGATTTTGTGTTTGCATCGAGAGTATTTCGAGAAGAAAATAGGTGGGTGGTTATAGCAAAATCAATCGAGTATCCTGAATTACCTCCAATAAAGGAGTCAGTAAGAGGGGATTTAAAGATAGCTGGATGGATTTTATAAAAGGCTGATTAGGGAACAAAGACTTGTTTCATCACAATGGTGGATCCAAAAGGATCTATACCAGCTGCCATAGTGGCTAGTTCTGCTAAGGAGCAAGGACAATGCGTCGAAAAAGTGAAGGCTCTGCTAGACAAAAGAAATAAAAAATGAACACTTAATTGTGAATTAATTTAAAAGTTTATAATTATTCAAATTCGCGAATTCTTAAAATTATATATAGATTTTTCAGAATTCCCACTTTCCAGAAATCGATATTTATTTTAAACTCAGTTCTAAATTTAATAATATGTAAAGAATACACCCTGATTAGGAGAATAAAGGTTTAAAGGTAGTGAAATCAGCCACAACCAATGTCTCATCGAGGACCTTTTAGAATAGAAAGGTTGTTGACTTAGTTTTTGAAGACATCCATTACTCAGTTCAGACTGGAAAAAGTAATCACATAAAATAGAATTAGCTGAGAGAGTTATTTTGGATCATGTATCTGGGATTTGTCCAGGAGGATAAACTACTGCCATTTTAGGGAGTTCAGGAGCTGGTAAAACATCTCTCTTGAATGTTTTGGCCTGCAGGATTACAAGCAATAAGCATTGTAAGCTAACTGGCGAATTGTATGCAAATCAGGATAAATATAATTACGACAAATTTAGTGAGTTTGCTTCTTATGTAATGCAAAATGATGTTCTTTTGGAAACAATGACTCCAAAGGAAGCCTTTACGTTTGTATCTAGTTTGAAATACAGCGATGAGGAAACGAAAAAGTTGAGAGTAGAGGAAACCATTAAGAGCATGAGATTGGAGAAGTGTTAGAATAGCAGAGTGGGAGGAGCAATGGTAAAAGGAATCAGTGGAGGAGAAAGAAAGAGAACATCTATTGGTTATGAATTAGTTTCGAATCCAAGTGTTATACTTCTTGATGAACCCACTTCAGGCCTAGATTCATTTACTGCATTTTAAATTATGTATTAATTGTAATTGAGTATTTAGACATCAATTAAACTTACTTGCCAAAGATTAGGACAAAACTATTATTTTTACTATTCATCAGCCAAGTTCAGATATCTTTTTATTGTTTGATAGAATAATGCTATTGGTTTAAGGGAAACTAATTTACTAAGGAGATAGATGTAAAATTATTAGTTATTTCAAATCTTTTGGATTCGAGTGTCCAACACATTCTAATCCTATGGATTATCTAATATCTATTACTCATAGTGAAGACCCAAAGAATGTTGAGGCCTATTCTCTTTATTTTTAGAATTACGAATAACAATTGGCTAATGAGATAAGATAAGAAATTAATAATCGGAATCAATCAATCATAACATACAAGTCAGTAGAAACTACGATATCTTATTAGATAGGATTGTTAACAAAAAGATGCTTTGTAAATTTCAGCAGAGATGATATGTAAATGAATGCGAGAGTAGGATCAGCTATATTCTAAGGCTTGTTGCATGGAGGAGTGTTTTGGAAGGCTGCCATGGAATCGGAGACTATCTCTGATGTAAGAAACATTGAGGGATCATTGTATTTCCTATGTGTCAATTTTGCAGTAGGATCTATGATGCAAGTAGTACTGGGTTTTGCTGTTGAGAGAGAAGTGTTTTTAAGAGAGGAGAATTCAAAACTCTATTCAGCCTTCTCATACTTTATAGGGAAGTAATTTGTTGAAGTCCCCTTCTGTATACTACAACCTCTGATTCTACAGCTCATATCTTACTGGATGATAGGTTACAACGATCAAGATGCATCAATAGTCATAATCAACTTCTTTATTTGTATTTTACTTTGCATTTGCTCAAACTCTTTGGGGTTGATGGTTGGTTGTGCATTCAGGGATATTAAATTAGCATTGACAGCAGTACCAATTATAATGATGCCAGTGATTTTATTGTCTGGTTACATGGCCAATTCCAAGAATTTTCCAGTGTGGTTTGGATGGTTACAGTATCTGAGTCCAGTACGGTATGCTTATGAGGCAATTTCATTAAACGAATTCACTAATCGTAATTTCTAAACTGACCCAAGAGATCTGTATGATTTTCATATTGGGATGTGGAATTGTATCTACATCCTAATTGGATTTATTGTTGGATTTAGAATATTTGGATATTACTTTTTAAAAGGATTAAGGGAAAGATTATAATGATAATTAATCTATTTTTGTATTATTATTTATTCAAATATTTGTATATACGGTAAATTAAATTAATATATTAACTCAATCAAAATTGTATTAAATTTATGTCAATATATATAACATCATTTAAGTATTCATTTCTTATTGATCAAGACACGTATTTTCCCTTGTGGCAACGATTGACAGGACCTAATAAGAACTGAGTATGGATTGGTAATGGAATAGTATTAGCCATCGATTTGGAAATATGTTCTAAGTTATTCATTCTATTTGAGTGGTCCTCCACTTTGACTTAATCTGGTAGCCTATCCAGGAATCCATCTTTCTGAGCCTAATCCTAAAATAGAGTTGAATGAGAGTATTTCCAACTTCCCATCAAAGACAGAAGGAATGTTGGAATAGATTTAACTTAATTTTATTAAGCATTGAGCCATATGTTTTTCAATCCTCCAGCATAGGAGTTGATGTTCAAACACAACAAATTAACTGGATCTCCTGGCACTACTATTTAATTGTTGTGCTTTGAAATCAATGCAGTTTCTAAGTTATCATCATTAACGTGATGGATGTTCTCTATAGATTGGTTAACTTTGGGAGTGTTGAGGAACATCTTCTTAAATCCTTCCCAACAGTAGACGCACTTGTTACAACATTGATTGGATGTCCTATATTTATCAAATCCAAATCCGATGCGTGCATCTACTCCAATACTAAAATAATTAATCATCTATTTGTAATATCTCTGATCATTTAATTGCAACTTCATCTCATTTGCCCCATTTTCATTCCTTCTGATCTCACTAATGAATCCATCCTTTTCAAATATGAGCATATCTACTTACTTCTTTTAGTCTAATATCCACATCCCAGACATCGAAAAAGGACCAACTCCATCAACCCACTATTCCACAAACCCTCTCAATACCAATTACATCGTTGGGCACTGAAGTTCCCCATCCCAAAGTATTCGCAAAATCGTTCCCAGTTCCAAAAGGGAATGGAATAATGATGCATCGATGGATGTTCACTTGATGTTGTAATAGTAATTCCACTATCCACATAATTGATCCATCTCCTCCAGCCATCACTACATGGATGTCATCTGCTTTCTATTTCATTATCAACTACAACCCTGTCTCTCTTGATTCGCTATTGCAGATATTATAAAACCTCACTCTGCAAATTCTATCCCTGATATTGAAACCAAGTTCTTTTTACTATCATATTTTTGAACTTACATCAAGTTATAGGAATTTTTAACCTCTATTTCCACCACTCCCAGCGTTATATAAAAGATGATACACTTATTCCATAATTAAATATAATTATATTCTTTCGTATCCTCTCAAAAGAGCATTGTATTTATTTACATTCTGTGAATTATTATTTCAACTAATTAAAATTTTGATTAACAATAAATTTAATTTTATATGAGCTACACTCCACAGCAACAGGAAGAAGTTAGAGCAGTTTATCAAAGGAATCAGCAACTTGAGATGCAAGTCAAAGCCTCTGTGAATGAAGTACAGCAACTTAATCAAAGATTGCAAATGTAAGAGCAAGCCTTCAAATAATCATAATAATAGTTGAATCAGCAATTGCAAAAACTATCCCAGGATTTATCAATCAAGACTCAGCAGTTAGCCAATACTGAATAACAATACAAAAGATAATTGGATCATGCAAATGAATAATTGAATATCGTTAAATAATAAACTCAATTGAGACTAGACTAACTTTCACAGGAATTGAAACTAAAATCAACAGCCTGTGACAAAGCAACTAATGAATTATAAGCATGCAAGAACATTGAAATATTGCTTTTATAGAAAAATGCTGAAAATTTGAATGTAGTTAAATCATAATAGCTTGTATAACAAGATGCCAATGCCAAGAGAGTGATTGAAGATTTGAATGATAAATTGAGAGTCTTTGCAGTTCAATCTCAAAAACAAATTGGACAATTACAATAAGAATTAGCTATCAAAAAATAAGAAATCGATCGACTCAGTTAAGAACTCAATTCTAGAAAGAATGAAATCTATCAACAATAATAAAAGATCGAAGCCACCAATATCGCTAAGAACAATCAGATCTCGTAGTTAGAATCCTTGTCTAAGAAGTAATTGCAGGAGTACAATGACAAACTCAATCAGTTCCAATCTCAAGCCTAAATGAGAATCGATTAACTCAATCAAGACATCAGTAATAAGACTGCTATGCTCGAGAAAGCCAATCAGGAAATCGCTCAAAAGAGAACAAGAGATCTAAGCCAATAATAAGCATTTTGAGTAAGTTAGCAACCAATACCAATCGAAAATTTAAGAGATGATGGGCAGATTGAATGAGCTTCAATTGCAGGCTGAGAAGGAGTAAAATCAATTTGGAAGAACCAAGGATGATTTCTAAGTCAAAGTTCAGAATCTATCCAGAGACTTGAGTATTCAATAACAACAAAGCAACTAATTTGCGTAGGCCATGCAAAAAGAAAAACTAGTAATTAAAATAAGAAATCATCAATCTGCAATAGCAAATAGCTTAAAAGCATTAGCAATATAGCGAATAGAAATCTTAAGCTGATGCTTAGATCAATAAGTTGAATATAGAAATCAGTAAGTTAAAGACAGACTTGGCTGTTAAACAGCAATAACTAGAATCAAGTGAGTAACAATTCAACCAGTATAAGATGACAACGACTAAATAGATTGACTCTATGATTCAATAATTCGAGTAGAGATAAAATGAAATTTCATTAGGATAATGAAGTCTAATCTAACAGATTGCTTGCTCAAAATAAATAAATGCTTGAGAAAACGGTTGAGGAACACAAGAAACAAATAGAGTAGTTGGACAGATTTTGGAATGATAAGTATAGATAGTTAAGTGAATAAGGTGGATAGGACTAATAGAGGATGACATAACAGTATTTGACTATTATTGCTGAGAATGAGCGAAAGTTCTAGAATTTGTTCAAGAATCAAGAATAATCATATTTGTCTTAATTGGAAGCTTAAGAATAGCATTTTGAAATGCAAATTAATCAACTGTCGAATCAATTGAGAGTAGGTGAGTGGAGAAAAGGAATCCTTACATACGCAATTGGTTACTGCTTAGGCTTAATTGAGAGATTTCGATTAGAGAGTGAGGGAATTGCATTACCATGGGTAGACGAAATCAGAGCAGGCTTATTTGTAGATAAATGGGTTGCAAAGTAGTAAGGAAGGTAATGATTATAAGTTATTATTAAATAGAGTTGTTTGCATTCATAAAGGAGAAACAGATTGAGTATGATGCGAAGGTATTTGAACTGCAACAATAAATGTAAAGTTTAGCTGGTAATAAGGAAGCAATAGAGAAGGAACTGAGTTTGGAGAGAGTGGCAAAGGATGGTTTAAAAAAAGAGATTTTGCAGATAACTAATTAGCAAAAGATAAAGGATATGGAACTTAGAAATGAAATTTCTTTAAAGAGTTCAGAAATCATTAAATTAAATAAAGAAGCAGAGAGATTGGATGGACTATTCAAGTAAGCCACATTGGAACTTAAAAGAATCAATGAGTAGAATGAAGATCTAAGATTGATTGATGATTTCCAATTAAAGGAGAAGGATTTGGAGATATCCAAATTTAAGTAAATAGAAATTGAACTGAAGAATAGAATCTAATAATTGCAAAAATAACTATCAAATTAAGAGTGGTAATTATCATAGGAGAATATTAAATTGAAGCAGTAAGTTAAAGATCTTAATAATGATGTGAGTATATTGAATACAAGAGTCAACATGTTGAAAACTCAAAATAAGGATGAATCAGAGAGATTCCAAGAATTGTTATAGTCCCATGATGTTGAATTGTAGAGTTGGGCAGACAGATACAAGGATTAGTCATAACAAATTGAAACCATGGCATAACAACTATTTGCAGCTCAACAATAGAACAAGTATAAAGAATAGCTTATCTTTGAATATGATAAGTTAAAGCAAGAATTTGATTTGCTCAACAGATAATACTAATCGTTGCAGGAGAATAGTTTAAGGAATAGTAATATTAAGGAAAATGCTAAAAATGTGGAAATGCAGTAATTGCAAGAGCATTACGAATAATAGGTGGTATAATTGTAAAAGGAAATTGATTTTATGAGAGATAATAAGGTCAACCTAAGATAAGATGCATCAGTAATTGACTTTAGTGTGCAGATCACTGCATTAAATGATCAATTAGTTAAGAAGAACAACGAAATCACAAATATCAGAATGTAAGCAAATAGGACAATCATGGAAAAGGATAATCAAATAATCTTATTGCAAGAACAATTAGAGTAATTGATATCAAAGGTTGATATTATCGAAAACAATCAAAACGATTAGGCTGAAGCAATTGAGAAGGCAGAGAACTTGGAATTGATTATGAACGAAAAAGATAAGTTTATCGTTTAATTAAAGGAAGAACTTCAGAATTGTAAAGATTAGATCCTGGAAATGGAGGAACAATTGAAAATTAGATAAAATTCATTGGATATGATACAATAATAAGCCTCCTTAATTTCAGAACTTAAATCTTAAGTAGAGAGGAGATAAATAGAAAATCAAACTGGGGTACAACCAAAACCGGTTCAATAATGTTTTACTAAGAGTATCAGAAGTTCAACTCATAGGATGAGTGGAAAGAAAAGTCAAAATATTGAAGAGTCTCAAAAGGAAATCATTTCTTATGTGTAAAAAGTAACTGATGTCTCATTCAAATAACAATCAAATCAACAAATTATTTCAATTGTGAATCCTCAAATAAGTGAAACTAAATAGATATTGAGACAATCATAAGAAGAATTATAGCAAAGAAATCTATTAAACTAATCAATTATGGTCTTGTAGTAGGAATTAAAGCAAGTCAAATTAAATTTATCAAATGAGTAATAAGCCTCAAGTCAATTAAGATTTGAATTATCTTAAGCCAATGCCAAAATTGAATAATTGTAACTTGAACAATCCTAACTCAAAAATAAATCACAATAAAATGGTATTTGTATTTCAGTTACTATTTCTAGATTCTATCAATGTTGATCGACTAAATACAATGAGTATGAAAACGTATGAGTCCAACATGCAAAGTTTGAAATCTGAAAAGTAAGACTTGTAATAAAAATTAATTGAGTAAGAATAGTAATTTACTACTTTCACATCCAGAATAAATGAACTTTAGAATGAAATCAAAAAGCAGAAAGAATAAATCTAATAATTGAATGATTCAGAAAATTAAAAAGAAAATTAGATCTTTGAATATAAAAGCATCATTGATCGATTGCAAAATAATCTAAAATCTGAATAATCGATTGTCAGATAAAAGCAATCTGAAGTGAAATAGATTACTTATCAATAAGAACAAATCTAGTAGATGCTCTAATAAGAGTATTAGGAGATTAAGAAAAACAATAATGAACTATCCTAATAGAAATTGAAATTGGAGTTAGAGATCTAAGAATTAAAATCTCAGTTGCAATAATCATAAGTTAACTAGCAATTTTATGAGTCTAAAATTACGAAATTGAACTCAGAGATACTCTTAGTTAGGGAGAAACTTGGAAAATTTGAACAAAAAACAATTTAAATTGAGTAGACTAAGACTTAAAGCAGTTAAAATAGTGACTAATTATAATCGCAATTTTAACAGCAGATACAAGAGTTAACAAGTAAATTAGAAAGGTAGTAATAATTAAGTAATTTAAATCAATAGGAGTTAAATAATCAATTATAGATTCTTAAAGAATAATATTAAGATACCATTTTCAAGTTTGAGAACAGTTAAGAATAGGTTAAATTGTTATAAAATAGTCTTGCACAATAAAAGTAACAATATCTGAATGATATGAATGAGAATGCTTAGATGCTTTCAATTACAAATCAAGAAAATTAAAATCTGAAAATATAGATTGAACACTTAAATCAACAATTGAGTGCCTACAAAGAATCTAATACAAATGTTCAGAAGTGGCAGAGTCAAGTAGATTAATTGCAAAAATAATTACGCGAAGATAAACTACAATAACAAGAGTAAATTATTATCATTATCATATAAGTTTGAATAACCAATTGCAAAATTAATTGTTTTAGTTTCAACAATCCAAGCGAGAATGGCAAGACCTAATATAGAGGTTACAGGAAGATAACAATCAGCTACAAGCAAATCTCAACAGAGTTCTTACAGCCAGATCAGAAAAGGAGTAGATTGACAACTATACACACTAATAAAACTAAAATATTTAGATAACAACCAATACTATCAAGACTTAGTTCATGAGTAATACGTCGGGGATGTCATCAGAGAAGATATTAATTGAATTACAGATAGCTTAAGAAGAAAATGTCAAATTGATTAGTTAATTGTAAGTGCTTCAGTTGAACAACAAATAGTTAAACAAAGAGATATAAGATTTTGATGAAAAGCAAAGGCAATTAGAAAATAGATACAAGGAATAATACTTGAGAATTCAATTAGAGCACGACCTCTCATTTAAAAAGATTGAATAGGAAAATGTGAAACTAATTAGCTAAGTGGAGGTTTATTAGAAAAAGTAATAGCAATAAGAAATTTTAATTGATGATTACATAGCATAGATTGAAAAGTTGAATATCATCAACAATCAACTATAATCGTAGTTATTATTGGTGTAAAAGGACAACTCCAATTTTTACAAGGACTAAGATAAATAGATCTATAGGTTGAGTGAAATCAATTAACAATTATTAACTTAAATAACACAATTAAATAATTAGAAGAATACAGATCAATTGCAAATTAAAGATTTGATAGTTATTAAGTAGACATTGGAAGAACAATTGAGTTAACATTCAGAGGAAATATTTTCTTTGAATGAAAGACTTAAAGATCTATCTGATTAAAATACTCAATTAACTCATATGAACTCAGGATATCTAAATTAGATAACTGGATTGTAAGCTTAGTTATCTGAATTGTAAATCAAATTCACTCAAAATATCTATGAAAACAAACCAAGATTTAGTGATCAATAACCTAGATAGTCCACCTCGAGCAATAGTAGGCAAATTGAAGAATTGAACAACAAGATTATTAGTCTAAATAATTAAGTCAATATTTTGAATCAATAAAAATCTTAAATTTAGTAAGAATTGATTTCAGTGAGAAAACAATTACAAAATGAGTAGGATGACAGATTTTCATAGCAATCTCGATAAAATAGATCCAATTAATATAAAGTAGCAAGTGAAATGGAGGAAAGAATTAGGTAATTGTAACAACAACTGGAGGAGGAGAAACTAGGAAAATTTAGTAATAATAGTGAAGTTGAATTGAAAAACAAATAAATCATGATTTTAGAATAGAACAATAAAAAATTATAATAATAATTGGAATAATTGAATCTATAAATTGAAGAGGAGAAATCTCTACTTTATAAAGAGATTGATTAGTTGTCTGAATAGAATAAACGAACAAAACAATTAAAGACTTCTGAGTATGATATCGAATTCAGAAATTCAGTTAAATAAAGCGAAAGTCTTAAGTAGGAATTACTGTAAGCCAATCAAACCATTAAGAAGTAGTAGAGTCGTATCGCAACTTTGGAAGATTAGATTACTAAATAAAATAATGGATCAATTGATATGGATAGATAAAATAGATTTATTCTAGAGTTAGAGGAGAAGCTTAAAGGAAATCAACGTAAATATGAAATTGAAATTAAAGAATTAAAAAATGATAAGCAATCTCTCAATTAATAGTTAGAAAAGGCTCAATATGAGTTACAAGAAATTAAATCTAAATATCATATTGAATTAGAAAAAACAGAATAGAAATTATAGAAAGAAAACCAGCGATTCTCTTTGTAATTAAATGATAAAGCAGCTTATTTGAGTCAATTAGAAGTGAAAAATAGATAGTTGAAAGAGGAAATTCTGAATTAATAAGAAAGATACGATGAGAAATTAAGATAAGCTAACGAGAGAATCAAAGAAGTGACTGAGGATTTAGAGATAATGATTGATAATTATAAGAAGGAAAAGCAAGTATTTAATAATATAATTAATTTAGTTAAGTTAAAAATGGGAGAGATAGAATGAAGATCTACGTAGATAATTACAATCTTCAGTTGATGATGTTAAGATAAAGACTGAAAGATTGAGTGTGGAAAAATATGAAAGGATGTCTTTAGATAGTAGAAAATAGATTGAGCAAGTTTAATAATAGTTAAATAATGAGATAAATGGATTGAAATAAGATATTAGATTAAAAAATGAGTAAATCAATTAGTTAAAATCTACTAATTAATCTCTTTAATAAAAGTTGAGTAAATTTGAAACTTATATTCGGGATTTGGAAGATTAATTATAATAGTTTTCAAATAAAGAAGAGTAATTATTGAGAGATTTGAATTAATCAAAAAATTAATCTTTAGCAGATTCCTTAAATGTGAAGGTAATGGCATTAGAAAACAATTTAGTTAAAGCATAACAAAGAGAAGATTAATTATTACAAAAAATAAGATAATTAGAAAATTAATAAAATTCATTTCGAAATAATTCTGATTATAGAAATTTAGAAGTCAAAAACAATAATATGTTTGAGGAAATCTAGATTTTAGTTTAGACAATTAAAAACTAAGATCAAGAGATTGCTACTTTGAAAAATGAATTAACTTCCTATCAAAGAGAAGTGTCATTTATGAAAGAGGTTGTTAAGGAAGACACTAGTAGATTAGAGACATCTTCAGTTTTAGATGATAAAAACAGAAGAATAGTGGAATTAGAGAATAAGTGTGCATTACTTGCTAATGAGAACACTAGACTCAATTAACTAAAAGTATTATATTAGCATTAATTTATTAGGTGAAGTAGGTTGATGAATGGAAAGTAAAATATGATAAATTACAATAAGAATTAGAGAAGAGTTTAAATATGAAAGGTTGGGATGATCAATCAAGAAATATTGTAATGTCTAGCAATTTTGGATACTTATCAAATGTTAAATGAATTATTTAATTATATAACAGTTATTTCTATTTCTTTTTTACATATTTTCATAAATTAAATAAATTTCTTCATTCTATTAAATAAAGCTTCCTTTTTTTTTCATTCTATCTTTTCCTCCAAAAGTAATATCCAATTCCAAAGCAAATTAATATCACAATTATTAGTACCCATATTTACCAGAATGTAAAGTAATTGTATACCACAAGTAATTAGACAGAAGCAATCGAAGAAGTGAATCCATTAGATACATTAAATTGCAAGTACTCATTTTCTATTTTTCCCTTGATACATAATTCCAATTTATCATTAAGACTATATTTGTTATAATATCTCTGTTTACTTTAATCTACACTATAGAGAAATGGCTAAAACATAATTTAATTTATTTACTTAATATAATTCACTTATTATTTCGAAATTAGAATCTGAATCAGTTGGAATTGCTATTCCTCCAATGGGATTTATAACCTCGTATTAGTTTTATTGATATAGTGTTAGGATGCTTTATTCATCTTTTTGATACTAAATGATCACCTTATTTTAATAGCTAATTGACTTTATCGCAATCCAATCTGCATAATTCTGGAATACAAGTAATTTCTCTTTTGACTGACCCTTTTTTGGTGACAATTCGACATGTATTTAAAAATGTAAATATGTTTAAGATATAAACAATAGCTCCTACTTTATAGTCTAATTAATTATTTCAGAGCTGATTATGTGCAAATTCAACCATTCCTCATCTACATTTTAGAATCCATGATTCTTTATAATTTTATTAATATCAATCGTATGCTTCTCTAAATCAATTTATTATTCGCTTTGCTTTGGGTCAAATGGTAATATATTTAATTGGTAATCGTAATAATATATGTAATATTAGGATGTATTCTATATGATATTCATGTAATATCCTGGTAACTGCATATTTGTAACTAATTTGCATTAATTTAGTCTAAAATCTTCATTACATTAATAAAAAGCAATTAAATATTTCTCAATCAAAAACATATCTTACCCAAACAATGCTATATCGATTAATTTGGAACTTATGATTAAATTCTCTTTATCAACTTTAAAAGTATTATCAATAGACCTCCATTACATTATAGACAAGGAATCTTAAATGTTACATTTTAAGAGAATCTTTGAAGATGATGAATATAATATTTGAGTGCATTTTTAATCAAATTAGGCTTATTGAATGATTTATTTGTTTGATGTTTGAATAATAATAAATTTATTTGGATAGAGAATGATCAATTAATTTTGATCTAAATCTTTGATGTCCACTCCAGCTTCAAAATAATTGATTTGATTTAAGTTTAGATATTGTTGTAATTAAATTTAATAATTACAATCTCTACAATTCAATTCTATGTTTGTGACTATCGAGTTCTTGATCCAATCATCTGAAATTGTTTCACAAAAATCCTAATATTTCTAACTTAATTATTGAGTCACATTCAAATCATCCTGATTTAATTGTATTTAAGTTTGAAAATTCCTTATAGTTTCAACAGAAGATAGAATAATATTCTAATTCTAATTTTCAATAAATGTTGTCATATTAATTTGTTCGATGAAAAGTGAATTTTTCATTTCGCAAGTAGATTATATTTAGAAATCATGATAAAATTCAATAATTGTATCTTCTTTAATAAAAATTTTATTATCAAAAGCAGTCAAAAATCTTTCTTCATACACATCTACTTTATGCCAAAATGAATTAACATTCAACTTGTTTACATTATAAACCAAGAGTTTATTATCAGAGATTATGTAAATCCAACCATCATAAGTATATCGCGTTGCCATATTCATTTTATAGCCAAAAGAAGGTAACTATCTGACAAAATGAATGTCCTCTTATTAAACCATATCATATATTAAATATTAATTGCCAATCATGATTGCAAAATACTTTTCAAATATTAAAATGTCTTAGACTTTATCCTCAAATGTTAGGATGTCAATTATTGAAAATCCAATCAAAGAGCAACTTAAAATGATCACTTCAGTATCTTCCTGATTCCTAACAAATACTTTAGTACTCTATGGATTAGCGTGAATGCCTGAAGGAGCCCATTTTTTTACTCCCAAAGCCTAGATGGTTTAGGAATTAATCTCAAAGAGGCTCAATAAATCAATATAGGAAGAATAGTAGGCTTCGATTGTAGAATTAGCTATTGATAATAGAAGTAGAACTTCTTTGCTTTTTTAAACTTTATCACCATAGCTCTTAGTTGTGATGGTATGAGTGAATATTTTTTTATTTTACATTGTGAATACAAAAAGAGTATATGGATCTGTTTATGGATATGCTATCAACATCGTATTGGATGAAGACCAAGTGCATGAATTATTCTGCCTTAAATAGTCTAACTTTATCATAGTCTAAAAAATCTAACAAGTTGAATTTGCAATTGAGCAATAAGTAAATTGAACCCAATCATTATTAAATTATTTAGCTATCAAATATTCCTATTCAATTTATGCAACTGAGAAAAAGGTTAAAGAACTATTGCTTGGTTGAATCTAAATGTTTGAATTATCAAACTTTTTTACACTTATGTGGAGGTTTACCAAATTATTGGAGATATTTAAAGCTTTTATTTTTATATTCTATCCTTAAATTGTTTAAACATTTAAATAGATTTGAGCATTTTTTGGATATGTTGGTATCGCACCAGAAAATAAACTTTGATTTGTTTCTGATACGAAGATTCGTTCAGTGTCTGTTGAAACTGTCGAATGATGTATTTAAAATGTGCATTTTTCATTGTTAGGCAGATTTTAGATAATTTAAGATACATGTGTATCTTCATAAATTATATTTGATTTATGGACTATAGAGTGTTAATTAAGTAGTAGATACCTTCCTATGTTGAATTATTTAATAGCTATGATATCATCTTATGTGTAATCGTTTAATAAGAACTGTATATTTGGTACTTCCTTTTAGGAGATGCTTCTTAATTACAAATCAAATGTTCTTATTATTTTATTTTCTGATAATGTAAATATTACTGATTATGCCATATAAATTTAGTCAACTTGTGTGTCTAAGATTTATGAAAATGAATCTGTAAGAGTCTAAAATAGAATCTTATTTCCATAATTGATAACATATGTTCCAACTTTTTTGAAGTTAAAATCAAATGATTTTACGTTCTCTCCATGTTAGAATTCATGCAATAATTTCCATTAAGTTTCACGTTTTGAATAATTCAACACCAAAACACATCCATCATAATTTAAAATAGCTATTTAACCTACTGTGCTTATTCGAAAATCCACAATCTATAGATTTTGAGAAGTAGAGGTTAAGTACTTCAGAGCAGTTGAATCAAGATAATACTCCAACATACCTTATTGATTAAATACTTCAAGGACTGAATTATACTACTATAGATTCAAATCATAAAGAGAAGCTCTAAATAACTACTTATTAGCAGCTAATAATTTCCTTTTGGTAGCAGAAGTATAGCCAATTAAATTATCATTCACACTTTTCATAAAAGTTTAGGTTTCATCATCCCAAAAAAACATAACATTTTACATTCCTCCATTTTCTTCTACATAAATACAATCAGCAACAACGGTCGAATCAGATAAAAATGCTAAGTCAAAACAAAAATCTGCATCTATATCAGTGCTGAATTTGTCAAATTAAGGGATTCTACTCTTCTGACCTCTATTTATCTGGTTACTTATTGAGATTTTGAGTTTATTATTATTTTTTACCAAAGCTGCGAATTTGTTCTTCCATTCATAACTAAGATCCTATTATAAAACATCAACTGCTAAAATTTAAGTGGAATCATAATCGACTTATTCCAATAGTTTTATTGGATCAATGTAACTAAGTGTTTGTGATTAGTCAATTATTTAAATATTGCTAAAATCTCTGCTCATAAACACATCCTCATAATTCAACTTTACTTATTCATTCTGAGAGGAAAAGATTTGAACTGAGTCTTTTTGAAATTTAGTACACCCTTATGATGTGTGTACCATTAATAATAGTACTATCATAAAAACCATATATTAATATTTATATCAACATTAATCAATTTTTGCAACCCAGATTCTCTAATATACTTAATATAGTATCTTCAAGATAGCCTTAAGAGAATATCAGCTAAGGGCCGATGGACAAAAAGTATTTTTTTAAACCTAATTTACATTATTTGCTTAGCTTTCTCAAGCTTATTTCTTCTTCCAGTCTATCATTTTTGAAAATAAAAATTTACATCATACAACCTACTTTAGTAAAAATGCTTACTTGACTTATGTAGACTTATCAAGAATAAGTCTGAGTTCAAATAAAATAATACTGATTTAATAAATCTCATCTTTCGAACAAACCTTTAAATCTTCAATCCCTAATCAACTTCCAAACACCTTATGTGACCCTTCATTATATACACATATAAATTATTTTTAGTAAAATCTACGGAAGATTGAAATTTTTTTGGCATGTTGAAAATGCACTCAGCAAACTCATTATTCTTATCCTTAAATGTCAACCTTAAGTTTAATTAATAAACCTCAATGTCTATATTATCTACAACTAAGGTTGTTACATAAACTGGTTAAAATTCGCGAGAATTGTCAGCAGAATATTCTAAAGAATCCTATTCTTAAAAGGAAATATTAAATTATTAGGATGTTAAATACTCACCCTAAGAATTTAAAAATCCTGCACTAAATTAAAACTTTATTGATTAATTCTCTAAATTCCTTATTTCAGATTGATCAAAATCTTATCTCTCTTAAACATCAACTTTGTCTTAATCCTCTGCTTATGAAACTTAAATGTTCTCATTTTATTGTTTTAATTCAACAGATTCAGTCATTGACTTTTTTTCCAAATCATTATTATCGTTATTTTCGATAAAGTTATTTATGTTTGAATTCTCTGGTTTGTTAAATACCTATTAAGTTTAAGTTAAAGTTTATAATTAATTATAATCTCTACTTCTATTAAGTTAAACTTCAACTTTTTGGTCTTAGAACTCCACAGGTTAATATACTGAAATGGATTCTTAATTCGATGTTTATATATCTTAATTGTCTTGATCATCATTTTTTATCGATTCTTTTTATGCATAGTCTATATTATTCTCTTCATTCTTTTATATTTCTAAACTCAATTCAATATTAGTTTAATTTTGGGTTTCCTCTATTTTTTACACTTTTAAATGTAATTCTATTTCTTCTTCTTTTTAATTATTATCTTTTTATGCATTTTATTCTATAGAACCTTAGATATGAACATTGAATTCATAATCTTGTTGTCTTTCAGGGACTACAGATTCTTAAATATTTATTTATTAGATTTCTTAGTTTTTATCCTCAATTTACAATTATTCCACTTCAATTAGTTCATTATTACTTATTTGACTTTAAAACTGCTGTATGTCTTATTTAAAATCATGCTTAGGATAATCATCAATAATTGAATTCTATTATTTTGAGTAGTTTTCATTTGATGTCTCCTCCTTATTCTGTATGAGAACATCTTAATCATATAATTGCTATTCTTCATCATCAAAATTTTATTTATTTGTACTATCTTCTACAACTTGAATAGTATTTAATTATTCATTATTGTTGTGATCAGAATCTGTAGGTATTAATTTAATTTTATAATATTCTACCTCTTATTCAATATTTTAATCATGCTTGATTTACTCATTTTCGTTTTGATTGATCTACTAATTTTGGTTCATTTGATTCACTTCTGAATACTGTTCATGCTTCTCCTCTGAAAATGGTTAATGCTTTTCATCCGATTATGTTTCCTACTTTTGATCTGATTATAGTTAATGTATCTCTTCTGAATATGGTTGATGATTCTCATCTTATTAAAGTTCATGTTATTGGTCTATCTGTATTTCCTACTTCTCCTCTGATTATGGCTCCTACTTCTCTTCTTATTATGGTTAATTATTCTCTTCTTATTTTTGTTAGTTATTCTCTTTTATAAATTATTCTAGTTGAACATCATTCGAATCTTAACTGATCAATTATGGTTTTGGTATTTCCTCATGAACTAGTTAAATTTTTGTATTATCATTCTCTATAGATTCATTATTTTCTAACTATTAACTTTATTAAATCTATTCTTATTATTATTCTTAATTTTCGAGATTAGGTGATTCTTATCTTAATATTAAAATATGATATTTATTCCCTACTATTTAAGTGATTTATATTTCAATTTACAAAAGTAATCTATTAATATATATAAAATTCTTTTATTCCAAATAAAGTTTGATTTGATTATTATCTATTTGTATAATATTGATTATCTAGTTGGTAATCAAATCTATCAAAATATTGAATTCATAGGAATCCTTAGTAATTTCTTCATTTAATATCGATTAGCAATTATTAATATTTAAATAAAATCTAAAATCTTATTTATACTTTCCTTTTCTCTCAACTAATAAAATCCTAATCCTCTTCAACTTATATGAATAGTTTGATAGTATTATGAACTGATGATCATCTATATCCTTTACTTTTTTATCATTGTGTCCTATTTCAAATTTATCCTTTTTTTTTATAAGTTTTAATTATTTTTGCCACCATTTCTAAATAATAATGATCTTTCTCAATTTTTCTAATTTCTTCTTCTTCCATTCATTAAATTTCTTTTATGCTATCCATCTTTTTACTGAGGCTTGAATAGTTGTGGCTGCCTTAAACCTAATTTGTCTTTTATTTAGATTCTTGTTGCATTGTATTATTATCTAAGAATTATTATTCTTTTCTATATTTTTTACTTACTCAATTCTCTCCTGCAAATTCTACAATTCGTCGATCTTCACTTATTTAATCCTTTATAAAAATGATATCATACTTTTCAAGTTCAAAGATGCTTTGCTTAAGAGAATCAAGTCTTTAATGTTGACTTCTATCTTGATAATTATCTTGGCTCTATCTGTATGTTGCAGATACTGAATCATGGCACTCACTTTGAACTAAAGAAACCTAACTATTTTAGATCTCTTAGAATAAGTTAGCATATTTGGTCGTCAAAGGCAAAAGCTGGAAATCTGTCAAGGAGACAACTGTTCTTTTGACAGAGTCAATCTTTTTCGGAGGAGCCTTCTTTTGGGGTAGTTGTTTCATAGAAGGCATTGAAGAAAACATTGTTTTATTGAGGTTGCTAAGATTGGTAGAGTTATTTATTTTAAATACTACTTACTTACCTTTGACTTCAAAGAACTCTGGCTTCAAACTATAAGCCTTCATGTAAGGTTAAATTTTTTTTGATATCAATTTTCTGTGTGATTTGTTTTATTGGGTTTCCACATAATCATTGACTTAAACTTAGATTAATGATTTATTATTCATAATATAAATCAAAAGTAAAGAGCTTTTTTATATTTTTAGGGCGTGGCCAACCGTTGGATCTCGCATTTCAAATTTTACACCTCACATTATAATTCATTATAGAGACACTTAAACAAGACCTTTTGCTTTTGGAGTTTATGTTTCATCTTTGCATTTTGTTACATATAATTATACTTCATTCTCCTATTCGAATGCTCGATTGAGTCTCTCAGTCAGAATATTAATGGTTTGATCCTTTTCCTTTATCTTTTGGGCGGGCTTTACAACTGTCTTATTAGAACTCTTGCATTGTAAATATTCACTTTTCACACTACGCGTCGTTCTGTTACTCTTTCGAACACTCTCACTTCGCTTGATTTGAGATCTCAAATCATCTATCTTCTTCTCTTGCCTCCTGATCGTTTCGATTAATAACATGGTAGACATCTGTTAAATTAAAATTTATTATTAATTTATAACCAAAACCCCTCAATTTTACACCTAGATCACTTACCACCCAAAAAATCCCATACAACAAACATTCGTTGTTTTGTATATATTACTTTTATCAAAAAGTTTAAATTGATCATTTGATTATATAAATATCTTGGATTGGCTCTGTTTAGTCTAACTCTATAAAAAAGGCATCACAATAGCGACACAGCAAAAACTATTATTATATATGCCAATTACTATCAACTTTTATGATCAAATTGAGTTTTATAATATTCCTGCATTTATTTTGGATTACTATTTAAAATATTATGAGCGATTGTAAGGGAAAGAAATTCGACAGTGACGATAGCAGTATATATTTAGTGTAAACCATTAGATATTTATGAAGTTGAATTTGTGTATGGTAAGAAAATGTTCAAAAAGTAAACACTGTATGCTGTGAAATGGTTGGGATGGGCTAAATCCTAAATGACTTGGGAGCCATTTTCCAATTTTACTCGCATTTCCAGTTATCTTGTAAGGTATCAGTGACTTATCTAATATTTATAGACGATTAGAAACAAGACTATCTTATGCTTAATATCACAAAAAGATTACTCCTAGTTCAGGGGGTATACGAGTTCATATCAAAGGAAAATTTTGTTAAGTCTTATAGAATGAGGCTAAACCATAACGAAAAACTATTGAATCTGAAAAGAAGATTGTATCTCATTCATCTGATACCTAGGATATTTATGATAAAGCATAGAGGATCATCACATAAATGAAATAAAATCTTTTCTGCTCGAATAACAGTAATGAAAATCTGAAAAGTTAAAAGAAAGTAAAAAAATAAAATAATCATATATTAAAAATTGTAAATTCCTAAGAAAAGAATTAAACAATATCTCAAACTGGTGGTAATTTAATAGGGTAAGAAAAAATAATACCGAAGTAGATCAATAAATAAAGAGAGTTAAATAATTAGAAATTAATTGATTTAGAATTAGAAAGAGATATTGAATTCTTAATTAAACACGAAAAATTAATGAAATAATTTGAGAATCAAAAAAAATAAACTAAATAAGGAAATTTTTTAAAAAGTAAAGATTATAAGTAGAAATAATAATAATAATAATGGAATAATAATAATAATAATAATAATAATAATAAATAATACTCAATTAAAAAAATATTGTATATGATAAGGAATAAGATAAATAAAAAAATAATAATCAATTATTTTGTGAATTTTAAATTATTCTCAATAAACATGATAATTCAGAGTTAAATATTCCAATTTCAAAATAAGTTGAACCCAAAAAGAACTCTGAAAAATAATGGATACTTCAAAGGGATTCAAATAATTAATAAGTGCATAAAGAACTTCCTAAAATTGTTTTAGGAATTCCAGAATTCAAAGTAAAAAAGACGGCTAGCACAAACGTTCAAGAAACATAAAGTTATCGTTAGGAGGACTCTTTTGAAATTGATTTAGTATTAATTGATGATAGTGAATAAAAGCTAAAAGAGGGAGAAAAATAGATAGATATGGAAAAATTATAAGGACCTTGTGCATCGGATGTCAAAATTACGCAATAGCCTTACCAAAACAATTAATAAAAGAAGGGAAGGGTTGTAAAATCAGTTCTGATTGCAAAAACAAACCAACTTATTACTGAAACTTTTTCTAAGACAGAGAAATAATTCATCTCTGAGGTATAAGATGAATAACCAAAAAGATAAGTTGAATTGCCTCAAGGACTTACTTTAAATCAGTTGTTATAATTGGAACCGAAGACATAATCAAATTAAAAAACTCCTACTAAGTAATAAGCATAACAAGACATATAAAAATAATAATAAGAAAACAAAATCATAGAAAATACGACTTACAGGTGTTGCCTGCCAATAATACAAAAATTATAAGATTTTGAAGTCTAATAACTTGAACATAATCTCTTGAATATTGAAATGGTCTAATATGATATGGATTTAATTGAAATCAGATTTCAAAAATTAATTATTGAGATAATAGAATCTCATCATTTAATGATGGGAAAATTATTATTTAAATGCATATATGACAATGGAATGAAATATTATGTGGAATATGATAAATTGAAAACATACTGTCCAACATTATTATTAGATTACATGATAGTAAATTCAATATTAATATGATTTATGAATTTTTTCAATATAAATTCTAATTGAGTTGATTAAAATTGCAATCAAACCGAACTAATTTACTTTCATATCCATTAATTTATTTACAATGATTCCTGTCATACTATTATAATATAAGAATATAATAATAGTAAGTGATAAATAGGTCAAGGCACTTAGATATTTTCCTCCTTCCACTTATAATTTTTCCTGTTCCTTTGTTACATGCTCATAGAGTCGTTTAACTCTATTCGCCTTCTTTTGAATTATTGAATTTCCAAAATAAAGAATCACCAAAAGTATATGCAATTAACATATTACTAATGCATATATTGGAACTGGTATTTAATAAAAATTAAAAATAAATTAGAGTAAATCGAAAGGGGGTATATTATTGAAGATGGCGTAGAATTCATATAGCACACTTATAGAAAAATAAATTGTGTTTATTGTAATGTACAATTTCTTTAGGAGATTGAGCAATGTTTTTAACTTTTATGCTCTGACTTCTGATCTTCTTAACATCAGATTCCTTTTCATTATTAACCCCTCGCTTTCTAAATCACCATAATAATCTTTATTCTTTTCAAAATGCTATTTTATTCCAACAATAAGGATAGTAGAACCTTAGTAAATTTATAAGAGTCCTTGTACAGAAATAAAGCAATATTGAAAATCCTCATAGGTTTAATTGGTAAAGAAAAAAAGAACCATAACAATTAATGGCAATAAGAGTTTTCTTCTATAATACCTAAGAATATTAAAAAGTGGTACCATAAAGAAGATTCTTAGTGTTTTTAGGTCGAAAGTCCAAATCTCTTTCTTATTTATTCTTATTCTTCTAAGTAATTAAATCTATTCAATCTAAGATGAATGGTCTCTATAACAAATTATTACCAAGCAGCTTAACCAAATAAAATTGACATTAAAAATTCCTCATTCCATTTCAAACAAACAGATACAACCAATATCAATAGAAGGAAAGTATGCACGGCTATCGCAACTTTGGTGACTATACCTATTTGTTTATTTCTTAATTATCTCTGCATTATAAATAGGGATAGACCTATTAAGAATAATAATTTCATTAATTATAAAATTATAATTAAATTCATGATTGTAATTGTATTTTTTTCAATAACAAGGGATAACTTCGTATTTATAAAAAGTGTAATGGGAATATATGAATTGACAATAAATTTCAATTTTATAAGCATCCTTCAATTTTTGGTTACAGTTATTCCATTGGTTCTGAATGTTCCTTAAATTTATCGAAGTTACATTCTTAATTTTATAAAGAATCTAAATCTGTTTCAAGTTATTATTATAAAGGTTCAACTTATTCCTATTATTATAAAAGTTGTTATTATTAGACAAATTCTTCTTACTTTTCTTATTATTATTCTTCTTATTATTATTTTTATTATTATTATAATTTTTTTTCTTTTTCTCTTTTGATTTCTTAAGCTTTTTCATATCTTGTTAATGGCTTACTTCCTTGATTTTCAGGATTTGGTTCCAAAAAATCTTAGATCTAACCAGTGCTAATATAATAATAAAATGCCTTAAGGACTCTTGGGATTTATTCTTTATTGTTAATATACCTAGGTTATAATGCAATTTTACTTGAAGACATTTTTGATATATGGGTCAAATTTAAAAATAGTTTATTTAGCAATATTGATTGCTAAATAAGTTTTAAAGTTAGCTAAAGTCTTAAAAGGGGAATTTGTTAATCTACTTCTGGGATTAAGGAGGTGATAATCAAGAAAGGCATTTACGATTCCAACTCCAACTTCTTCGTAATCTTCTATTGTAAAGAACTTGGATTTGGGATAAGTTGTATACAAAGTTCCCAAAATGTCATTTTCCTCTAAGTTGTTTTCTTTGTATGAATTATCTAATGAATTAATATACGTAATACCTTCAGATTACTTATAAGTTAAATTTGTAAGCCTGCCTGTATTGTAATTGCATTCAAGAGTATAACTATGAATGATTCCACATGTCTTAAAGAGGGCTACTCTGCCTGAACCTTCTTTACTGAGTCCGTCTCCTTTATCTGCAGAGTACATGTTCTTCTCTGTAAAATTACAAGCATCATAATCAAAGATCTAAGAATACAAGGTCATTAATTTAGGAATTGCACAATTTTAGACCTATTTGCTTAATTGATTGAGTTAATTCCCATAAATAAATGCTCCCTTATGATTAGCATGAGCATGTAAGTCAATATATCCAAGGAATCGATCTGTTTTATGAAGTCTGATTAGATATTCTTTGATTGCATAAATTGTTGGATGATCCTCTTTGGAAGGCGATAAATAATAGCGATTAAGATTCTAACAGAGCGAATCAGTTCTGTAATGTCCTCTATAAACTCCATCAGGATTAATTATGGGAACAAAGCACCAAACAAAATTGTCTCTGGCAGCCATAGCGACAGGATCATTTGGAGTTAAGAGATATTTGATAAGTCCATTTAGAACAAAAGAACTAGGCACCTCTCCTGGATGAACACGAGCAGAGATGAATATATGAGGCTTTTTAAAAACAGCTGGTCTTGTTTAAGGGAAAATTCCAGGCAATGGTTATTCTTGAATTTCTGAGGAGCCATTTGTGATTGTAATCAAATTGATAGGTCTACCTTCTTTGGAATATGAGAGTATGGAATTATCATAATAAATATTCGGGATTTAAAGAGAGATAGTATAACAATGTTGTAGAAAATCCTAAGATATTGAATTGAGGTTACTTCATTGTCTTGACAACTCCACGGATAGAAAAATGCAAAATACACTGTTTCATGATTAGGAAGCATGTGTTAGAAAGAGATTTCAAATTATTTTTCTGCTACTAGTCGATATTGACAGGGTTCTTTAATCCTTTCCCATTGAGTGGAATTAGAAGTTCTAAAAACTGGTTGCATACCTTCTTTAAATAATACGATCTTTAATAGCATATTGCATTACTTAATTTTGCATATTAGCTATTACAAAAGTGATAGCTTCTTCAGACTTAGCAGATACCGAGAAGTAGAACCAGGTTCTGTAATTAGTGGTTTTTCCATTGATTCCCCAATCACTTGAGATTTGGAGGATATACTTATGATTTGATTATTGAATTATTTCATACTTTTCCATCTTCATAGCTAACACTTTTTAAATTGCCTGAATCAAATGCGCTTGAGAAAGTGATGTCATTAATTGTTTAAGTAATCTAGGAGGGATATTCCGGGTTATTCATATTTCAAATTAATTATTATTTTTTATAAAGCTTAATTACAAATATTCACTAGAGTTTTGATTTTAGAATGTACAACGCCATAAATGCAAATATTCTAAATAGGAATATGAACCCTATCAAGACATAGATGCAAGTCCAAGTGCCAAACTTAAAATCGTACAGGTCGATTGGATCGACTTCATATAATTAATCTTTAAATTCTACTCTGGACAGAACTTCAAATGAATATGTAATTGGACTTGTGTATTGGATCCATCTGGTCCATGAATAGAAGAATTTAGGGTTTGCGAAAAAGCCAGAGAATAACACATAAGGTAGTAGAGTATAAGGGGCAATTCCAAGAATGGCTTTCAAATCACTAAATATACAGCCAATCAACATTCCTAAAATTAGATGTTTGAATATACCTAAGCCACTAGCCCAATTGTATATGAGGATTGATACAAACAAGTGCATAATCACTGCTTCAGTTGTATTGTGATATCCGCACATCCAATAGGATATAAGTTCTTGTAAAATAGGAAGCACTATGCATAAGGGAATTTCAAGTATTTGCTTGCCTATAAAGTAGGAGGAAATCGAGTATAATTTAGAACTCTCCTCTCTTAAGAATATTTCCCTCTCCACTGGAAATGTTAGTATGATAGCCAAAACTGCAGAGATTACAAGATTGAACACACAAAAGAAGAGAGCTAAAAAGATCATAATGTATATTTACATCCAGATATTCCCATTAAATCAGACACAGAACCTTCATTATCAGCAACCTTCCAAAATACTCCTCCAAGTAACAACCCTTGGACGATTGTTTAAAATATTCTGATATAAAATTATAGAGGATCTCTTGTAAAAGCCAAGAGATTTCTATTTGCAATTTATTTTATTTGTTAAATCTAAGTGATTTCTATCACTTTTAAAGGCAACAACAGATTATCGCCATTGGTTATTTACTACATTACATTCGGATGACAATTTTGATCATAATATTAGAACATCTTATTGAAGTGCTTTTAGTTTTCCAAGTTTTCTACTTACATCAAACTTAAGTAATAATCCATCGGATTAGAGGATTGAGGACAAGTAAATCCCAAATTTTAAAAATGATCAATAATCTTATTTTAAAATTTATAATTACATTGCTTTTTTGGCCTTGATAAATAAATTTACCCCCAACTAGAAGCATTATTCTATCGAACAATTAGAATATGTCTGTACTGGGGGAGTGGATGGTGAAAATAACAGTTCGATCCTACTAACTTGCTAATTGCTTTAATTCATTGCTGAGTAATATTATAAATTGATACATTATAGCAAATGCAGTGAATGAATCTAATCCAGACGTAGGCTCATCCAACAAGATACATGCAGGATTAGATACTAGTTCATAGCCTATTGATGTTCTCTTTCTCTCACCTCCGGATATACCTTTGAATGTAATTCCTCCAATTAATGCATTTTAACATTTCTCTAATTTCATACTTTTTAGAGTTTCTGTAACTCTCTGCATTTGAGTTGTGGGATCTGAAAATTTCATGCTAGCTGCAAATGTAAAAGCTTCCTTTGGAGTCATGGTTTCCATTAGAATATCATTTTGCATAATGTAAGAGGCGAATAAACAGAATTTCTCATAATCGTATTCTTGATGATTGGCTAATACTCTTCCTCTTAATTAAGATTCACTATTTTTTGGAACTCTACAAGCTAGAATATTTAAGAGAGTTGTTTTGCCAGCTCCTGAACTTCCTAAGATGGCAGTAACCTATCCTCCTGGACAGATACCAGTCAATCCTTTTAGAATTGGTTTGTTTTCTTAAGATTAGGTTATCACAATACCTCTTTGTTAGCTTTTTGGGTCCATGACTCTGACCGAATACTCTATATTTTCAAATGATAAGTCGACCAGATTGTTGGTTTTGAGGGATTTAGATGTTGAGGTCTAGTTATTTGAGTTTAGTAGTTGGATCCCTGGTATATTTTAAGGAAAAACTCGAGTGATTTTCATTTGGTTTATAAAATTAAATTTATTAAGAAATTCTTCTAATTCTTTGTTCTTAAGAATTGAAAAAATGAAACTGAAAACTGATAAAAGCTGATGAAAATATATTATTAAATTTTTATATAATAAATATAATAAATCATGCTTATTTACAAAACTTCTTTTAAATTAAATCGTTGAATTACAATGGGTCAATCATTAAATTATTAGGAAGTAAGAATGGTGTATTCTTATTGTTAAGTAACAACTCAAGAGATATTTAAGGCAAAAACTTGTATTGGTTCAGAAGTTACTGCTATTACTATTGTTGTTATTACTATTAGACCGAGATGTCTGGTTTGGTGGTTGGATAGTTCTCCTTGACTTTGATTTCATCCTAAAATCGATTTGCAGACAATACTTTATTGAGATTGATAAGGAGAGATGTGAACTGTTGGGGAGTCATTTGAGCAGTCATTTCATCGATTTGATCATCCAATTGCTACTGACAGATCCTGAGGTCTTTGGATTTGCATTTCATTTGTTTGATAAGACTAAAGATATGCACTCCATATTTACTAAGAAAAAGAGCGCTTGTGCTCCAGGATGCGTCTCACGATGTGGATGATAGTGTTCTGCATTTTCTCTTCGCTGCATCCAGTGATTTCTTTGAATTGCTTGACATACTCATGCAATTCTTCATCTTCAAGCAGTTGAACTGAATTAATCTTTTAAAATTATACAATTTTTAGTGAGACAATTACTTCCAAAGAGTAGAGTCCCGTAATTACCATCCATCAAAATACGGGCTACATTCTAAAAGCAATATCTAATGTATTGCTTTCGTTTTGAACCTGTGGCACTAAACTTCAACTTGTATGAGTCAGTGAGTAAAGCCTGCATCTCCTGTCCCTCAGTGGTCTCAGGGTCTTTGCTTTGCAATTAATCGAATATCTGAGCCTGCTCGATGATCATTCCTTTGAAACATTGATTGTGTTCAATGATGTTGTGGATGTGCTTGAATGTGATCTCTGTCTGTTATCGGAGTCCCTCGATCTGTCCATTCAAATCCTCGACTTTCTTCTCCAACAACCCAATGTATAGCTTCTTCCTTTATCTCGAATTTCTAGCACTTTCCCGATTTTTCTGCATCTTTAAATCCTCATTGTCCAACTATTTGGAAGAGTTCGAAGACACGTTATCCTTGACTCTTTTTGAAGGAAGCAGTTTCTCTTTGTCCTCCTCCATACTTACATTGAGGAGAGAACTGATTTTCTTTATATAGGCATTCTTCACATTCCCCTTTATATTCTGTAGACACAAGACATCATCTTTTAAGGAGGCCTACGAATCATTCTTGATCATCTGTCTGTCCTCCTATTTAATTTCAGCAGAACTTCTGACTCTCTTCACTTGGTTCTCAAGATTGGATATTACTCCGTATGGCAAAAAGGGCATAAAATTCTATTACTATGCTGGTTTCTTCTGAATTATATTATAAATAATTACCTCCTCGATATCAAGCATATAATGTTCTGGATATTCACAATCCACCTTATTATTGGAATTCATAATTATTTATAATACCTATTTATTATATAATGACGTCTAAGAATTAAAATATACAATCACAATCCACCATAAAATTAATTGATAATATATACTACGGAATATGATTCAAAGACGTATTAATTATTTTTAAATTTTAATAAAAATTGAAAACAACAAACTTTTGTGTGGATACGTATTGTTACTCCCTTCAAAATCCTCATAAATCTCAACTTCACTAAAAGTCCAAATCCAAAATTAATAGTTCATAATAAAATTGTAAGAAGCTGTTATGTGGAAATAAATGCATACTCATTTTGTCTCTTACTTTTATTTGATGTGAATATTGGAAATCAGAAATCCCTGTGTAACCAATAAGTATGCAATATGCAAAATGCAATTATATGTGTAATGCTTTGTGAATCAATAGTTTGATAGTTTGAGGTAGGAGGGCTAGGATGTTTCTGAGTAAATTAAATTTTAATTCAGCAGAAAAAATAGAGGAAAATAAAATGGTTATTCAAAACTAATTATTATTGATTGGACAGTACTTGGTTTAAGGATAGCAAATTTCTTGGAATATTTAGATTGACTTTATAAAATTAATTATACTATAAAATTTGAATTCAAATTTATATATGAACAACTCACCAATAAGAAATCAGTCTTATTACTAAGATAAAATTAGATACCAGAGATCGCCTTATTCTGATAAAGAAAATATGATGAGTGAAGTTAATTAGAGTCAATAGACACTCTAAAGGGATGCGATCGAAATATTGAATGATGTTGCAGAGACATCAAAAATTGATGAGTCGGTTTTAGACAGTAACCTTACTTTGTTTGAAAAGATTACTCATCACAAATGGTAAATAAGAAGATTGGTCTTAATGAATTTAACAGAGGAATATTAAAAGAACCAGACTGTTTATGAATTTCAATCATCATGGCTGAAAAATATTATTAATGATAGCAATTAATTCGCAATGACAGAGGGTCTTAAATTTATATAGGTATTTGTTAGAAGTTAACAAATGAATTACCACATATTACCCTACTTTATTGGAGATCTCATTGAAAGAGGCTCCTTTGTTAAGTCTCAAATCCAAGATCTTGTCATTGAAATATTATTGCAATGTTGTAAAACAGTACAAGACACCGGTTTCATCCTCTCAGAGATCCATAAAAAAATAGAAGCCAAACACCCTAAGATTATGACTCTCTGTTTGACAATCATAGAGAGGATTCTTGAATTATAACCCAATCAACTAGTTAAGTATGTATATTGAGCTAATTAATTTAGAGATTAAATAAGAGATTTTATTGAATTATGTGTCTCGTTAGTTTCACATACGAATAAAGTAATAAGATAAAAATCAATCAATATCTTTTGCAAGCTGTTTCAAATGATTTCAGAGAGTTTTGAATAGGTCAAGAAGACTTATTTAGACAAGCGATTGAGACAAATTCAAATTAAAGAGTTGGAATAATTATGCAGCAAAATCACAAAAAAAACATAGAAAATTGAAATTCAATCGACATAACCTGTTATTCAGATCATAGATTTACATACATTGTTGCCAGATAAATTCTTTGAAATGCCCTATTATAAACACAATGAAAAGAAGAACATAACTGAACAATTTGCTAAGAATTTAGAGAAGTATGATGGAGACATTGATAACTCTAAAGATTATGGGAGTATTTATGCAATTATCATAACCTTGCTTGAAGAGAGCAATTATTTAATATATAGTTAGGGGATGAGATGCGTTAAGGGATTGGTCAGATTGTTGAGAAGAGGAATCCCTTAACCAGTGGCCAAACATTTCTTTATTTTGATTTTGGATAAATTGAAAGGTTCATTGTCCAAGCCTTTATAATCAGCTGTATTTAATCTTTTGGAAGACATACTTATATATGAAAACATCTCCTGTGATCAATTCATGGAACTAATGATTAATTAATTAGAATCTTCAAAAAACATAGGATTGAAAGTAGCTTGTGCAAGGTGGTTTAAAGATGGTTGGCTAGCCTTGGCATTGGCTGTATAGACAGGGTCATATGAATCATCTGATTCTGAGGTACTCAAGAAATTTGCTCAGTCTAATTGCGATAAAATATCGAAATCTCTTCTTGTTCTTTATAAGAAGGTGTAAGCAATCTTGAAAAAAGAGAACAATCTCAATTACAAGAAAGTCTTATTGGATTTAATTAATTCAATGCAATGTGATGAACAGAATCTCTAGGTTACTGTTATTGAATCATAGATTGCAATTGTAAATCCTTAATTTGATTTACAAGAATCTAGGATCACTGATAAATAATCAAGAAAACAATAAATAAATTCAGTAAAGAGTAGGTATTAAACTGATGAAGATTTATGTGAATTTGCTTAGATCGGAGAAGATATGTAGAATTTTAATTAAGCGAATAAAAACAGATAAAGCATAGAATTACCTACATCTCAATTGAACAGAGAACAAACAGAGTTCATGAGTAAATTTAGTAGTGATCTCACTTAATTAAGAAAATTGTCATAAAACAATTAAGATCAACAAATCTAAAATAAAATCGAAGAAATTTTACACTCATTCAAAACTCATTACTCAGATAAAAATATTACAAGCAATGATTTCTTATAATAAATGACAAGCAATATAATTATGGAATTGGTTCATTTCTGTAAGAAAGTTTAGGTCTAAAAAAAGCTAATTGCTGATAAATTGTATGACTTCATCATTTCATTATTAATCAAAATGAATAAAATCTAAGTGACATTGGATCAAGAAATGCTCTATCAAGAATATAAGATATGTTTGATCCAATTAAATCAATTAGACATTCAAAAACTATTGCCACTTCTAGAGAGCTTGTACATTTGTAATTCATTAGAGAGTATGATCAAAATTGGTTACAGGATAACTAACAAGTATCTCTAAAAATAAACAAACAGCAATATTAAGATCTTTTAAGCATTTATTAATTGGATTACATAAAAAATTAATGCTGCGACTTAACAACAATTAGATCCTTCATTCATAAGGACGTCTTATAAGACTTTTGAAACCACCTTTAAAATGTTCCCATAAACATAAATAGATATAAGATTATTACTAAATGCTTTCAGAAGTCGAATGGTAAATCAACAAGTTGAATAATTGGATCAGTATTAGGATTTATTAAATCAATCATAAAGGAAGTCTAAATCTAAATCATTTGGATCCTAATCTAGGTTTTCACCTTACGAAACACCAAACAAAACATAAAGTAAATTAGAGTTTTCTGATTCTGAAGAGTAAGAGAGTTTAGAATCATTACTATAAATAGAATAATAGATTTCTACACAATTTACTTTATAGGCGTTAGATAAATTTATCCATTACTTGAATCGTTATCGAGCCTATTAACTTTCTAATCAATCATAACACACAGTATTCTTAAGTCCAAATTCTAGTTCACCTGGTAAACATTGGAGAAGAGGCATTGGAAGGGACAACATGATTATAAGTTCTCCAAATAGATAATTATTTGAAAGTACTAAATTTGAAGATTTCACGAGAATTTTAGAAATAATTTGTTAAAATTTCACCTTTCAAATTCAAAACCAAGTATTCTAAGTCTTTTATTTGCTCAAACATATCTTTCCAAACAGTCAATAATGTCTGATCTACCTTATCTTTGCTTATATTTGTCCAAAGACAGAATATTCTGAAAATTTTGAAGTTTTCCTGAGTACATTCTTATAACTTGATAAAAGCGTTATGGCATATTAATATAGATAAGCCTTTAATATCTTGTATTAAAAATCAGAAAATGAGAAAGTATTAATAAATTTAATACACACAGGATTCAATTTTCTATTTCAAAAAATATTCGAAAATGATTTACTAGCATGTATTCAATATTTCATCTCCACTCTAACTTACATGCTCACCTAGAATATGTTTTATTAATTAGCCAACGATTTATTAAGCAAATATTAACAATAAACCAACAATTTTAATTAAATAGTAGAGACCGAACTAATTAATTATAAAAAACTATATGATACTTACTTAAGTTGGTAGATTTAATAACAATAAGCATATGAAAAGCCTCAAATTGACTTTTAAAAACTTTATAAGTAGCAATAGAATGACATATTGATTGTTGATCTCTAGGAAATTGATGAATGTGCATCCAAAAGAGAAGAAACTGTTAGAGAAAATGTAAATAATAGTTAATAGGAGAACTTTATCCATATTAACAAAGAAGATTTCGATTTATTAGAAAGCACTGCTAAAAACTTTCTTTCTCAGTAAACATAAAGGTATAATGAAGAAGGATCATAACAATAACCAGACATTTTAAATATCTAATAATTCATTAGTCCTCTCCAATAAATCAGCCAAATCAGCAATTAAATGCATGATACTGTCATTTAGGATTTAGCAAAGAACCTCTATTCAAATGATACTCATAGACTAAAAGAGCTAGATATGATCAAACTGCAAAATGAAACCTACCGATAACATAAACGTGATAGTCATAAATAGGTCTTAGAGTCATATCCATAACCACCTTTAAAGGATCCAATGAAGTAAAAGATAGAGAAGATATATGAAGAAGTTCAAAATGAATCAGTACATGGCAATTTCAATGAAAAAAGTCTACTCGGAGATGTTCTAGCCCCTATTGACACAACATAATTGTTTGATTAAACTAGAAATATGAAAAGAAATGAATGCATTAAGCAAATGTAAGAAATCTTATTGACATCAACATCATTATATTTCGATGTAGCATCAACTCTACTTCTTTAATATGAAAATTTGGATATGGCTGAAGATAAATTGGCATTTATCAATGATCTAAAATTATCTTTGGTAAATTAAACTTTATTAACCAATATTAATCAACAAAACTTCTCTGTCATCATTGCCATAGTCTTGCGATTATGTACTACTGTAATTTATTATAAATATTTGAATAGCCTGCTACCTAATCTGAAATCTATAACAGTTCATTAGGATATGATGATAATCAATTGACAAAGTGCTTATAGCAAATTTTAGATGTTCTTTTGCATTCTAAGGAGACTGAATAGGTCTTGATTTGTTTAGTACATGTTTTTAATGATCATTTGCCTATGGATTTCACAAATGAAATTTCAAAAAGTATTTCAGTTTTTATATAATTTTCCTAGTTGAAAAAATGATGTTAAGACTAAATTTAAAATGTATCGAAAGATTGATTTAGAATAGCGAAAAATTAAATGTTTTTGGTATTTTAATAGAGATATTTAAATTCTTTAAATGCCACCCTCCGGAAAATTTAATAGTAATTATTAAAACTAATATAATTTAGGAAGGTCTACCCTCAATTAAGGAACTGGAGTTATATTTTAGATAAATGAAGTAAATTACAGACAGTTTATTAAACATCAATCTCAAAGAGGGAAAAGAATTCTTGGATTTTGTTTACAGAAAAAATAGTAAAAGCATCTTTTTAGATTATGTCAAAAGTGTGATCGAAAAAAAATGATCTTTTTAATAATTAATTTGATTTTCTAACTATTTAGTTATCATTTAAATTCTGATAAATCATATGAAAGTCGAATAATCATATTTAAAAGATATGTTCTCAATAAATTGGGTTTAATAAGATAGTAATTAATATTTTTGGATGAATTCTAATAGAAGTTATACAATTTTTTTTCGTCTTATTTATAATTTTATGTAATAAATGCTTCATCCAAAAAAGGATACTTAAAGAGGGTCAATAGTGGGGAATAGTCCTTTAACTCCAAGAAGTTAAACTTCAAGGAAAAGCTCTTAACTGAATAGACAATCTTTCGAGTAATAGGAACTCTATTCTTCAAGGAGATTTGGGTTGAATCTAAAAGACCCACAAGTACTGAGCTACTGTTTATTTGATAGAAAGTGGAGGAAATGATCAAAATCAGATAGCAAAGATTACCTCGAAAAGAAGCAGCAAAGGACGGTGAGAAAGATCTTCGAGAAATATCAAAAGCGTATGATGTATTAAAAAATGCTTTGCCTGAAATAAACAATAATTAGGGAGTGATAAAGGATCAAGAACTGCTATAATTTTATAAATAATAGATTGTAATAAATTAAAATCCACGAAAAAATTTTTTTGAGTTCAACACCTATTTTTATAAGAATTATTAAGCAAACAATAATGGACCTTGCACAACTCTACCTTAATTGCTAATAAAAAAAGTGGAATCCTTTTAAAACAAATTAGAACAACTTATCAAGGATCGATGAAGGCAAAATTAGAATCTAAGAGATTTGTTTAGCATTTATATTTCTATATGGCTATCTTATATTTTGTTTTTGTTATTTGTTTTATTGAATAAATCACACCAGACTTAAATTGCTGACTGATGCTGTGTCCCAACTGGTATGTCTATCTGTTCTTTTGAGACTAATTAATTTTCTTAAGCAAGCCTTATAAACAAATCTTTCCTCCTCACATTCCCATAAATAATGCTTGATTTTTTTTGTTAATGGTCGCATACTAACAGTATAAGAATAAGTAAATACTAGGTGTAATGTGTTGAGCTATCTTGATGCATGGGTGTATGTCCAAAATCCTAGAGCATAAGGGGAAATAATTACAATTGACTTGCCATCAGTAAGCATTCTAGGCCACATTGAAGGCCAGCTTGGATGAATGATTTCCATTTATTTAGTATTTGATCTATTGAAATAATTGAAATGTTTACTCGAAAGCGCAGTCTTCATAATCGTGCATTTGTTTTAAGCATGGAGTTGTGTCTAAATAGGCTAGATATCATACCAAAGACAGGTGGCACTGAAGAGGGGAGTGTACCAAAATACAGATAACTCATATTAAATAAATTAATCAAATATCTGGTTCTTTTGATTAAGGATTTCTGGATTATTTTTGTTCGATTTATTCAAATACTTCAACTGGATCCTTCTTTTTACGTTAGTAGTCTTGCAAGATTTATTTAGCCGCTGCCCTTCTCATGTCATTCTTAGCATCAATTGAAATATTCGGAGATTTGCTTGAATTCAGAACTTAAGAGGCTAACTATAATCAACTATTTGAGTACTTCGTCGTCTATTTTCGGAGAGATTTCAATAATATTATTTAATTCATAACCTGTTTTTATCAAAATATTAATACCTACATAAGCAAATATTGCAGCTATACCACCATAAGTAGCTATGTTTCCTACTAAACCATACCTGAACATTTTATAACCAAAATTAATAATTATTAATTCATTTATATTATTTCATTAGTTTTCTATAGTCACCGAAACTAGATTTCATTGTCATTCTCTTCTTTACAAGTGGAACTTAATCGCTTTCCAATAATTCAATCATCGACATAGATATTTTTACTATTGAAAAATCTCATATTTTATATTACTCTCTTCAGGAGTCAACTTTTATGTCAATCCCAATTTTATTTGCTTTATGCACCATGCTATTTCAAGATCTGTCTATTCAGCTTCAGGCAAATTCAATTTTGCTTTTATTTCTTCTTCCACTTACTAAATCATCTCTTGATTTTGCTCCTTTAGCTTTTTCTTCTTCTCCTTTTTCTTCTGATTCCTTATTTAGTTTTTACTTAGTTGATTTCCTTACTTATCCTCTTATTCTTCAACTCCTTGCTCTTTCTCTTATTATTACAACTCTTCTGCTTAATTATCCATTAATTAATATTAAAATGTAATATTTTATTTTAATCTTAATCCATTAGATGATTTTCATAAAAAAAAATTTGAATTCATGCTAAATCAATCTTAAATAATTTGTTTTAGATTACAATATAGTTTTTTCAAGGATGAGATTATCAATTTATGTGAATACATATAAATATAACCAATTGTAGTTTTAATTCATCTTTAAAAATACAATACATATTTATAATTATTAGAACATCTGATTTATTGAGCAGCTTGAATGCCTATTAGTGAGCATTTCAGAGATGAACCTCAAATACATGTTTCTTTAATGTAAATGTAAATTGATTTCATTATAATTATTATTTCTGTAAATAAAGATACTCTAAAGTTTTTTTTTCTCAATTCTAAAAATAATCATTTCATTAAAACCGTTATATTGAGAAAAAATACAGACTAATTTAATTATATTTATGAAAAACATAAATGAGACTTAATAAAGCTTTTTAAGACCATTCATAATTTTATTTTATCAAGTATCAATATTTCTATATGTTAAAATATAAATCAGAATTTGATGACTGTTCCTTAACAATTTTTGACTCTACAATCTTGCAATATTTAAGCTTTAGATATTCTTGATCCTTTCAAACAGATTTCATACTTAAAATAATCAAACAATTTACACTGTCTTTTGCTCTTTAATGTTGGTTTTTTTCAAAGCCTAAGTTGCCAACAAATTACCAAGAGCAATCTGCAATATAATCATGACTTAATCAAAAATATTAATACCAAGTTTTATCTCTATTGCAATTGTAAAATTCCGTTTTGCACTTATCTTATAGACATGACACGTCGGCTAAGGTCACTACAAGCATTATTATTAGAATGATGAATTTTTTCATTATAAAAACGAATTAATATTCAATATGACTAAATAATCTCATCTATTCTAATACTCTCCTCATAAAGCACCTTATTGCAATGTTGTCTACTGCAACTATTTAAGCTCTTAGCAGCTGAGTTTGTGCTCATACAGTAGGTGAACTAAAGATTAAAAATATCTTACATCTTGATATCCAGCTTCTGTTCCCTTATATTGACCAGATTTTTGTGCACGATGCACGTATTATTTAAATTGGTTTGCACATTTAGCAGCAGTTTAATCACAATTGCCTCCGTTTTTACAAGCTTTTAGCTAAGCTCCACAATATGCATTAGTACAATCTCCTGCTTTTGAAAAACACAAAACAATTAGAATGAGTAAAATTAAGAATTTTTTCATTTTAAATTTATATATAAAATTAATGTTGCTATTACCATAGAGGGTAACCCAGCATACTTTTATAGATAAATAGTTTACATTCCTATATAGATTTTTATGGATATTAATTATCTAATTGATTTCTTTGATTATTATTGAGTGAGATGATTATCAATAGATCAATTCATATTAAATCTACATTTGAAGGTAAGGTAGTGTAGGGGTATTTGTAATATTCTACGAGTGATAATTTATAAGAGCCAAGATCGAAAAAACAAAGAGGAAAAGTTCTTGTAAACTAAGCATTTCGTTTCTGAAATGAATTATATAAATAAATAATTTATAAAATGGGAGGTTGCTTATATCGTGAGTCAAAGGATCAATATCATTACAACACTGAAGACATATTGCTGAAATAGAAGTTAACCCATGAACGATTGCAGAACCTTTTGAGACTACGTGAGGATAGGGAGTAAATGTAATAAAGATATTAAAAGAACATCGAGGAAGGTGAGAAAATGAAATAGCCTAAAAAACTAAATCAATCATCAGTAGAATAAAGTGGATTTGACATCAGCCTTAGTAAAAATGTTTAGAATCTACATTATATCGAAGAGGCTGAAGATGAATCAAGTTTTATTGATCAGCAAAAACCTTAGACTTAATAAAGATTACCAGATGATGAGAATTATGAGGAAGGAGGAGATTTACTTTTATAATTGGCCTCATCTTAACAACTAAATCTAAATAAAGCAGATAATATAAGAGATTAATTATAAGGGAGATAGAGTAACGAAATGGATGATGAGATATTGCAATACTTTAATACTACAAAGGCTAATTATGAAAGTAAAGTAGAAGATTGATTTAATATTTTTAATAATTTTATATATAAATGTCATCATAATCTTAATAAGAATATGATTAGGATCAAGAAAATAATGAAGAACTGTAAGACGATGATCAAGAATTCTCATCAAAATAATAGGAAAGCTAAAAATAGGTTAAGACTACTATCAAAAAGGTTAGGAATTATCAAAAAGTACCTGAGAATCTTAAATCATAACTACTTAAATTAGTAATTTAGTAGGGTGTTAAAATAAATTAAGTACCTAAGAATATGATATTTTAAGGCAGCTCAACAATTAAATTTAAAATATGCAACAGCTAAAACAATAATCTTCACTTACAGGGCTTAATCAAAACCAAAGAAGTCTAAAAATAAAAAAAAGAAGACAAGTACAAAAGTAGAATTTGTACCAATCCAAAATAATAATGTTAACCCTATTCATGTTGAAATTTCAATTGGAGGAAATCTCTAGAATAAATTTACACTCGAATGAATTATTGTTGAAATATTTTGCGTTATTATATGGAAATATAATTAATCAAATATCATTCTATAGGATTATCCTTTAAGGATTATTGGATTGATTTAATTAGTAAAATATATCTATTTTGAGTAATTGAAATCTAAGAGATTTCCCATTTGTAATTTGTGAAATTTAGAAAATTGTAAATATGGTTTATAGGATATCTCCTTTTATTGGATTTATATGTTTAAATAGATGATTGCTTATTCTATATATATATAAAGTTTTGGTTCCACTTTTGATTAATACTTGGTCTACATGGCAAATAATTTCATAAAAATAAACCATCTACTTATCTTCTATTGTTTTGGTACTTATATTTATTATCTCATTATCCATTGTTCATTTAAATGAGCTATTCTAAAATATTTTATTCAATTTCCCAATTGTTTTTCATGTAATTATAAAATTTAGTTTTATCCAAATAAGCCTCAAAAAAACAAAATGAATTAGCAACAATTTAAAAAGTAATGAGATCGTTAGTATGATTCGATAGAGTAAGATTATTGAACAGTCTATCTTGGAGATATGTAACATTCTGATCAATAAGATTTAAGGCGCAAATTAAATCGATAAGCTTTTTGGTTAGTTATTAATAAATCGATGGATCTGTACTATTTTGGATTAGGAGATTATGAACATTCTTAGATTAGTTAGGTAGCCATGCTGAGGATGTTTAATTATTAAATTTTATTGTTTTATTCGTATATAAATCGACTCATCGTTAAATTTTTTATATTATGAACATAATTATGCAAAATGATAATGCATACCTAGTTAAGAGAAAATTAGGAAATGGCTCATTCGGTTGTGTATACTTAGTATGTGACATCAAAAGTAACCAAGAATTTGCCTGCAAAATTGTAATTCAAATGTTACTTATTTTAGGTGTCTAAATCTATGCTGAGCAAATATTAGGCTGAGGGGATGGTGAGGTAGGAGATTCAAATTCAATCAAGCATCAACCACAGAAATGTAGTAAAAGTGTTTAATTCATTTGAAGATACTAAAAACATCTACATCATTTTAGAATATTGTAAGGAGGGTTAATTGCAACTCCCCTCACAACCTTATACAAATAAGCAACTAATCTAATTCCTCAACCAAATGCTCAGCGCTCTTGATTCTATTCATCAAATGAATCTTGTGCATAGGGATATCAAAGTAAGTAACATCTCCCAAATTCCAGTTAGACAACATTCTAGTTCATGAGGATGGATCATTCAAGCTTTCAGACTTTGGATGGGCTACCCAAACATCTTAAATTAAGCCAATCCTATGTGGTACAACCGAGTATATGCCTCCAGAAGTTGTCAAGAACTAAATCCATGACCAAAAAGTAGACTCCTGGTCATTAGGAGTAGTACTCTATGTATAAATATCATATATCTCAGATTTTGACACACTGCAGAAAACCTTTTGTGGCTAAAACAGATCGTGAATTAATTAAATTAATTTCTGAAAATGAAATTAAAATTGATACTTCATTGGATGAAAATCTATAAATCCTCATTCAAGCATTGCTTACCAAAGATCCTGTTTATAGACCCAATATCCAATAGCTCTATTTCAGCAAATGGATCAAATTCCAAATGAAACTGCATAATATCTTCAATAAATACGAGCATGAAAAACTAAAGCATAAATTCATAAATCAAAAGATTGAGATAAAATCTGTAGATAATCGGTATTGATTCTATTAATTTTAAGAGCTATCTAGTAGAGAAAGAAGACTATCACTTCAGATTCATCTCTATCTCATAGTATTAGTACCTAGTTGAGCAATTGTGACATGAACGAATCAGGAGTGGTTGAAAAATAGAAATAGGATAAACTATGACTTATTAATATATAATTATCCAAATTATTGGAAATCTTAATATTTACAGTTGTGCACAGAATCATAGGAGTTTATATTATTAACATAAAAGGGTTACTCAATTAATTGTTTTTATTATTAGATTATACATACGGAACATTAAAATGGTAAGAATCCAAGGGGAAATCTTATTGATTAATATTATATGATGATTAAATATTATTAACAAATTATTGAGAGTAGTCTTTATAATTATTTTTGCATCATTATCAATGTTGACTCATTTTTCAAAGTTCAAGATATTTCTAAATATACCTGATGATGATTTATGATCTGTATGAGTGCAAAAAAAGGGAAATCGCATCGACTCCTAATAATATGGAAACTTGAATGTTCTCTAAATTATTATTGGCCATGTGTTGATGCTCTATTCGAAAATAACGCTTTTGATGGTGACATTAGGATGGATTTGATAATATATTATTTGTTTATAAGCAAATGTTGTTCTGCTTTGGTTGTATCTTGAGGGAGATGGTAGTATAAATCCCACTTTATGAGGGGAAAAATTTAAAAAGAAAAAAACATTTTTAATTATAGATATGGCCTAGCATCTGTAGGACAGCGAACTATTAACAGCGAAACCTACCGTTCACAATGGATAGGAAATGGTTATTTAGGGTTTGGGTGCACAAGAACAAAGTGATTCTAGCTTTTCATCCCAACATTTATGTTCTGTAAATAAATCAGACTTAACTTGATTAGAGCCAATAGAGTAGTCACAGGAACATCAATCTTAGTCAGAGTTCATTTAAGAAGATCAGTAAGAGCAGTTCGGATCTTTAGAATTTCTCAAACAAACATGCCCACATTTGTGCCCATTATAATTTCCTTGGTAGATGTCCCTTGGAACATTGCAAGTATTATTACTACGTTATAATCTATAGAAAAAGACACATTTTTATATCAGAAGATGACGGTTTAAGTGAACTAATATCAGACAACATTGACTTGATTGACAACCTCACAAGCAGCGGAAACAAACTTAAATTACCGCACTCTACCTATGGAACTTAGTTATCTAAATATAGAAAATGTAAATCCAACACTAAGGAATTTTGTGAGAAATTGGAACACAAATTCATAACTTAAGAATAAATACATTTTGGCGATTTTCCTATATAAAATTTTTGGAATTGGAATGCATTTGCTCTGCAATCCTTTTCCATCAAGTCCCAACCGGATTTGGGCAATAATCCCCAAGAGAATAAATATTTTAGCCAATTAATTAAGCCAAAACCTCTTGTGGATTACAAATAGGCCTCGGAAAATTTTAGAGAATTCTTCATCAGCTCTAAACATTTCGAATGAGATCAAAAAAAATCTAATGTCCAAACTGAAATCAGACATTGACAAAATGCAACAAAAAATAAAGACTATTTCAATGCTGAAGAAATGGATAAACAACCAACAAGTGGATTAGAATGAGTACAAGAACTTGTAATCCTCCCTTTCCCAAATTCAATAAATCCATTATACTAATTTCCTCAGGATCACTAACATTTCAATATCCAGTATTTATACCTTAATACAATTAGATTAAGCCAAATTCAACAATTAGTTTCAAAATGTCGAATACGTCTAATAATGAATTGTATCATTATAGCATGTATAGAGAGTTATGTGAATAATAAAATATTTAATATATCAATTGCTCTGATCAAGCGAGTTGCTTTTATTTCTCTGGTCTTTTATTATACAAACCCGAGTTGCATCATCGAATTCTAAAAAATCATAGATGCTCGGAGTCAAATACTCTATTTTAGAAATAATTTGTCTCAACCAAATCTTTATCATAGCTATTTTCTCATTAAACATTTAATTAGTGTCAGGTCCATGTTGGAAAAAGTCATTTGGTAATTTATAAATTTCAAATCCAAATTTATCTTCCTATTAGAGCCTACTTTCAAGCATGACAAAATCATTGATGGTCTTTTTAAGTTGATAATGTTTATTAGGATTGGATAGAAATATTTTTAATGTAATTACTGCATCTATTCTACCATCCTTTTGTTATACAATTTTCCAAGTTTTACTAAAATGAATATTACATTTGAATAAGGATTAAGTAGAAGATAATCCAATAAAACTATTTTATATAGGTATCATATTTTGTCTACTATCCTCGTAATCTGGTACAGTCATACCAAGTCCTGAGATGCCTTCGAATTCAATCTTGTCCTATTTTCTGATAAAAAAACTAAAAATGTTGAGACTGAATTGATCAACAATTATCAAATACAACACTACATTGCTCAAAATATCGTATTCCGATTGATTCAATCCATTCAATATAGCCTAAATTAGATTAGTTATTAGACAAATAATCCAAAATATTTTGTGAGCGAACATAATAGGGACATTCTTATTATACTCATGTAAAATGCCAGCTACTTGAGTTGAATAGACTATACACATAAACATAAATATTTAAGAATAGTCTGATTTATATAAATAGAATTTTGGATTCAAAATAGAAACAAAGTTATAGGTTAATGTTAATAGAACACATAGAATTAGTAAAAACACTCTAATTTTTAAGGTAGCATTGTATTATCTGTATTAATGATGGCCTGTATTTTTGAGTTAAACAAACCTAATGGTTAGTAAAATGAGCGTAACAATTCCACTAATGGCAGGTATATAGATATCAAAAATTCTATTCTGCATTAGAATAGTTTGATTAATTATTTAAAAAATGGAATAATATTATTTAATATTGATTCAATATGCTTTAAATTATCATATTTTTTCTTAGAATGTCCTGTCCGATTTAGTTACTTTTTTGTAGTCAGCTTATTAATAGATGTTGTAAGATGTTCCCTTGGGATACCAATTCTCATCTAAATTAAAAGTTAATGCAATAATAAACCTTCCATTTCCAATTGTTCTTAGATGTCATCCTAGGACTTCCATAATTCCCTTCTGCAATTAGGATTTCTGGGTGAGGGAAAGACTCTGTCACTTTCAGGAATATTGAATTGATCTTCAATTCCGACCATTTCACCTCCCCCTAGATAGATCAAAGACTTTATTTACATTCGCATTCATATTCGAACCAAGTATTAGGCACACCCAAATCCAAATCACCTGTTGGTTTGATCATTGGATCTGACCACAGGAAAATTTCCCAATGATAATCTATCAATTCCCTCACTGGTGCAAATCCAACAGGCAATTTAGCCAAATCTTCCAACACTTGAACATTCCAAAGAATTTCAACCTTCTCGCCCTTTGAATTGGTCACTACTTGTCTTGCAACATAAACACTGTTTGGAACATAATCCACATCGAAACCACAATTATAAACTAGATATGCAAAATCCACTTATTCTTATGGTGTTAAACCCATATTCAAGATCTTCTCCACTTCTCTTCTTGTGATTCCTAGCCATTTTAATGATTGAACATACCTGGTACTCTTCTCATGATTTCATCTGGGTCCATTTAACAACTCCAAGTTCCTTGTCTACCAAGGGAAGTGTTCTGCCACACAGCTCTTACATCTTCCATGCTAGAGAATAATATAAAGGAGGGTAATACGTATATGGACCGTCATATGGAGGCAGTGGGCCTGATTGTCTGACTGGATTGACATGTCTGACATTACGCACTTTGAATAATCAAGTTTAACATACCTGGAAGTGGTACTTATTGTGATTTGGCTATATCGGCAATTTCTTTGTTAGATTAGAAAAAGTTGGGATTCAAATAATGTCGATACCTGTTTGGATTGTAAGGCCCATCTATGATATTTGAACAACCACTTTACTTCTTGATGAGAAAGTATATTGAGGCATTGCTTTACGAAAACCAATATTAATCGCACGATTGAGCATATCTATATAAAAATAATTTATAAATCTAGATAAAATAAATGTATGTATAAACTATATGCACTCCTAAACTGTGATTATTATGCATATCGATTCCCACTTTAAGATGTATTTTGCAGAAAGAAAAAGATATATCAAGCTTTATAGATTAAAAATAAAAAAATATATATTTATATATATATAAATAAATAATGGATAGAGAACTTATATCTATTACCATCACAAACTATAAAAGCGACGAAAATGTGGAGGGCCCATATGAAAAACAATTTAGAAGTGATTGCACTATGGCATAAGTTTTGCAAGAATTTGGACTAGATTCTGCATTAATTGTTGGCTACAAAGACATTATTGAGTCTAATAAAATTTTGAAAAAAGTATATGAGGAATCTCCATAATTCATATCATAAGGGTATCAACCTAAATAGCTTCAATTAAAAATTATACACTAATAGAATAATCTTTAAGGGAATACTAAATGTAAATTTTATATAAAAAATGTGGTTGACTAACCTTTTATTGAATATATCCTGGTAGATTAAAATTACACTATATGCTCGAAGATTAAAGCCGAAAACTCAGTTATTCACAACAATAAAATTGCAGATAGAGAAGAACAATTTAAAAACATCTAAAGTGATCATTAGATCGAATTGAGTATAATTCCAAATAGTGAAGGAGAGATAGATAAATTGAGTTAAATGTAGGTTCAAATTTTTTCTGATCAAATTTAAAACCATGGCTCTTATAAAGATGGTAATGTAATTAGAGAAAAACTATTATACTTAGAGATTGAGGAAAAGTCAATTATAATTTAAAGCCTAATAGAAAAATTCAACAATAAGAATAATGACAACATCTTTGCACCTCTAAAGTAGCAAAGGGATTTTGGAATTCTAAAAGAAAATTGTAAGATTATTTCCGAAACAGAATCCTTGTGTAAATTAATAGGCTTGCGTAATGAGAAACAGGGAAATCACCTTTAGCAAAGGGCAGACGAATAAAAACGTATAGTTAATGTATTTTACAATGGGAAATAGATTTTGCATGAAATTTTCGAGAAAGATGATGAGGTAAAAGCAATTGATAATAAATTACCCGAAGAACTTAGAGGGAAGGTAGATTTTATCATACCTGATAATGTTGTGGTATAAGAATACCAGGAGTTAGGTGAATTGTCATACAATGTTAATGATGAAATAAATTTACAAGTTATAAATAGATAAGTATTATATGATAAGATGGAGACTGTTTTGAAATAAGCATTGTAGTAAGTTTAGAAATTGAAATAGGACTAAAATGATATTGAAATCAGAGAGGACTAAAATGATATTAAAATTAAATAGGAATTGTCAGCATATAGCCTTATTTTGGAGAAAGACTAAACGATTGATAGGCTCTAATAGGTTATAGAATAATTAAGGTTTAAGAAGAGTAAATAAGAACAGATTCTTGAGATTCAAAATATAACTGAAACAGTCAGCAAACAAATAGATACATGATTTTATATTAAGTAAGAATTAATATCAATTATATTTATTCGATACTATTTTAATTATAATAATAAAAATGCAAAATAATTTGTTAGATTATAAATAAGATGAGCAATCGATTAAAAAGGTGATTGAAAAGGAAATCAATGGTAAATCCAAGCGATTATTTGATCCCAATACCTATTACTCTCAATTTCAAAATTTGACTTCGGAAAGTTTATAGTAATGCGAGAAATCATAAGCGTAGAAAGGAGCGAAAGAAATGATTGAATGTATTACAATATAATCAATTGAGTTAAGGCATAAGTTACAAGTCAAGATAAGGTGATTGAAGCAATCAGAGCAGCTAACTTTGTAGAAATTCAGAATGTGAACTTTAAGTTCAAAAGGCTACTGAAGGAGATCTTGTAATAAATAGCGGACCAATTGGGAAACCTCTTCAAGGATGAGTATTTGAAGTTATGGTTGGAATGGAAAAGTGCTAAAGCAGCATTAATGGACAAGGAAGTCAAATTGAAAAATTCAGAAATGAGTCAATAGTTACAGGAATAGGAATTGATCTAAATAAGAACAGAATTTACAGCCTAAAACACCTTTCTTAGTATGAATAAACAGCTAGAGGCAACTGTTTAGAATTTAGAGACTGAAAATAATAAGTTGAAGGATAGCCTAAAAAATCTTAATCAATATTGCAATGAATTAAAGCAGAACAATGAGGAACTAAATAAAAGAATGAAGAAACTAGAGTAACAATTTGAGGAGGCAAAAGAAAAATATGAAAATGAAATCAATCAGTTAAAACTAAAAGAGTAGAATTTAATAAGGGCAAATAAGGATCTTATTGATTTAAACAATTAATTAACCCAACAATTAGATAAATATAGAGATTTGTATGAAATGCAAAACCAGAAAAATAATGATTTGGCTGATCAAGTCAGGTATTGGAAATCAACTCATTAATAGAGATTAACGGATTTATAGTAGTCAGAAACAAGAATAGGATCATAGAAAGGGTATCTATTTAAATACAGGAGAGAAGTGCAGGACTTAAAAAGGTTTAAGTTATATAGTGAAGAGGCTTAGAAAGAATTATCGAATGCTAGATAGACAGTTCATTTATTAAATTAATAAACTGAATAATTAAAATTCAGTTATGAAAATGCAATTCAACAAAATCTATAAATTTAGACTGAAAAAACAGAGAACTTGAATCAAATATTATTACGCAATGCTCAATCAACCAAAAAGGTAAATAATGAAACCAATGTGTTTTATGAATCCCCTTAAAAAAGCAAATTTGATTTTCATAGTGTCAAAAAGATTACTTAACCCTCAGTTGATGAATTAAGCTAATTTGTTATAAGTTATTCAAAGGTGCCAATCCAATCAAGGAGAACTAAAGTGAGAAGTGTTAGTGCGTAAAAGAATTCCTAGTCAGAAACTGATACCTCTAAAAACAATATTGGAATCTAAGAATTTGATTAGTTTACACCATATACTGAGAGTAATGTGAATCAATTAAACTTTAATTCTGCTCCCAAACATCCTTTAAGTAAAAACAAAAGGATTAAAAGACAAAATACTGAAAGCTGATGAACTTGAATTTTAATTATTCAGATATATAATCCTTTTATAATCAAATCATAATATTTCTTTATTCATTTACTTTTCGAGCAGATTCTTGGGTATTGTCTACTTAAAGATAAGAGTCTGATGATAAGTTCGCTTCTTCATGCAACCTGTACTTTAGTATTCTTGGAATGCTGTGACATTGGGATGGATCAAATTTGATGAGTTTCATGCAGTTGCTGATAAGCACAACAATAATTGATGATAAGGACATCGATGTAGAGGATATCATTGGAGATATAGTGAATCCTTATCCATAGAACACACCTGCTGCGATAGCTAAAACTATTAAATAATCTTACGTGCCATCAATAAATTATAAGCAAAGGCCCAAATCAAATTAATATAGATTACTTTTAAAGCTGTGTTCATCAAATTTATGAGAGATACAATGCTCCACAAATTTTCTTTAAGAACTATCACATCTGAAGCCATGAGATTCAATTCTGATTTTGCATTGATGGCAACACCAATAGATGCTTATTGGAGTGAGAGGATATCATTGAGACCATCTCCAATCATCATCACCTCTTATTTTCTCTCTTTTAACTCCATTAAAAACTTTTATTTTCCCTCTGCATCTATTTCAGCATACTAATGGCTCGGTGGTATTTCTAGGTATTTGCCTACAGAGGACACTGTTTTTTTTGAATCCCCAGACAAAATATAAACAGTCTTCTTCAGATTTTCTCTTAAATATGTTATCACAGCCTTGGCTTCAGGTCTTAAATTGGTTTTGTTATCCAAACATAAGATTACTTCTGGTATATCATCAATAGCCATTAGAATTACTGTTTTTCCTTTTCTTTCCAGACACTAGCATTTTTTTATGATATAGTCTTCTAGGATCGCTCTATTTTCAGTTAAATGAGCTAGATTTCCAATTAAACATCTAAACTATGTTTGATCAGTAGTTCTGGTTACATTTCCAATGATTCCATTTTTCTCTTATTTTGCTTGTTCTGTAAGAACAAATGTACTCTATCTTCCAATTTATCTTTGAACAGATTCCTTGAATAATAAAGTAGCAATAGGATGATTGAAGTCTTTTTCTAAAACTCCCAGAATAGCCCATAAATCTTGACCTGACAAAGTCTTATTGAATTTCAAATTTGATTATATTTTACCTTCTGAATTAGGGATATCCCTTTTAGTTTCTACAGGATCAGACATTACCAAAGATTTCTAAAATTATTTAACCTTCACAACAGTTTTATCCTATTACTTTAATGAGATCTCTGTCTCATTCTTAGATAGAAGAGTGAAAGATTCAATATGGTCCACTTTAGTGAATAGGGTTCCTGTCTTATCAAAAATAATACAATTTATTTTGTTTATTGATTCAAAAATAGTATTCTAAGATGTATAATGATCTAATACCTTTTTTATTAAAATCCCTGATTTCAAAGCCAAGTTTAATGTAATTATAACCACAGATGGTACTGCCAGTCCCAATGCACAAGGACATGAGGCAACCAAAATAGAAATAGCTCTCTCAAATGGAAAACACCAAACACAATATTCCTCAATTTCAACAATATCAAATCCTATTAAAAATGTCCAAACTATAAAAACTATCAATGCCACACAAATGACTCCAAGCACAAATCTCTAAGATAACTATTGCAACATTGCTGTAATACCAAAGTCCTTGCTTTCCCTTTCTGATTATGCTAAATTTAATTGTTCAGCTATTTGAAACAACATAGAAGACTCAATCACTTACTCTACCTAAAAGATACATGATCCATCTAAGATATCAGCACCTGATTTCAGTCTAGTTCCCATAGAGGCTTGGAATCTGTCATCTTACCCATAACAAATTGAATCAATCACTTATACCTAACCTTTAACAATTACTCCATCCAATAATAATTTCATTCCCTTCTCAAGAATTATCAAATCTCCCTTTTCCAACAATGAAATATCACAACTCTCTTAAATATTGATGTCATAATCCTAGTTCTTCACTTATACCTTCATAACAGTAGGTGTCTTTAATAACTAATCTTGAGGAAATATTTAATTCTGCATCTCCATTATTGTCTGTTTTGCCTTTCCTTCGAAGTATTTGCCTATCATAATAACAGTAAGTATCAATCCTGCAGATTCTAGATCGTGAATTATGTTCATTATTCTTTCCATTTAAATTTCTTGACCTTTAGTCTCTTCTTCGTTATTCTATCCTTCCAGAGTGTAAACAACGATCAAGAACAAACTCATACAATAAGCAGCCAATGAACCAAGAGTCAATAATGTATCCATATTACACATTCTAAATGATAGAAGTAAAGATATACCTGTATTTGGTGAACAAGTGATATGCATTCTTGTAAGTTGGAGTTCCAAATTTAATCAATGTGAAAGTTGTCATGAAAAAGATGAATACCAAGTAGATACTAAATATGGATTCTTCATGAGGATACGATAGAAAAGGGTTATAATAATCAAAATGAGGCATGATTGAGCAAAACACCAAAAATATGATGCTTAACACAATGGCTAAGATGAACTTTCTATAGGTGACTGCTTCCTAATATCCACTTTTCTTTTTGAATTTCTCAAGGAGTGCATTGTAAACAAGGAATCCTGGATCTGAACCAATCTTCTCTTTTTCATCTATTGTGGGAATTTTGTCCTGGATTTAGGCTTAGATATTCTATTTTATCTAAAATGCTGAAATTGATAATGGCTAATAAGATATGGTTATTAATTAACCAGACTTTTAAAAAATTATTAATAAAATTATACTTGCATGTTATATTTAAAATTTTCTTACTAAATTTCTCTAACTCCACCCTGATATTATTGGTGGAGATTGCTCCTTATCTGTTTCAAGTCGTCCAATTGAAACTCCGAATTTGGAAAAAAGAACTAACACCTCCTCAATTAATTGGAGTCAGTATTAATTAATCTTGGTTGACCAACTATAAAAAAATTATTTTGCTCCAAGATCAACTTAATCGAGTCGAGTGAGCTACAGGATACACAAAAATCATTTACATGAGGGATTGATTGAAAGAAATGATCACTCGTTCAGCCATTACGTTCACTTGGACATATATTATACCTTGAAATGGTTGAAATAACTAGTACCTTGCTGACCTTCAAAGCTCGATTTTATCTTATTCACACACATAGTACACCATATCTTTGAAACAGTTAGATCATAAACTACAATATCTGATTGCATAAATAATATAATTATTATATAATAATGTCATAAATTTGCAATCACGAGAGTTGTATCAAATCCTCTCTCCTTGGTTTAAGACAGGGCATATATTATGGAGGAAAGATAAGATTCTTTCACGCTCTAGTAATGACTTTTCTTTTTAGACCTGGCTCTATCAAGTCCAAATTCATCACTGTTATATAGTTGACGTACTAACATGCAAAAAATCTGGGCACTTTTGTATTCCTCTACAAATCAATCGTCTGTATTCTAAATAACATAAGAAAGAAGCAGACCAAGCTCCATAATCTAATTAGTGGAGCCATATGTGGCTATCTTGTTTTTGGAAGAAATAAATCTGCTGTCAATTAATAAATTGTTCTCTACGTTATGAGTAGAGTCATTATAGGTTTGGCTTCAAACATTTAGAGAAGAAAACTATTACCATCCTCATGGGATGCTTTCCCTCTTCAAGCAGCTGTTGTCTGGGGATTAGTCATGCTATTATTTGAAGATGATAAAGGATGCTTATAGAACTCACTAACTTCTAGCATGACCTTTTTATATAAAGACAGTGATAGATCTTATTCAAGTTGGGCTGAACTAATACCATTCGAAATGCCAGACTTTTTATCATTTCTTTGGAAATGATTAAATTAATTATAGTCTAACTTTATTTTAAATATCATTTCATATAACTAACTCAATATTTTTGAGTTCTTGTATAAGACTAAATGGCAATAAATTGAGATCCAATTTATTATCTCGATAAACAATACTTCTTTATTAAATATTTAATTTTATCGGAGAATTCAAATTCAAATTTTTATAAACCTTCTAAAATTCAATTTAAAATATACATAATATCAAATAATTGAGATAGGTTCAAATAATGCTAACTTTATTTGTTTATTGGTTAATATCGTTAATTTATATGTAAATTCATGTTATTCTTATCGAAATGTGTATTTGTTTGATAAATTTGATTATCTGTTTCATGGTGTTTGAGTTTTATTAATTTTAAATTCAGTATTAAATTTAATCAAAATAAGCAGAGATATTAGTAATTATTTATTATTACGATTTATTCAATAACGTATTTTTACCTAAATATTATAAAATGAATATTGAATATAGGTTATGCTAATTTGTAAAGCAAAAGCATGTAATATTTAATAAAGTATAGATTTGATATATATATAATACAGCATGAATTTTTCAATATTTGGAATTCTTCTTCCCTGCCACTACTGTTGTTGATTATAAATTGTTGATTTGAGGGGGAATGTAACTTTCTGAAAATTTAGGTTATGCAGATTCTCCAAATTGATTCGGAGGCACGTACGCAGGATCTCCAAATTAATTCGGAGGTACATACTCATTTACATAGTTTGCTGGGTTGCTTTGATTTTGAATTATGTTATTTTTAACACTAGAATAGACAGGTGGAAATTTGGATTAATGTGGGGATAAAGGGTTTTGATAAGGACTTGTTTCAGAATGATGGATGTCTTCTTTTGAAGGAATTGGTTGTCTCTAAGTGTCTGACTCAGGAAAGTACGCTTTCTCCTTCTTTTGTTTGAAGCACCAATGGAACATCTATACTATAAACATCATAATTAAGATGAATTCGCTTATGGCTATAATTATTATCGAGATCGTTATGAGCGAAATGTAGGTATTGACATCTGCAGGGAAGAGGTTGGGAAAATTTGCAAATACATTCTAAATTTGGTCAGAAGAATAGCAATCTGCAATCGATTTAAAGTAGAGTTCTGAGTCACTTCTGAGCTTTTCTTGATATAGGATCAGACCTCCTTCAATCAATATGAATGACATCTGGCATATCAGTAGGATTTTTAAAATGACTGTAATTATTCGAATGTCATTCACTATCCTAAATTTAAGCATATAAATTTCTATGATTAACACAATTCCTATAAATCCAGAGAAAATCTCTTTTATGACTACATAAATGAACCCAATTTCCTGTATCGATTATTCACAATTTTCAGTGTCATTAATCATATTGTTATCAATCTATATGCATTTATTATCAGAAGTTGAAGCAATTTTATTCTTTATTAAAATATATTAAGTACTCTTGCTGTCAAATATGTAACAGCTGAATTAGTAACAGATGAAGGAACTCCATTAAAAGATAATGCTTCTAAGCCTTACTTAGCGAATTCTGAAAGTGTTGTTTATTCTATTTTGACACTATTATCTGTGTCGAAATCAGAACCTTCACAATTTTCAGGATCAATATAATCACTATTATTGGTTAACCCTGCTGTTATATAAATTAAGGGATTCAAACATGGGTATCCTCGTATTACAACTTGAATTTTAAATATCCCGTAGGATGAATTCTCTCTTTGAATATACAAATCCCTTTTACTCTCTAAGTTCTGATCTGCATCTTCATCAACAACCTCATTTTAAATTATAGTCAATTTAGAAATGGGACACTAAGATCCTTCACTGGTTTCTATGCAATATGGGCCACAGTTGTATTCAGTAGCCGAACATTCAGTCGACAATCTAATGTCAACATATCTAGTCACACAAATCAATTGAGAATACCATCTAGTAATATTGTATTCTGCAAATGGAAATAATTATTAGGTTTCTTCAGATGAATCACAATCCAAGTCTCTAAAATATACTCTAATTATTTAGTATTTGATACTGTTTGATTGGTTTGTAGACTAGATTATCAGAGATGTACGCAATTGTAGCATTCTGAGCTTCGTATTAATAGTCATTTGAATAAAAATCAACTACCCCATGGACGATATCCAATCCAATGCTGATCAACAAGGAGAGAATCATGAAAAAGAGAGTTAAAGATTTCACAACTTTATCAAAAATAGAACTATGTATTTGTTCAATTGGATTCTTTTTCATTAAATTTATATTTATTCAGAAATACATTAACAAATATTTTTATCATTCATTAGTTCTCTTATTGATTTCTAATGGAACTTCCTGGAAGTACAATTTATTTTTTTATTAAAAATTAGTCTTCTTTAGTGAAGCCTAATTGTGAGAGCTTTCTGTTGAAGTTGGTTCTTGTTATAGCTTCATCCAGATATAAATTCATCATTTAAAATTCCTTCATAAACTCATTATACAACAATTTCTGTTCATCCTTATTACACATATTGATAATCCTCTTTGATTTCAGATTAAATTAACTTAGCAACAAGGTCTTTTCTTTCTTATTGTCCATTCTCTCCTACATCTGTGATTTCCTATCTCCAGAGGCTAGAGTGAGCTCTTTGCTCTCTGGTTGGTATCTTGATTTGGGAAGAGGATAATTCTTAGAAAAATTGAAGAACTATTACTCGAACATGGAACTTATCCTCTTCTTTTAAGGTCTGATCTAATATTTGTTTTTCAGTTGATCTTCCTCTATGTTGTGATTGTGTCTCACTTTGGCCTCATTTATTTTTGACTTGATAAAATCATTAGCCTTCTATTTGAATGCAGAATAGATCTCTTCCTCCAAATATTCTGTTGAATTCAAGTCTATTCCATATTACAACACTAACTTCAAGAGTTCCTTATCGTAATCTATTTAGGTTATCTTCTACTACGACGTCTAATTACTACGCTTTTCTTCAGCTTTGCCTAAATGTGTTGTGCTTTTCGTAGATTTCCCTAATTTCTATATGAAATTCTCCGTTTCTTCTTTCTCTTTTTTTAGTTATTCTATGTGATCTTCAACATAATAATAAAATAGATTTTATTCATACTGAGATTTGGTCACTTAATCTCTGCTTGACATTTATTCAGAGGAAGTTTAAAATTAACTGATTGCTCTCTTTCCAATTTCATTTAATTTCTCTTAAGACAATACCTTAGCTTTATTGATTGGAGCCTTAACTAAACCTAAATCTAGAAAACAATCACTGTCTAAAAATGCCTTATCAAATTCTGTTTCAAACTTCACTTCATATTATTCATAAATCTTTTCCAAATCTGCCTCTTCTTAGCCCAATTATCTAGCTATTTTCCTTCTTATTAGATAATTCTTTACTGATTCTATTAAATCTCTGTTATTTAAGATATTCATCTTCCTTAGTTTGGTTTTTGTGTCAACAAAAGTATCGAGTATCCTAAACGATTGCAGTTAACGATTAAATCTAATGATGCTGCAATAATGTACCTCGCATCAGGTGTGTTATTGATTAATTTGAGCTTCGCTTTCACCTTATTTACCAAATTTATCACTCTGTCTGTGCTACATCCATCCTGATAATCCTGTTACAACTTCGTTTGTTGAGAGATCTAAATATTTGGCAAAGCATGATTCAATTTTTGGAATTTCAGATTTTAAGTCATTCAGTATATATTCTTAGAAATTAAATTTATCATATCACTATCTAATAAATTTAATAAATTTAATAAATTTATATATATATATACTCTGCCTATTGACAATTAACAATTATCCTGAACGAATTATTATAATCTAAAACTAATTACAATAATATATTTAGCCAGTGGATTTGTGACTCCATGACTATTTTAAAAAAGCCTCAATTCGAGTCTGTAATCTTCAGAGATAGATGTAGATGTGATAATTATATAAATTTCGTTTGTTTAATTTGAGAACGAGCTTAGCTTCCGGAATAGGAGCCTTGCCCGCAACCTATTAAATAGGTTTAAACTTGGATATGTTTTGCATCAATAAATGAAAAGAACCCGCTAGGATTGAGTTTTATTAATTAATAAATATTCTTTTATATTAGATTATTAATTTTAAATTTATGGGGGTTTTATATTATAATTAATAATTAATAATTAAAGAATGTTCAATTTAATAATTGCGATCTTATGAGAACTTTTTACATAGATAAATTAATATATATATCAATACATCTAACTGTTCATAGTTATTCTTGTATGTTATTAGTTTTCGAGTTTTTTTCTGATTCTCTCATGTTACAAATGAATCGATCTAAGTTTGTTGATATAGAGACACACTTAATAATAAAAATCATAAATACCAAAGAGTAGAAGCACTATCAAAACGAAACAAAAACTCACCAACAACTAGACGATTGGATTGTATTAATTACCCTCAATCCTTTAGACAATCAACTATTGAACGTGTTATTCATTTGTAGTATTGTAAAATAAAGTGAATTATTACTCCTCACTATTTTGGACATGTGAACATAATATCCGAAATGGCAATTTAATGATATTGCCTATGTAAAAGTTAGTTCCAGTAACTGCGACGACCTTTTTGTCTTTCAAGATGAGATCATGCAATCCAATAAATTTCCATTCCATATCTTCAATGTAATGCGTATTGAATCCTAGAACTACAATTTCTTCTTGAGTTTCACTTGTTTACAGTTTCTGGATATTTTTCAACTTTTGAATACTTATTAATTTGTAAGTGAGAATGTCATATTTATTCAATTGAACATTCGATGATATGTAAATGAATTTGTTGGTTGTTTGAATCTTGTCAGGATTGTTGAAATCTAGAGGGTGTTGGGAGTCTAGATTTATTACTCCTTTGTCATTCAGTTCAGCTACGATTAATCCGAGCTTTTGATCCAAAATGAACAGTTTGTTGGGCTCTATTTTATTATAACTAATGCCTATTGGATGCAGATGTAGATGCACAGCACTGGAATGATGTTTGATTGCGATTTCTTGGTTTGGATAGTTGTAGTGGATTTCGTAGATGTCAAAACCATAGGGACCAACGGCAGTTATGATGTAGTTGTTAAGATGGTAAATTGTTTGATGCCTTTGTCCTCTATTGATGAGAAAGTAGGGTATTATAGTCCTGTTGGTAATCAATAGGATGGAGTCTTGTTGATGAATAAAAATATTGTTGAACTTGTCTTTAAAAAAGGAGACATCGAAATCTTTGGATAAATAATCGGACAGGTTGATAATATCAATTGTTTAACGTTGTTGCGCATCAATTTAGTATAGTTTGAGGTTGTCACTTATGATCCAAAATTGAGTATCATTCTTTTAAATAATTGCTATGAACTAATGAAAATAGAATTGAGTCTCATCCATGAAATCTATACTTCCATTATTTTAAAAAGATTTACTTGATCACGTTGTCCTCTATGATTTTGAGTTAGTCGAGGTTATTCTGGATGATTGGTTTATATATCTGACATTATTCATTGGTTGGTATCAATTCAGCATTAATCGCAGTGGGTAATGATATTTGTAATTGATGACTGTATCTATATATCTTGGTGTCATCTACAATCAATTATTTTGAAATTTATATAATCAAGAATATTATCATTAATAATAATAATAATTCACTAATTGAACTTGAATTGCAAATAATAGTATACTGAGACTATTATACTCAATAATTTATTTAGATATTATTATCTATGTTAAATATATTAAAGAATGCATTCTCAAAGAAACAAAAATCAGATAAGCAAACAATTTAATTTGCATAATTTGATCAATAACAACAGGGTGATCCTCCTTTGCCATAAGAATTTCCTAATGATTTCCAAATTATTGATGAACAGGCCATGAACATTATAGAATCAGAGTATTATAATAAATAGCAAGTTGAGCCAGAATATCAGGAAGAACAGGAATTCGAGGAAGATCTTATCGAATATGAGGTCAAAGTAGATGATTCATTATATGGAATTGCACTTAAATTTAGTGTTTGCGAAGATTAAATTATGAGGATCAACAACTTATCAAGTGATTTGATATTCCAAGGCTAAATTATTAAAGTACCCAAAGGAATTGAGAAGACATTTTCTGTTATTCCCATCCAAGAGTAAAAGTAGAAATCTGAATATCTATGGAACCCTGACACTATTGCCTAAAAATGTAATGCAATTCATTATTATAAATAGTTGATGTATTTTATTGTAACAACAAATAAAATGTCGAGGGCTAATTGACTCTTACTTCTGACTTAGTTCTTTTTAATCCTTTTTAATAAGATCATATCGAAGACAATCAAAAGAAAATAAGATTATAAGCATGTATCTCAATGCGAGATATTAATGAGGCTGTCTATTACATACTACCTAATAAAAATGGCCATTTGGATTATGTTGTGCAGATTTTACTCTCAGGAATAGGCAAACCAAAATTCGAAAAGAAATACAGAAAACAATTAGACAGATATAAAGAATAAAAGAAAAGCATTGCAACTGTGTTTTTTAGAGTAATTCTTTTTTTTGATATAACTTATTTTAGCATGCTGAAAGAGACCATACAGGTAAATTGTATACTGAAGAAATCAAAAAACAAAATTGTATTATGATGGCTAGATTTATCACTGAAGCCTGTTCAAATTATACAGCCATTGTCGAATTAACTAAATTACCATTTATAGATTTCATTTAGGATACGACTTAGAAATAGAATTTAGATGTTGATGTAGATGCAGATGGGGATGCAGATGAAATTCAAGATGTAATTGGAGAACGCATGGGAAGTATCATTTATTAAGAATACTTAGAATTATGGGCTAGTTTGGAGTATGTTCCTATTTTGAGAGGAAGTTCCAATTGTTTTACTGATACAACCTATAAATAAGTTATTGAATCAATTCCTGCTATTTATCGATTAGCCAATTGGAATAAACTGTATGACATCGATATTGATGGATCCAGTTATCAAAATATGCTACAAGAGATTAGACACATATTTCCAATTTTGTTAATCATTAAAGACTTTGATCTCAATATTTTTGGTGCCTATGTCTCAAGTGAAATTCATAAATATTTTGAAGGTTTCAAAGGGAATGGCGAGACCTTTTTATTTAAAGTAGACACAGAAGTAAGGATTATATTAAATTAGAATAATGAAGTACTGACTTACTCATGGACGGAAAAGAATAAAGATTTTATTTTTTGTGATGACACAGGGCTAGGAGTAGGATGTGGAGACAAATTTGGACTCTTTGTTGATTCAAGTCTTTTGTTTGGATATTCTAATCCATGTACTACTTTTGACAATCCAAGATTTACAAATCAAGAGAAATTCAAGATTAAGAATCTAGAATTATGGAGTATTGAACAATAATGAATTAGAGTACTATTTTATATCAATCAAATTACAATTCCTATATAAACTTGTTTATTTATAATTAAATTTATATCAGTTTACTGATTTAACAATTTCTCTCATTTATTTTCTCCTTTTTAGATATTCATCTTTCCATTATTAATTAATTTTCTAAAAATCTCACAAAATGAGTAATTTAAAATTGGAGGAAGATTTAAAAAGGTAAATTAATTCCTTGCTTTAATATTACATACAACAATATTTATGTAATGGTACTTTATCTCTTAATTATATTTTGTTGTTATATTATAGTATTATTATGATAAATTTAAGGACCTATTTTAATAGTGGTATCATTTATTAATTATGTTCTAATCTTTTAATTTAACTAGAAAACTTCAAATTAATAATGAAAGCACATTATATTGTGAAACCCCTAGAGCTATTTTTCGATCTGAAAGAAATATTATCGTTCCATCTCTGTTTTAGAAACTTAAATTAAAGCCTATCTAAGACTTTTAAGTACAAACTTAAACAAACAATAATTCAATAAAATCCTCATTAAAAAATAGCAATTTGTTCACTTAAAGAGATTAGGAGGATTTGCTGAACAAATAGCGATTAAGACACAATAAGAAGTAGGTTAGTTTTAGTGATAAATTATTAATCATATAACCAAATAAAGGAGTCATCATAAGAGAAAGAATTCCTGAATTATCTGAACAAGTTAAAGTTATTCGAACAAGAAAAAGAAAGAATTGTATTTTAATCCATAGCTAAATTAGAACATTACAAACTTGCTAATCCACTTTCATTGATTAGCTTTGACTCTTATTATAATATTTTCGATGTGGATATAAATATTAATTTTATTAAAAATAAATGGCTCAAGATTAGAGATCTCCCTTTGAATTGAGAATCTGGCATTTCTATACTGAGGAAGAGAAATCCATCACACTCCTTAATGCATACAAACAAAGAGTATTGTTCTCAGAAGATATCAAATCTTTCCTTCTCAAGGATAGATTAAATACTTGGTCCTATTGGGGATTCCCTGTTGCATGCTATGCACTCTTTCATTATACTGGAGCACTGTAACCATACATCGCAACAAAATACTCAGTAGGTGCCTAAAGATTGATTCCTGCAGCAATATCTGGTTTACTTTGGCTTGGTTGGGTCAATGTCAATCCATTTTACACTACTTTGCAAAGGTAACAAATTTCCCCTATTACTCTCTTAGTGAGAAGTTGAAATTACTGAATTTGATTGAGAAAAGAGTAGGCTTGAATATGAAGGCACTCAATGAGTAAGTACCTCGTACTTGGACAACATAAGAGATTCACAGATAAATCAGAGAAGCCTATAACAACAGACACGGATTTTTCACAAACATACTATATCCAAGCGAGGAAAGAGCCTCCCCATTATAGGATATTTCATCATATCCATTCAAATACAGAAGAGATAAAATTGTTAAATGATAAATTCCAATATATCATTTAGAATAAAATCATATTAATTCCATTATTTTTAACTTATTAATAGTTCTTAGCAAGCAATGAAGAAAAGGTTTATATTAAATTTATAAAGAATTCTTATAGTACTTAATAAGATTATTATTATAATGGATTGTCATGCATATTCATTTTTTAATTTGAGTTTCTATTCAGTTTATGACAATAAGTTAGATTCCTTTTGATTATTTCTAAGTGTCTGCAATTTTCGAGCCTTCTCCCTCTCCTGAATAATTAATTATTTTCGGTTATGCTATAACAATGAATACTGACTGTTACTTCATTATATTGAGCCCACATTCTTTCATCATCTTTTTCCTGTTGTCTTTTTTATTCATTTTATTCTCTCTGTTTGGCTTGATCGTTCCTTATTTCTTATCTCTGTTATTCTGACATACCTTTATAATGATAAGGTATCACTCTATGAGGAGCTAAAGCACTTTGACAAGTGGCAGTACTAGTATAAGATTTTTGAATTACTTCTCAGTCCAAACATCATTATTCAAAATCTCTTCCATATGCTATTTCTTCTCCAGTTGAGCCTATCTAGCCATATATTCCTCTCTATCCTATTTCTCCTTTGCCAATTGATTATTGATTTGCTAATTGGCAATTTCCATTTCGACTCTCCTCCTCTATTTCTCTTCCTCCAACTCCTTTAAACTCTAATTAATTTATAATGTCTGCTGATCGTATTATTATTATATCTGTTTATTCAATTGCTTTTTCTGTTGATTCTCTTGTGTTTATTATTATACCCAGTCCTTCATTTACAGTTACTGCAATTTTCTCCTGTCTCCAGCAGCTAAGAGAGTATATATATAACTGAATACTTAAGTCTTCTCCATCAAGCATTTTTAAATTGGAAACACCAACTTGATTTTTCATTTGTGCATGATTGTAGGTTGGATTTTGATAATGACTCATTAAATTTAATATACTTTATATTTTAATATTCAAGCGTTATATACTCCAATTACAATAGCGTGATCTCTTTCATATGGTTCTAGAGTGAGTTATTCTTAAGGTGTAAGTCCTTCATCCTAGAATATGCATTAAACTATACCTTTAAACGTTACACTTCATGTTGAAATACAACTTCAGCACGATTGGTGGAATCAATACAGTTGGCTTTGATGGAGATCATGAAATGCCCTCCCTTTTTAAGGAAATATTATGAATTTAATCCAACAATTCTGGCTTAATCAGGTTGTGCAACATCTGCAAACACAACATCCACCATTCCTACGAGCATTCTGTATTCCAATGGCTTTCTTGCATCAGCGATGATAGGCACAATGTTTGTTCTTTTCTTTGCCATATTTACAAGATCTCTACCAGATCTGTGAGAGAATTCCACTGCATAAACCACGCCTAAAAGACATTACTATTAATCATACCTTCTGATCCTACGACATCTGAAACGTGAGACACTGTTGTTCCTGATGCAGCTCCCAAATATAATACTTTGGCACCTGGCTTTATGAAGATGTCACTAACACCACCAATTATACCAGCAGCAATCTTTGATCTGAATGGGTTCCAAACTCTATATTCGACTTTCTCTCCAGTTTGTTTGTCTTCCACTGAAATTCTCTTTTCATTGTACACTGATTCTCCTGGCACCATGTTCTTTGTCACCAAAGCTTCTTGTTATCCTTTAGCAACAAAAACTCCTGCTAATCTTGGATGTGGAACCACAAAAGCCTTAGGAGCTCCTCCCATTCGGCCTCCTCGACCTCCTCGGCCTCCTCTGTCACCACCCCTACCTCTTGGGGCTCCTCTACCTCGGTCTCCTCCTCGACCGCCTCCTCTTGTGTCGCCTCTTCCTCCTCTGAAGTCTCTACCCATAAATTATATTTTAATATATTTAATTAAAGAAAATTGATTCTTTCATTCATTTTCATTTATACCTAATGCAACATCAGAAAAGCCCCCTTTTTATCTTGGATCAAACTTTCAGCTACGCCAATTGCATTTATTATTCTTATAAGGTTATTTAAAGCTGCTTGAATGCTATTATAGATATATTTTTATATATATATTGCTCAAAAAAATTAATATTAAATTATTGGTTTTTTTTTTGACTTTTAGAATTTATTTAATTTTATGAATCATATATGTACAATTAAAATAAGAAGCTAAAAGCTTATTAAAAAATCCATAATTGCTTTATCATTTGAATGTAAAACTTTGTCTGGGGATATTTTAAGGGAATTTTATATATACCCTCAAATTCAGCATATCTGCATAATTGGACAACTTTATTACAATTACTTAATGAAATAACATTTAAAATGTTATTCTAGGACAAAAAATAATTTATAAATAAAATACGATTGCAAAAAATGATTTGAGTCTAGACTATTATCAATTAGTAAAATAATTCATCCTCAATTGAAATTTATAGAGAAAGCGATATTGATTTTTTTTTGGAGTTTTCCTCATTTTAGATTTATTTTAAAATTCTAACTAAATTCTAATTTATTTCATTAAATTAGCATTTAGATATAAATCGAAAATTGATGTTCATTTATAATAATAATCTGGTATATAATAAATTCATTCTTTAATTTTCTGACTATTGTTTTCAATCTATAAAGTATCTATGATAAAATGTTTTTAAATATTTCTTTCATTTGTGTTTATCTCAAAATATTAAGATTTTCCAATAAATTTAACATTGTCATGATAAAATCGAAGATCATCACTTAAGTTTTTTGTCTTCTATCTTCTAAATAATGGTTTTTATGATCCATCTATACTACTTTTCTTATAGGTTTAATTTATATAATCATACACTAAAACATCTTATTAAAATTCAACTTTTTTATTGTTTTAATGATGAGGTTAGTTAAATTGATTATTGTCTGCAATTTCATGGTTCTCTGTAGAAGTCTTCCTTGATGAATGTTACCCTTTAGCATTAGAATATAGTTCCTACTATATTGAACTTTTGATAAAAAACTTTTCATCAATCTCAGGCAGTTTGATATAATCCATTTTCTCTCTAGGTATTTGATACCTTGGGCTGATCTAATGTTTTTAATCCTAATTGTCTTAAGGTACATAGATTTGCGGAAATATTATTTTCCTTTGATGTTGAGGTGATCCTCCTTTTTAGTCATGCTAAAATGGATGTAAGTGGGAATTAAATAATTTTTCTGAAATCTATTTTTTTAAGAGAAATTTCTTGATAGGGAGATACTCTTATTAATCTGTATTCATAGTGTTAGTAATGAAAAAGAGATTTTATTCACTTTAAATTATATAAATTATTTACAAAAATCTATCCATCAAAATCTGAAATATTATTACAACCTTAATTTTAATATTATTAAAAATAAACTAATTAATTAAGATGATAATAGATTTCTAGTATTTGATAAATAACTTAGTATTTAAATCTCTATTATGTTCTTTATTATGAAAAGATATAATAATTAATATATTTGGACTATGATAAATATTCAAATCACACTTATGTATCCCCAGAAAATTCTGAACACTCATTTTAACTTCTGATAAAAAATGAAAAATCTTCAATTGCATCATTAATTCTGATTGGAGGAAGTTAATAATCATTAATAATCACTTAAAGTAGATGTTTATTAATATCAACTCTTACTCCTAGTATATCGTCAATTTATAATTTATAAGTTAACAATTTTCCATATTCTGTCGTTCCTCTTTTAAATGTTCCTTCAGGCAAGCTGATATAATAGGATCCTTTTTTCTTTTCAATATTCTATAAATCGCCATCTGCTAATATACCAACTTCAAAATCTGCCTCATCATCAATAATAGATAATTCTAATTCATATTATCCATTAAATAATTTAGTTGTATATATATTACCATCTTGTTATTAAGCCAATTATAATTAATTTAGGGATATTTTTTTATATGGATTTTACTATTTTTGAATTAATTATTGGCATTGTATATTAAGTTTTTATTCGACTTATTATATTTATTTTGCTACATCAAACTTCAAACTGTTAAGATCTTATTTGATTTAATTAACTATTTAATTTTGGCCTGCAGTATCTGATTATAGTTTTTCCAAATTCTTTTCAATTTTTTCAAATTTTTCATTTTACTTTTTTACTTCCTTTTCTTTTCTCCTTTTTTCTTGCTCTTCTGGATTTTATTCCTTTAAATTTAGTGAAATTTTTATATTATACTCAATGGTTTTCTTTCCTTTTGCCAAAAGTAATTTCACATCCAATGAAGAATCTTAATTTTTAAGCTTTAATTATACTGGGCTGCTATTATTAAAGATGTTTTTAATATTATCTGCTATCTCTTTATTTAAATCATCCAAATCTGCAAGACTTTCTGTTTAGTTTTCGAAATCTTTCTCTGAGATAAATCCTTCATATTCATTGAAGTTTTCATAATTGACTACTTCAACAACCAGTCCTTATTCACTATTACCTTGATTCTATATTGGGATCAATTATTGAGGTTATTATTATTTTTATTAATATTCATCTATTTTCTGCTATAATGTAACCCAGTTGTTACTTTGTTGATCAAAGATATAACATAAATTTGTTTATTCTTAAATTTAAGCTACGAAGCTTTATCCATTAGTAAAATTTACTCTTCCTCCTACAAATCCAGGCTGTATTTCCATATCTGGATTATTTTCTAAACTAATTTCATAAGGAACTTATTATTATGGAAGATCGGTATTCTGTTGTGAGACTATTTTCGTGAATAATAAATACTTATTTTCTATTCAATTCTCCATTTCACTTCAATGTCCCTATCTTAAAAGTGATGTCTATTATTTTAGTTCATATATTTCTATTAAAATTAATATTGAATTTTTATGAATTAGATTACAGCTTTGAACCGAAATAATAGAATTACGAAAGGATATATAAAAAAATCAAAATCTCATTAAAATTCTCAATTTTTATATCGGTATGATAAAGAATCACACTGCAAAACAATAGCAAAATTGAAAAAAAGTATTTCATTACAATTAGAACATTCTAAATTTGATTTAAGTTTATATATCAATAAATTTTTAGTAATTCACAATCCACAATAAAAGACATTGAATAATTATGAGATGGCTTATAATTTATGATATAAAAATATCTTAGCTGATTAAAAATTTTATGAGTGTGAGAAAAAATCACCATAAAATTATTAGCCTACATCTTAATGAGTCAATGAGTTAAATATAGCATTGCTACAAGAATTAGTTGTAATTATATGTTAATTATTTATGCATTTATCAAGACACCTTACTATATCTAAAAGCAAGGTCTTATAATATAAGAATTATTTAATATTTATTTTCAATATATATTTTTTAATATTAATGGAACCTATTTCTAATATAGAAAAATAAGTAAAACTAAATCAGTTAAAGTTAATTATAATACATTTTAATATTGTCTTAAATTTTTATGTGCTCTATAATTTTATTATATATTTAATAAATCAAATGGGAAAAATTTTTTCAAGTCCTTAAGACTAAAATCGATAGAATGTAGTTCTTTAAAAATAATTTAAAGAAATTAATGACTCTAGCCAACCATGTGTTTCTATTTCAACCCATCGGCCAAAATAGTCTTAAGGAGAGACTAATCACTAGGATTATCCATGCTCATATATATTTTAAGAAACCAAATCATAAACAGCTCAGCAGGAATCTGAAAATATTTAAAGAGTTTCCTTAGATGAATCTCATGAACAAATTGTAATTGATGCTAGCGGAAGATTAGTTAAAAGCCAAGAAAATTTCAATCAAAATCATATATGTTATTATTGCAATAAATAAATTGAAGAATTACTTATCAAAGTGATATGTTAGCATAAATATCATCATGAGTGCTTTGTAAAATTAATTGAATAGTAATTCCTTTAATCTGATAGACATTATATTAAATGTAAATGTGGAACTAAACTGAATCCCAATCTTTTGAGATAAATAGTCGATAAAGAAGTTAGATATAAAATGTTATATTAATTATTCTCTTCATAACTTTAAATAATATTGAAAACTTCAATAATAAGAAAAAACCCTGATCATAATCAAATTGTTTAACTCGTTTAATCCAATACAGTTTAATAAGATTTTGATTATTAATAAATTGTTAATCAAACTGAACAAATGTAAATTAAAATATAAGAGATTTAATTTAAATCTAATGGAATGTTATATTAAAGTGCATCAAAATTATTAATTACTAGCAACTGTTAAGTATGTCAGAAGTAGATTGATTAAAATGTAATCAAATTAAATTGCGACCATTTTTATCATATAAACTGCTTTCTAGAATGGATGGAAATGTAAATTACAGATAGGACTAAGCATATAGTTAAGTGTAAATGCGGGAGCAAATTAAGCACAAATATCATTAGAACTTTACCTGATCTTCCAAAACGAATGATGCTACTTAATCAATTATTTTCTTCATAATTGATTTGTATCCTAAAACTATTAAAGAAAAAGGATGATTTTATCTAAATTATGGAACTTTTTCATAGATTTTAGAATACAGAGGACTACGATTATATATCGCATACGGGCTTTATTTATTAGAGCAATACTGATACCCCAGACGGAGAATGAAATAACACATTATTTATATTACCATAATTTATCTTACGCAGATTATATCAATCAATGTTTAAATTAATACATTTTTCTTTTCTCATTCCAATGCTGTTTAAATTATTTTTTTCAAGTTTATCTCTTTATATCAATCTAATTATTTGTTGAACATAGAATTATTAAAATTTGTTTTTTGTTGCTATATTAATTTACAAATTAAAAATACTCACTTAAAATCTTGTTATACATTATTTTTTTCTTGTTTCATTATTATAAGGGTTTCTAGAGCATAATGTAATTATGTAATTATCAAATAAATTGGTCAATTATTCTAAATAGATCCAGCTGAATTAATTTCATCTAAAATATTATTTTACTTATCAAGAAATATGCAAATAGATTAAAAGTCTAGTTCTTTCTAAATTATTTGACGATTTTGTCGCCATCATATGTTCCTTGAGCACAATATACGAATAAATATAAGAATAGTTTTAAAATAAATATCTCCAATTAATATATGTTGTTAAAATGATAATATAAATTCAATAGAATTTGTACAATTAAATTATTTATATATAACTTTTATCAATAGTATCAATATTTAAATTAGATAATCGGGGCTGAAAGATGGAAATCTAAAATAACGTTAGTAGTTAAGAATGATGAATGTCTAGAACATATGTATCTACATTTTGTAATTTTCCATTTTAATTGTTGCAAAATATATATTAGAGTTTCTTAGAATAGTACTAATAAAATATTTGTGATTTATTAATTTATTGAATATTCATTACAATTATTGTGTAGATATTTTTTTTTCTAAATTTTGATAATTAATGCATAAATGTTCTTTAAATTTTGAGGATAAAAAATTAGAGGATTAGTTTTAAAATGAGAAACTGCAAAAGATAAGACGACCTGTTTATTATGCTACATTTATATTTTTTGTTTTAAATGGAATGAAAGCAATTTTGGAATTTGTAAGGGGAACAAGCTTTAAATCAGAAATTAATGTTGGTTTTGTTGCAGTCCAAACCATAATGGCAGTGATGGTGCTTAAGGACTAAAAGTATATAAAGTAGGCATTGGTTATAACCAACATAATGTCTGGATTTCTATAGATGAATTTTAATGAAGATGCTACTGCAAAGTAAGAGTTCTATTCATTTGGAAACAGTTATGCGTTATTTTAAGCAATTGGTTATTTTATTTCAGATTTCAGAGATGGAGTAATCCAAGCAATTAGTCATCTGACAACTAAGATAATTATCACGAGTATTCATTCAAACAAAGTTGATCCCCTTTGCACAAGTTTGGCTATCACTAGCACTTTTTTTATAGTGCTTACAATATATGTGAGTGACTACAATTATAGAAAATAATTTCTAGCCAGCATCTAAGATGATGTATGGGATAAGCAACTACCATTTCTGGTTAAGAAGCCCTATATAAAATTCACTCATAAAAATACCTATTTTAACATAACTAGCTGCAACCTGATTGAAAGGTTTGCTGGTTATAAAAGCGACTATTGTTTTGGATGCAATGCAAGAGAATTTTTAAGTGAAACAAAAGTCAACAATGTTTGTCTTTTGAATAAGCTTCTGAATGATTCCATATTATTGAATACTGATATAGAAGCTCATTTGAAATGCTTTAGATTCAATATCAGGGTTTGTATGTATGGGATTGAAAAGATGAATCGAATAGTAATCTTGGAGAAGATAGTCACAAAGGAGAAGAGCAAGTAGTTTTCTTTTGAATTTCGAAAGGATTTAGTTTAAACATTAAAATAAGGCTAGCAAAAATTGAAGTTTTTGTAATTTTATAATTGGGGAATACAATCATGTTTGTTGATCAACAGCATGTAGATTAGATCTATATCTTTGATTGATGTGATTTCAAAGTTAAATAGGAATTATAGAAGTTATTTAAATCCTTTAAGGCTTATTTGTATTAATAAGTCGAAACTATAAATTAGAACATACTCAAATTTGATAAAAATATACTTATTTCAAATATATCATCTGCTGATAATGACGCAACCCAGATCCAAAGATACTACAGATGCAATCGTTAAGGAGAATGAGGAATATATCGAAGTTCATCTATAAGTAAGGAACGCGAGAGAGTTCTGCGATCATTATTCCAAGAATATTTTCATAAGTCAAATAGAGAGAGTAATTCTGTGGGAGAGAGTGAAGAGTGATGTAAGAATATAATTTAGTAAATAAATTTCATTTAAGTGAAATAATTTTATTCATGGTCAAGCGTCTCATAATTAAATTGATAATCGAGGTCGGTTCTACTGTTGCCAAGTCTTTTGTGAAAGCCTACCAATAGAGTGCTAAATGTAACAAAGTTATCTATTCGATTAGAAACAGGAGGAAAACCAGGAAATCCATTTACAGAGTTTCTGAATCAAACTATGTAAGCAGCAAATCTGACTCACAAACCTATGACAAGAGAGGAAGCCTTTAAGATATTACAATTAGTTCCGGAGAAGGCTAATCCAGAGGATATTATCAGAGTAAATGGAAGAATGATAATTTGTAGGTTTATTGGAGGTAGTTTCATAAGAATGATCCTGTCAAGGGTGGGTCCTTTTATCTTCAATCGATGCTACACAATGCAAAATGCGAGTTGATGAGGGACTTCCCAGATGTTAATGAGAAGGAGATCTTGGAAAAGATTAGGAAGGAAGGGGAGAGTTAGAAGGGAGAAGAAGAAGAGAATAAAGATGAGGCAAAGGTGGGGGAGAAGAGTGAAGAAAAGAAGGAAAACTGAGTTCTTAATTACTTATTTTGAGGATTGAAATTGATATATAAATTTAATTATGTTATAGAGATTGTCTACAATAATAAGAAGACCAATGTTCTGGCATGGCACACATCATCATGATAGTAATGATGCTACAAAGAGATTGTTTGATACTGTTTCAAGTACAGTAAAAGGCATTCAATAAATAAACTATGTGGTGGAACATGATCCAAAACTAACAGTGGAAGAGAAGGCTAAAATGAAGCAATTTTTGATCTATAGATACGATCCAGCTGTACAATTCAATATATTGATTTTAGGACGAAAATGACTTCCCAAAATACGTGAGTTACTATGTGGACTTGAAGAAGATACCCCCTATGTATTTGGATGCATTATTGTACATCAAAGACAATTATGATTCCTCTCTCTCCCTCCGTCGTTCATGCAGAGAGGGTATCTGTGGATCATGTTCTATGAACTGCAATGGTCTCCATAAGTTGGCCTGCATCCATGCAATCGACACTGATTTGACTTAGCCAGCCTACATCACTCCTCTAGGTCACATGTTCGTTGTGAAGGACCTTGTGGTTGACATGACCAACTTCTATACTCAATACAAAACCATCGACCCTTATCTGAAGAGAAAGACTCCAAAGGTATGAAAATCTAATTTTATCATCTTAGGAAGGAAATAAGGAATACATCCAATCAGTAGAAGACAGAAAGTTATTAGATGGTCTCTATGAATGTGTGTTGTGTGCATGCTGTTCCACCTCATGTCCATCATACTGGTGGCATCCAGATAGATATCTCGGTCCAGCTGTCCTTATGCAAGCCTACAGATGGATTGTGGATTCTAGAGATGAGTATACTGATGAGAGATTGGAAAAATTAGGTATCCTTATCTCTCTATATATCTATAGCTGAGGATGTTAAGGTTGAGGACTGCTAAAATATCGGAATGTGTTCTTTTACATGTCCAAAGGGACTCGATCCATAAAGATCAATGAATCACTTAATGAAATTGATTGAAGAATATAAAGAAAGAAAGATTGCATCAGCCACATTATGACATTATCATAACATAAATAAAAATATCATAAAATACTTGTTTGTCAGGCATTTCTAAATTCACTAATCTTTGATCTGCACTTTGGGCAACTAAAGTTTAAAATTAACCAAGCCTTTATACAATGCATATGGAAATGATGTTACTAATTACAAGGCAGAATCAACAATTCTTCATTTCTACAATACGCTTGTAAGCATATTCCACATTCTTGATCCCCTTACACATTATCATTCCTATAGATTGCTTTTTATTTTGTTATGAGTTCGTTCAATATTTGCTGATTCTCATAATTCTATTTTTGTTATTTCAACTTGTTCCATAAGATCATCAATAGAATAAATGGTAGTGATATCAGTAGTATTAAACATAAGACGTACCCTTCCCAATATTAATACAATGATATTATTAAAAACATCCTTTGAAAAGTGGCTAAATTATTGTAGCAAGCATCTAGTGGCTCCTTTATCATTTCTATGTAAAAAGCCCAAATTATGAGTATTTGATTCATTAATGCATTAAAATAATGCACACATCGGATGGTTCTAGTTCTTTAAGCAACTTCAGATTTGATTTATTCCGTAAGTATCATTTATCTTCTTTCTGTTTCTTCTAAACTCATAAAGATATTAGGGTCTTGATTAGAAGTCACCACAAATTCAAAAGGTTGATTCCCTTAGGGTTAAGGTTGAAAATGTCCCTCTTCAAATTATATAGCATGATTTAAACTTTCTGCAATTTCCAATACAATTTCCTAGAATGCTTATGTACATTACTATGTTGTTTAAGGAGTGATATAATTTGGTATAATAAAAATATGCTACAATCGAATGCAGTTCTAAAATTGTTAGCCAATGCATAATTTAATCTGATTAACAAATTAAGTTGGAACCCAAAATCAAAGCAATTCCAAATTTCGATATACTATAGAACCTATATAAGAATATTAGTTTTTTTGCACTTTGCAAAGACTTATAAAAAATAAAAGTAAATCTCTTATTTATTAACATTATAATACTTTAATTTTTGTGCTATTAAAATATAAAATTCAAAAATATTTCTTTTGATTTTAAATAGGAATGAATTATGTATAAAGAATAATGATAGAAGTTTGCATTAATTATATAATGGAATATAATCATTATTATAATTATTATTGTTGTTATTATTATTATTCTGGCTCTTCTTCAGGTGGTATTTATTCAATAAATGGGCAAATCTCTTACCAAATTTTCATACTTCCATTGGAACCTTAATAATAAATTTTTAATAATTACTTGCAGTAATCAGCAATCGACCAACAATATAAATACCTCTTATTTCTTCCTTAATTAATTCTAATGCCTTTATTAGTTAACCTTTTTCGGTATTCCATATACTCAATCTACCGTCGGAACCACCAGTTATAAGATGCTTACAGTATAGATAACTACACAAAATCGATCCAGTATGGCCATCCTTTAACGGTCTTAATATAATTGAATGACTTACTTTAATTTAGTACCTAGATCCATATTAATTAGATCACTAACCTTATCCATACCTCCGATAAACAATTAATTATTGCTAATCTGGTACAAATGTTGCACTTTTACTGTCGTAACAGTTCTTAAAGTCTTCAATTAAATTTTTGGACCAGTCTTTTCCTATAATCATATAGCAAACATCAAAATTACTCTTTTGTATATTTTGACCCTTCCATCCGGGAACCCAGCTGCAAAGGAATCTTTATTGTAAGCAACCAAAGATATCACAAATGTTCTGTCTACTGATTCTATATATTCTTGAGCACTTGATTAGAAATTGACTAGGTGAATTTTTCTATCATCTGATGCTGTTACAAGACTACCATCAACATAGATGATAGAATAAACTCCTTTTTCATGATATTTGAATTTGATATCCATTTGCCAGATACCATCGTGTTGTTTCCATCCAATTACAGTTCCCTCTTTATTTCCAGCCAACAACATTCCATTATATACGTAGATACTCAAGACTTCAGCTTCATGGGTAAATACTTTATTGATTCCAAATGTTTTAGCATTCCAAATGATAATTTATTTATCTTCTCCTGCAGTGATAAACTCATCTTTATTAAGGATGACTATTTGATTGATTTTACCCTCATGTTTATTCATTTCTAAACTTGGAAATTTGCCAACAATTTAAGAATCTGTACAAAGTGAAGTAAATTTCAATGTTTCTACATTAGGAATAAGAGTGCCGATTAGCCATTGATACGATTAATTCTTTTTAAAAGCAATTGATTAAGGAAAATTTAAAACTTAAAACCCATCAGAGGTTATAAAATATATTTTAGGCTATTTTGATTTGATTGCTTCTGCATTCTGAAGTTATGCTCCCAATCTCCATAAGCCTTATTGTTACGTTTAATCAATTTCCATATAGAAATAGTTTTCTTCCCTTTAGAATTTGACGACTTGTGTAGAATCCTTTATGATTTATCCATTTTCATTAATTAAAAAAAGAGAGAAACTCTCTTTAGGGATTTGGGCATCTACCAATAGGAATTAAGTCTTGTTAGGTTTTAATTGACGTGGAAATTCAGTGTTACTCAAAAAGGTGCTAATACTGGGGAAGATTGGATCTTGCAAAGACCAAACAACCATCTTACCTTAATTAGTAAAGGTAAGTAACCTTTTTTCATAACTTACACATTCTCCTAAATATAACTCAACTGGTGATTTAAAATATTTTTAATGAGTAATTTTAAGTTCATTGACAGTCTCTAGAGAAGTGGCAAAACTAATATGGCTGCCCTACGCAATAAGGACTCTATCTTCATTTTATAACACACTATTGACTTGTTAAGTTGAGTTGAGACTGATGTTTGGACCTCTTTCAAGTGAGTCAATGCCTAAAGTATGTAATACACCATCTAGTCCTCCAAAAATCAAATAACGTTGATCCAAAGAGATAATCTATAAAATGGGTTATCCACCACTGAGATAGCCCTTGATTTCCAGTTATTGAATGAGTGTTCCAGTTAATGGTTAATCTAATGATTTTTCAATCTTATAAATAAAAATGGATTTGCTATTATCACATAAGCAGGCTATTTGGTCGTTTGTAATGTTAACCATCTTATTGATTGGATCAACAGTTTAGGTGGAAGATACAACTAGGATGGTTGCATCAATAGACAATCGCAATTATCTCAAGTCTACTTTGACTAGGACCAATTACCCAACAACAGTCCCCACAGCTATTCCTTCAGCACCTATTCTACACATAGAATTGGTTTTCTTGTTGATACTAAGTGAAGTTTATATGAAAAACTATTGGGTTTCATCTTCCTTCTTCAACCAGACTATTAAGCCACTATTGTCAGAGATTAGGACATTGTCATCGTCCCAAATGATAATTGTGTTGACAAGTTCAAAGAATACACTGTTAATTGTACAATCAACTAAGTAACTATCCAAGTTCCAAACATAAACGCTACCATTTCGATTGGCAGCCACTATGAGATTGGGTGATTGGAATGCACATTATACAACTTCTTACTAGTCTTTGAGTGACTTAGTAAGATTGGGATAAGTTTTCAATTGGGATGTATTGATAATTTGATTCACGACATCAAATGCCTCATATGGTTCTTTCAATGAGCCTAGTATCCAGAAGTAAGGGTATAATGTGCCTTGTTCAGATGGCACTTTGGGTAATTAATACTTTTGTATTTAATTGGGAGTCAAGACATACATTTCTTTAACGGAATCCATCTTTAATTTAGGCAGACAGGCAACCAATTATAAGATGTCTCTCTTATTTTACAGATTAGAAAATCTAATTATTTGAATTCCATCTGCTGGATTTTATTAAGGCTATTCAATATCTTAATCAGATTGAATGACTTATTTGTCTAAAATAAATGAAATGTATAAATTACTTTCCAAAATGATATAGAAATTCAAGAAGCCTTCATTAGGCTAATTCACAATTAAGACTTCCAATTGAGACTGTTGTGGTTTGCGTATAATATAATAGTAGTTGATTGTATTTAAGGATAATGGATATTATTCATTAATTTCCTTGATTTCATCATAATATTCAACATTCTATATAAAGATTTTACCTTTTGTAACTAGTATATTATCAAAAAGATAAAATACTTTTATTTTGCAATAGAGCCTTACAAATTCCTCTCTCATTTGAACGATAGCTGTACAATTTATTATTGGTTTAATCTTCAACCTTGATATAAACATTCGGAACTGGATTCTTGTAGACCATATCTATGAATTGAAATTAAATGAGATTAATTTGATTTAAATTTATAGATGGAGGTTGCAAGTATCTTGGTTTCTATACCGTCAAATCACTAGACGATTAAGCAGCACGTCTCTTATTTAATGCATCCTAAACAGGATCATACCCTTCTTCTTAATCTCGAGCATTTGTCAATTCGAATTTAAATTCACAAACTCCAGCACTTGTGGTTATTTAATCCTTGTAAACTAAATATCCTGTTTTTTTCACATAAATTTTAAAGTGATCAGGCTCCACTATAATTTCATACTTTCCACTCCCTGAAGGTGATTCTTTCAATACAGCATCCTTCCCACCTCTTATTGGGACTATCTCTACTCTGCATTCTGTAACTGGTGCCAATTAACAATGCACAATAACTAAAATGCAAGAATTCGTTTGTTTCTGCAATTCAATTGTTTGATCAAGAGGCAGATCATTATTGTGCAATGAAAACAAATCAATTTTCTACATTTATTTTTCAATATTACATAATTTTTGCTTAGAAAATCATTGGTCTCCTCTATAATCACCTCATAAACATCCAGAGGCACATTTCTTAGAGCAATACGACCATCTTAATTTGTTCGCTCTATCCTATGTTAGGGATTATCCTCTGCCTCTTTCTAGCTTCTATGAGATTACCCTTATTTTTCAGACAATGTAGTTTACGCACTCTGTGGCCGTAATATTCTATGAGACCTGGAGGTTGATACTAGATTTAAATATGGAGCCCATTTTACACATAATGCTTTGAGTTCTTGGTAGAACAGGACGGTATGGTTGTATTTTGACGTTGATGCCTTTTAATTTCTGATCAGAATCAGCGAATTTTAAATCTATATTGAAGGAAACTTTCTTAAAATATTGTGGCAACGTATTTATTATCACTGAAATTTATGGCCATGCATTATTATTAAGTTTGGATCCAATAACAGCCTACTTGATTTATCCTTTTTGTTTGGATATCACTTAGACTTCAAAACACCCTAAGGGGAATGTCAATAGGGAATACCTAATCGACGTTATAGAAACATTGTGTCTATACCATGATCGAGATGATCATAGATTAATGGCTTGAGAATGACTTTAACAATTGGAAAGCGTTAGATAATTTCATTCTTAAGAGCTTGGGCATATGCTTGATAGCGTGCCTCGTCATGCTTTGTTGAGTTCAAGTGTTCATGACAATTAGTACTGCAATTAATTTAGTTTGTTACCAATATTCGATTGAAACAATCACATCTTCTTCAGAAATATCTTTGAATTCTCTAAATTCCCTAAAGCCTTGATGCCGCTCACTTTTACTATGTATCTCCTCATTCTTCTCCCACAACTCTTAAAATGTTCGTAACTTTTTAATCTTCAAATTAGTGTAAGACAACCCAGTATCTGAATGTTAATATTTGATCATCTGACTACACTTAATAGCATTCTTATAAGTACTCATAAGGGAATATTCCTAAAGAGATCCACGGTTTCTCGTGTACATCCCTATCGAAATGATTGTCAATTTATCTACACTCTAAATTGTTATTACCTTGACATCATCTTTTATGGATTCTATGAATACTTTTTATTTCTCTTAGTTGGTTGGGCAAGTTGAGATATTCTGATTGATCCATGGTATCTCTACATTAGTTTGTATATATATATATTATTAGGTAATAATAATAAGTTTCAAAATGAATGGCGTTTATAATGAGGATTTTGCATTTCCTCCTAATCCTCTTCTTCTTCTTCCTCTTCCTCCTCATCATCCTCATATTCCATTCCTTATACAGCTTCGAATCCTCCCATTTTTTGTATTTCCTCCATCTATTCCTCGGTTAATCCATATTATTTAGCTACGACATAATTGTAAACAAATACCTATTGCATCCTTCTACAGTTTTTCCAGTAATTTGGGATCAAGATTATCAATGTCAATCTAATCATCATAATCTCCATCTATCTCCTATCCATCATACTCTCTCAAAGATTACTCTGCTTGTTCTCCTACTTAATCAACGCCTTCTGGATCCTGTTAGGAAATTCTCTCTGACTCCTCCACTTCCTATTCACCAATAGGGTTCATGTAATCAAACTACTCTTATTGCTCCTGTTCCTCCTGAGGCTATTATTGACTCTTGGCTGCTTCCACTTCCATCAACAAAGGTCTTTAATAAACTCTGACAAAGATCTCCTTCATCATATTATTGAAATCTTCCTCTTCTTGTCTCCTCTTCTAATATTGTTCTATGAACTTTTATTGTTGTCTCTCATACTGAACTTGGTTATGATCTTGAATCGCCCAAGATTAGTGTACTCTTGGTCTAAATAACTATTTTTTATCTTCCCTTTATTTTTACTCCTCATCATTCTATTAATCGAGAGCAAGTTGATTCTACTTCATAGTAAATATGTAATCCACATAGGCATTAAATTTATCCGTTGATCTAGGTTGGATCTTGGGTTTCTTTGATGTAGCCTTCTTGGCCTTTTTCAAGGGATCGTCCTTTTAGACTGGTTTCTCATCCAAATAGTCTCGTTGGGCTCTCTTTTTACTTTCATGGAATGTAGGTCCAACAGGAACTGTAGGTTTTGATTTCTTTTTCTTTTGTTCTAATTACTTTTGGAATTGATCATGCAATTTATTAAAATTGGGAATAGATTTGGCTCTGACTTTTCTAGGGGAATCATGATGAGATCTCAATAATTATTCTTATTATTTCTCTTATTCTTGCAATTTCATCTTGTCTATCCATTCCTACATCCTAGGTGGCAATTTGGAGTTCTCTTGCAACCAAAACTTTCTTATCTTCTTTCTATTCTCACTTTTGATCTTCTACTCTTGCATATTACGTTCATACAATTTCAATGAACAATACCAAGGAATAGGATTGGCTCTAAATTTATGTGGTTCCTCTACCTCCTCAGGTATTTTAATAGGTTTCTCTCTTTTCCTGTCCTCAAAATTAAATGGTTTCTGCAATGATTGAGTCTTCTCCTTGCATCTCTCCTTCAATTCTCTCCTTCGTATTTCTTCCCTTTCCAACAATTCGTTATAATAATTCTTATCCTTCACCTTGTATGGAATGGCCTTTGCCTTAAATGGTCTAAATTTATAAGCCTCCTCAATTTCCTCCTACTTCTGTCTAACTTGCTCCATCACCCACTTCTCCCTTATGCTAGGCTACTTATTCACATCCCTTTTCTCCTGCCCGGTCTTCTTGGGTACAGTAAATTGCATCCTCTCCACATTGATCTCTTGAAATGGTTTTCTTGGACTTGATCTCTTCCTTACTTTCTTCTTCTCAGGTTCTGGAGGTGGAGGAATCTCCTACTTTGCTGTCATCTAATAGAAATAATCATCAGATGACTCCGATGAAACAGCCTCTTCCTACTCTTACGGCTGTGGTTCTTCCTCCTGATCATTTGGGAGATTGTCAAGGAAATACATGAACTAATTCCACGAGATTTGCTCATCAGGATTATTAAGATATCCAATCTCTATTTGTTATAGCACACTCTCCAAGAGTAGGTTCAAACCAAAAACAACAACATGAACAGCATAAACAAACAACTCGCAATTTTAACGAATTGCTTTAATCGCATCATCAACAGTAGCCAAACCATTTTCACTGACTGAATCGAAGGCTTCCTTCATAATTGAGATATCTTCTAAGAGAAGGATTCTAGGAGTATTCTCAAATAAATTGACTTGTTTGTGAATTGGATCGAATAAATGCACATATTCTCGAAACCCTTTCTCTGGTTTCACCTTCTGGTACTTCTATAAAAACTATATGAATTCATCTTGGCTTAAGTGAAATCTCTCCTTGACAGGAAAAGAGTCTAAGGCCATTGAGAGGGATTGCCTATCAAATTGAAAGAGAGTCATTATTAGTGGGTTGTCGTACATAAAGTTTTTGATCTGCAAGTGATGGACTTACCCTTTGCGATGGGGATCTATTTGAGTGTAAAAGAAATCAAACATTTCTAAGTCATTTGGATCCTTGGTCACCCACTTTTGAAGAGCCTCTGTTTGTTGGTCCAATAACTTAAGAAGTTTGAATTCTTACTCTCTCTACAGTCGTTCCCTTGAGTAGAATGAATGTGAAAGTACCTTTTTCGACGTAAATACATTTTGAATTAGAATATGTAATGTCTCCTTTGCAGGACTTCCTCGTTGTATTTGCTTTGGTATGGTTTTTTCTCTTCGGGAATGTGGCAATCTTATGATTCTTCACTTTCTTCAGTTTAAACCTTTGGCCTTCTTCCTTGAACTCTCCTGAGGATTTCACATATCTTATCTCTGGATCGTTGCTAATTAGATCAACCTACTGTATACTATTTTGGCATTGATGGTGTTGTCTTTGATACTGCGTTGTAGATCATACTCGGTTTTCAATTCTCCCACTTTCTGCTACAATTAACCGACAAATAGTTAATCTGTCATTTTATTTTTATTTATGCAAAAACTCAACACCTACGAGGCAACTCCTTGGGTAGCAGGATATCAATGTTGCATCGTCATCTACACTTTCATAAGTTTTGGACTTATTTTGGTTTCAGTGTTCAATTAATCAATACTCATGGATTCTGTATGTTAAAATGATATATAATCAAGGCACCTCAATTTTATTCAGATTGGGATAATAAATTTGTGGAAGACCTAAAAATCGGAGAATCCTGCCAAGAAGGCTATCTTAACTTGTTAAATTTCACATGGCCTGGTACTGAACTTGGATGTGATTGTACATAATCGAATGGAACTGGCACATACAAATATTAGAAGTAAATAAAAATAAAGATCAAGTTATTATTATATGGAATGCAGCGAGTTTATGCTAGCTGAGAATTGCCAACCAGTTGAACCAATCTACGAAATGCAATTCCACCATTGGCCTATTAATGATTAATCTTCGGTTAAAGGTTGTTTAATATGATCTATCTCAAGCTTTCAAATTATGTGCCAAACAGAGCACTGAAACTGCAATAGAAGCATTTCAAATAGAGGAGGCTAGCGAGGGATACAAAAAGTGTGGAAATGTCTATTAAGTTCCATCTAATGAATTATGTCCAATTAGCGATTTTTCTATAACGACAGATACAACTGGAGAGGCAATCGGAACTACTGGATTGTATCTGAAAATTAAGAGAGTCTAAGAGGAAGAAGTGCCATTGACTGCATTTACAATAGGATTTAGTAAATACCATTTTAAACTATTACTAGATTCAATATGTTTTTCAGTTTCAGAAATAAATTAGTTTTAGTATTTAGATAAGATGATCAATTATAATTGCTATGATAATGATGAGAGATTTGTACGTTTTACTAGTGATATGCCTTATAGTGATTTACTAATGGTAAATGAAATAAAAAACGAATATAATCAATTATATAAAAATGCAATTGTTGAAAGCAGAAGTATTTGATAAAATAATGTAGATGTGAATCTGTTTTACAAGTACCTAACTCAATTCTATTACAACTCGTCATAGTTGTGTTAAGCAGAAGATCTAGAATACATTTACAATTTGAATGCATACATAAAAGACAATGTAATGGATGTTTAATTAGCTGCGTAAGTGATTGTAGGAATACAAGCAGGAGTGTTCGGATTCTTAATTCCATTAGTATCAGCAATATCTTTGGTCGGTTGCAATTTTAAATATGCTCATTTGAACAGAAAAAGTTCACTCTATAAGGACTTGTTTGGATTCTGGTTGGGAGTCAAGATGATAGGTGAGACCCTGTGCACCATCATCTTGGCTGCCGATATGGGGTATTAATAATAAATGATGAACCACTTCTCAGATTTCATTAATGCTGATTGTTCTGATAAATACTCTTTACAGGAGATGAGTGATTTCTATAATGAATACGAAATCAAGGTTTACAATTATGTGCTTCTGAATTTCATTCTTTGCATAATCACTAATGTCTTTGATATCTATGTCACTTATCTGATGTGCAGAGACAAACACAAGGAAGGGATATTTTTGAAGAATAGTGAGACTTCTCACCTTAGAAACATCACTTCTACTCATCCTGAAGATTTGCTCAACAGAACCAAGGTACAACCTTAATCAGAAATAAAATAACAACAACGAGACAGTCAACAGAAACGACAATTTGATGATGTTGAAATACCAGGCGATGACATGCCCAAACCACATAAACCTGAGAATTGAACATGAGATTATAATTTATCATGTATCATATTTTTCTAAACACATTTCACTTGTGATATTGCTAGGTAGTTATTTACGCAATCTATTTAATCTTTCATTCACTCTGTCTTGAATGGTATCTCCCTATTATTACAAAGACTATCTGATTATGTTGTCTACGATCATATAATTCAAGTATAATACCCTTCCTTTCTACTTCGTCATCCCAATGCTTGATCAAATCAACTTAGACTTTTTATTCATTTTATGATTGGTATATCTTCTCCGTCATTGTCAACTTCTTCGAACGAACTTCCCTAATTACTTTATGCGAAATCTTCTTGTTTTCTATGTTAATCTCCTAAATTTGTTATTATTCCTCTTCCTTCACAGGTGTCTGAAACTTTGGTTTAGGTGGTTTTTCTGGGCGTTTGAGAGGATCATATTTCACTAGTCCTTCCTTAACGATTGGTTTGATTTACATTTGCTTCTCTCTTTTCTCTCTTGCCAACATCTCATCCTTTAACATTATTTCAAATGCCTCCTTCTCTGCAATTGTATTCGAAATCTTTTCCATAAAATAATACTTGGCAGGATTTCCTACCGTATCAAAGAATTCAACACACATCGCATACATATTGAGCAAATCCAAAATTTGTTACATTGATTCAATCTTTGTGATAAACTGAATTAAAGAATGCACTTTACTTTTCTTTCTTTCTCTAATAATTAAATGAAAAATTTCTTCCCTATCCCAAATTTACTATCATCCTCATCAGATGAATCGCAATGCATTCGAATTTTAAAATAAAAATATTTATTTTCTAAACCCACCTCAAATTCTTAATTATATGATCACATTTATCTCCTTTATTCCACATCTCTCTATAATTCCTATAAGGGATTGATATAGATTCTTGATAATTATTCAATTTTTAATCAGAGTCATATGAAAACTTTTCATTGTTATTTTCATAATGAACTTGCTGAAATTCACTATACTTAGTGTCTAGAATAGTATTAAGTGGTTTTATTCTCCTTCAAAAGCCGATATATTGTAAGTTCTCTGAGTTTTTCTATTTGTATTGTATTATTAAGGGAATAAATTTGATTGAAGCCTCATTACAACCATTTCCCTTATTATTTGTTATTACTTCCTTATGAAGCCGATATTCAATCATACTATATAGCTTTCGTAAGAGAATTCGAAGACATGAACAAGGATCTGGATCTATTAGAATTGATTACAAAAGATGGAGTTGATAGGAGGACAAGAAAAATGAATAGTGTGCAGATTAGCCAATTAGAATGATCTTGTTTAGTAATTGATTGGTGTTATTTTGAAGATATCCAATTAAAAGGGAATTCGCATTGATTGCCCAGGATTAGACAATGATTTCATTGAGAAAACTATACAGACTGTAAAGAGAAGTTGGGATGGCTGTGTGTTTGATGTTGGATTAGGGAAATTTGGTATGGGATGTAAATTTATGTGATTTGAGAGAATTGCACTTTGATTTAAGAGAATGTGTTATTGATTGTAATTATAATTAATAGGAATTTGGGTTGTTTTTAATGGCTAAAGAACATTGAAATGAAATCGGTGGAAATGATTAAGAAGTATGGGGATAATTAAATATATAAATGGAATGAAAATAAAGATATTTATTTTTTTAATTTAAAATGTCTGTGGACAACAGCTTCGATAATTTTGAGTAGTTGATGTTTCCCTCCTATGATGATATGGAAAACAGAGAGAAGATAGAGGAGTAATACATTTTAGATCCGATTCCATAAGAATAGGAAGACAAGCCAATACTCCAAAATCCAGCTAATAATGGGAAAACTTACTAACAATTATTCGAATTAGTTTAACGATTAAATGACATTAATTGGGTGGAACCATTATCAAAAATCACTCCTATCAAGTACTTGACTCCAATTACTTACTGGTTCATCGTATGTTCCCAATACTTTCAAAACGATGCTGATCCTAAAATCATCAAGTATACAACACTCTCTACCTCTTTAGAATCAAGCAGGAATGCCAACAAGTCCAAGAAGAAACTGCTCGTCCATACACTTACTTTGACGATTGGTTCATCATGGAGATGAGAAACATAGTAAACTATAATCTAAGATAGATGGTTAAAAGAATTACCACCCAATAATGATTTGGAATTATTGTAGACTGAACTAGAACAACAATTACTCGAAACTCAACTCCAAGTAAATACTCAAATAGATGCAATACAAATAGAAAAGCCCACTTTGAATATCCAAAATCCCCCAGATTACATCCTCAAAGATCTTGTTGGCCTAACCGAGATCGAAAACCAATATCTAACATATCTTGAAAGCTAACAAAGGTAATATATCTAACAATATCTAGATATTATGATGAATAAATTATCAATCAAACTAAGTCCTCTAATTTGGCTGGAACTGCAAGAAAACTACAGAATGTTTATAATAATTGTTAAATTTGCAATCAAGGTGTTAGATCAGAAGATCCTCTTCTATCTTGTCAGAAGTGTTAGATTATTGTTCATTAAAAATGTTATGGATTAGAGAATGTACTAAGTAATTGGATTTGTGATGTTTGCTTGAATTTTGGCAATAAAGGAAAGTTCTTGAAATGTCCTCTCTGTCCAAAATTAGGAGGAGCTATGAGACCAACTGCTATGGCAATGAAAGATTCCATATTTGAACTAATTAACCCATCTTTTCATACATATGCTACCAATTCCAAAGTTGATAGACAAAGTAGTAAATAGATTTATTTTAGAACCTCCTCCTGATGGAGAAGAGAATTATAATTTCATGATACTTTAATATCAACTTGAAAATATGACTGGAGAACCACCTAAAGCTGAAAAGATATGGACTCATGTTTCTTGTTCTCTATGGTTAGAATTTGATTTAGTTAAGATTGATAAGAGAAAATTCAACACTTTATGTAGTATATGTAAACAGAAAAAGAATGGAGCATGTGTATCTTGCTCGAAATCCAAGTGTGCCATATCATTTCATCCTGAATGTGCTAGAAGATAGCAAATTTATATGGAATAAGATAACATCTATTGTTTTAAGCATTAGCCTTTAAAAATCAAGAGAATATTTGATGATTAACACAAATAATGGAAGGAGGAGATCTATTCCTTTTTTAAACAATATGAGAAATTAGAATAATAAATAGCAAATAGACCTAAATTAAATGAAGTAGAATTCTTAAAGTTTGAACTCAAAGCGTAGCAAGAAGAAATAGAAGCTGATATCAAATAAGAAAATGAATTATTATTTCAAAGAATTGCTGAAATTCTGGAAAAGGATGAAAAATTCATCGTCACTTTCCAATAAAATCAGGTTATAGACATTTAGTTACCTTATAAGAGACAATCTATCTATGACATTGAAGAGGGTGACAGAATTTGGTAATAGTTAGCTAATGAAAAATACTCATCTGAATAGGTGTACATCCTATATCAGAGAGCCATTAGAATGAGAAAAAAGAAGAAGTAAGGAAATGCAATTATATAATTGTAAATGCCTTCTATTTAGGAATTACCTAACAGAAAAAGACTCTCTATTTATTCTAGACCTAAATACTTTAAGTATCACAAGAAACAAAAGTAAAATCGGTCATCTAATAAGAATAATAATAATAATAATAATAATAATAATAATAATAATAACAACAACAACAGCAATAACAATACTAACAATAACAACAATAACAACAATAATAACAATATTAATATTAATAATAATAATAATAGCATTAATATAAGCATTTATAATAATACTAATAATAGAAATAATAATAACAATAATAATAACAATAATATTATATCTCTAAAAATCAAAATACCTAAGGAGGCTATCAATATACAACAGTAATATTGTATTTGCAAATAATAAAATGATGACGAGATGATGTGTATTATTATTTTTATTCTTTTAGAGTGTGAAATTTGCTCAGAATGGTATCATCTCAAATGCTTAGGATTCTTGAGCACTGTGGAAGATGCGCAGAATCTGTATTTCTATTGTTTTAGATGTGAATAAAAATTAAATCGAGAATAAACCAAATATATCAAGAGATATAAATAATATTTTGTAGATGCTACATTTCGAGATTTAAAATTGAAGATAGGAATGTCCCCCCATGAGTTAAGAGCTCACGAAAAAAAGAACTATAAATAGTTGTCTAAATGATCAATAGAATTACATAACATATAGATTATATTACATTTATATCAATTCAATTGAATATACTAAATAGATAATCAATAAAATCAGATACGTAAATTCATTAAATAATTCAATCTCTTGATTTGTGTCTAATAAATTCAAGTAAGGATTTTGAATAGCATTGAAATGAAAGAAACTCTTCATAGTTTGACTATGATTATTGTTATCGATTACTTCTAAAGGTGTATTTGATAAATCCACAACTCCAGGGGGTGTCTCATAATTAATGTTAAGCTCATAGAACCCAACAGCATATTGAATGGCTGGCAAGATGTCTTATAAGGCAAATCCAAAGGTAGTTTGTACAAATTGTCCAAAAATAACGTTAAATTAATTATCCTCTGAATGATAAATGGATAATTATACTATTTAATAGAAACATCGAAGTTTATGACATTATTTCAAGCATGTCCTAGTCATATACGTTAAGTTAGAAGGAAATGATCAAGTACATGAATGACGCAACTATAGTTCTTGGCATATACTGCAAAGTTTAAATGTCCATCAATGTGCAATCTACCAATTAGCATAGCTTTCTAAACACTTTTAATTAAATTTGGATTACATTGATAAGATTCTTCATTTGGTTTTCTAAATTAAACATTCAACCCATAATTCTCTGCATAAATATCCCATTGATCTGTAAACCAATTTATCCAGTATGTATAAGAAGGAGGATTGACATGCCATTTCAAAGTCTAAAATTAATAACTCCAATTACAAACAGAATGGTTAATTCCATATTTAGGATTTCATCTTTTGTATAACCGTAATTAGCAGCCTTCTCAAATTGCTTAACTCCAATCGGGATAACTTCCTCAACCTTGTTTGCTATCAATAAACTAGTTAAACCAATCAGTTATAAATTTTATTTATTAACCTATCTCTTTGATAGATATGAATCTAAGTAGAAGATAGCCAGGTGAAAAGTTTATCTCTTCAATCTGAATTCCATGGCCACTTCCATCATCCAATCGATAAGAATAGCCCTCATGAGCTGATTGATATCACTCTACTCAGTCAAATAATATGGATCTGTTAGATATTCCCTCTCTTGTTAAATTAAAGGGTCAGGCTCTGTTTTGATTCTCTCCTCTAGGTTCACATTATTAATCACAATTTCATTCTCATCACAAGTCAAATCTAAGTCTTTTGGATTTGAATTAGCCTAAGTAGAGCCAAGAAATCTAGATTCTTTATGGTCGATAGAGGAAGATCTAGATTTTTCAAAGGGACTTTTCGATAGTAATTACAAATCAGCAGAAACGCATCTTTGGGAGCTTTTTCTAAAATGAGAATCTTTATTTTTCAAATCATCTTTCATTTCAATTAATAAGTTTTGATATTCTTAAGAACAACGATACATATTTTCGATAACTCCATTGAATCGTAACTTTTCGTTATTTTAGATTTATGAAGTTTGAGCTATGGACTGTAATTTCAGAGTTAATTTGTCATTGCAATCTCCTTAATTCAAATACATACTGTCCTTTATACGTGTTCTGCTGTTTGTATTGCTAAGAAGAACCGTATTTGGGAAACTGATTTATCTAACTTTTTGAGAAGGCTTATTAATATTATTAAATGAATTTTCCTTATTTTGTTTATTTTGATTTCTGAAATCTTGCAACAATTAATGGAAGGTTGTTGAAGTATCTCTACATTCAGCAGGTCTTGAGGTAATTTGAGCATGAATCACTTAGTTTGGCATTGATTTTTCTGAGGGTTTGTATTGTCTTTCGGTGTGTCTGTCTTTTGAGCTTTTAATCAATTAGGTGATTTATTTAATTATTTAAGGTTCAACAGGTTTTGCTGAGTATTTTGGAGATCTACTTTGAGTAAGACATTTAGGATGACTAACTTGCTTATTATATTATACATACTTAAATCCATTTAACTAAAGTTGCTTCTTTTGCATATATTGTTATATTAATTCAAATTTAATTTATGAAATGCTATTAATAATGAAATCAAATTTCGCGTTTGAACTCTTCTCTAAAGAATCCATAAAGTTTTTAACAAGAAAAGCCAGTGAAATTAATTAGCCACACGAAAATGATGAAAATTATTATTGTATTCTAGAATGATAAAATCAAAATAGAATATCTATATATGTTTAATTGTTTTTATTTATTATATTATTTTGATAATCTGAATTTAGACTAATATATGATCAAATTCTAGAAATATAAGTAAAGAAATGAATCAGAAGAAGTGATAAAAATAACTATGGAAGTTCTATACCAAACAGGACCAAAGGTGTTCTGCGATTTATATAATATACATTAATTATACTTATATTCACAATGGTAAAAAGGTTTTTTTTAAGAATATTCCTTTGAGTTGGCCTTTTAATAGTTTAAAAGCAGCGTGCATACCTGACTTACCTCCTGGAAAAAGGGATACTGTCAAATATATTAATGTTGAGATCTTGATTTATTGGAGATCTTACTTGTAGTGATAATAATCCCAGAGTATAAAAGTATCCCATATAGAACATTCCGGTGTAGAGACAAGCTATTAGAGATACTAGGTAAACCAAGGTAGCAGCTGAGGAAGAAATTTTATTGAAAAGCGTTTTTAGTTCAATGATTTGAAGCATGGATATCAAGACGACAAAGGAGCCGGCTGAAAAAAGTAAACAGAATGGTTTAGGATTGAGTATTAGAAAAGAGGCAAATGGAATTGATATTATGATGAGGATGAGTCCAGCTATGAACAGGATTGCAAATACTCCCCAATTCTTTTAGGTTTCAGTTTTTCTATAGTTTATTATCATTAATACTTTGGTTGAAAGCTAGATACGAGTGATCCTAATAAAGTTTCCTCCTCTGCAAAAAACTGCATGATTAATAATCCTAATCTAATTTAATTTTTAAATAAAAGATGAGCGAAAAGTAAAGTGTAAAGCAATACATCTAAGGGAAATTGGATCTTCTTGAATTTATGATTGCTGAAAAATAAGCAAATGTGAAGAGACAAGAGGCATAGAGAAACGAGTTAAATAGTTTGGGTAATTTTGAATTTGTTATTAGAGTGAGGTAAGTTAAGGAGGAATTGTCAGCCATGCAGGAGCCTCATTCATATGTGGGTGATGTTGTTAAATAGATGGGGAAGGATAAAGTCTTAGTGAAAGTGAATCCAGAAGGGAAATATGTTGTTACATTAGACAAGTCCATTAAGATTGAAGATTGCAAACCTAATACTAGAGTTGCCTTGAAGAGTGATTCATATGTTTTGCATAAGATTCTACCAACAAAGGTGGATCCTTTAGTTTCATTGATGAAGGTAGAAAAAGTGCCAGATTCAACCTATGACATGATAGGTGGTTTGGATCAATAAGTGAAGGAAGTTAAGGAAGTCATTGAATTGCCTATCAAACATCCAGAAATATTTGAAAGTCTGGGAATTGCTTAACCAAAAGGTGTATTATTATATGGACCACCAGGGACTGGAAAGACCTTGTTGGCTAGAGCCATTGCACATCATACTGTATTCAATTATATATAAATGCTCAGGATTGCACATTTATTAGAGTAAGTGGATCAGAGTTGGTACAAAAGTATATTGGAGAAGGAGCTAGAATGGTCAGAGAATTGTTTGTTATGGCTCGTCAGCATTCACCATGCTTAATTTTTATTGATGAAGTAGATTCAATTGGAGGGGCTAGAATGGAAGGAGAAAGAGGCGGAGATTCAGAAGTGTAAAGAACTATGCTGGAACTATTAAATTAAGTAAATTTACATATGTATTCAGCTTGATGGATTTGAATCAACACAGACAATCAAAATTATTATGGCTACAAATAGAATTGACATATTGGATTCGGCTCTATTGAGACCTGGAAGAATTGATAGAAAGGTTGAATTTCCTAATCCTGGAGTTGATGCAAGATTGGAGATTTTAAAAATTCATTCAAAAAAAATGAATTTGATGAGGGGAATCGATTTAAGAAAGATTGCAGAGGTGATGCCAGGTGCTTCTGGTGCTGAATCTAAGGCAGTTTGCACCGAAGCTGGAATGTTTGCATTAAGGGAACGAAGGATTCATGTCACATAGGAGGATTTCGAGATGTCAGTGGCTAAGGTTATGAAAAAGGATATTGAAAAGAATATGGCTATCAATAAAATGCTTAAGTGACTTATGTATACAAATTATAATTATATATTTAATGATTCAACCTAAAGTCTTAACGCAGTTATTGACTCAATGTTAGAACGAATTCAAGGTCTAATCAATTTTTGTTGCAGCCACAATTGATGGATAAATGATAGCTTAAGTAGGTTAAACCTAACATCAATTACCTCAATTTTCTACATTGAGCATATTTTTCGATGATTGCAAAGAAATTGGCAGCATTTAATTATGTACTCTTTTAATGTATACTCCATAGCTTAAAACATTAAGTTGAATTATGTATTTGTCGAAATAGAAGATTAAAGCATTGTATTATCCAACTTTTAGAATTTATTTACTTTGGGAATAGCATCTTCTCAAAATGTCGGCATGTTGGTTTTGTATATGAATAAATTACATCGTCAATTAGAAAAGATCATTAACTGATTGTCTTCTATATATTATTATCATATATTCATTCATTAAATGTTTAGCTTTAGAATTTCATTCTTTACATGTTCTTTTTGGTTATCATTAATCTCTTCGCTATCTAGAAAATTAATAAGAATTTATTTAGCTTCTCTATCGGTTTTATTGCTTTTCTGCATTATGTGTTTAATTAATTCGACATATTATTTTTTTCCATAGTATTTTTTTCTGACATTTAGTTCGTCAAAATAGGAGAGACGAGATAACCTTTTTGCAACAATTTGTAGGTAATGCCTTTCTGGTTTATTCTTTTAAGCTTTAAAGCAACCCTTATAATATTCTTGACCATTCTGTTATTATTCTGCACAACTTAGCATAAAGTTAAGTTCTTAAAAGTAATCCTCACGATTTTAGATTTTATTACTGCTTAATATATATTTCGGCATTTCATAAGTCAAAAAAATTTTAAATCTTTTCCTGTTTATATTGTCTAAAGCCATATGCAAATCAGATTTCGTATATTTGGCTTATCTTTTTTCTTTATTTGAGTTAAATCTTTTTAACACAAAATTAATAAATGATTTCCTAGAATTTTTTTCAGGTTGTTACTCCATTGAAAAATTTTACAAATATATTTTTATAAATATTTTTTATGAAAGAAAGCTCACATCTTTTCTCGAAATATTAATTAGAATACATACAAAAAATAGGGGACGGAGCATTTGGCAAAGTGTACAAAGCCTTCGATTTAACCACAAAAAAAGTAGTTGCAGTCAAAGTATTTATACACCTGTAGAGCAACAGATTCTAAATACAGATGAAGAATAGGAATTGTTATCATCCTTGAATCACAAAAATATAGTCAAGCACATAAGAGGGTAATTAACTTAAGTTCTAATTGCTTAGATCAACTTAATTGCTAGTGATGGAATATATGGAAGGTGGATCATTAAAGAATTACTTGATTTAAAACCCGAATTTGAATGAAGAACAATGTATATAAATTATGAAATCCATTCTTGCTGGATTAAGTTATTTACATCAGCATAATGTCATTCATCGTGACATAAAACCTGGTTATCATTTTTGTTTATCTCTAAAGATAATATCCTATTAACCAAAGATCTTGTACCAAAGATAGGAGACTTTGGTCTCAGCATCCACTTAGAGAACTTTGACTTCTCCACTTCCAAGTGCAGCACTTATCTATATATGGCTCCTGAAATCCTACTAAACAAACTCTATTCTAAAGTATCCGTCTTATTTAAACATAGCCAGTTGACGTTTGGGCTACTGGCATCATCATGTATTAATTACTCTAAGGAATTCATCCTTACTATAAATCAGAATCAACTAAACAACAATACCTTCAAAACATCCTAGAGAAACCTTTATATTTTAAAAAGCAGATTTCCCCCCAGGCCAAGGACTTGCTTATTAGACTACTAAAGTTAGATATTACCGATCGGTACACGGCTCGTCAAGCTTTGCAACATCCTTGGCTTACTAAATAGGACAGTATGCCTCTAAGTCTTTTTGAGTAATTTAAATTGTTTGATTGCAAGAACAAATTCATCAATGTATTGAATTCATCACATTTAGATCATCAAATTGTTGATGTTCATTCAATAATTAAAGATACCCAAATTCTCATATGGATACATTTTAGGCCAATAAGGCTTTCATATTAAGCAAGTTCAATACATTTTAGGATAAATACAATCTCCTCTCAAATTTGAATCTCCAACTATATCAAGTTCCAACACTCTTAAAAAAAAAGGTAAAATTGACAATTCAGAAGAGAACACGCCAATGAGTCTACAAAATTCAACATTCTATTAGAAAAATAAAAAATTACAAGTAATTAATTACATTCATAAATTAATAATTAGAAATTATCCAATTTTTATGAATAAGCATATAAATCTAATGAAAACTCAGTTGCTTAATTAAGTCCTTAGAAACCTAAACGAAGTAATATGAACTTTTCTCAAGCCTCTAGAGAATACGCAGAAATTATGTTAGGATATTCTGCTATAAAAGAAAAGCGAAAGCCCTCCTCTTAAATAAGATTGGAACCTTTAGATAGAAGAGCAAAGAGAACATCTTCTGTAATAGTAATTTCAAATAAATAATGATGATTCTAATTCATTTTCTATATTTATAAATATATTGATTTAAATTGGAGGGTTTTAGTGGAAAAATCTTAAAAATATGGTAAATGAAATTTGAATTTAAATTATTAAAATAAATAAAGTATGAGAAGATACAACAATTATAATTGGAAAAGATGCTCTTATGATTAAATAATGAAAATGATAATTATAAGAAGGATTCAAATAAAATCACATTTTTCTCTTTCCGCATCCTGATCTACCTCCAGATCTTTATCCAGACCTTTAGCCGGATCTGCATCCGGATCTGCTTGACCTGGCTTTATACTATTTCTTATTAGTTTTATGTTCCCCGTCTTCATTAACTTTATCTTAGTTCTCCTCATCATCCTCTTAATCTTCTTTTTCTGACATTTTTTATTTGCCCTATTTGGAATGATGTGCACTCTTGCTTTAATGATCGCCTTCTTTTTCATCATCCTCTCCATCTTCCTTGTCATCATGCTTATCACTCTTCATTTCATGGTTTTTTTTTTTATTATGTGATTTTTCTTCATGTATTTTCATATTTTAAACACTCTTCTAAACATCTTCCATGTCATCTTCGTGCTTTTCATTTTAATGATGACTCTTATGTGATTTTTTTGATTTATCTTTTTCTTTTTCTTTTTCCTTTTCTTTCTTCTCTTTTTAAATATGTTCTCTAATTTCTTCTTCCTTTTCTTAAAATTCTTTCTTCTCATCTGAGGATAATTTATTCCATTGCTGAATTATTTTTTCTTATTATTCAAGACTCTTTTTTTTATGAGCCGATTGGAACAATTATTCATTTAAATATGCATTAAAGCCGCTGCATTTTTGTTCATCACTCATAACATTTAATTGATATTTCAAGAGTTCAGAGGGTTCCATAAAATCAATATATATAATACTATTTTGAATTTAATAATTACAAATCTGTTAATTTGTAAAACCTAAAAACAGCAAAATCAATCAGAAATAATTAAGCTACACATCATTTGAATTAAAATGATCTTCTGCATTACATCAATTTCTCTAGAGTAGATTCCTTATAATCCGAATCTTAGTCTGTAGTTAACGAATTCTCTGATCGATCATTATTTTTCTTATAAGCCTTTTGCCAATTCTAAACATTCTCTTTGTTTCTCTGTGTGTCTAATTCTTTCAATCTTTGCTCATATTCAACCAATTACTACTATTTCTTTTTTAAATCCTCTTCTCTTTGTGAAAGCAACAGCGAATTTTCTTTTAGTCTTTTTTCCCTTAATCGAATTGAGATTCTAGGCAAATTCAACAAATCATCAACACTTGGCCTCTAATCCTGATTCACACTCAAACACCAGCTGATTACACGCTTCATTTCGGATGTATATTGTTAGGGGACATTATCAAATTGCGCCTATTTGATTTTCATCGCTAAAGCTAAATAGTTTTATGCTTGGAAAGGTGGTTACAGGGAACACATTTCATATAGTAAACAACCACAAGCCCAAATATCAGACTTTTCATTGTATTTATGATCTTCTATCAATTCTGGACTCATGTAATACGGAGTACCCACTTAAGTATGAGCAAACTCGCTGTTTATGTTTAACATTCTGGCCAAACCAAAATCTCCTAGTTTCACAGTTTTATCTAAAAATATATTTGCTGGTTTGATATCTCTATGTAATATTTTATTTTATCTTTTATGTATTTCACACAACGCCTAAACTATTTGAGAGAATATTTTCCAAACAGATTCTTCTGGTAAGAATTCTTTGTCCTTTTTTAGTTTCTTCAGAAATTATGCCAAATCTCCACCCTCACAATATTCCATTATTATATATAGCTTTTATGTCTATTTATCGACGATGCGATCATAATATTTGATTATGTTTGGATGTTTGAGTTCTCTCAAAATATTAACTTCATTTACCTATTTTGAAATTTAAATTTAAAATACTAATTGTTATTTTTCTTTCTCACTCATCCTACCATACTCCATCTCTTTGGCAACAAATATCTTTTGATCTGCCTTCCTAAGAACTTTGTAAACTTTTGCAAATGATCCTTTTCCAATATTGTCCAAAAATTAATATGCTTCCATTTTATAATTTATGATTAAATTTATCTGAATGTTGAATAAAATTAAACCTTCCAAGACTTGGTACTCTGTATAATATTACAGTATTGAAAAAATCAATCAGTAACCTACTTATTTTTAATGCTCTTGTTATTGGACTAGCTGATATAACGGATCTCATCTAATCCTATATTAATTTCAATTTGCATTCAATTATTAATTCTAAAATAATACAATAATCAATCAATAAACAAAAATAAAGATATTAAATTTAATATTGAAATACAAAACATTCGATCAAGCTTAATTTATTCAAGCACTTTTTTTGGTCTTCAAAACATTTGAGGTTTACAATTTTTTACTTTTATTGCAAAAAACCTTAACGACTTATTTCATCTTCAACACTTTAAAAGGCGTGCAAATGTTAGTTAAATTTCAATGGCGTTGAGGGAAATTGGTTGCAATACTTTTTATCATCATATGAGGCATGTTTTATGTTAAATTGAATTGAGAATTTTGTAAATATCTTATAATTAATAAACAACTTCTTATTCTTATAGTAGTATGAATAATAATAAATATTATGATTTGTAAAACAAAACACTATTTTTTTGATCATCAGTATAAAGTGTTTATCGAAAACGATCAAATACTTATCGGAAAGGTATTGTTGTGTTATGAATTATTTTAGTAAAAAGAATCTATCAAGTACAGGGTTCCCTTCTCGCATAAAATGTTGATATTATGGATGTTTTAGAAAGGGAAATTCACTGGGTTTAAAATTTTGTTAAAAGAGAAATGGAAGTAATTTGACATGAATCATGAGGATTGTCTAAAATTCAAAAAGAGTTTGGATGGGAGAATAGGTTACAGCAAAATAGAATCTCTCTATAAATTCTTAGGCACAGTAGGCTTGGGGAGCTATAGTGAAGTACTCAAACTTTTAAAAACTAGGTATTTTTAATTGAAAGTTATCTCGATAATTCAAAATACATCGCCAAGAAAATGGGAATCAATTCAAAAAATGTGTTTAGCGTAAGGCGTTATTAATAATTTATAGCTTTTCAATAATGAATTAAAGGCCTTGCAAAACCTCAAACATCCACATATCATAAAGTTGAAAGAGTTTTACTTGAATTACGCTGATTGTTACATAATAACAAATTACATAGAAGGAGAATCCCTTGCTAAATTCTTGAGATACAATAAAAAAATAAGTTCGAAAGAAATCATAAATATCTTGAAAGTATACACATACAATTAATACAAAAGCAATCATTCGAAGCACTATCTTACATCCATGAAAATGGCTTCATACATAGAGACATAAAACCAGAGAACATTATATATGACAAAGATCATAAATTTATTACTTTGATAGATTTCGGATTCGCAACAAGAATCGGATTACAAGAGTATATTGCAGGGACTCCTGGTTATACTGCCCCTGAATTATTTGATAATGTAGTTTCAAACGAGAAATGCGACATTTTCAGTTTGGGGTGTATTTTGTACGAATTGTAGAGAAATTATTATTATGATTAGAATTTATGGGAAGAAACTATTCTAAGGATAGTCTCTTTTTGACATTCAATTTGCAAACAGGGAGTGTCAGTATACTCTCAACCTGACTGATCACCCTTTACATGATTTGCTAAGGAGAATGCTCGAAATAGACTTAAGCAATAGGATAGTCGCTAAGGAAGGATTGAATCTTCTACTATAGTTTGAATAAAACATTCAAATTTGATATTCATCATTAAGCAAATGTATTTGATATAATAATAATAAATAATGACTTCAACTTGAATATTTTATTGTTAATAGGATGCTGCAAATAGCAATCATAATAACAAGTATTATAATGCATCGTTTTGCTAAAGGAGAGTTCTAGTAATCTTCAGCCTATTTGATAATAATAATAAAGTGGATTACTTTTTTCAATTCTTCGTTGGCTTTCTTGACATTGAATACAGCTTAATCAATATTGTAATCGATTCTATCTAAAATAGTGCCTTGATCAATCACCAATTAATTTAATGATTTGAACACTTCAGCCAACTCGTTAATCATAGTAACAAGTTTGTTGATTTCTTAGTCTCTAAATACAGAAATTAATAAAAGTGAACCTCTCGCAAATGATGTCATCGTACATCTACTCTTCTGCTTGGGTAAGCTCATCATCGGCGACCTTCATTTCTTATTGTTTTTGCTCACTTAATTTCAAGAAATTTGCTAATTCCTTTTATTTATAGATACCTCCATCGTCTTTGTTAATTTACTTGATCATAGTGACCATTCTCTTCTATTGATTTCTCAACGCATTAGTTAATTCCTAGATTTATTATGCCAACGCCCTATTGATATTCATTCGGACTATTGATAAGGAGAGTACAATACTTCTCTGGTCACTTGGTGTTTCCTTTTCACTACTATAATTGGCAATCAATTCTGTGTTTTTCTCACATTCCATAATTTTCTACTTTAGAGAGGAGGAATACTTATGTCGCTTTCTAATTGTTTTCGTATATCAGTTTCTCCAAAGCTGTGGCATCTCCAAATTGCATCTTCAATCTTTTCGATCCCAGTAATTGAAGTTCCTTAACTATTCGTATTAAGATTTAATAATATACGTATCTCCTGTACTTGTTTGATTTTGTCAAGACAATCCTCGTAATGACTGGCCCATTCAGATGGCAAACCCTTATTGTGAGCCTGCATTTCAATTGAGAAATTGCTGGCTGTCGACTCACCGGAACTGTCTAATAACAATGTATTTGGTTCTATATGGGATAAAACAATTTAAAAACTTGATATGTGAAGATCATTGGCTTTCTTGAATCTATTGGCTTATTGCTTCTATTCCTCCTTGTACTTGAATAGTAAATGAGTTTTATTCCTCATCACTCCAACACTTTGTCTCATTATTATATTTTAATTATTGAATAAATGTTTCAAACCCTATAAAAATTAAGGGTCATGTGCTTTATGTTCGCCACAACTGCCGAAAGGAAAGTCCCACCTACACCCTCCAATGCGCCTTTCGCCTTGAATAATCTTTGGGACAACCCAGGAGCCAGTAAAACACAAAAGAGATGGGGAAGAAGTGGCACCAGAGGAAATGCCTGTGGAAGAGGACAAAGAGGACAAGGAGCCCGTTCAGGAGCAGGAGTCCCTCCCAAATTCGAAGGAGGACAAACACCCTTGACCAGAAGACTTCCTAAATGGGGTGCCAAACCAAGGTACTCCAAAATTAAGCATATTTAGTTTGGAAATTTATCGAGAAGTCAACATCTGTCAAATCATTGATAGAATCAAACAAGGAAGAATCGATGCCACTCAGCCTATCCAAATAAAGGACATGTTGGAATCAAGAATTTTTAGCAAATGCAAATACGGAGTCAAACTATTGGCTAGAGGAGCTGAAAGATTGAGTGAATTGAATACTCCTTTAACTATTGAAGTATCAGATGCTTCAAAAACCGCTATCGATGCAATAAAGAAGGCGGGAGGTGAAGTCAAAGTTATCTACTTTACACCCCTTTTATTGAGATAACATTTATTCCCAGATAAATATCCATTAGAATTAAGACCTGCTCTCCCTCCCTCAAGAGCAGTTGAAGCTATCCAAAGAACAGAAGAGAGAGGAGCTGTCGCCGATTACATCAAGCCTAAGTGGGTTATTGAGGATGAAATTGAAAAGAAGAAATTAGAGGAGATGGCCAAACTGGATGTAGATACTCTCAAAGTTCAATTGCAAGGAGCTGAAACTGTTGAGACTGTAAAGAAAGAGAAGAAGAAGAAGGTTTTAAATTATAATGAATATTATAGAAATAAAAATAATAAGAAGAGAAATAAGTTAGCACTCTGGATTTAACAAACTTCAAATATCCAGTTAGCAGGGAACCTGGATGTGGCAAAGGCAAAATCAAACAGCGCAAACCAGTAGTGTATAAAAAGTTAACGATAAACTTGGATTGAGTTATTCATATAATTTCATAGTAAATAAAATGCATATTATTATGAACAAATATGAGCATGCTTTGTAGGTTGAAGTGTGTTTTATAATATTTGAAGTGCTTCCTAATGTTTCTTCTCTGTGAAATATTTATCTTCCTGTCTATTTCTAAAAAATTATATGTTTCTCATAATTTGATCTCCAACTATAAAGTACATTCCCGTAATTTTATTCGTAGTACGACTCTTGATGTATTCAATTACACAATCTCTCAAACTAATTCTTAATAAGATCATACTTTTCTGCTCTGTCTTCTGGAGATTCTATGGGCATTTGTTCCTTTTTAAATTGTTATTTACACTTTTTCTTTATATCGACTACCTTTTGAAGATATGTTAATTTAGATTAAATTTGGAGACAATTTTCAGAGCATTCTTGCAGAATCCTTTTAAGATTTAACTATATCAAATCCTATTGTTCATACTTAAATATATGACAAAGGACATAATATAATTTCTAGAGATTTGGTTTCGCCTTTTAAAGAAAGAGATGAATCATCTTACAATTTCCAGCATACAATATTTTATTTTTTAAATCCTCAAGGCTGAAGGTATTGTTTTCATTTACAACTTCTTCGATCATGATGATTTATTCTGGCTATTTAAATGTATGTATCAAATGATTCACATTTATCCAAATCTAATTCACATTCCTTTAATAACTCAAAACATCATTTGGATGAATGCGAGGGGGTTACATTATGCAATCATACTAATCATTTATTTAAGATAAGTTATTAGTTAATAAGACTAATATGCATTCAGATTTAATTTTTTAGATTAACTATCTGTTAAGTGAGACTGATTCACCTATGATGGCAATCCTTTATAGATGAGTTGTATCTCTATTACCTTTATATAGTATTTTTGGTTAGGCTATATTTAATTAATAGATATCAATCATCTCATATTTAATATCTGCAAACTTTGGTTTACTTATTAATGTTATATTCTTACATGATGAGACTGGGCTGAGTTTACAGACCAATTAATCTTCTTGAAGAATTCTTCTTATTTTATATGGTGTTGACTGAGATTTGTTTCTCCTTCAAGGGCTCACTATGGAAATGCGTATCATGAACTGATATTGTTCTACTCGTTAACTATTAGGACTATTAATTGTGATTGGTAGGCAATCTTCGAACAATTTAAGAGTTTTTCGAAGACCGAGTTGCTATCACATTTATTTGTAGACATTACATATGGAAAGCTAACGAATCGGAGTATTCTTTGCAATTAGTAGAGTGCTAAAATCATTTTCTGAGGGAGGTTTCATATTCATTCTCTTAGTCAATCTCGTTATATTTAATCTCATCATTTATAAATTATTAAATTGCCAAAGGAATATTAATATTATTTTAATACAGTTTAGTTTGAATAAAGTTATACCTTAATAAACTCTATTAGATTGTAAGTATTTAATAATATTACAAAGTGTATTTAACTATTTTATACTCTAAACATCCTAAACAAACAAAAAACAAATAATCACAAAACTCCAAATTTCTTCATAACTTTTATTAGATCCTCCATGTTTAATGGCTTTTCCAAATGATAGTCTGCTCCGCATTGTTAGGATCTCAGTTTATCATCAGATCCTGAAAAGGCTGTAACTATTACAATAATCGATCGAGATAGTTTTTAGATTTGTTCAAATTTCCTTATCTCTTATGTACATTAATACCCATCCATTTCTGGCATATTAACATCCATGAAGATTATATTCATTTACTCCTTAGAGTATAAATCGAATGCTTATTTTCCATTGAAGGCTTTGAACAATTTGCAATTAATCACCACTTAATTAAGCATGGCACTCAAAGCAATTATATTAAAAGGAGTGTCATCAACAATAAGAATCTTAAAGGAATCATCTGGAGTAGTTTCTAATTTGTAATATGTTTGAGCCTTCTTTAATTAAATTCGTTTCTATATTTTAGAATTAATATTATTAAATGATGGAAATCGAGGAACAATCTACTTTTGATGCAAATCCTACTCTTGTATGGAACTCTCAAGTTGTTGCTATAAAATCCTATAGATCTTGAATTTAAAGGTGGATCCCTTGCCTACCTGCGATTTAAGTTCAATTTTATCTGATGGCCCCAAAAGAGAAACCAATTATTAACTAATTGTTAAACCCAAACCAACTCCATGTCTGTTATTTTTACCGATATCATAGGTACTGTACAATCTAAATAGATTCTTCTAGATTTCTTCTGGAATTCCATACCCAGTATCCGAAACGGATATTTCTATTAAATCTGCTTCAAGTTGATGAGTAGCTAAAATTGAGATTTCACCTTGCATAGTAAACTTAATGGCGTTGGCGACCAAATTGATGAGCACTTGTTTTAATCTGGTTTCATCTGTTAGAAGGGTACTGTTTTTCTCATTGATGTTATTTTGCCAAATTAGTTTGACTCCTTTTTCAAGAGATTGCTTATTCAACAATTAGTTTATAAATTTAAAGGTGTTATTCAAATTAAAGGTTTTAGGTATCAATCTTAACTAACCTTTGTTGATTTAACTATAATCGAGTAGATCATTTATCATTGACAATAACAATTAGCCGGACTAATTAAATTCATCCAAGTGTGCACATAATTATTCGATGTTACTCAACGTAATCGAGGTTTTTTATTATAATATGTGCTACATTATTTCGATGTCAATCATCATTCCATTCAAAGGAGTCTTTAAATCATGGGAGACTGTTGCCAATAATCTATCCTTGTATTGATCCATTTCTTTTAGATGCTTCAATCTAATCTTTTCTGAGATATCATTCATTATAACCAAAATTGAATTTCTATTTTCCCAAATGCAATTCAATACACGAATTTCAAAATGAGATTTTATTTTTACTTGTGACTTTGTAGATAGAGATACTTTGGATTAGGAATCAAGCTTGAAACACAAATAGTAATCGCTAACATCAGATATATCATATTCATTGTTTATTACTGATGATCTATCACTTGAGGTTTATTGGAATTACCCCTCCACTTAATTTAGTTTTTATTAGAGGATGTCATAGATGCTAATACAGGTATTATATGTCTCTTGTTCTGTTTCTTATTCAGTTTGGATAAATATACACTTTAATTTTCGAATAATTTCATTCTCATCAGAAACTTAAAGGTATTTTATTGCAAAATCATTCGTGTAAATCAATTTCATTTCTTTACCAGTCAGAGTACAATCTTGCAAATCATCACTTTATCCAGATAAGATTAGAATTGAATTCAAAACTGTTTTATCAAAAATGTTCTTGCAGGCATTCAAGTTTGAAGTCTGTTAACATATCTTATAAAAATCCAACCTCTTATAATATTCCAAAGAACGAAAGAATATAAACAACATAATCAATAACACATAAAAAGTCCAATAAATTGAGCCAATAATTCCCACTAAACCTACCAATAAGATTGTTGCTGCAACTAATATTAATCCTTGACAAAACCATAATGGGCAAACTATTAAATAGCTAATTATAATTATTCCAGTTTATATTCCGGTACTTAAAGCCTAAGCGGTGGTTTGCTAATTACATTATTTATTTAATAATTGTGCTTATATATAAACATTTGTTATTAATATCGTCGAAAAAGCACTAATTATCTCCGATATTGAAATAAAGTATTTATAATGTATTTTCTGTATGTTTGCTTACGAAATTAAGCATACTATATGCCAAAAACTAAATCCAATTCTTAAATATGCCACTGTTTAATTTTTCAAGACAAACTGATTATTAATAAAGTAGATAAAATTGATAAAGAAATGGATCAAATATGATAGTCTAAATAGAACAATTATTCTTTTTTTCTCCTTATTTGAATATTTTACTTCTATATCTGAATTTCTAAATTGTAACGTCCATAGATTCATAATTTTTTTTGGCTCCAAATCGGTCTAGGCTTCCTCTGGATGCAAAAAGAACTTTACAATGAATTAATAAATTTTTAACATTAATAAATAAGAATAAAATATTGATAAGCGAAATCCAATTAAATTAAAATTATACAAATTGGGAATTAATATTAGCAGTATTACATAATGAGGTTATTTTCCATAATCAAAAAATCTTTCATAAAAGTCAGAATTAATACAAATCAATTATATTTGTGTATTTTACAAACCATTAAAATATTATAAAATGGATAAAACCAAATTTTCTTCTATTCCTCATAATTTTATTTTTCCTTATTCTTCTTTCAAAGGAACTAAACTTAAGAGGTGATAACTATTGTATTACTCCATTTCAGATCTAATTTCCATATGTCCATTATTAATAATATTAGCCTTAAAGTTAATTAAAGCAAACTTATTTTTAAAAAATTCTTCAATTAATATTTTTTTGTTTACTTGATCAATTAATTAAATATTTATTCTGACAAACTTTTATACATTATCCATAATAATCCATATCAAATGGACTAAATATTTAACATATTACATAGTATATGAAGATTGATGGTTCGGTATATATGGTAACATTAACCTAAAAATACTTTCCTATAAATTTATTTTTAAAAATATATTAATTTTGATAGAATTATTTTCTTATTTATCAAATTAATTAAGAATATACGGATTCACAGGGAAATAGGTTACAAAGCTTACAGTCCAAAAATCTAATAACTAACATTAAAGAATTGATATTATTTTTTCAATTTTTGAATATTAATAAGTTTATTTGAATTTGAAATACATATTAATAGATTATTTTGATTACAATATATGATGAAATTGAATCGCTATCTTGAAGAACTCTTCAAAATAAGTAATTTTAATTTAAGGTATAGATTAATGTTGAAAACTAAAGGAAAAGTGAAAAGTTACTTAATTATATGTGAATATTAGTTCAATTATTTTAATCTAAGAGGATTAGAGTTTGTAGATATGGATAGATTTAGGGCTTTAAATTTAAATTAAGGTTGTTAATGTGAAAAATCGGTAGTAGCACTAATTTAGTACGTCACTATAAATCAGATCTTGGAAACAAGTATAGGATTGGAGGAAAGAGTATATTTAGGATAGTAAATATCAAATAAATTAATATAAATAATGTCCAAATTTTAATAAGATGGTATAACCATCTGTTTACTGGGGGGGTTCCAGAAGTGGCCTTCCAGTGCTCAACATTCCTTCACTCCTCACAAATGTGGATTAAGGGTATAAATTTTCACATTACTATTTTCAAGTTTGTTAAATAATTTACATGGCATTATAAGGATTATTTATAGAAATTGAATGGCAAACCAATTTAAGTGCCAGTGAGGATTTTCACTTCTCCGAAAGAAGGTAAAATTTGGGTTGATTTTGGTAGGGAAATATAATGATGGTTATGATAATGAAAACCATGATCTTATAATCAGATAATATGACAAATTATACAACAGCAAAAAGAATATGTAAGTCATGTGAGGTTTATTGTTAAGAACATATATTTGCGAGGCTCTGTTAGGTGCAGGAACATTCGGCTAAGTGATAAAATGCAGTGTAGAAGGAACGAAACAATAAGTTGCAATAAAGGTATGTCATTGTGAGGATAATTAGATCATAAAAAATTAACATGCTTTTCAAAAACAACAAAAAATAGAAATAAATGTGCTAAGAACTCTCTAAACATTCTCAAAAGAGCAAAACATTTAAAAAAATCGTATAATCTAACTAAATGATTAATTTCTACACAAGAAACACGCGTGCCTAGTTTTCCCTTTGTTGGCATAGAACTTATTTGAAGTGATGAAGACAAATCGATAAGAAGCATTTAGTGTATCGTTGGTCCGAAAATTTCTCAATCAAATAGTGACTGGACTCACAGTGGCTGAACAATGTGGAGTTGTTCATGCTGATCTGAAACCAGAGAATATAATGATCGAATAAAAGCAGCCTGTATTGGATGATTGTTCTCTTTAAATCATTGATTTTGGATCCAGTTGCTTTATGAATGACAAACACCCTTATATCTACATTCAAAGTCGTTTCTACAGAGCTCCAGAGATAATTTTAGAGAATCACTATTACAATAGTATGAATATGGAACTATGAATTATTAGCTAAAATTGATATCTGGAGTTTGGGTTGTATAGCAGTGGAATTATTATAGGGTAATCCCCTTTTTCCTTGTGGGGACCAATACTCCTGTTTGGAGCGAATCATTCAAGTGACCAGACCTACAATAAGTAATGCGTTTGAATATGATATTTTAGCTATGCAGGGATATGTGAAAACTGCTCCTGCTTCAAAAAAATACTTTAACTTACTTCAAAATGATACTTTTCAATTAAAATCGAGGGAGCAATTCACAGCTGAGTTTCCTCACTTAAAAATAAAAACTAAAGAGGGGTACAATTCTATGCATCCTATAAAGATACTTACCGATCTAGCCCAATATTACAATTAGCAATCTTCAAAAGGTATGAAAATGAATGCGATATTTGTGTAGATCAACCTACATTCAATTAATTTCTGGATTTCGTGTAGAAATGTCTTGAATGGGAGCCAAGTGCTAGGATGTCTGCCTAGGATGCTAGTTAACACCCATTTTTGACTGGATAAAATCAAGGATTTGAAATCAACATAGATTTAGATGACTTGTTTGCAAAATTGGATACGTAATCTAATTAAAGTAGTACTTCCTCTTTTTATGAAGACCAACCAGAGTTTTGAGATATTTCCCATTCCTCAGATTAAAATGTTCATTCAAATAACAATAAGTAAAAAAAAAAATAAAAATTCCATTTGAATGATGTTTTGATCATTAAGAGGCAATTAATTAAAACAAATAATAATTTTTCACAATATATAACTTATATTAGAACTCATCGATTCAGTAAATTAAATTCTGCTATATAATTCAATCAATTGTTGGATTTCATTTCATTATTAAATAATAATAAAACTCAAATGGGTCTTTGCCAATCTACCTAATCTACTCTTAAACTCCCTCGTATTCCAGCCCAAAAACACATCCAGATCAACTTTGAAAAGATTAAAGAATACGAAATCGAATATGCTCGTCAACAACCATTTACAAAAAAGCAATCTACTGAGGGATCCTCACCTCTCAGCCAAGTGGACAAATGAATCTGAACATGATTTCCTTATTTTCATAATCTCCAATCTATAATATGTGATATAATGTAAATTTCGCCTTTCATCTCAGCTCATCAATTGCGAATGATTGACGTCAGATGTTTTCTTCACATAATTAATATCGCTGAAAAAAATGAAATTTCTAGAAATCAACATTGAATTCTTCTAATTGAAGTTGATAGATAAAATTATCAGGTTTTAACAGAATGATCACCATAAATGTCATTTAATCATCGGGAACAGAATTGGTATGAAAATTTAAAACAATACTGGTTAGTCATTTAATTAACTATCATTAAAAAAATGATAAAATAATCCAATTATAACATATTACTTGATTACAATAAAATAAATATTATAAAAGAATAAATCGGTCGCTTTCTTATTATGAAGTTTAGAATTAGAAAATATTATTTTTATATAATATTAATAGATAAAAATGGATTAGAGTAAATACCAAATAAAGAATGAACTCTTAAATTTGAGTTTTACAGAAGAACAAATTGCTCAAGTATTACCAAGTGCTGATAGTCTAGAATAAGCTGTTGAGTTACTTTTAGCATTATAAGAAGGACAACACACGATAAAATAAAACAATGGATTATTTGCAGAAATTAATGCCATTGAATTTGATGATCATATGCAACCAAATTTCGATTTTAATAAGAGATATAAAATGGTATGTGTGGTGAGAATGGATTTAAAAATGGGCATAGGGAAAATAGCAGCATAAACAGGACATGCAGGTATATTAATATAGTTATTTTAGTATTGGGAGCATATTAATAATTATTAAATGACAAAAATGTATTATTATAAAAATGGGAAGGAAGTGGTTAAGCAAAAGTAGTACTGAAATGCGAGAGTCAATAGGAATTGTTCAATATTGAAGCAAAGGCAAGACAGAATGGACTCAACACCTATTTGGTAACTGATGCAGGTAGAACATAAGTAAGAATGTATTCCAGAAGCTTAGGTGTAACCTGGAAGTCAAACTGTTTGTGCAATCGGACCAGCTGATTGCGATCTCATAGATTAAGTGACTGGCCATTTAAAATTGTTATGATATCAAAAAGATATTTAATAGTAGAAACAATGTCAATTAGTTGATCGAAAATTTTTGCCTATCCGTTTTAGATCCAATTGGTTGATTAGAGGAGTTGATAATGTTGCCTATTCTTGTTGCTTTTCTTCATTTCGTTATGCTGATTCATTATTGAAATCCTTCATAAGATGCTAGGTTTCTTCTATCATTTTTAATTGCAACATCTATTACTTCTTGGATTGAACAGTCTTCCATAAACTAGTTCTAGATCGTTATTTCATGAGAGGCATAGGAGCAAAAGACTTTATGCCCTTGAATGATAGTAACTCAATCTATTCTCTAAGTTTGAGTAGTCTTTCCTGTTCATCTTGCACTTTCTATCTCTCCTTCATCTTTTCATGTTTTGTAGTATCCATATTCGATAACTTTTCTCTCTAAGTCTTTACCTGAATACTCTAATCGAGTTCTAGCCAGACGATGTCAGCTTTCACGAATCCATTTTCATTATAGCCTCCAAAGATTAACAATCTATTTTCATCTTAAGCAGCACAATGACCTGCTCGACCATCTCTATATTCCATTTAAATAGTGCACCAGGTTTAGGAATCTACTTTAAAAATGTGACAATCATTTAAGAATATCGAGTCAACATTGATACCCCCAAAGAGGACAATCATTTATTACTTTTCAAAATAATTACAAGTATGTTTATATCTAGCACAAGGAGGAATTCCTTTGGCCTTGACTTCAGTCCAGTACATAGGTCTTTGATATGTATTTAACAAATATAAACCAGAATACAATTAACCTTATTTATTCTCACCACCAAATAAATATATTCCTTCCACTTTCTATTTCATATCCTTCAAATCCTCAGGATCTAAATTTGATTTATAAAGTTATATTAATCTATTGTTAGTAAAAACAGAAACTATAGTATGAAAAGCGATTCCATTCTAAAAATAATTGCATATATCAATATTAGCAGGAGCTTGTTTGGCTGTTGTGACATCAAAATGAAAGGCATCTGATAAATACTTCCCCTTGGTATTTATGCCTCCCATAATAAAGATATGCTTCCCTACAAATGCACTAGCCTAACCTCTTCTTACTTCAACCCCTTCTCCACTGGTTCTCACAATTTTGAACTCATTGGTTTCAGTATTGAAGACTCTGAAGTCATTCAAACTCTCTCTAATTTTCTATGCATTATCATATGGTTTTTCTCCACCAAAATAGAAAATGGACCTCCTATAAACACCAGCTATATGGTTAGTCCTTCCAAAAGGAGGCTTATCTACGATGTCAATTTGAGACCATTCATTTCCATTCCAAACATTCATATCATTGAATGGAGTGGCACTTATTCCACCATACAAATAGAACTTGTTTTGAATTACACTCAACGTTGCTCCTTCTCTCATTGCAGGTCTCCATTTCCCATAAAATTTCTCAACCCAATTCAAACAATAGTTTGGGATGAAAGCATCTTAAATCACTTCAATTACTTTTGGTTGATGCTTATTTTAGATCTAACCATCATCATTTAATCGAGAGGGATAACACTTAATCCTAGGCAATCTTCCTACTGATTGACTCTTACTTGTCGAATATTATTCAATTAGTTAGGACAGTTACTCATTCTAATGCTTTATTTGTGCTTTATTATGTCCCAATTGGAAAGCGATTTCATCCAAAGGGCCATAACCTGTGTATATTTTGCTAGAACTTTTATCGTTAAGACTCCTTAAACTATGTTGAGAATTGTTTTTAAAGAGTCTATCTCTATAAGGTTACCATTTTTGTTCCTTCTCTAATTTATCCACCAATGTCTTGTCCACTTAGAGTAATTCTTGCGAACTTACAAATTTACTCAGTTTGCTTTTAGTATTTTGGACTGGCAACGGTGGATGAATCTATTTCATTCAAACATTTTACCATCTGCAATCCTCTTTATACTAAGTATTTATATTTGGTCATTGACAGATCGCTTATTCCTTGACTCTAGTATTCCTTTACTAAATGATCCATGGCGTCATCATCGTCATTGAAATTCAGGATTGGTTGGAGTGGAGAAGGTGAATCATAATTGCTCATTTTTATAAAGTAAATATAAATTTTGAAATAAATATTATTATTTTTAATCTGGAAATGAGTGGTTAATACAAAATCTTAATGCTCTTGGAATCTGTTAAGAAAAAGGATAGTCCCCATATAATTAATAGACTTTAACTTATAGGTATGTCATTTTTATGAGCCTCTTATGTTTTCCAAACTGATATAACGCTTTGATATCGATTTTCAGTTTTCAAGCTTAAGTTTCAATTCCAATAATTAACAGACTAGTATTATTAAAGGTTGATTAAAAATAAATATTTTTATTTATTAATATATTTATATATAGAATAGCCTCCAAAATAAGATTTTTTTTAATAGCCAAGCTTTGGTCTTTGCAAAATTATTTAAATACATCGATATTTACATATTATTAAATACTTGAATTTACTTATAAATTATCGATAGAAATATTAATTTTAAGCTGTTGCGTTAATATGTTTTAGATCCTCATATAAAAAACTAATATTATCAAATAAATTAATGGGATTGTGTCATACCAAAAAGGCAGAACAGAGGAAAAATCCGGCCATCCTCAATAAAAGTCAACCCAGAGCTAAAATTCCTTAGACAACCGAACAAATACTAGAATTTGCTATCACAGAGCCCTTTGAAGATAGCAGTCTCATCTACATTTCTCCACAAATCAAACACAAAACTCAATCATCTAAACAACCAAGTCCTACCTACTCATTGAACCTCTCGAATTACAAATATCGTTTTTCTTCCAAATATGTTCACCAAGAATTCAAACCCAATGAGAGTATCATCCCAATTAATCACTTAGAATAGCTAATCATCCATAGAGAGAGCGGGTTACCTTATTACCTTGAGATTTTGGAGTCCAACTCCGAGAACAGAGGATTGATCAGAAAATTGTTTAATCCCACCACTCCAGAAAACCAATAGGACCCTTCAAACCTCTTCGACATTGTTGAGATATGCTTATAAAATAGATTAATCTTGGTTGTAAGACAGTACAAAGAGGCCAAAAGCCTTGAATCACAATTATAAATTCTCAAATCGAATGTAAAAACTTTATCAATTTCTGTCAATAAGATAATTAAAATCATAACGACTCTACATTCATTAGATATAATTCATTTTAATTTGAGTGTCAAATCGTTCTAGTATTAATAAATATCAGGAGAAATATATCTCAACAATTTATCTGATTTATATAATAGTGAGGAAGTTAATTTTTAATATATATCTCCAGAACAATTAAATTACATTCCCTACTTTACAAAAGAATGCAACATCTGGGCTTTGGGAATGATCATTTGCTAATTGATGGATTGTCCAAAACTTCCCATTTATAATGACAATTTGAGTAAGTTTAAAAGATTAGTGGAGAAATGGCAACCAATATCATCATTAATACATATCAAGGATTAAGAGCTATAGGAATCTCTAATTAAAATGTTATAAAAAGATCCCAGTCAAAGAGCATTATGAATTTCTCTTTTATATTATAAATAATTTGAATTTATAAATATAGAAAAACTTGGCTTATTTTACGGTGAAAGTAAATTGTATTCGAAATGGAATCAAAAATTGATAATATTTGTTACGGCAGCTGAGTACCGTAATTCCTTCATTACTTTTGTCTTTGATCTTATAATGCCATAAGGATAGCTATACAACAAACTCTCCAACGAAAAAACCATAAATTAATACTATTGAAATTTTTGATATTAACCCTTTTCCTATTTAATAAAAAATAAAAATTTATATCAATAGAAAAGTCCACTCTTAATAAAATCACAATATAATATATATAAAAATGGAAAAATCATATTGTGAATTTGGACAAGCCTGCAATATTGATTATAATTGACTGAGATGCATATTTCATGTTGTTCCTATTCTATCAAAATTCTATATGACAGAAGTATTCTATTTTAAGAGAACTGGTTATTTAAGGAATGCTGTAAACGTATGTTATCTTAAAAAGTATAGATGCTCATTATTTTGTGAAATTAAATTCATTTTTATAATCAGAGAGATTCGGAAAAACATGAGTAAATTTAATAGCATAGTAATCAGTATTAATTAAATAACTTAAATGATTGGAATTTTATAAAATAATTTAATCTCATTTAAATAATTGAATTGGCCTTCTCAGCCTATAATACTATGATGGAATATTGTAGATGAAATTAGTAATGGTATAGTAGACCAGATAATGTGGTTTCATTCTAAACTTTCCCTTCTGCCTTAATTCATAGTAGAGTTGATCCCTCACAAAATGATGATCTGTAATTGAAACCCATTTCAATTTTTAAGAACAAGTAGTGAGATCTCTAATTATTAAATCGATGATTGCATTACCTGATAACTTCGTTCCCATTCTGATATTTATTGGCTTCATCTTGGTTCATGGAGACAGTCAGATGCATGAGCAATTCATTAGCCATTTTTGTTCTAAAATCACCCTTGGGGAAGGCTACATCTAGATAGTTTGGAATGCACACCAACTCAGGCGCATGTTTCTTGTAGATGTACTCCATCATGACTTTAGCAATCTTCTAATTGTGAGCCTACCTTTTCTTAAAGACTATGCGTCCATCAAACCATTCATTTATTACTATTTTGGAAATATAATTTAATATATATACTTCCAGCCATCATGATGTATCTAATGGGTAAAATACAAATAACACAGTAAAGTGAGAACAAGGCATAGAGAAACCAAAGAGTTCTATGGTACTCTTGCCAAGTGAATAAATTAATCACTTTTTCTGCAAAGTTACTCAAATAGGTCAGGTACAATTAAACAATAAAGAAAGTCTTCTTGATAGCTCTTATTTTTTGATAGAAGGATTCCTTTGGTTCATTTTCATCATCCACTTCCAATTTGATTTCATTTCCTTCGAATTTGATGACCTTATCCAATGATTGAGTATTCTTTTTGAGATCCTTCTCCTCCTAAGTGAACAACTAAGGAGTCTTATAATAATGATTCAACTCGCATAGGATGTACTTATCTAAAAACAGCCCTACATAATGGTGTATAGTTGGATGTTAGTAAGTGAGAATGAATAGCAAAATGAATCCAAAGTATTGCAGGATGTTGTTTAAATCTGCATTGTAAATGAAGATGAACATAAATGTAAAAACTATTAGTGTTAATCTTGGATACTTTTGATCTACAACATCTTCTAAAGAGAGTTAAAATTAGATCATCAATGAGATTATTCGCTTAAATCTGATGATGTTCATTTTGATAACAGTGAGATCTGGTTCCAATTGCTCATTCTCATATGAGAACACCGGACCAGGTCCAAAAAGAGACAAAGGACTCGACATATTCCTTAAGGTCACAATCAAACTAGGCTACTGTTCATCAATGTTTGAAAGATGCTTCTTAAGAAATTGAAACACATCGCTGTTGTTGCTCTCCTTATTCAATGGTAACTGTATTCTCTAATTGGCAAATAAGATACAAAATAATACCGAAAACTTCGTTCCTGAATGATAACTCAATAAGTCGGCAACTTATATTTCAGCCACTCCAATTATTGACTGTTTGACCTTTCGCTTCAAAATGCCATCCTACACTTCACTGATCAATTCTAATCTTATCACAGAAAAAGAATCTATTATAGGTAGTATGTAATCCTAACTCCACTACGGGTTATTACTGTAAACATGCTATTTAGTTTAACATGTGAAGGGAGGAAATGAAATTTTAACAAACAAAAACGAGTCTTAGATGATATTACTGAGATTAATGGCCTCCTTCACTTGAATCTAGACCTTTCCCAAGGAGTGGAAATCGTCATGCATTCCCTCATATTACAATACATCTTGGGATGCAAACTTCAACTGAGTATACCACAATTTTAATAGGCCTGGGTCGTTGACTGTCAATTAGATCTTCTAGTAATCGTATTCGTGATACATCAACTATTATTATTATTACCTATATTTACTATGACATCGTCTGCTAATTCAATTCTGATCTGAAACAATATTACTTGACAACTGAAGTAATTATAAGATATGTGTTAATATAATTGCAATGTACCCTCTTAAATCTTGCCATAGAATGTTTGCCAGGTCTCATCATCTGAGAATCTCAATTACACATTTGTAGCCAACTTCTTCTATTGGTCTAAACTATAGTTTCCCACTTGAGTTGCATCTTCAGTCGATAAATTGTGATATCGAAATTGCCAATCTGGCTCATCTTCATTTTAAGCATCCGTTGAGGCTAGAATGGTTTACTTCTGATTTCCCAGCACTAGATTCGTTATGACAATTTAATTTACAATCTCTTGTCAAAAAGTAATACAAGAATTTCAGAATATTGCCCTATATTTACGGATGTTGCATTGCTATCATCACCAACTTATTCAAAAAGAGATGGAATCCAGCTTTTCTTTTTTCAGTTTTAAAGAGCCATTCGTGTTTAGATGGAAATTAAGGCAAATCCAAATTGCAATATTTCATTTTCAACTTAACTATTAATTGACTCCCTTACCACTTTGTGCAATGCATAGAACTCATTATAACGTCTGTTGCAAATAAACGTTTGAATATTTGGGTGTCTCACTTATATTTTATACAACGTGAAACTAAATCCATATTCGTTCTCTGTCCCAATAATGTTGATCTAGAGTTATTTTAAGTCTAATTTCACAAAATCATCAAAAGTCAATTTGAAACCCTCCATCGTTGATTTCACACTCATTGGACTGCTTTGAGACATAATTACAAATAATTTATAATTCAATATTTTAAATATCATTTCCCTACAGTATCCACACCCCCACCAATATTCTCACAATATCTACATCCCTTTTAATTAATAAATTTAGACATTTCAATTTCACTTTCTATTTCATTCCTGAATAATTGTAGACCTTCACCTTAGGTTATTTAATATTAATATGAGTATAAAATATCCTTTATTCCAATTGTTAAAAAGAAGGAAACCTCTAAAGAAGTGAATATCCCATTTCTCATATTGTTAAAAGTCCATTGTAACTGAGTTGGAAGGTGGGGTCCCCTCACTTAATTCCTCAGGAACTATAAAATGTCCCTTTTTGAGAAGGGAAAACAAGAATCTAGGGGTTTACTCCGCCCTTTTGGTTCAAGATGAAGTGACACAAGTCTTGGGCGCTTCAATAAAAGAGATTTGTAATATTTTTATATTATTTTCATAAAAATATAATGAATAATAGATTTGAGAATTCTTAAGATCACGACTTGGATATGTGTGGCATATCAAGATCGTACTCATAAACTAAATTGCCTAATCTTAACAATCATAATAAAGATAAATTAAAAAATGAGTTTGTAAAATATATTTTAATCACAAGGTCGATAAAAAGTTATTGTAAAGGAAGGATTAAGAGGATCTTGGAGGTTCCATCCAACTTAATGATTTAAATATCTTGGGCTTGAAGGATTACTACTCTGGGGCATGTGATAATAATAATCAAGAAATCAAACTCAAGTAAATAGAAGAAACCAACGATTGTACACAAGTGGAAACTCAATAAAATGAACCCTACAATAACACTCTGGATTAGTTGGGCCAAAAGTTGAATGAAGTGATAGGACAATATCTCTGTGAACTTACATCTCAGTCTAGATTATCTTTGGACTCCTTTTCCCTTCAGAACAGTGAAAATTTAGACGAGGAACAACAACAACAAATATTAGATCTTGAATTAAACGTCATCCGACAGCGCATATACAAAGTAAAATATTGTTATTTAAATCAGCAAATCGTTGATAAAATCAACCTTTCGGTTATTCAATCCGTCCAATCAATTGGAACTTCTAGTTAACTCACATCTTAATCCAATTATGTCTCCACGTGCGTTTCGAAAGAACTTTTGAATAACAGTGTTACTCAATTTTCTTAAATTTCACAAAAGTCCCCCCCCAAATCCCTCACTCATTCTCTATTAGACTTACAATCACAACTTTATCAAAGTGCTCAATAGGCCTAGGCCAGACCCAATAAGAAAGTTGATGACTTGCCCTTCAACATTGTAGATTGCGAGGGGACAAAGGAGGAATTGCAAAACAAACTCAAGATTTCCATTTAATTAAATTATCAATAGTCTCAAATCAACAGTCAATTGAGGGAAGAATTATCAAAATATGAAGTATAACTGTATTTTCATTAACCCTTTAGAAAATGAACTATCCAGATTCAATATAAGAGGACGAAACACTTACTTTATAATAAGAGATCCAAAACTTGAGACTGGAAAATGCTAAACTAAAAGAGTCTTAATCAAATAAACTATGCGAAAAATGTAAAGATAGTCTATGACTTTTTGATATAAAGTTCAAATCTATAATTGTCATTTATTCAATTTTTCTTATTTTATTAGAGGCAGTATTTTATCCAAAACTTGTTGGTAATGTTAAATGATATTCTTGATTTTTATTTCCTCATTTTGTGGTTGCTGTTGCAAACTCTTTTGTCTTTAGTATCCCTAGTTTTATAATTTGAAATTCTAAATCGGCTTAACGTTCAAACTCTTCTCCTAGTTATTTAGATATTTAGGCAGCGTTTTTGCTGTCCGTGGACTCGTTTTGCTACTGGACTTATTAAAAGTAGATGTTCTTTCTTACTACGTATAAATTACATTTATTATAATTTTATATGCATTCTAGCATTTTCCTTCTTTCTATTTTCCTTTATTTCAATTGATCTTTTAGAGTTACAAGAACTTACACTCCGAATTGATTGCCTTGAATACAAATATATTTTTTGTTATTTTTACAGATTTTTGGAAAGTGGACTCCACATTATTTAATTTATGAAGTAGTTTTTTGTTCTATTACATAATCCCTTCCCATCGATTGATCTCCTATTTCCTGGCAGCTATATATCTGTTTTGCTTGTAAACATCTAATGACTTATCCATTTTTGGAAGGGAACTCTTCCTTGATTTGATGTCACTTAGTCTCCTCTAATGGATTTAATAAGCTCTAAGGAATTATTGATTTTTTATACTGCTGGTTCTAATGTTGGATGAATCTCTACATATACTAATTTTTTTAACTAATTTATATATATGAAATATATATATAAAAACAATCAAACTATTTTGGAAGTAACTTAGACAAACTTTTTGAGATTTATTTATTTTTTACTCAATAAGTAGATTGCAGCAACCACACAAAACCCAGTTGTAATGCTCCACTTCCAATACTACTCTTTTTTCTTTTTGTTCTGATTCTTATGAAATTATCATGTATAGTTACCACTAAGGCTTATTTCTTGATTATTTCAATTTCTTTAAGCACTTTTTACCTCCTCTGTCTCACTCTATTCATGTCATAGAATGTAACAACCTTAATCTGTATCACTATTTACCTTATCCGTAATGCATTCAGTCTTCTATTGATTGTTCACCTCTCTAAAATGGCTGAACAACGAGAGTTTACTGATGAAGTACACCTTAACTTTCAAGGCAAATTGTTTTCTATTGATGGTTATTTGATTCATCTGGAGAAGTTTAGAGAAATCAAGATTCACGTCTCCATTGTATAAAATTATTAACACAATTGTGGGATATTTGTACTCTTCCAAATAAGGTATATATTCTGATCTAATAATCTGATGTTACCTAGTCTTCAAATTAATGTTTAGTTTACAGTTGATCTGAAAAGGTTGTCTATCTTCTGTTTGATCTCATAACACAGCTGTTTGGCCTTGGTAGCTGGATATTTGATTCTGGTCTCGAATATCACTATTTCCCCCTAAAGTATGTCTCCTTGATCCTTAGCTAATTTGTTAGAATATAACTCATAGAAGTTGTGCTAATTCTATTCTTACTTCTCTTAATTAAAAGAATTAGATGGATTATGCACAAATTGATGTCTTCGATTGGCTTAATCTTGTCTACTCTATTATTTGAATTATACGTGGTTCTTATTGATCGAAAATATTCTTCCTTAGAATAAACGTTAGTGTATTCCAATTTCTGGTCAAACATCAAAGAAAATGAATTAAAAGTGAAATTTCTCAATGCAAAAAATACTTGACTCTCCGTGTTTTGATTCTACATTAAAACTAGAGCAAATTACATTGATTTGTTGTGTCTTGTAATTAATCAATTGTTCGCAACTCACTTTTTTTGAATCCAATATATGCAGCATATGAACAAATGAAGAAGTTAGAAAGGAATCAAATTCATCCCCAATCAAATAATGTGCATACCGCTATAAGAATTGACTCTCTATCTTTGAATGAATATCTTAAGCAGAAGCCTACGATTTTCCAGTATGAGCAATATCGTTCATTTTAACAAAAACTTATATTAAATATATTAATAATCCTTATTATTCTAAATTCAACAAATGATAGAACAATACATATATTTCAACATTCCCAATCTACTACTTAATTTGCACCAACACAATCATCACAACTGAGATTTTCTGTAGCACTCTTCTGAATTTCTAATGTTCCTGAAATGTTGCTATCCCAATCTAAGATTGTATCTCTTTAGACTTTAGAATATAGACAGTTGATTCAAAATTGGTCATTTAAAAAGGTTATTAGAAGAGGTTCAAATAAAAATATATTTATTTACACTTAATAATGAATCAAAAACCTAAATTATAAGGTTGGTAAGATCTTACTAACACTTCAAAATTTACTAACCAATTAAGAATCTTAAGCGACTCATTAAATTAAAGTCCCAAATAAGTCAAACCTGCTAGTTCTCCATTTAATAATGTGATCATAAAAAAATTTTTAACTCAACAATCACAATCTCCTAATTACAAAAGAAATCCCCATCGAGATTTATAATAATATACTTGTAACAAAAAGACTTACTCTCCAGTATCCAGGGAATAACTATTTAATTTTAGTTCAGAGAAAACTCAAAAAGACACTAATATTAAATTTAATGTGACAATTTAAGCAAAATAATTAAAATAAAGTCCTGTTGTGCGATGCCTTTAAAGATATCAGAAATAATAACTAAGAAATAAGTTACTATTGATTTCAAAAGATTTAAACAATACATAAATTAACCATATAATTTAACTAATTTATAAATGAAAAATAAATGTATAAAATTTCAATATGTCAAACCTTTTTACTTTAAGAATTGGCCATGGCTACATTAATAAATTTATAATAGAGAGCATTTCCAGGTGTTATTCTGTTTTTCAGATCTAATTACAAGCATTTTCCCAATAAATCTTTGAATTACAAAACCATTTTTAATGTTCAACATTCAACCCTGATTCCTTATTCTTCAAAAGGGTGCTAATAGTACTTGTCGGCTTATCCCCAATAACACTGGCTTCAAAATTACCTGTCTAGTGTTAGAATCGATTAATCTGCTTATAAATTTAAGATGCTAATCAAAATATTTTTAGACTAAAACAGATCGGTTCAACATTTTCATAGATGGGTTTGAAGATGTAATTTCAACATGTCATTATTATTGTCTCCAGAGAACAAGAATCACCATGTAAACAATTCAAGCACTATGTCTGCTGTTACCATTACATCAATGTTAGTATCATAAGGGTAACCAATAATAATTTCAGGGGCACGATAATACCTACTTCCAAGATACTCCATTACTTTTGCTTTATCCACAGCAAAGACAGTACCAAATCGCATAATTTCAACAATTTGTATTAGCTGATAATAATATATTATCTGGCGAGATATCAGCATAAACGATATTTTGTTTTCTCAGATGGGATTCGGCAACTAACAACTACATAGCATAGGATCTAATTGCCTATAAGTTAATTCCTTATCCCTTAGTGTATTTCTTCAAGGCATTTCTAAGATTTAAGTCTAGCGATGCAAATATTAAACACAGATGTTTCTATGTTCGAAACTTTCAATCAATCTGAGATTATGCTTTATATTATTTGGATCAGCCACGTTCAATTGCTTTAAAATTTATCTTTCTCTCTCCAGATCTAATGTAGAGATCTTCTGCTCTGATAGATTTGATAGCATATTCCTATCCATTTTGATTGCTTTGCACACATTAGCAAACACTCCCATACGACATTTATTAATCAACTTATAATCATTTATCATTTCTCCAATTGTAATTCTATAATGCTTATGATTATCGGCTTCATATGATGAATTTGTATTATGTCTCATCATCATTTTCTGATTCATCATTTGATTAACCAAACATATCTATATTGATTTTTCCTGTTTATCATTATTTTTATTTATTCTCTTGATTATTTACTTAAAATTAAAGAAATACTTGTTACAAATCCTTTATTAATCAACAATACTAAAAATAACTATTTATTTTCATCAATCTATTATTTAGGATGATCAAACATAAATCCTTATTCATTATCTGTTAATGTGAGACCTAAATCTCTTGTTCAAACTTTTTATATAATTCATCCCATTAACAATCATCTTCCTAAAAATAATCATCTTAATCTTCAAAATCCAATTCTTTTACATTTTCTTCAACATCTTCTTGCCCTCTTATTATTATTAATCTCCAATGTGTTATTCTTGCTTCTATTTCTTCCTAAGTTTACTTTGATCTTTTTATCTTTTCAATTTAAGTCTTTTATTTATTTTTTTATCCCTCTCCTTTTCCTTACTCTAAACGATATAATTAATTTCAATTGCTAATTTATTTGTGTTATCTATCCAAATTGAGTTATTTATTCATGAATCAAAGCACTAAATATTCATGTAAGATGCTAAATCGAGATTACACACAGAATGAATGATTATGACGTATGAGTCGTTATCTATAATCAGATTATGATTTTGTTGATTTTTCTAATTAAAAATTAATACTATTAAGACATTCTTGAGATAATACGAAGTTATAAAATAAGCATATTTATGAAACTTAATTAAAAGTTAATTTTTATAATAAAATATTCAAATATTTTCAATTGCTGGTTTGATTGAATCTTTAAGATACTAGTGAAATCTTTATGATTTGATTAAATAATTGAAAGGAATTCCAATTAATTCTAATATATATTAATTAAATGAAAAGTGTAATTCAAAAAATTTATATTAAGGAAAAGTAATCTTTAGTTTAATATTGGGATTATAACACAAACTTTAAAGATCTTTTTAAATCAATAATATCATTTATATGGTTAAATTCAACAAACGATCTCAAACTTACCCCAAGGACTCCAACAGCGACACATGTATAAAAAATTTTGAATTTAGAATCTCGAGAAAGCATAGAAAGTCTTAATTCTTGTTCAATAACGATCGAAGAAGGAGGGCCTCATTAAGAAAATTGCACCATTTGCTATAAGAAACTCTGCTCGAAATGCTTTAAAGAATTAGAACTGTTCCCTTCAAAGAGAACTCAGACTTTCCAATGTCCACATTGTGAAGAAATAAAGGAATTAAAAAATACTATCCTCTGCTACATCGTGAATACTCTCTAATTGCTTATTTTCCTTGCTCTCTTTCCTCTAGTGGCATTTGCACTGGCCCTTAATAAAACTGAAAAGTTCATATAAGAAATAGAAACAAAAATAGAAAGCATTTTCATAATTTTGATGGTTAACTTACTTTTCAGCATACCTATATACGTCGGAGAACTTATATATTGCATTTTTATTGCTCCGATCAAAATTTTCCTCGCTTTTCATGAAGCAATCGATCGCAGAGACTTTGTAATAATGAAAAGAGTGTTCTCGTAATAATGAAATTTGATTTTATATGTGTTTATTGATTAGTACGTAATATATATCACAATCATTTCTTTTGATTTGAGTAATTTATGGCAAAGATGATGCCAATTAATTATGCATTATTTAAAAACAATTGTCTTAAAAGTCCTTTTTCCTAAAATAATTCGCATCGATATAATTAGTTTTGAATAAATTCCATGTTCCTTATTGATTTATCACATAATCGTGTCCCATTAGAATACCCTGACAACTCTCTTAACATAAATATTTTAGATTGCATTTTTGTCAAACATTAACTTAAATATTGATGTCATATGTTATTATTTTGATGAAAAATGTAGGTTTTACACATTCATTCTCATCTGAAATCAGATAGAGAATATTCACTATTTGATTTTAGATGAATAAAATGAATTTACTAAGAAGAGTTAGATTATGAGAAAATCAACATTCACATTATGATCAACGAATCAAATTTAAGTGAATTAAACAGATTTAGAGATTGTTATATATAATTTTCTTCATATTTCATTATATAAAACCTGTATTGTTGTTAGTAGATTATTATCTTAAAATATATAGGATATTTTTGTATAATTTAATCTAAAACAACTTAGATAGGATATCGACACTTGAATAAGGTCAGCTATTGTATTTGATCATAATTTTCTTCAGAGTATTAAATCATATGAAAAATCTTAATGTATAAAAATATATTATTATTATTATAATTAAAAGTTGATAAAATAAATAATGTATTTGTAGTTTAATAAATAAAGTTGAATTCACTAACATTAATTAAATGAAGACTGAGGAGGAAGAATATTCATAGACTCTAGCTATAATAGAGTTCTTTTAAAATGACTAGAATATAGAATTTGTAATTACACATGAACTGATTAGTTTTTGAGTTTTAGATATTTAACCTCTAAGGGGGAAGGACTCAATTCTCCATTGTTTTCTTCATGTTCTTCTTGATTTAATTGTTCTTTTGTAACTTTGCTCATGCTTTCTAAAGCCAAGGCCAGAAGATTATTATCTTCAAAAAAAGAAAGTTAGGACAGATTATTTTGATGACTAGGCATGCCAATAACAGTCTAATTTCCACTTTAATTGCAACTACTAAAGGAATCGTTAAAACTGGACTAACTTTTTTACTTTGCAGGTGTCAAAGAGATCTTCCTACACTTCTATTCAGGAGTCTTAAGAAAACTATGTCCAGATAACCCATCTGCACCATTAAGAGTACTTGATGAGGCTTGTTTTTTTCTATTTTACAATAAATCTTATGGTTCCTAATCTGTAGTTCTTCTGGATCGTTTCAAAACTGCAATTTCTGAACTCGGCACTTATAATGATGATGGAGTGTAATCCCAATCATATCTTAATTGATCTTGAATGTTTTGTGAATGAGCTAATTTTTAAAACATTTGTCTTAAGAATTTATAATCTGGAGTTGCTCGGAAATCCAGCTTGCGTGCATAGTCTATCATCCTCTCAAATTCATTGGGTAAACCGCTGCACAACTCATTAAGAGGGATTGTGTTTTTCATATCGCCCACAGCCTTAATTTTCTATTCATCCTATAATTTTAAAACTTGCCAAGGTAGGCTTCCTAAATCAAGATAAAAGACTTAACCTTTCAAGAGGTAGATCAATACATATCCCAAAGATTCCAAATCGTCTCTTCGGCTTAGTTCTTGTCCTTTATGAGCGCCCAAACTCGCATAACGAGATGTCCCCAGAAATGGCTTATTTTCAGAAAAGTTGCTTGGAATACTGTCATATTTCATACATGTGTCTGCCTTTCTTGTCTCGGTAGAACTTGCTAATTCCGAAATCCACTAAGTATAAATTCGAATCGTTATCTCTCCCAGTTAATATATTCTCTGGTTTGAGGTCTCTATGCAAGACAGATCTCAAATTGATAGAATATTTTACTTCAGATGGATATTCTCCAGAATACTCAGCATCTACTCTGCAATTAGTAGGACACATTTCAGGGAAAACTTTTTATATTGTCTTATATAATAAGTAAGATCTTTTCCCAAGAAACTTATTACCATTAGCATTTATTTCTTGTGCTCTCCGAAATAGTAAAGTCTAGGAATATTGAGAGTCCCATTCAAATGCTATAGAATTTTTGCCTATCGATAATTATTTACTTAAATATAGTTACTTCCTTCTCCAAACTGGATCCCTAGTCATTCTTTTCTATCTTTATTGCCACATACTAATTAGATTAAACATCCTATCCCACGTACACCACACCAAATGACCCTTAAGAAATTTTCTTCTTTATTAAGTATTATTCATTAATCATTAAAATAATGTCCATATTACATTTTATTAGATTCCTAAATCAAAAAGCATCACTCCTAACAATTCAGGCAAGCGATGTCTCTATAAATCATGGATGCGAGAGTCGGACTCAATTCATACTGTTAACTAATTTAACTGAGAATCAAACATAATTCATTTGAAAATAAATCAATTCATTAACTCAGGTGAAGAAAATGATCTCTTGAGCATAAGGATATTTAGAGGACATAATAAAAATGATAAAAAAATAAGAATAATTTAGAAACATCTCAAATAGAAAATTGCTTTAGCTTCTAATTATGCATTTAAATTGAAATATTAAAATATGAAGGGAGAGAACTACTAAACCCGTTATGTGAACATTTATTTGTGTGATTTTCAATCCTCTGAAACATCTTTGGTTAATTGGAATATGTTTCTAACATTTTTCATTATGAAATTTAATGACTGTTACTGACAATCTCTTATGGACAAGAAGACCTTATAATTTTGATACTGAATTTTAAGATATCAATAGTAAATACTTATGTTTTATACTATCATCTAATAAAATATATAATAATAAAAAATAATGTCAATATCGAAATAATTTCACCTTTAATTCTCGCAATCACCAAGATCTATCAATAAAACTTCTTTAAAATACGATCTCGCCTTGCTTGGTTAGAGTGAAAGATTGATAAAGTAGCCTCAAATTGCGCCTTAGAAACGTCAAAGAAGCATAATAAAACAGCAATTATTCCTTAAAACTTAAATCTCAAATTCATCATTAAACAAGTCAAACGAAGACTTTCTATTAAAGAAACAAAGCTAGAATTAAACTTCCTTTTAAGAATAGCTTATAATGAAAGATTTGATTATATAGGAGTACGAAAAAAAATATAGGGATCAGGTAATTTTAATTTTAGAAATTTAGATTGGTGTTTGTTAACAACTGAGTTGCCAGGTTGAATAATAGAAGGAGTTGATTGATTAATTGCAATTGCAAATCAATCATCTGAAACTCTACATTTTGGACCTGAAAAAATAGGTTGAAAACAGTGTTTTACATCAGCAATGCAATCAAAAGCAGCAGGAATACAAAGATTAATTAAGGAGGTTTGATGAAATTCTCAGATAAACTATGGATTAAAACTATGCAACTCAATAAAGGATTAAAGATTTCGAACTAAAGTCCTAAAAACTAAAATAGTAATCAGTAAATATTTAAATAAAATTGAGAATGATTTAAAATACCATATCATATGTAGGAATTGCAATGCTCAAATCAAGAATGCCGTTACCTTGATTCCCTGTGCACATACGTTTTGCAACAGATGCATTAGTAACTTTAAGGGACAGTGTTTTGTCTGTTTAGATTAGGTATTTCTTGTTTCTTAATGGTAGAGCAAAGTCACTGCCACATACGCCAATGATTACATAACAGATTTGGCTTAAATATACTAAACTTTAGAATCTCTAATCGGTGTAATATAATGATGATTATTAATTTTATATATAATAATAAAAGGGTTTGTACCTTGTGTAGTTATTTGCGAATATTAAATTATTGGTACATAGATTAAAATTTACACTAAATCAAAGATTAAGTAGTCCTTAATAGTACTCATTGTAGCAATTATGCAGGTCTTGTTCGACCTTTTGGTGACAATGCTCATATTCTCTTTCGTCTGATTATGACTTGTAGCATTCCAAGGCTTGTCTTTCAATAAAGAGCAAGCGTGTAGACAAAAGATTGGCTATGTTGTCGACTTTGCCTTCATATTTTTCCATGCCTAAGAAAATTAGATTCTTTCTTACATGTGGCAAATAATTCAAAATTGGTTGAATTATCGAGACAAGCTTATTTATGGTTAGTTGCTGCTTCAAGAGACTTCCGCATTTACTCTTCAGATAGTTTAATATTATGTTTATAGGAATCGAAATCCTTTTCATATTACTATTTTTTTTACATAAAATTAATATTAATATATATATATAATTTTAGTGATTATCTAATTATATAAATAAATAATTAATGCATCATTAAAATTGTTTATTAGTAACAATAGGATCACACATTATGCTATTATAAACTTTTTCTCTGAGTAGTTTGATAAAAGTTTGTGTTTGGTTTTCAATCAGTTCTCCCAACAACCTTGGTATATAAGCGTAGTATTTCCTATAGAGATCTTTCTCTGCGCTGGTGAGTTTTTCTTGCTTTACAAAATAGCAATAACTGATTTGATTGAACTTCTCGATGTATTCAATACTCGCATTATTCATAAAGTTCTTATAAACAATTAATGTGAATGCTTACTTTCAATTGATGCTGAGGTAGTTGTTGCTTCATCAATTACAAGCAATTGACCATATGATTGGTGAGTTCATAATAATTTTTACCTGTTGTCATAAACTAACTATTCACTTATTGCTGTATTTTGTTTATATAATTGTGGATCACAGGATTGATGTCGATTTGCACTTTCCTACATAACTCAAAATAAATACTTATTCAAATTGATTCCATTTACATCAATATTTAGTTGATAATCATTCGTCATTGTATTGTAACCCTGTAGAATCATGGTTATTATTTTTAGAACTTCTTCCAGCAATTATTCTTTCTGGATTTCCCCATCCTAATCATTTATTAATTTTTGGTCCTATTTTGATGCTACTTACGATTTGTAGTCATCCAAGATTAATTGATAATGAGCAATCAATTCATTCTTTTAATTGATTTCATTCAACTATTGAGTCTGAGTATTCAACTATTAATGATAGTTATCTTCCATCTCGCTTAATAGTTTCTCGAACTCTTTGATGGTTTCATCTTGCTCCAACAGTTTATTTTTATAAAATTACAGCTCTTCAATCATTTCCTATTTCTCTTCTTAAATACTCTAGCACACCTATTGATACTTATCTAATTAGATCATCACCTTCTACACTTTATCAAAGGCAGTCTTCCCTTCCACTACACATACCTTATGGATAAATAACTCTAATTAGGACATCATTTTATTGGAGTAGTTTTGATTTGTTTGTTATTTGATTTGATCCAATATTGGCTTGAAAGGCAGAGAATTGCCTTAGTGAAATGCATTGTCCAACAATTTAATTACTTATTCGATTTACTGAGATTGGTCCATATTAATAGTCCAACAGCCTTTTAGAGCTGATCTCAATCCTTGATGCTACTTCTAATATAACTTAGTAATATCCATATTGCATTGCAACAACTCAAAAAGAACCCTGCTCTTCTCCTTATAAAATAATAATTCATCCTCCTTTTTGATTAGTTACTCCACCATTTCTTCCTGTTTCTATGTGGTCAATTGGAGGATCTCTTGATTCTTCTAGAGAATCTACTAATTCATTTAGCTGCAATGTCTCATAAATATGTCTAAGATTTCCTTTTATTCTAATTCTCTGTTTATGGACTCTTGCAATTCCTATTAGTAATATGGTGTGGTTTCGATGTATTTAATTTGAACATTGTCTTCTCCTTATTTCTCTTGGTCCAGAAACAAATTGAGAATCTCTTTGGCTGTAGTAGTCTGAACAGGTACTTTTAATTTTTGAACATCTTTTTATTGTTAATTGTAGTCTTCGCTTAACGATTGATACTTTTCTTTGAATCCTTCATTGTCTCTAAGTTATTGTTCTAAGTAATGAATTTATTGGGACAACTCATCGATCAAATAATTCTATTATGATAACTCATCCCGCATTTGTTCAATCTCTCTGTCCTTCCTCATAAGTTACGTAATAACAGGAGAGAATTGTTTATTCTTTGGAGGCAACGTACTTTGCGAATCATAAGAAGAATTAAGTTAATAACTTCTATCGATCATTTGAAATTAATTTTACAATAATACAATAACTAATTACATTTATCTCAGCAAATAAATTTTGTATTAAAAAGTACCTGATTTCAGGTCATCAATTTTATTTACTTATAGGGCAAATAAACAAATCAAATAGAGATATTAAATAGCTTGTGAGATTGAGCTTTCCGGCTCATTTCTCTCCTTCTGTTCTTAAAAACTGTATTATTTATTTAAAAAGAGTACATTTCAAGGGAAAACACAAAGTAATCTCTTGAATAACATATAAAACTAAGTAGAATGATCAATTAAACATAGAATTTATTTATTGGGTCTAGGAATTATATATTAATAATAAAATGGATTAATTACTGTTAGTTTAACCTGAAAGAATGCTAAAATTTGAAATGGAAAATAACTAATACGTTGCAAGAATAGTTTTACAAAATGTTTCAGCAATCTTCGTAGCTTTTAAAGTTAGACTAAGCAATCAAAATGATTATACTGTAAAACCAAGCATAGGTGTATTGAGAGCAGGCAACAGTGTAACATTGCAATTAACTACCGAAAATGCAATTAGTATAAATGTGGATCGCGTTTAGATTTTGGCTGGACCCATTTCCAACAATGAGGTAATACTTGATAATATTGGCAGGATGTGATTTAATTTTTCAAAAAATAGCAGAGATTAAATCAAAGGATCCTTAAATGCAGCAGTGGCGAAGCTTCTTCTTTGTCATCTACTGTGTACAAATCTTCCATTTCTCCGTAAGAAATTAATGATTTTAAAACAACTACAATTAAAACTGAATATGTGAAACCGCAGAAGAAATAATCGGCATCAAAAGATGTTCTGAGTTTGGAAGAATAGATTAAATTGATTGTATTTATACCTCATCTATTCTTGTGTAGAGTGAAGATCTGAAAGTTATCAAGGAAAAACAAAATGATGGCAAGATAACAGTTGGGATAAAATAATTCTTAATATCAATTTTTATTGCAATGATTGTTGGAGTATATATAACTTATAGATGATATTATTCAAATAAAAACAAATCTCGTTCTCTAATTTATAAGCACGTTGGCAATATTGATTTTTTTCATGCTTTTTATCTATTCCTGAGTGAACTCAAATTGCACCTTCTTATTCGAGATCAGTTGATAGGACACCGAATTCGGGTTCTAATTGGGAGGTCCTTCAAATGAACATATTTTCAGTATCCCTTGAGGGGATACATTTTTTATTTTTGTTGGAGTATTTTTACTATTCCGAGGTTTTTTATTAGGCCCGTCCTGAATTTAACCTAAAATATTCTTATATGGGCTGTTCATTTTAATCTATTGCATACTGGCAACATAAGGTTTATTGTTTCTTTTGTTCCTTTTATTTTCTCTTAAAATGCTCACACTTTTGCTGACATTAATTGTACCAGTTTAAATAACTCTATCTTGCCTTCTTATGTTATCCACTCCTCTTAATATTGATTAATATTAAACAGATTCGTCATTACTATAACTCACTCCCATGAATTTATAAGCAGGAGATGGAATTGGTTGATTCGCCTGTTCATTTTATATATAGGTATTATCATCATAGCAAAATTAGAAGTGAGTTTAAAATGGGCATATTTTTACTTGTTTAATTTCTTCATCTGAGTTGATGTCTACATTTGATTCGAAACTATATTCCGTCGTCATAATCAAAAAAATAATTATCTCAACATTTAAGAATAAGATTTTACTTCTTATAATATTAACACATAATTAATTTAACTAGTTTTTCATGTGGATTCCTATTAGCTCTCTTGTGAGAGAGGAATAATATCAAAAACATTTAAAACCACATTCTTAATATAACTTTATTAAGATCTTGTGGAATTCCTAATCTGAATGATTCTCCTATTCTATGTTTTTCTATTTTTAAATGAATCCATTCTAAAACAGAGACAGTATGAGTACCAAATAAATAAAACAAATTAAATATCATTTATGAAATTTGGTAAGTTGTAACTTTTCTTTTTCATCCAGGCTCAAACCTTTAATATTCTCTATAATAAATCAAAATATGGTCAATTATTTTCTGAATCAGAATAATAATAAAAATAGGTTCAGTTGCATGTGTAATTTGTAATTTTAGTTGTTGAAGTTTAGAGAATTAGGTGTTAATGTAAGGAGAATTTATTTGAATGATATATTAAAAAATAATATTATTAGGCCATTAAAATCAAGATGAACTCATCAACAGAGTCTTGAAATAATTTAAAAATAAATTAATTTCTCACCCTAGCAATTGGTTTTTTTGCCAGACTGTTAATTGGTTCTTGAATATGATGGGATCAAATTGATAGGTTGTAATGTTTTTGAATAATGAATACATGTTCAATTTGTTGTACAATGAATTAATTGGTTGAATAATACTTCATTAATTACATTTATGGGTGGATAACAATCTTATGGACAAGCGATAAGTACTTTCAACGAGAAGAAAGCAGTTATCATCGGTCAAGTGAATGTTCAGACTAGTAGTGATCATAGTAATAGTGTTATTTGAGAGTAGTGACTGAAATCATTGTGGCTTTGGGAAATGAGGTTCATCCCTAATTATGGAATGCGGCAATAATGGAAATGAGAAGCACGGATACTGATTTTCCATTGACATTTCGCAGGTTCTGCATCTCAAACCAAGGCGATGAATACTAACACTCATACATTCCTGAAAAAATAAGTAATGTTTAGCAAAAATGAAGATCAATTTATGAGCTCACTAAGACCCTAGAGTGTGGAATTTCATGAGAAAAAAGGTCATTTCTGGACCATTGAAATCCCAAGTCATATTTAAGAACACCTGCAACATGATGAATCGAATATGAATGCTCAAATAATTTATCCATTCTGTGATAAAATGAAGACGAATTTATTTAGAGAGTAATATCAACAGGCATATATTGATGTATTCAAAGCCATCGAATAAGAAATGATTACCCATTCTGCCTACATCTCAGTTGGGATATTGGACATGAAATCCAATAATCCCATATTGGGAATAGACAACTATTCAATGACTTAAGACATCATAGACGCTTTCATTTAATGTACTCCCAAAATCCATAAATTAATATTCATATCTGAAGTTGAATCTCAGGCATTCATAATGGGAATGGCATTGAAAGATAAGACGCGTCATCTGCAGGATCTTACAAATGTATTTGTAGAACAAGATAAACAAAAACCTGATGAACCAGAACAAGCAAATCAAGCAGATCAAATTATAGAACAGTAGGAAATTCCCATAAGGGTTGAATTAGAAATACAATTTAAACAAGATGAGGACATTTAGCTCAATTCAAATAATGTCTAATCGTAAATTCAGAAATTGAATTCCCAAGTTCAGAGGATTCAGAAACCCACTGTGGTCAGTTATCACAATGGACACAAATGTATAGATGATCTTATTTATATGATTAGAAAACATTGCCTATTAATTCTTTAGAGAATTCAGTGTTCCTTTGAATTAATAAGTATTTCAAACTATCCTTCCAAGAGTGGGTGATTCAAGTCCAATGTGTCTGTGTGGTAGAAACATCAAGATCAGAGTCGAAGGTAATTTATGTTGTTATTGCGGAATGCATAGATCCACTATATTATAATGCGAATAACGAGTAAGATTGTTAGTAATTTAGGCATGTGGAAGATAGTATTGTGCCAGTTGTATTAATCCTGCTAAACTTTTTAATGTGTGTTTTTAAGGCCATTAAATGAAATTTGTTTAAGAATTAAATGTTACCTAAAAATGTTTATATTGTCAATAATCCACCTTTCGTCTTGGCCATTTCAAATGTTAACCATGTCAATTGAAAATATGCGCTTATTGCTATTATTCAAAGTATACAGAATGGCAATTCAAGAAAGTAAAATTAGGATATAACATAATTAGATGAAAATCTACTTAAATTGTTTGAAAAAGATCAAGCCAAATTACAGATAAGAGGTTTACAATTAATTAATTACTGAGTATTTGCTTGATGCAAACTTAGAAAAATTACAATAGAGATGATCTATATATATATAAATTTAATTGATGTTTACTTACATTCTTCAATTTCATACATCTCCTTGATTAATTTATTACCTATTTTTTTTCATTATAAGATACATTTTAATCTATGTAAGATATATATATTTTGATTAATAATATATGTAATATAATATCATTATGGGGAAAATAAAGAAAAAGAGTATAAAATAATAATAATGTATAACTTAGGAATGAGAATTTCAGTCATATTTCCTATTGTAACTTATTCACTTGATTACCAAATTTTGATTGATTGGATTATATACTCAGATACTGATCTCATATACTTAGATGATACTATTAGTCTCTTTTACTTTTAGTTACCATTTTGTAGCATATATATGTGAAAGACATAATTAAATCGTTATAGTCCTATAACTTTCACAAATGTTGATAATCAGTTTTATAATAATCCTATTCTATTTTCAATTTGCATAATAATTAATACTTTCTTTATAATTAAAATATTTCTTAAGAAAAATGCAATAAAATTTTATTTATTTTTACATAACAAATGTTAAATCAAGGTAGAGCTCTTTGGTATGCTCTTAAAGTTGAAGATTATGATTTGGTTGAGTTTCTGATCACTCAAAAGACTGATGTCAGATAAACATATGAATTTGAACCAAAACGATATTTGTCTACTGCTAGTGTAAAAATGGAATCGTAATTCTATAGTTGTTGACTCTCCGCGTCTGCTAGGCTCGTTCAAAGGGGTTGAATAGTCATCACTACAAAAGGATGTATTAGTTGCTTGATAACTTTCTGTAATATGCTGAGGAATGCGACATTCGATGCCATTGTACAAAGAACTACGAACATAGATGCCCACTCTACATAGCATTGAAAACATTGGGGGTCAAAAAGGAAGATGACATGTTTAATAAGAAAAATGATATTTTGAAGGCGTTGCTTGTCAAAGGAGCCAATTTAAAAGTGTTCGAAGGGCAGACTTCGATGATTGATGTGGAAGGATATAGACAATATCTAATATAGAGAATTCAATTCTAGAAAACAAATGGATTCAAGTAAACATAAGATGGATATGCTACTTTTAGTCAATGACATAATATTATAATATCAATCTTAGATGCGCTATTATTCTAATGAATCACAATATTCATGATGATATTGTACAAATGAAAAGGTTTAGCTTTATTCCTTAGTCATTGAACTTTGTAATTGTTGCTTCAAGAGTCTATCAGTAGCACTTTAGAATTGATTTTGTAGTTCGATATTCTATTCCCGTAAATACAGATTCTCCTATTCTAACTGTTATAACTTATCCTTCATATCATTCAATTCTTCATTGTTGTAGTTTTCATTCAATTCCTTCTCATTGCAACCATTCTAAACTTCAGCCTTTAATTGCTCAACCATACTTTCACTGGAACTCTCCTTCTGATTTTCTTAAGATTCTTTGAGTAACTCATGATATCTAGATTTCCATTTGTTTTTCTTTTTTAGCATACTCTCCACATGACTTATCTGCTCTTTGAATGCAAGACCATCCTATTTGAATTGCATTAGTTCAGATTACAGTAAATTCCTCTCAATTTCTAATTGTTTATGCTTAATATCCAATTTCTAGAATGCTTAAGATTAATCAATGAATTGTCTATAATATTGATTTCTTTCTTCCTTGAGTTCTAAATAATTCTTGGATAAAATCAACTACGACTACTTTAATTCACTCAGTTATTGTTTTAGCATTTCATTTTAAAACTATAATTATTTTCCATGCTATTCCTAATTCTTCTCGTTTTCCAACCTCTTTTCCATAATCTCAAATTTCTTAGTCCATTCTAAGATGATTTGGTTTTTCTATCTGCTTTTAATAAATATTTACTATAACAATGAGTGCAATTTTGAATTGTCATCCTGCTTTCTGCAATCCTGCACCTATCTCCTCAAAAGAGCATTCTCTAATTCACATTCCTATAGAGCTTCTGACTTTTCAACATATTTATTGCTCAAATCATCCAATTCCATTATTAATAATTTCCTCTATTAATTTACTCGATGCAATTCCTATTCTAGTTGATTACTTTTGACTATTTGTTCAGTCTGACTTGTGATGACTTCTTATAATGAAGTTCTGCCATCTCGTGAAGTATTTAGAGATATGTTCATCTTTTTTTTTAACGGACTTATTATTTGCATTTATATATATATTTTTGATTATATACAACTAAAATTCTCAAATAAAGGGAAATTAAAGTGGAGTATTCTAGATTTCTGAAAACGGAGTCATCGGCTCACATACTTCTTACAAAGGCTCTATTAAAATGGAACCATAATATGGTTAATAGCCCTTCAGCAAGATCATCATCAAATCCCATGTTTGTTTATACGGCTTATAAATTTCAGGGTTCTTTTTTTTCTGGCATTTCTAATTTCATTTCAATCAAAAGTATTACCTTTAACAAATCATCTAATTTCATTAAAATCAACTCCTATTGTTTAGACTATATTCTTAAATTGTAAGACAAGAGTCCTTATTGTTCCTTCAATCTATCCAATTGAGTCTTCAATTCAATATTTGATTACCTCATCTAATTTAGATTGCACTCATCCACTGATACACTTGATTATCTCTAATTGCGGACTACCTTATACAAATCCTAAATACTTCGAATTTTAAACCTTGAAATTGCCTTTCACAAAATACTAGTGTTAATACTGTTTCTGATTTCTCTCGTTTTTCTTCATGCTGAATCCGTACATGCTCAACTATCTCAAAAATGATTAAAAGCATTTTGTAGTGAAGTTCTCAACCATCACTTTTTCAGAAAATTCTGCAATCTTAGGAATCACAAAACCATCCCCAGATGGTAACCAACGGATATATTTCCTATACTCATTTGTCTTTATTTTATATTCAATAACTCACTTCAAGAATCTCATAAAGTTTACTTATGAACTTCGTAGGTTTGCTCATTTGTTATTAGTTTATAACAAAATTTTATATAGTTTTTTTATCAAGAGTTAATACTTTTACTTAAAGTACCTTCTATTTTAGGGAATAGTAATCTTTCTATAGATTCTTACAAAAATTGGGAGTTAGTGCTGAGCTTCGTTTAAAATGTTATCATCTAAGATATTAAATTTAATGCCATTCGTATCTGTAGTCTTAAAAGGGTTAATATAGTAAATTTAGAATTTCTAGATGCCCTAGTAAATTTTATTAGTAAACATTTTCATTTTCAAATATATATTAATATGAAACTACAGAAGAAATTTAGATATATCTTTTATTATGTGAAATTGCACTACAATTATTTTATCTATATTTTACATCCAAAATATACATAGATCTGTAAAATTTAGTTTCTCTACTATTTTAATGTTCCCCACTTGGTTAAAGCATATTTTTAATTTGATGATAAAATAACAGAATTTCAATCATATTTAAATGATAAAAGCATTATCACGGTCACTTTGAATCCACAAAGCAAGAAAAGATATCAAAGCGATTGAAATTAAGTTAAAATATGTTGCTCTAAATAAGGTATCCTCATTTATTGCAAAAATTAGATGTTGTAAAATTAAAAAAAATAATGCCCACGATTAAGAAAATGCGTATTAATATTGCATTATTTAATTGAACACACGCAATATGGAAAAGTTTGAAGAAATATTTAAATTAAAACGGAATTTCTTATGTGATTAGTCACTTTGAAATTGAATAGTTATGTTATGTTATTATGATAAGAAAAAGACATAGACAAATCTCATAAAAATAAGTAGTTTGGGAATCATGCCTATTCCTCATCAGTCTCTTCATCGATAATTAAGAGTTCACTATTTTTGAATTCTAATTATCTTCTGTATTGTTTAATCAAAAACAAAAAATACATGGAGAGCTAGTTTGTATCTAAATTCTCTGGAATTTGAAATTAGTGTTGCACCACTATTTCCTTGAGATACAGTTTTTCTTAATTGGTAATTAGTTTTAATTCGCCTAGAGTTTTTATGGTTTAAAAACAAATTCTATAAAAGGATTCATTCATCATTAATTTTAAATATAAATAATCCTTTTTTTAGCTAGATTTAAATTAATTAAACAAATTTTTATTTGTATGTGTATATTTTATCATTCCTTCTTGGCTTCTTTTTTGGAGGCATCCTTTTTTTATTAAGGAACATCCTTTTTCTAAACTTACTTGCCATCAACTTAAGCAATGGCCTTGATCTTGTCCTTCTCCTAAAGAGTAACAGTTCTATTCCAGATGAATTTTCCGTCCTTTGAGTCGAAGTCCAAGTTGAAATAGCCCAATCTTTCAAATTAGACCTTGTCTTCTGGTTTGGAATTCAAGAGATCCCTAAATGACTTTATAAGGAAGTTTACTTGTGCATAAAGGCATTAGGGCAAACTATCTTTGAATTTGGATTGATTCCTTTAATGTAATCATCTAATTCATTGGGGTCGTAGGCTTCGAACAAGTAATCATACAATCTAGCAACACAAGGAGTGGCCTCTTTAACAGACAACCAATGTAAAAATCCTTTAGGTTTGACGTCCTTTCCTAGTCGTTCTAGGTGGACTTCATTGGCAGTGACGCTGAGAACTTTGAAAGGTCCACATTATTTGAGTCCAATGATCTTACCAGGAGCAACACCCCAGAAGTCAGGATGGTCTTCAGTTCTTAGAAAGAGATAGTTAAATAAATATACCTGACATCGTTCTTGTCCAAATAGATTTATTTAGTCAAAAGGATCTTTCTGTTACCCTTTTATGGATTTCTTGGGATGATGGCAACCTCTAACTCTTCTGAGAAGTCCTCTGCGACGTTGTCAATAATGGCTACGATTGGTTCTAAGATAGCCATGGTTCTTGGAGCCTTGATGTCTAAGTCTTTTCTGATGCAACTTTCAAGGACATGCATGCCGATGAAATTTTCATTACCTTTTCTAGTAACACTGATGAGATCGCAGAATTTGTTGATGGAATCAGCTGTATATCCTCTTCTTCTAAGACCGTTGAGGGTCAAGATTCTAGGATCATCCCAACCATCGACAATGTTGTTAAAGACCAAATGATGAAGTTTTCTCTTACTTAATACAGTGTTGGAGACATTCAATCTGGAGAATTCCCAGACGAAGGGTCTGTAAAGATCTAATTCTTTCAAGAACCAATAATAGAGGTCTCTTCTAACTTCGAATTCAAGTGTGCAGCAAGAATGGGTGATACCCTCAATGGAATCGCAGATGCAATGAGTGAAGTCATAGAGAGGATAGATGCACCATTTATCTCCTTGATGGGGATGAGGAGTGAATCTGATTCTGAATATGGCTGGGTCTCTAAGAGTGGGATTAGGATGAGTTGGATCAATCTTGGCTCTCAAACAAACCTCGTTCTCTTTGTAGTAACCCAATTTCATTTTTCTGAAGATTTCCAAATTTTCAGCTGGTTGGGTTTCTCTGTAAGGGGAAGGCTTAAGATCAGTTCTTAATTTGGAAGACTATAGAGGTAATAGAATATAAGTAATACTTCTTCTTTGGTTAAGAAACAACAATAGGCCTTTCCTTTTTGAATCAATTAGACAGCGTAATCATAGAGTTTACCGAAGTTGTCTGATGCATGAGTAGTCTTGAAAGGAGTGTATCCAAGGAATCTTAAGTTCTCTTTGATATTATCTATAAATTCTTGGCATTCCTTTTCTGGATTGGTATCATCAAATCTCAGATAAGTGACTCCTTTGTAGTGTTAAGCCAATCTAAAGTTGAAATTGATTGATTTGGCATGACCAATGTGCAAGTAACCATTTGGTTCGGGGGGGAATCGTGTTAAGACTTCGTAAGGGAAATTCTACTTTCTCCAATTCAATAGTTATTCACTATTAACAGTGGTGGCAAGATCTCTTGCGACTAACTTTGAGATATCGAATTTGCAATCATCTTCCTCCTCCACTTACTATTAAACTTCTTATTATTATTGTTATTGTTATTATTATTATTATGGCTTCTTCACTTGTGTTTTGGCTGCCTTCAAATCTTCCTCGGTCTTAGGTCCAAGTATAGCTTCTATTTGTTGATTGAGTTCTTAGGTCAATAACTTTCCTTCGGCAAAGGGTAGGAGTGATCTTACTTACTTTGTGTATTCAGAAAAATTATAAGTATATCGGATAGTCTTCAAGTCCTTTTTAGACTGAAGAAATTCAGCCACTGTGTTTTTTATTTATTCTGGAGTCACGACTATTCCTACACCAGCTGCCTTCTCAAAGTCTTGGGCAGGAATTTATTCCAAATGAGTGTGTGTTCTTAAGTATTCTATACCGCCTTCCAACTGCAATTTGTTGGTAATCTTTCCTTCAACTATATATTTAGCCAAAAGAGCTCTTCTATTGTCAAGGGCCTCTGTTAGATTTTAGGACATCTCATATAATAAATTTCCAATCTATGTAAAAGAATTATAAATACTTTCTTATCACATTCCTAAACCCCAACCAAATCAAGAGTCTAAAGAATTGATTTCAATGCATTTTTTCCTTTGATGGTGTTCTTGATTGTTGTTTCATCAAGTCCAATCTTCTAAAGTCGTGTTTAAGCTTCTTCCATTTTGAGAGGATTCACAAAATTATTTAATTAAATTTTAAATAAATCTTAAAATCAGAACACACTATATATTATGCCCTTCCTACACAGTTAACGCATCAATAACTATCTTTGTCATGCTATATCTTTTTTATTGTCTCAATTGACCTGCAAATAAATGCTGATATCCAAAGCATGAGTATTCCACGAGAGTATTTCTATTTATAATGTACAAAAAGACATATTTTTGGCCTGCATAAGCCTTCTTATATATTCAATGATTAACCAAATTAATTGGTATTCAATAGTGTAAGTAAACCCATATGAGTTAATACTATTGAATCGAATGATGTTAAGAAGAACCCGAATAAACTCTGAGATTTATTTTTGTAGTATATTTTATTAATGACATGTATCCATTACTATCTTAGTATTCCATTTCAGCAAAATACACTAAACCTTCCCCTCATAGATAAGTAGAATGTACTGGTTCCGCTCATACTATTATGATAGTCATCCCTGGAGTTGAGTAAATTCCTGATCTAATTGGCAATATTACATAAGATTAAACCGATTCTCCTACAGAACCATAATTGTTATCCTACTGGAAGACCAAAGAACTCAACCTAGATCATAATTTTATATAATATGTTATAGTCAGTCAGTGAATCTCATTAATAACTACTAAGATAAACTTCAACAAAATAAAGATTGAAAATTTAAAGTGCATTTTCCTTGTTAATTAATACACTGCAAATCAGATGCAGTTGTTATTATTATAGATGCATTTAAAGTTATTAAGTTCATCTAGATATTTAGTTCCATTAGATGTTAATAATTTATTTAACTATATTTTTAAACAACTTAAGCTGTCAAATTTATTTATTGATATGTTAGAGAGAATCTTTTAAATCAACCAATTTATATGAATTATGTTATAAAATTACTTCCTCAAATATAAATCATTAAATAAAAGGAAAAACATTAGGTGAAAATAGAAACTCAGACATCGGACTATTCATATCTATAAATGTTTCCTACAAATACTCCATCGAAGGTTTATAGCCAAAAAGAACTGAAATAAAAGTGGATTTAAATCTTTATTAGGTTTCATTCTCATGAAACTCTTTTAATACCACAAAAAGCTTTTTATTGAACAAATAAATACATCAACCATCTTTCCAATTTTTTATGCTATTAATAGTTGGATTTAACATTAAATTCTCAACTATTGCTAAATAATTTATTATTGCTCTTATAAATATTTCAATTTCTCTTTGAGAAGAAAGTTTTATTCTGCAAATCCTGCTGCATTGAATTACTGATCCGAATTTTAATTTGTTTGGGTTCCTCTCCTTATTTTCAATAAGTCTTTACTAAAAGTTAATAATCTCATACAATCGCCCTTTCTTGAAATTCTGATGGTAATACTCTTTGGTATTTCTATCGTTTTTCCTCATCTTGAATCCGTATAAGGATAATTGTCTTAAAAATGAATGTACATTTGTTGTTCTAAAATATTTTTGGAGAATTCTAGTTTCGAATTCGGAATTTCTTTAAAAAGAAAAAGCTTATCCATTATCTACCCAATACACCAAACATTATAAATTAGGATCCTATGACTTAAATTTAAGATACTTCTAAGATTTCATACAAATTGAGAATAAATTTCTTTGGATTTTTCATTTTTTAAATTAATACTTTAGGAAATTAAGAATTGAAGATAGTATATTGCTAAGATAAATAAATATTAAATAAGAATTAATTGAAAATTGATAATTTGTAATTCCCAAATTTCTAGGAGAATTAATACTAATAGAATAAAGACTTATTTATTATAAAAGTTCATACTTTTTATTGAAATGGTCAAATGAATTTTATTATATATTTTAGATTATATTGTATTTTTTGTCATCCAAATAGTTTTCAATAATTAATTAATAAATTTTTAAAAATAATTTAACAATTTATAAGAGTATTGCCCATGTGTTACAATTTTCATCATAACTTTTATTGAATGAACCAGTTAAACCTATTTGATTTTAAGAGTAGCATTCATATTTTGATAACATATTTGAATCTTTAATTTATATTCGATAATGTTCCTGAAAAAGTTAATACTTGTAAACTAATTATTTAATGATTTCTTCTCCTATTAATTTAGGTTTAACTGCAAATGTCTTTCGCTGAAATAATAAATGAATATTTTCAATACCTATTTTTAAATTCAATAATGCTAGTTTATAAGTCTGTTTTAAAGTTGATGTTTAAAGAATGTAAGCCTTGAAAATTCAGAATTTATTACATATATTGAAAATTTAAAATAATAAGTCAACTAAGAGGATTAAAGACTAATAATGATTGAAGCATATATTAATTAACTACTAACTCTTATAAATCATGAGAGAATTGGCTAAAAAGATATCAGCTTAGGTATATCTATGGTGTATGTGAGATGAATTGGAAACTATGAGGAGAGAAATTTGAAACTATGAAATAGAATAAACTAAGAATTTGGAAGGGGAATGGGTATTTACAAATTGAACCTACAAAATTTCTCTTAAAAAACCCTGTTCAATCCAAAATCAAATGATGAATAAGAAGGATTGAATAAGATTAGGAAATAGAAATGACATTATAAAGTTGATTATATTAAACAATAATTTTATGATCAAAATATCACCGGATCCAACTCTCTATAATACCATAAAGCAAGATAACGAATAATAAACAAAGCAGCACCTAATGTCAAAACTGCAGGACTGTTGAAATTAAGAAGACTAACATAAACAAGACTCAAAAATGAAATGACAGTAGCAGTTGACAAATCATACTTGCAAGCATCTACCCAACCATAATAGACAGCAGTTGCCAAAAATCCAATTGCCACACTAATTACACCCTCTTTGAACTTGGCCAAATATATATTCTTTCTGAAATTACTCCAATGAGGCAACAATCCCCAAATTTATAAAACTGAAGGCACAAAAATAGCAACCCAACAACTTACACCTCCATATATGCCCATGCTGTGAGTGCCTAAGAAAATAGCAAAATTTAAATAAGGACCAGGCAAGGCTGCTGCTAAACCAAAGCCTAACCAAAACGCATCAGCATTTATATATAAAGGATTTAAAACGGTTTCTGCATACATAAAAGGTAAAGTAATAGGAGTGCCTCCAATCATAAATGTTCCGATATTGTAAAATGAGAGAGACAAATCTAAAATCATGGATTAATATTATGAATTGAGATACAGCAATAATAGGAGTATAACAGAATATAAGTGGAAGGATTTATTTCCAAATAATTAACTTATTTTGTGACTATTTTTTTTATTAATTAATTTTGGATCATTAATAACTGCAGGAGTGGCAGTGTACTCTTTAACAAATGTTCTTCTGCCAATTGTATTTTCTGCATCATATTCAACCATAATTGTAATTATTCCCCCCATCATCATAGTCAAAATCAACACATACGGTTATTGATATGCAACAAATAATGCTGCACTCAAGACTGATAAAGCAATGTGCATCTTATTATTAATAGATTTTGCTGCCATTGAGATCAACAGTTATAGAATTAATGCAACTGTACTTGATTTTATGCCCTGAATAGCCAGAAAGACAAGAATGTTGAGATCTCTAGGATCAGGGTACTTACCATACCAATAACCTAAAATTGTTAGTATCAATGCTCCAGGCACTGTATATGCCACTAAAGCAGTGATTCCTCCCAGCGCATTTTTTTTTGAGATTGTTCCTAAAGCCACCATCATCTGTGAAGTTGTTGCTCCTGGTATGAAATCAACCAACGATACAATCTCCTCAAATTAAGGTTCCTATTGGAATGATAATCCTTACTGAAACAGCCTTAGTTTGTGTCACAAAGACATTCCTGAATTCTTAATAATTACTGGCACTTAAAGTTTGGACATCGATCAAGGCCAAGGTAACAGCTTATTTGAATAATTCCAGATAGGTCAGAGTTTGGGAATCGTCGATCAACAAAGAAAATTTTGGTTGTGTATTTGGCACCCCCAAAGTTTACATTTCAATCATTTTAATAAATTAATTAATCAATTATTAAGCATTTTGTGCATCATACCATATTTTATTAATTCTCTTTCCGCTCTTGTATATCCAAACAATGCAGCCAACACTTACAATGCTTCGACATTAAATCTAATATATTTCATTATCATTACCGTGCCAGATAATTCTTGTAATCAATTTCTTTAACTAACCTTTGCAATTCAGTTTCTTCAAATTTTCTAAATAGTCCCTCCTTAACCTCTATATCTTTTTGTATTTGTTGATACTCCTTTATTAGTTTATCCTTTTCAAAATTGTTCAACTCAGTAAAAACTATCGATTATTCTTAATTGGCTTCAGATTTGAACATCCTGGCTATTCTTCTTTAAGCTTCATTGTAGATGATATCATTTAGTGTTTCTTTGCTTTAAAATATATGAGTAAGAGTTTATTAGACCAGCTTATTTTCTGTATCACTCAATCCTTGTATCAATAGAGATACTTGAGATTCTTACTGTGATTTAATCTATTCTATATGTTATTTCTTAATGTCCATTGAATCAATTTAAGAGAAATGATTTTTCGATAATAAAGATACTATGGAATTGTTCCCTGTGTCAATTGAAGAATCTCTATAATTACTGAACAATTAATGAGCCTTTTTAAACAAATCATTCAACTCAATTGTCTTTCTTGTTTTAGTGATTAAGAAATCTCTTGCTTTGCTATCCAAATATGGTGGAAAATTTGCTTCAGCTATCTTCTCTCCTGAATCCCAAACTGCCTTAATTATCCAAGATAAACCTTGTGATCTACAATCCAAACCAATTTTAAGCAATTCTAGTAAAAATCCTTAAATTGATTTTAATAGTGCTTTATTATTCTTATTCAATTTAGAGTTCTCCTATTCTAATTTTTCAATTTAAATTGCATTTAACTTCATTTATTATTGAAATTTGTTGTAATTATCTCTCATTTAATCTATTTGACTTTCCAATTCATTCTATTTAACTGCAATAACCATATAATTGTCAACTTGACTAGCATTATTTTTAATATTGGGTGAATTTGATGACTATTAAGGTTTCTTATTTATTCCTCTCAATTCCTCTTATCTTTCTTTGATCTAAAATTAAACCAAATATTTACGAAATCCTAAATGGCCCTTAACTTTTTATGAATTTCATGATTCTCCATTCTCAGTGTTTCAAGATCTTTTTCGTTCTTTTTTACAGTGTTTTTTTACCTCTCTAATCTTGAGTTAATTGATAGTAAAATTTAGTTCGTTTATTTTTCATAAAATAATGCTCGATCACTTGCATTTTAAAATTAAGTTAATTGCATTTTAATTAATGTATGTAAACTATTTTTTAAACCTTCCACAGTATAGTCAAATATCAGAGTTCCATCGTGTTTTTCCTCTCCTTGTTGTTTGGCTCTTGCTAATTCAATCTATGCCAATTCTTGCTGCGTCAAAGTCGAACCCTATTACATATACTTATCCAATTGCTTAGTCAATGAATGATCTTGATGAAGCATTTCGATCTTCTTGATAGCTGATATCTTTTGCAAGGAACCCATCAATTTCTATTTGAATACACTTTGTTCGCCTTCCTACTTTGCAGACTCAACTATTAATTTTGGAAAGGCTGGAATTCCTTGCACTGCTTTGGATCTGTCATTGAGTCCACCTCTTCTCAATAATTAGAGTGATTGTGATTTTTCTTAGAATTATATTTTAGCAAGTCCTAATAATAATTCAACAGCATTTATACTTTCTTTCTCCTATTCCTACTTCAATTTCTCCTGTTCTTCCTTCCACCTCTTTTTTATTCCTTTGTACCAAGTATCCAAGTTGGCAACCAATTGATCATCACTTTCAGCTTTATATTATTAATTGGCTTTGAACTGCTCCTCTTGATGCAATTTCTTACGAACCGTCTTGGTATTGTTATCAGGGTCTTCTTCAAGTTTCTCATAACTTGAATATTAATATAATATAAATATACATTTCTTATAGTAATAATTTGGCACCAGGCTCATTTGACAAACGAGCTCTTAATTTATTTTCCAAATCAGTTCTCCTTACCTTCTGGTGCAATTTAACAGGTTTCTTTGTTGAATCCTTAAGCGAAGTAATCATCTCATCTTAATCAGGCATAACAATATCGTAAAACTGTATGGTGTTCATTTCATCATTCAGTATTTTTTTACGCATATCTTGCATTACTAGACTTTCAATTTCCAGATGATTAGTAGGTCTATGTCTAGTCCTAATTACTTCAGGGGCTGATTAAAGATCATTCCTTTTTATTTTTTTTTTATGCATTTATTTATGAGAATTAAAATACTTATACAATTTTATTCCCTCATTTCGAATATATTATATACTCAATATAAATATAACCTATAAACCATTTATAGTTTTATACATAATCCAATAATGTAATTAGATACATTTATTTCAATTCGTTTAATACCAATATTTCAGTTTTTTTTTTATTTATAAATATTTTATCCTAAGATATTATTATTTCAATTATAGGTTTAAAAGCAAATATCTAAAATGGTTGCATGTTGAATTAAATATATAAAATGTATTATTCATTATTATGAGCCACTAAATCTCACTAATTCTTATTCGTCAACAGCTTCCTTTTATTTATAAATCCCAGCCCAAAATGAATCTTGCCTTGCAATCTTTTCCTAATTTTCTACCCACTTATTGAGATTGTGTTCAAACACTTTAACCTTGTTTAATATCTCCGTGGCTGGATCACTAAAGAATTCCCTTATGATTTCTGCCTGGACAGCTTCCAATCCCCCTATTAAGGCGCCTATAAGAATTATGCTCAACCAGAAGTGAGGTGTGCCCACCATGGTGAATGGAGTGTATTCCATCAGAGTTCCAGGCCAGAAATTAGAAATGATCACGTAAATGACGTAGAGTAGAATGGACAGAAAGGTGATGCTAATAAAATTAAACCATGTCCAGAATTTGGTATGGATGGCTATTTTGAGGTCAGCAATCTAAAATAGATAAATAGAGTGTACCAAGATGATGCAAGAATAGACTGTCAATGAGAATGGTGCCAAACTGCTTGAATCTCCATTATCTTGCACGATCTCATAATCAGTAATCCAAAGTACAAAGAAAAATATAATCATCCCATGAACTAAACCATTGAAAGCCCAAACCATGTAATTGGGAATAGTGAAGATAGTTTTGTTTTATCCCACATAATAGAGACTCGGAAATTTAAGTCTTAAATATTATTCTTATTTCCTCTGCACATTAGCCACTTCCTCTTTCTAGTCATACTAACAATATTATCTATAATTGATGTCCTAATCAAATGTGCCCCTCATTATAAGTGGTAATGCTGTAAAGATAAGATTATAGAAAGTGATATACCAATCATCAAAGAAAGACTATCCTGAAAAGGCACAGAAATATGAAAAGAAGAATTGGGGCACAGTGAATATCATGTTTTTGTAAAAGAAATACAACACCATCTCTGCAATTCTAATGTAATTCCAATGTCCATGTACTAGTAATAATCTCCATAAACATCTGAATTCTCCCAAAGCAAAATCACTACTTTAAACTGCTCTCATTCCCTCATTTCCATATAGCCCAACTCCAATATGAGCTGCCTAAATCATGTTGACATCATTGGCTCCATCTCCAATAGCCAAAGTGATCTTGTTCAATCTGTCCTTAATTAATCTGACAACATCAGCTTTCTGCTTAGGAGTTACTCTGCAACAAACAATACTTTCACAATCCTTTGCCATACTAACAAAGGCCTAAGCTAAATCTTCATTATCTATTACAAATTACAAGGATGATCCTTCAACTACTATTGACTACAATACTATATTTAAATACTTTTTTCCTATTCTCCTTTATACATAGATCATATGTATCTTAGATATCTCCTAATTTCTTTTTGCATTCCTCAACTGACGGCACTGCCAATCTCATCACTGTAAAATCGCCTTAAATCAACCTACAACTCTTAGCTATGTTCTCTGCTGTCTCTAATTTATCACCAGTCAACATCCACACTTTTATGTTTGCCTTTAACAAGTCAGCAATAGTCTCTGGCACTAAAGGCTATAATTTATCTTCAACAGCAGAAGCACCCAATAAAGTTAGTTATTTTTCCAAATTACTTGTTAGTTTTTCTATTTTTAATTAACAAAATACCTAATTCACTTGCTCTGGTGTCATTGTCTGGTAAATTATTATAAGCATGATCAAATTCTTGATATTCTTCATGAGATAACACTCTTGTAGCCATGAGGAGACATCTTAATCCAATTTTGCTGAAGTCATCCAAATAATTAATAATCTCATTTAGAAATGGTTGATCAGGTAATAGTCTATCTTTTATGATATTATCTGCTCCCTTGATATATAATTTGATGACTCCGTTATCATTTATTATTACACTCATTCTCTTACGAGTGGAATCAAATTCAAATGATTTAAGCAACTTCACTTTTTTTTCTTTGCCCAAGATCTTGAAATTCTACTCACTTGCAGATGCACCAGTAAATTGAAATCCTAATCTGGCTGCTGCATCTACTAGAGTGATCTCGTCTGGAGAGGGACCCTAATAGGATGCATTCTAATTCTTATCATATTGAATGATGCATTCATGAGCAGAAGACAACAAAAAAAAGTATTCTTCAATTACGTTTCGCTGTTTAGATAGAGTCACTTTTTGTTTGCCATCCTAGGATGCAATATTAAGATTTATCGGCATATCGCCTGTGGATCCTTCGCCTTTGAGAATGGCACTCAATTCAGCATCTTGGAAATTGAAGACTGAATGCTGGAACACCTCACTTTCAGGATGTACTTTAGTGGTTTGCTGTCTTTTTAGATCTACATTATATACTGGATTGTTTGTGTTGGATTATTCCTTGCCGTAGAGTACGTTGCCAATAATACAATACTTGAATTCCATTTGATTGCAGGTCAAAGTTCCAGTTTTGTCAGAGAAGATATATTCCACTTGTCCTAACTCTTCATTAATGGTTGTAGTTTACACTTTAGCGAATTTGTTCCTCTGAGCTACATACATCTCCTCGTCTTATTCAATAAAGTAAGCTTGGAACACTTTAACGAATTCCAAACTAACTATCAATGATATAGGGATCATTGTATTATATAATAAAATATAACTGAAAAACGCATAAAAACTGAGCAAGTTCGGTTAAAAGTCAGTGTATTCCAAATACCAACTGTCGCTCCCATAATTATGGAGCCAAGCCGATGAAAAGGAAGCTGTGATGATCGACAAAGTGATTTGCACCACCAGAATCCCCAAAATAAGAATGTTCATAATTCTTTCGATTTCACTCGACTTTATTCTTGAGGCATCAGCATTCCTCATAATTTTAGTGTCCTATCCTGTATAAACAACTAACCCTATAATCCATTCAGTATTTCTGAGGAATGCACCTCTTAACAACAATTACTTAGCTGTTAACTAAAACTTTTTCTACTAACCATTACCAATTGGCAAAAACAAGGAAGCGTCCAATTCATACAGATTTTAAGTGGGAACCTATGCTTCAACGCGTATCGCATCTTCGCAATAAGTTTCAATTTCCTTATAGAGTTCCTGACTCTCTAAAATAGCACTCTTTGGTTTTAAATTTTTCTCTCCATCCAATGAAGATGTCTCGATGTAGCATGCCCCACTTGGAATTTAACTCGAAAGCACTATGAGATCTGCAGGAAAACTCTCGTCCTTCTTCACCAATACATAATCTCCCACTGCTAACTCTGCCCATGTTGAACTATCTATTGTGTTATTTCATTACATTGTTGGCACTCTTGATTTTAGGATGATGCATTCCGTTGAGTTTACTTCATTGTCTGAAACATGTCGTCCATAGTCTTCCCAACCTAACATCTTATGTCATTTTTATTTACCTTCACGAGCCATTGACAATCCCAGCACAAATACCAATGGAGCTATCGCACTGAAGGGGTTGAGCGTTGAGAGCACTGGAATGCACTAAATTATTGCGATGCATAAAAAGTAAATGTTTGCGTATCGAGTAAACTGTAGGAGTAACGATTTCGGTAGAAAAGTTACCACATTATATCTACACTTCACATTATTACTTACCTTGATGTTTTGATGAAATTCGATGGAAATTCCTCTAACTCTTATAAATTCCTTTCGCATTTAAAATTCCCTACAATCTGACGAGGAGCATTGAAAGTTTCGGGTCTCTTAGACCAAAACATTTAATTATATAGTTTATAATAATAATTAATTAGTCAAAAATTCTCACTTTCTCAATTTTCAATCATCTCTTGAAAATCTCATTTGAGTTCTCTCATTTGTGTATTCCTATAGTAACGATGCGTTAATTGTTAATTTAATTAATTTCTTAAATTAGTGTTGCATATTATGTATGTTTTGGTTATACAATTTATCTCTCCCAATAAGCCTCTTGTTGAGTAATGAGTTTGTATTGAACGTACATTAGATGTACCGTTTTTGAACCAATTAAAATATTAACGAAAGAAATTCTTTTGATTATTTCTAATTTGTATCTATAAATATAATTCATTTAGTTTTAGGTGAGTAACCAGCAGGACTTCTGACTCCTGTTAGATTTGGCTCATAATAACTATTTGATTCTTGCTTGTCAAAAGAGATATCTTTTGCTTGATAACTTTCAGTTTCAATTGTTTCCAATTTTCTTAAAATTTTATCCTTCAGCATCGCCATCTTGCTTATTTGGGCATCTTGAGGCAACTTCTAAATTATAAGAATCAATTTATTGAGTTTTGTTAATGAGTAGTTTTTTATTTGATTTATTTTCTAAAAATATTTCCAGTCAAACTTACATCAGTTATATCCTGCGTTTCTTTGAACAATTTTTGATTGCGATCCATCTAGAATCTAATCTCATTCAATATTCTCTGCTGATCTGATTAAATTTAGACCAGCTACTTCCTCATCTTGTCGTGTTCATTCAGATAGGATTCTGATTAGAATTCTTTGGTCAAGGTCTCCAAACTCTGCTTTATGTCCTCCTAATTGCGACGCTTAATATTAGCCAAGTTATTTCTACGATAAATAAGTTCATTCTTACTTAACTCCTTTTCTGAAGAGGGAATGTTGGAACTCATTCTTCCCCTGATTGTTTTTCAATTTCTTAAATCCATACATATTGAGCTGTCTATAATATGTAGATCTCAATATCAACCTCAAGAAACTCTAGAAATTACGATGTTTAAAGTATTGAGGCAGAATCTGATCTGTCAATTACACAGAATCTTGGATCTAAAATGTCGTTCCCTCCTTATTCCAACATATTGCCGCTTATTCAGACTCAAGAATAGCGGTTAATAAATTACTTCTAAAATCTCATACAGTTTCATTAGAAAGGATGGGACTTATTTTATGTCTTCCATGATTTAATAATTTTTTTAGAATTATTATCATTCCAAAATTCAAGATTACATCAATCTCATATTTAATCAAAATCCTTTATAGGTTTATCAAAAATAAGTCTCTCAATATCCAATTCAAAGTTCTCAAAAGATTGGATAATATCTTTGAGATAGTCCTTGAATATATTATTGTTGCTATTCGTAAACTTCATCATTAAATCAAAATTCAATATAATTTATTTTTAAGAATTTCGCATTTTTCTTAAATCCAAAATGTTTCATCTATCATCATCAAACTATATAGAATCAGCCGCTTAAATGTTATTGTTCATATCTGAAGTAGCCTAACTCATTTCTACTGCCTTTCTTTTAACTTTTGCTTTTCTTTTTGAAATATCCTAGATTGGCTAGATTCTTAATTAAATATATGATTAAATATCATAAGCTATTTACGATCTTTCAAACTATGTTTGATAAATTATAATTTAACTTCAATTTCTAAAATCACTTCAAATTCTTAAATAAAAATTAGATTATCCTTATGTTCAACATAATTTCTATTCATTTAAATGCGAAACAAGTTATTTATTAAAATACTGTTTTTTATGGTTCTGTAAATGAGTATATTAATATTTTACAATTTTTGCAATATCTATTAATATTAATTTTTCAAAATTATTTATTTAGTATTTTTAGTCAACTTAGAATTTATTGTTATATAGAATATATAAGAATTTTCTATGAAATTATCAATTTCTAAAAGAGACATTTTACGTATTATATAATATTCGCTTAAAAACATTTAAATGTTAAAACAAATATTAAATGAAATAAATGAATTTGAATTTAAAACATAAAGAATAACATCCAAATTCAAGAGATCAATCCATTAATGATTAATTTTATCACAATATAATATATATAATTAGTGATAAAATTTTTAATATTTTATAATAAATGTTACCAGAGTTTTCCATTTAAGCTGTTAAATTGTAAGCCAACTCTAGACAACCTAAACCAGTAAAGGTAATTAAGTAAATTCATCAAATAGTATGTACCCCCTAAGCCTAAGAGTCCTGCTTAAAAAAGGAGCTGTATTTAAAAGTTAATAAGTTTAGCATCATAGCAAAAACCCATAACAAAAGCCAAAACATCAACAGATAGACTTACTAGGAAAGGTTCGGAGGATTTCTAAGAACCCCAATAACAATAATAAGTGGTCACTATTGAAGCCCCATAATAAAAGATTATTGTGAATATGGATGAAAGATACCAATATTATGAGAATGAAGCAAAGAAGCGATAAAATGTCATTGATGTCTGTGACGGGGTGCAATTTTATAAGCCAGTCAAACCAGATGAAATGCCTAAGCCTCCTAAACCTAAAAAGTAAACATCTAAAATTGAAAATGCTAAATAAGTTTCACGAACAGAGAAATCAGAAAAACAATCAGTTTCCTCTGATTTACAACACTCTCTACATTAATCGAGATCTCTTTATAATCAAACAACTTCAAGAGAGCAGCAATAATCAACCTCTACTTTAATTGAAGAATGCTAAACACAATAGATAGCTGTGGATCCAAATTTCTTAGTTTAGGGAGAAGTCGATGGTTATTAAATCGATGAAAGTTAATCCTAAATGTTTGGTTTTGGATTGACTGATTATATTAAAAATAATGTAAGATCATCTTTAAATTAATAGAACCACAAAAAAGAACTTGGAGAGAAGGATGTAACTAATGAAGTTAAACCCTAATCAGAATCTGTTTATACATATTATGATTACTATCCTCCTAATGCAAATGGAGAAATTCCAAAACCATTATTGGAGAGTGTGAATTATATGAATTACTTAAAAGAGTAATAAGCCTTATAAGCTCAACAAGCCTAGGAAGCACAATAATAGCAATAGTAATAATAGTAATAATAGTAATAATAATAATAATTCAAAAGTAAATGAATACAAATTTAACTTTTAAATTTTACATACTTTTCTTTAACAATTGTACTTTATATATTAATCATTTACAAAATACTTAAATTCATCAACATTCTTCCATTGACTCTGAATCTGCAATTATTTTAGTTAGGGGCTCGAGAAATTAAGAGGCTATCTTTTCAACAGATGGGTGTTTGAATACTTCCAGTATCAAGGTTGTCATATACTAATTTTCAGTTTCTAAATGTTTAACCTAATATTACTATATAATCTTACTTTTTTTTATAGTTTATTAAATTCATCCTATAATGGTCCTATTTTCTCCAAAGCTTCTCTCTTCTTTTTTTATGATTCTTTTGCAGAATTTCTATTTCTTCTTATGCTATACAGATAAATGATATAGTTTACCACTAGCACTTTTTACAATTGCATTCTTCCTCACCATTATAAACACACTTGCTTTTAAGTTTCTCAATCATTTTCAAATAGTAATTCGAACTGTTCTTGAGTTGCATTTCAGAAAATCCATTTTTGATGATATGTTCTAGATATTAACTTTCCAATTGCAAAAGCATAGGTAATATGAATAGAATCTAACAATTCATTTGCTTATGAACTTTGATTGTATTTGAGCTAAATTACAGTAAATCTAATTCCTGGGTTTCTTCATAGAATACTTAAGTTGCTTTTTTTAAGAATTCTTAAGTCGTAGCCTTAAAACTGCCCATAATTAGTAAATACTAAATGGTTATATGAAACATATACTTCCTAGAATATCTGATCATTATGTAATTTAGCTGTCTATTTAACACTTTATGCAACTAGATCCATAATTAAATTGCTTTTAGTGAAAAAGGTATTCAATGATTACGTGTATTTATTGAATTATAATAAAAACTAATCTTTAGTTAGCTATTGTTGTTATTGACTTAGCATGTTGAATGTGAATGTTGTCCAAACTTCATCTTGTTACTTCTTTATCATCTGATGTATTTAAGTAAATCCAATTTGCTGACTTACTGCTTATCCTTAAGATATTTTATAACTGTAGAGAGCTTTGAAAAAAATATCGCAAAAGTCATCTCGAAAAAGCAAGAAATTTGAAAGATATTTGGTACCTAATATAATGATGTTGTAAAACTTTGATCATAAATAATGACTTCTGAACGGAAAAGAAGGGCTACTGTCTAGAATAGAGAATAACTCATTGATATCTTTAATGGATTGTCCTTATAGGATGACACCAAATCTGCTACGATTTCTTTGTCTGCTTAACAATTCTCTAATCCATATATTATGAGGTTGCTCATGATTATCATAAAATATGGTAATTGAACTTCTAAAACATTTGTTAAATTGATGGTCTGTTTCTGAAGAATGATTTTCTAAAAGTAAGAGGTGACTGAATTTTGAACCTCAATTAAAGTTGAAGACTTGCTATTTGATTATTTAAAATATTACGAGACTTGTTAAGTTGGCTAGTGTTAGGTTTAACATTGTTGAATTATCTATAAAAGTTACTGTTTTTGTAAATACTAAGCAGATAATGAATTTAAATACTTAAACATTTTCTTTCTAACTATATTCTTCTTGTTTTACTTGTTAAGAAGATTCTTGGTGGGATTGGTTAATCAAGGCTTACAGATATATTTTTTGAAGAGGATTCATTAATAAATTAATAATCAAATCCATCTCGCCACTCTTCTTTGATTTCGGAGTAGTGCGTACTACCATTAAAGTTATTGAACATATTTGATTAAATATTAATACATTAATGCACTATTTTTACGTATTATTTATATATATATTAATAATTCCTAAATTATTTTCAATTTAATAATATTAAATTTGATTATTGTATTACATCTGTTTATTATTAAGTAATTCAAATTGCCATATTTTGGATTCGTTCACTTTACAATTTTTGGACAATTTTAAAATAATGATTGGAGTGATTATTTTTAAAAAGGCTTAAGCTAAATTAAATTAATTGTATTGATATGAAATTCTAATTTTACAATTCACTAGACAATGTCAAAAGCCAATCATTATTGAAGGAAATCAACGAATAGCTTTAACTACTTCAACTTTCTCTAATTGTATTTCGTTATTTAGAGTATTGTTCTAGTTTACTAATGCATTACCATAAAGGTCCTTAAAGTAGATTAGGTTTCTATATTGAATGAGACAAGCTATGTTTGATATTGATCAAAGTTATAGAGTAAATTAGAGTAATCTAGACTTAGAGAAGAGAGCATATTGATAGGAGAAGGAGGATTTTTAGTTGTCTATTTAGTATGTATAATCTTAATAACACTTATAAAAATAACAGAGAATTTAGAATTACAATATATATGTAAGATTATGTGTACAGAATTTAAAAATGCATTATCAATGACTTTATTCCTTTAAGGCTTCTTAATATATTCCATAGAATAAGGAGGCAGGTTGGTTTAATAACTCTTTAGTGGATCCAAATTCCTTAACCTCTCCTTTGTCTAGAACGAGAATCCTTTTGAAAATAGATAATATATGTACTTGTCACAATGAAGTATGGTGTTGATTCTATGAGCAATTGTGATGACAGTGCAATCAGCAAAGGCATTTTGGATGGTATCTTGAATCTTATGTTCTGTTTCAATATCTATATTGGCAGTGGCCTCATCGATTAGGACGATAGGACTTTTCTTGAGGACTGCTCTGGCGATGCAAACAAGCTGTTTCTCTCCGGCACTTAAATTGTCTCCGTGATCATTGATGTGAGTTTCTAATCCTTTTCTGGATTCAATCAATTCAGTCAGACAGCATTTGTTTATGGCTTGTAAGACTTCTTCATCAGTTCTTAGATTCAAAGGGTCAATATTATCTCTGATGGTACCACTGAATAATGTTGGATCTTGCATAATCATTGTAATTGATTCTCTGAGTTGTCTTAAAGAGATGGTAGAGATATCATGACCATCAATCAATAACTATCCATTCATAGCTTCTAAGATTCTTAAGATAGTTAAAGTAATGGTTGACTTTCCAGCTCCTGTTCTACCTACGATACCGACCTTTTCTCTTGGACTGATAACAATACTCATATTTTTCAAAGCCATAGGCAATCCTTCCCTATATTGGACTGAATAATTTTTATATTCTATTATCCCATTTTTAGGCCATTATGGTATGTATTGATCTCTATAAGCCTGGTTGTTTTGATATCTTTTAACTGCAGCTTCATACCCTTTTTCTGGTTTAACTCTAAATTACAATTAATGAATATATATACTTAGTATAAGCAACGCATCTTTCGAATGATATTAATCCATTCTCCACATGTCCCAAGCATTGGACTGTTCCATTGATATTTTGATCCAAGGTGGATGCATATGTCATCAATAATCCAGCATATGCAGGATTTTTTGTACTATAAAACATGCAAAATACAATAGCTGTGGTATTGACCATGAAACTTGATAGACCAAGAACTAATCCAAACCAAGCATTTGCAGCGATCTGTTCTAAGAATATCTTACGATTCAGATCTTGATTGTGTCCATGTTTATTCATGATTTAAGATTACCTCTAGAAGGCTCTGATTGTGGTGATTCCCATGATTGATTCTGAGAAATAACTCAAAATGGGACTTTTGCTGATTGCTTCCAGTCTGAAGAGTTCTCTACTTGCAGCCATGTATATTCTCTGAATTTTCCAACATAAGAAAAAGTAGACTACCATGGGAATGGCAACCCAGGGGGAACTTGTATAGATGTTTAAGAAGGTGTTGGCCAATAATAGAAATACTTGAACTAACATCCAATTGAATGTCCAATGGAGTTCTGAATCCAAAACATTCTAATCCTTGGTCAATCTGTTCATAATTCTACCCAAGGGAACTCTTTCAAAGAATTGACATTGTGGAGCATACATTAAGCAACTCACCATTTTGTTATGCATATTGTTGGCCTGATTGCAACTGACTATCACAAAGGCCCATGATCTAAGGAATGCCAAGATTCCATAACTCAAAGAGAGTACTGAATAGATGATCAAATAGAAATAGTTATTGGTTTCTACTTCGTTGATGAGATCCTTACTAGCCTATTGAGTCCAATGAGCCATCCATAATGATGAACCAACATAACACGCATCCCATAGAAACATCATGAAAATCAAGAATGCTGCGAAAAGGAAACCTCCAGTCAATCGAATGTAGGTGGTTAAGATGTCAATTGAAATCGACCCTTTATTCCTATCCTCTAACAACATAAGTTCATCAACTTCATCTTTAGCTTAAGGAGATGTGGGTGTTTCTTTCTAAGAGGATTGTTTTCTCTCCAATTTTAATTCAGAAGCAGAAGCTTGTTCAGCTTCATTAACTTGTTCTTAGGATTCCTCATCACTTTTGGCATCCTTGTAAAATTTCTGATAAACCTTTTTGAATTGCTCACTTTGTTTGATTTCAGCAAAAGTGCCTTATTCAGCAATAGTGCCATTGTCCATTAAATAGACATAGTCGGTGTATTGACAATAGTTGAGAGCATGAGTGACTAAGATTCTCGTTTTCTCTTTCAAATAGCCATTCAAACATTCATAGATGATAAATTTACCAACATGCACATCAACTGCACTGACGGGATCATCTAATAAATAAATATCGCAATTGCTATAAATGGCTCTAGCCAAAGAGACTCTTGCCTTTTGTCCTCCTGACAGATTGACTCCTTTTTCTCCAATCATGGTCTGATCTCCTTTGACTAGGATCTTGATATCATCCTTGAGACAAGAAAATTTGATGGCTTCATCATACTTGGTCTAATCGAAAGGCAATCCGAACAGAATGTTATCCTTGACTGTGGCATTTTATATCCAAGCCTTTTAACTCACATAAGCAAAAGATCCATTAATTTGGATTCTTGGTTTATCTTCTTTGTAAATCATTTCACCCAACAAAGCTTGAATTAAGGACGATTTTCCAGAACCAACATCTCCAACAATGGCTACAAATTGCCCTTTTTCAATTCTGAGATTGATGTCTTTCAAAATATGATCAGATTCAATCTATGGCAGTGGTTCTACTTTCTATCCTTTTGCAGGAGGAGTCTAAGCTGGTTGTTAAGGTTATTCCTTGTATTTTGACCAGTAAAAGGTTCCTTAGTCTACTCTGATGGCAATATCATTATCAATTTCTGTTCTCATGACTTAGGAGTTCATTTGAGATCTGGAATCATTAACAGTCAATCCTTTTTGGTACATTAAATCTAATTGGGATTGACTGGAATTGGTGATGCAATCTCTCATCAATTCATTTGTTAATAGGAAACTCTGCACTCTTTTAAAGGAGATATTGGCTTCGATCAAAGCATTGAGAGCCATGGGTAAAAATAGAAGTGGTCCTTGAAGACTCTAAAATAAACTGATGATGGCAAATGTATTGGCTGGAGTAAGATTATTTCCAATGGCCACGTAGATTATAAAGGTGGCATTTAAAATTAACATAGGACTCAACCAAACTGATAAGATATTCAAACAAGATGCAAAGAATCTAGTTTTTAAAGTCTTAATTTCTTGATTTCTCAATTTAGTGAGTTTTGTTCTGAAATACTCTTCATAAGCATTGACCTTGATAAATTTGATCTATTAAAAGATTTCATTAGCACAATTGGTTCTCTTGTCTTTGTCCTTCATCATCAAAATTTGATACTCGAACATCTTCTTGCCTACAAAAATATTAAAGAATGCAGTCAACAATATCACTCCCAATCCACCCAGGAATGCCACTCCTATAAATTTGAACATCATATAGATAGATATGGCGATTTGCAATGGCATCAACATAACTTATGACATATACCATCCAAACCATTATAACTTCATCGCGTCCACTTACATGTAATTCAAGACCTATCCACTTGTGTGTTCTTTGTTGCTCTGATATGAAACGTTCATGCTCTTGCCCAATAAGGCCATCGATAAAATACCCATCCAATCATACCCAACCACTCTCTAAAAATATATATTATGTATCATTACTATCTAATAAAACGAATGCTGCTGACAGATCACTGATATTATTCTCACTCCTATAATGCTGAAAATCAGAATTATTCCTTCCTAAGTCTCTTTGTCTTCCTTCATCAAATACTATATAGTCCATTTTATCAATAGTGGATTCAACAAAGAGGTCCCAACAGTAAACAACATCACTATGAAAACAAAGATGCATTATCCCATAGACACCCCAATCAATGACCAAATCAAACCATTCTTCTCGTTTTTTCTCTTTTCAAAATGCTTCATGAATCTGTAATACAATTATTCGCTGGTATCCTCAAATCTAAGATCCTCGATCATATCATTTTCCAAAGTCACTTTCGATGCAATCTAATTTAGAATTCAATTATACTTCTATTGTACCATAGACCCAAGCGAAGAACAACTGCGATATTACTCCCGCCCTATTTCGCCTTGATTTCTTGACCAATCTTGTAGCATCTACTTCCCCTTCATTCAATAAAGGAGCGTTCAAACTAACACTGGATGAGGCTTAATTCATATTAGAGAATTTCTTATTTCTTTAAATATAATGTTTCTCAAATTAAAATTTTCTTTTATAATCCCATATTCTGACTATATCCAAAAATATTTCTCCTTAAATTTATGGTCGGTCATTACATATTGTGTGAATCTCCAATTCTCAGCCATCCCCCTGATTCCAAGTTAGAAATCACTTCCTTGTACACATACACCATAATACATCATTCACATCCAACATTTTTGATGATTAGATATGAATTACTATATTCAACTTTGTTCAATAATAAATTAAGATCAAACTCAGAAATTTATGAACAGATACAACCATTTGCCACAACATAAAAATTTAAAAATATATATACATTCGCTTTTCTAATTTAATAACATAAATTATTTTAATTTTCCTCGTTATGTGACACTACTTCTAATACAACGCGATTAAGAACCTTGAAAGTAAAGGAGTGTAGAGAATTTCTAATTTAGAAAAAACAAAATCTTCAATATTTTCTTAATAATTTCAGATAGAAATGAATTTACAATTTAAAAACGTGATTACAAGTGGTGAATATTGCTGAGGACAATATGTCTGGCCTCCAGAATGGGATGAATTATAAAATATAAACTATTAGAATTATGTATTAATATATATATCCATCTTATTAAAAAATAATAAAAATTGTGACCTACAATATAAACAAATTAAACTTTTGTTAAATTATCTGTATTTTTATTAAGTAATTTAAAAAAATGAAATAATAAACACTCTGTGCTACCAAATGTATTGGCCAATTAAAATTAAGAACACAACTTGTTATTATAGTTTCTATACAAGTGGTAATAATTGTGTCCTATGTTCTTGCGCTCAATTTGATTCACCATTCTCTCCTCCTTAATTACCTCTCGGAGGTGTCAGATTACCTATTCGAACAAAATTCAGATCATTTGCTATCCAACATGATGAGAGAGTACTACGAGCATTTTAATCAGGTCTTCAATTTAAGTAAACCCCTTGTTAATATTTTAGATGGCAATGCTTTGGTTTCATTCCATAGATTGTATCATACATCCAAAAATCAAGTGCTACTCCATCCTCTAGAAATCAATCCCATCTATTAAATGAAATACGGAGGTACAACCAAAATCCCAGACCCACTCAGAATCATCAAGGGATATGGCAACTATGATATTTCCTATTCTTTTATGTGTTATTCTAATCTTTCATCCTACAACCAGCCGAAAACAATAGAAGAAATAGTGGGAATCAAATTACAAGAACAGCTCCAGGCAGCCGCATAAATTTTTTATCAAGGAAATTTAATTAATTAGTCCTTCTTATACTCTTACATCATCAAAGAAAAGATCAACTCCATATACCCATGTCTAAACCGAGATAAAGCAATTTATCAATACGTGGCCGAAAATCGCGATTGGTACATCGAATTAAAAAGAAATTATTAAAGTAAATCAATTTATGATAAGTACAATTACACATTCACTCAACCATATTTATGTATCAATTTCCTCCTTAAATTTGCATAGTGTACACCGACAAAAAGATTGGACTTTCCATGACACTCCCAATTGTGGATCAAGAATTAAAGTTGATTGGCGGAGTAGTCTCCAACTTTTTGGGCTCTTAAATAATAGAAATGCTCAAAGTGAACTCCTTTGGGTTTCAAATAATTTATCTTGTATCAGAAAAAGGCGTTATGATTATGCATCCTTACAAAGTGACTGTAGAATAACTGCCTCTTTACATATACAATGAAAGCATCACTGGATTCAATCAGACAGACTGGGAATATATCTAAAATTTAAATAATGAATCTACATGTCCTTAATTTGTTGAAATTTCATCGTTCCTTCGATGCAGATTCAACTCTTATTATAAACAAGAAATGATTATAGGCACAAGGGAGTTTCCGTAATTTAAGATGAAGCTCATTATGTAACCCTATTGAAATGAATATACTTTAGGTTGCTGAGTAGTTAAGAGTACTTGAAATTTTATGACGATTTCCGATCAACTTTAGAGTAACAGTTGCATAAAACAACTACTAGTCATATAATTTGGCTATTTGCCTTATTTGTAGCTCTTTGCTTTATGATTGTTGTGGTTACATAAATATTGTTTAATCCAATTGATATAATAAAATAATAAGCCATACATTTAATCATTTAGCAAAGAAAAAGGAGATAGTAAATCTCATAATTAGCAGAGGTTCTAATGAGTGATGAAATATCATCCTTGGTTCAGGCCTATCAGATTGTGATAAATAAGTTGGAGTCATTGTCATTAACAAAAACTAGTCTCTGCAAATAGATTGAAGACATCTAATACCCGACGAAGCAGCCCTCCGCCACTCAATCGGAAAATAGGCAAAGCATTTAAGAAACCAAAAAGTTTCAAGCCTTAAAATTTCAATATTTAAAAGATCTTGGTACCAATTAGTAATTTGAACGTGCTGCAATTTCAATTATTAGAACTGTGCTTAATCAAAAAAATACTAATTTCCTCTTATATTGAATCTTAAGTATTATTTTTAATTAATCTTAAATTGCAAAAGATTTCTTTTGAATAACCCTAAATTTCTGTGGCTAGATTAATTAATTTAAAATTTCCTAATATTAATCATTAGTATCATGCCTAATAAATCTTTTGAGAGAAACATATTCTGTATTCAATTAAAAGTAATCTAGTTTTATAATATCTGTAATAAACATAAATAATTTTGTTTAATTAGAGAAATGATAAAGCACAGAGGATTGTTTACTTCCTGCATGAATAATTTGAAATTGAGAACGTAATTGATAATATTGGTTTCGTTAATTATCATTGTGATTGTCTCATATGTTCTTTCAGTAAATCTAATCCATTACTCTTTGTTAAAAAAGTATTTTTCCTCGATTTCAAATAAAATATTTGAAGATAACTCGTCCAAAATATCAGAAAAAACTATTAGATCATACGAAGGTTATTTTGATAGAGTCTTTTACTTAAGTAAATGCAAAATTCATATTGTTAGACGGGAACGGCCTCGTTTCCTTTCATCGATTATATCACATGACTAAAAATCAAGTAAAGCAACACCCTTTACACTTAAATCCTGAGTTTCAAATGCTCTATGGTGGAGTGAACTAAATCCCAGATCCAATAAGGATTATCAAAGGATATGGCAACTCTGACATCTCCTATTCTTGCATGTGCTACTCCAACATTACAGCATTTCAAAATCCGTTGAGTCCGGATGAGCTAATAGGCATGAAGGTATAGGAGTAAACTTAAGCATATGCCTCAATCCTCTATCAGGGGAATATCTTAAGCCAGTCATTTTTATACTCATACATAATTAAGGAAAAAACAAATGCAGTCTATCCATGTTTGAATAGAGGATAGGGAATCTATAATTATGACCCTGAGAAGAGAGAATGGTTCGTTGAAGTTAGACATAACTTTAATAAAAAGTAACCATACAGAGAATATTCACAGTCATTCACTTAACCTTATTTGCGTAAAATCGAAATATATTTAATTTAGTATTTACAGACAAAAAAATTGGATTATCTTTGGTACTTCCAATTGTGGATGAAAATCTAGAATTGATAGGTGGAGTAGGAACAAATTTCTTGGGAGCAGAAATAGTGTAAACTATGAAGTCCTAAGAATTTGGGTTTCAAATTATTTATCTAGTATCTGCTTCAGGAATTATGATCATGCATCCCTATTAAGTTAGTGTTGAATAACTCCCTTTATACATTTATAATTAATCAATCACAGGATTTAATATAAGTGATTGGGAAAAAATGAATACATAATAGTAAAATAATTCATCCACTTGCCCATATCTAAACAAACATTCATTATCTTTGAATTGTCTCTATAATACTCTGTATTAATAAGAAATGATAATAGCAATATAGGACATTCCTGAATATTCAATGAAGTTAATCATGTAATATATTGTGCTATCTCTAGGTTATTGAGTAGTTAGGAGTACTTTTAGTTTTATCAGCATTTCCAAGAAGATCTGGAAACCAATTTGGTAAATCAACTTTGGCTTCAGATTTCCATATTACTAGGCTTTTTTTTATTTATTTGCAGTCTCTTATACATATTCACTTATACTTTATTTTATCCAATTCAGCAAATCTAAGCCTTAACGATAAATAGGATATTTTCTAAAAATAAAAAGAAATTGTAGATGCCGTTATATGCCAATAAATTTATGAGCAAACAAATTGCCTTATTGTGTAAGTCATTCTAGTTTGTGTAAGACCAATTAGAACAGTTATCATTTAATAAAACCAAATCATGCAGAGATCTTGAGCACTATCAATATCCTCAAAAAAAGTTTTCTTTAAAAAAATACATCAAAAAAGAATATGGAGACTTAAATAAAGAATAAAAACATGATACTGTTGAACCATTAACTTAAGAAAAAATCATTATGTATCTCAAAATCTCCTCAAAGTATTCTGGGTGAGCATTTCCTTAATACTTAATAATGATATTGAAATTTATTATAGATATATGTTTTCTTTCCTACATAAAATTATCTGAAAAGTATAAAAAAATTACAAATCTTTTTTGTCTTCAACATATATTCTTCAATTTTAAAACTAGACATTTCTGCATCTCAAACTATTTTAAATGGGAGTAGGGAAACATAAATTCAAATAAGCTTGTAGAATAAATTTATAAAATATTGCAATTTTATGTTTTAAAACTCAATTATATTAGTTTTGGTTGAATTGTTATTATTATTATTCGTTTCTCTTGCCTTCTAAGTATTTGATTGCCTCATCACGAGTATATGATTGCTTAGGTATAATCATAATCTTATTCTCCTTAAAAAATTCTAATTACTTGTATTTCTCTTCCATATTGTATATTTCTTACATATATACCATAAAACTATTATAAATAAATGATATTACAATAAAAGGTTATCTCCAAATCGTGATAGATCAAAGAGTATTAATTCTTAAATTTTCCTTGATAAGTATGAGTTATAGAATTTACGGAAGAAGTCCCAATACTTATAATAATTTACGTAATCCTAAAATTTGAAAAGGACATCTCTCAAATCACATAGGGTTTGAAATCTAATTTTTTATTCATTAATTTTTGAGATTGTTTATTATGCAACCTAGAATTAATAATATGCATTTACTTTCGTCCATGCATCCGTCATTTGTGCATGCATTTATTAACAATATTCAGCAATTCTGACATCATCCTCTGTTTGAAATTATTAAAACTCTCTTATTGCCTGAAGATTCTGATTTTCAATTTCTTTTTATTCCCTAATATGTTCACTTATTTTATTATAATCTCCTTTATGAATTGCATCAATATTTTTTAACAGATTGCAAAAGTAACCTTGAATAGAACTTAAGAGTAGATAATATTCAATTAGAGCAATGGGAAATTAATTTGAACTATTATAAATTATTATAATACTAGAAAACTTCTTGAAAAGTACCCAAAGTCAGATGTATGATACTTACTTTGCAATACTATAATCTCAGAAACTAACTTAATGGACTTCGTTTTCTTTCCTAGTTTGATTAGGGAATTAGGGAATTTAATTTAATGCTACTATTCGCTTAATGCTAGTATATTTTTGTTGCTTCTAATCTTTATTTCGCTTCTTTTTCTAATTTTTTTTAATTTTTCTTCTCCAAATCAATTATTGTATTAGTCATTTATTCATCAAAATATTTTGATCTAAACTATTCGTAAACCACTTCTTTTCGAATTCTTTCGAATAGTTATTCCCATGTAATTCTTTGATTTTCATCATGAACTAACATGCTTTCTATTAATAATTAAATTTCATCCTTTTCCCTCTCCGTTCCTTCACATGGAATTGGTAAAGGAGACAAGGTGTATCTCTATTTTTAGAGACCTATTATAAATTTTTATAATTCTGGCATGACAGGTCTAAAAGGAAATTCCAAGTAAGTTAAATGATAGATAACCATACCAAATGAATAAATATCTGTTTAAGATGAAAATGGTTGTAATGATAATATCTAAGGTGAACTATAAATAGGAGATCCAATTTTTGTATAATCACCTTTAATCTTGACATCCTCTAATATTCTACCAGCCCCTAAATCTCCAATCTAATTTCTATTATAAATTCTTTACTTTATATTAAAAGTTTTAATCTACAAAAATATTTTGGGGTTTGATATCTCTGTGCATGATTTTGTTATCATACAATATTTAATATCCATCAATAAATTGATAAACGAAGTCAAGAATCTGAGTAGCTTTTAATTTTTGATTCATTTTCTTTTTTTCTTCTATTATATTCTTGAGTTCACCTCCTTAGCATCGCTCCATAATGATAAAAAACTTATTTTCAGCCTCAAAAATATCATAGACAATAATCAAATGAGAATTCTTAATTTATTTAATCTTTTTTAAAATCTATATTTCTTTCATCATTGACTCGTCTATGTTGGTAGTATTTTGCACAATCTAACATAATTTAATTTAAACCCTACTTTTGCACAAAGTTAGATATCTTTGTATTTAAACTTGTGGTAACACTCAACTACTATGCCAAATTAACCCTTTCCAATCATTTTCTCGGGCATGATAACATAATCGTAGAAGCAATACTAATTCATTTTTCTATTACTTTAATTAATATTATGATAAGAGTATTAAATCTGATTAACAATATATTATTGGATGATAATATAATCAATATAAAATTCTTAGTTTCGTTTAAATTATATATCATCTACAACACCCACATATGTACTCTTTTTAATCGTAATCTGATTTAGTAACTCCAACGCAGTTCATATGGTACCATTTCTGGCATTTATCGCACTATATAGTTATGAGATAATACTTGTATAGAAGGCAAATCTGGATTCAATGGCTATTTGCATGTGCAATGGTTTGTCAATTTTGAATAACCTTCGAATCTATTTTTGCTTGGTATCCAGCCTAATCTTGTGAAGAATGTGCACTTATCCAAAGTCTAAGCACTTTCATATTCTTCTAAAGAGTAAATAATGCAAGGAGATTGAATCGCTGAGGCCAAAATATAGTCTGTACATGAAGTACTAAAGACCTCACTGTTGGAAATCCAAACCTTAGCTGAAGATCGAAATTTAATCACTTCACTTTTTCGATAAAACCTATTATTCACTATCTTGGTTACCATCTGACTTCACATAGACAAATGAATTTTGACGAGTTATTTTCATTTATTGTTATTATTTTCTATATTTTTCCAACATAATCCTCAGACGGATTATTGGCATTTTTAATTAATGCATTTTGTCCTACTTTCAAAGTTTGCGAATTCACCTTAATCTCATCATATTCATGAATGATTGTATTTGAAGAATCTTTCTCAGCCCAATTTACAATCTCCTTGAACTGTTACTTTTTAAACATCTCTCTTATTTTAGATGACGTTGTAATCCCACCCTGATGCTTAGATTTCTAGATTTTCTTCCTGAGTTTGTCAGCTGAATCTTCAGAGTCTCCTGATTTATTACAGTATTTATCTTTAGACTCAGTCATTTTATAATAAAATATTTATAATATTTCAATAGCCTTTTGTAATAATAATAAACTCCTTAATCTCTACATAAATAAATTATCTCTACTTCATCTACAACTAGAACACCTTACTCCCCTCATTTTCAAATTCAAGCCATCTTCCTAACCCATAATCAATGTTGCTGGTAAGTAGATCTTACAATGCTCTTTTTCAATAATTACTGTCTAATTAATAACTTATTATCTTTTATCCATTTAGCACTATCATTCAATCCTCCAATAAAATATCTATATAATTTCATTTAACTGAAAGTAGTAACTTAACTATTCTTTTGATTAATCCTTTTAAAATCTTAGTCCAAATTCATATTGTCTATATTATATTTTCAAGTATTTTGTTTTGATTTGATTTTAATCTGAAATCCATCTCATAAATATTGATTTGAAGGCTTTAAAAATAACACTCATATTTTTATTTTCATAAATTGAGAGTAATTGTAAAAATATATGATTTCTTCATCTATTTATCTAAAAGGAAGCACATTAGATTTTATCTAAATTATTGGGAACAAGAACATGAACATCTTTATTAAAATGTCTTTCGCCTATATAAAACTATGGTTTTAGATATTATCTTTACAAATTATAATATATATATAACTATCATTTCTTATGAATCAAAGTCTTTTAGTGAGTGCTGATGATAAACTAGTTCTTCATATCGCATGATAATCATAATTTATACAACCATTTTCACCAAGATTATTCAAATTTTATAGAGAATACTATTTATTTATTATTAAATGATCTTCTGCACCAGAAAGCTGAGATATACGTGATTTGACTTTCCCTAATTAAACCTTCTGCCTATTATATATTATTTAAAGAATAATATAATTTTTAATGAATAACTTGATATTTATTTATTTATCCCTTATTATTTAAACATTCTTTGAAACCTAATTATTTATTATTTTTAGTATATTAATAATAATAATGGATCCTATAAAATTCTAGAATTTTAGACAACAATTACCAATTCTTCTTTAATCATGTTAGGAAATTAGTGAAATATTTGGGTTTACTCTAAGTGAAGCACTAATACTATTACATTATTATAAATGGAATGATTATGCATTAAATGAAGTCTTAGCTAGTCAAGAAGATTATGATCAGATATTAATAAAAAGTGGAGCTAAGTCAGCTATTCAATATATTTCAGAGAAGATCTGCCCTATATGTTACTCTAATGATTCAGAAATCAATTTAAGTTGTGGACATTCCGCTTGCAAATCCTGTTTTGAATTATACTTAAAAGAAAAGCTAAAGCTATGTTCGTTTATCAATTGCTTCTTTTTAGGTTGCACCTTAAAAATACCGTATTCTTTTTTTGAAGAACATAAGGTCTATTAATAAAGCTATTTATTGAGGCTGAGCAAAGATTATCGAATCACTGTTAAATGCTGTAATAATTAAGATTGTGAATACTACATTCAAAATAAACCCTTAGAAAATATTGTAGAATGTTTGTGTGGGACTATATTTTGCGTGAAATGTGAGCAAGGAGATCACCGACTTTTGAAATGTTAGCAATGTGTTGAATGGGTTAAACTATATGAGGGGTCTGTCAACATTCTAAATTTCATTAATCAAGGCAAATTCTGTCCGAAGTGTAATTAGTTCATCGAAAAGAATCTAGGATGTAATCATATGACTTGCAAAAAACCCTTAGGATGCGGATATGAATTTTGCTGGATATGCATGGATGCTTGGTCCTGTCATTCCAAAGAAACTGGAGGCTATTACAAATGCAATAAATATAATGATGAATAGATTGAAGAGAAGAATAAGTTAAAAGTAGATAAATCGGATGAAAAACGATTAATATTTTATGCTATAAGATATGCTGGACATGAGAAGGGATAATAAATTGCACTCAAAAAGAAAAGAAAATTTTTAGACTTGGTTCAAAAGTAGTAAGTGATCGATTCTTTTAAGGTGCTGTTAAGGGATAGCTATAATTATATTATATAGGCAAGAATATCTTTAAAATGGACCTATGCCTATGCATATTTCTAAAAGAAGTAGACACCTATGTTCGAATTTGGACAAGCGGATTTTGAGAGATACTGTGAAATATTGCATGACTTGCTTGAAAACGAGATTTACATAAAATTGAAATAAAAATAATCAATAGAATAATATCACTAAAAATTACTAAACAATTTCAATTTAACAAAACAAGTATAAATATATATATAATAATACTTAGTTTTAAACTCGATTTCTGTCTGAATTTTCACAGCCAAAATGAAATAATCAATTTAAATCTTTAAAATATCATTACCCATCTCATTTATTTCTTTATTCTATATGCCTAATTAATATTTCAAATATTTTTATTTTAATTCTACAATCTAAATACAGGATATCGATTCTAATATAAATTATAATAAGGCTCTACATATGTATTAGATAGTATTTTATCGCAAATTGATTACAAAACATTTTTTTTAGAAGAGATTAATATAGAACAATAATCTGGAATAAATAAAAGATCTTTAAAATCTTGAGAATGTTATTTATATTATTTCTTCCCTCTATATCTCTTCTAAACTTTGAAAATGAATGAATTATTAATCAAACGATGATACTTAATATTTGCCACAATCACACAAATGAAAATAATAATTTTATAATTGAATTCTCTAATTTTATATCTTCTACATTTAGACAGAAAGCTTAAATCTTTGATTTTTAATATATTTAATATTTGGTAGACAGGATATAAGAATTATATAATTTCTAATTATTCAAAGATTAAACTAAGATTGATAAATAGAAAATGATTTCTATGGAAGCCTTAAATGAAAAGTATTGAGCATCATTAACACTAAATATTTTGATTACATATTTATATGCGTAATTGAATTTTTAGTACTTATTAACTATTATTGGATTAAAATCAAATTCTGATCTGAAGTTGTAAGTTCAAAGATAATTAGTTATTTAAGAAAAATTATTTATTTTTATAATGAGGCTACAGAGAAATCACTAAGGAGCTATAAACATGTTAAAAACAAAAATAGAATCTTATGAGCACCGCCACAAATAACACATACTTTGCTAATTATTCCCAGACACTCCAATGTGATTAATTTTGACTAATTTAATAGAAAATGGATAAAACCCCACTTAGATAAAGTAATTTTCACATCTTATCATTTGAATTAAACTCTATTTTGTAAGAATCAAAAACCCACTCATGTTTATTTTATTATAGAAGGTGAAGTAAGATTGGAAGAAACATAAATCGAAAGGAGAAAACCTTAAAATGCCATGTTTGCTTCTACTTGCATGGCAAAGAGTAGAACTTTGCTTATCATATCAGCCGGCTCTTTAGTAGGGGTATGATTATCATCTAATTTTAGGAAATTGAAGCATTGCACGAAAAACCTTATTAAACAACAGCTAAAAGCAATGTTCATTACAGTAAAATACTTTTAATTCCAGAGGAAATCTATATAGATTTAAAAAAACAAGATGAATCTTATTAAAGCACTGAAACACAGCATTTAAAGGATTAACTCATTTTGAAGAAGATAAACTAGCTAAAGAGTCGATTAGAATTGTAAGAGGTGTCTCCAGAAAGAGATTCATCCCCTTAGACGAAGATTAGCAGAGAAGATTTCATTGTCTAACAAAACAAAAGAATATAGAAAAAAAAAAATTTTGAATTCATAAATCTAACACCTGAAGCTCCTTTGTTTTCTGTTAAAAAACTGAAACGAGTAGCTGCTCCTGATGATAAGCCAGAGAATAGAGCAAGATCGATATCAGCTCCTACTAAAGCGAAAATGCTTACTACCATGAAAAGCATAGAAAAAATATCAAAACCTGAAGAGATTACTCGATCTCGAGCCAATACAATAAATTTTGGAGAAAAATGTAGACCTGCTTCTCGAATCTTTTGGCAATAAATATTTTAGAAACTTTGATTTTATATTTATATAAATTTTATGTTTAATTTGGACGATTTATTGGCAGAAGATGAAAATGATGTGAATGATGCATCTAATTTAGAGATTGACGACATTCTAAATGAAAGTGATAATTCTATCAAAGAATTGGATATTGAAAAAGTAAGAATATGTTTGAAAAATCAAGGCAAATTAAATTTTAAGCGAGAAAAAACAAAAATTAAAAGTGCAAACGAAATGTGAATAAAAAGAATATGAAGAATTAATAAAAAAATACATCGAGCATGATTTCGAATAATAAACAGAAGAGTTTAAAATTGAAATTTCTTCATCCAATGAGGAGGAAATTGAACCACAATCATTAATCGATTAAATTGACAAGTAAGAAAGAATAATTAAGGAATCCTCTCTATAGAATGTAGAATTGATTAACAATAATATTGAAATAGAAAATACAGAGATTCACGATTTATAATTAATTTCGAATCAATTGAAGAAATTATCAGGTCAACCGTGTCTCATTACTTTCTAATTCAATATCTTATCAATAGGAACTTCAGTTGGTGAAATACTGGTTTATTCTGCATCTAATAATGATTTTATTGGTATTTATATTAACTAAGCGCAGTTCTGAAATACAATTCTAAAGTGAGTGCAATTGATAATACTTAAGCATTTTTAGTAGCTAGCTATGAAGATTGTGCAATCATTTTATGGGATCCCAACACCAAAGCTCAATTAAAAAATATTAAACATTAAGAACCTCTCTTATCGTTGAAGTTCTTTAATGAAACTTAGTTCATAATTTCTGACTATTTGGGACAAACATCCATGTGTAAAATAACCAAAATGTTATGGTCATATTAAGTTGAGATAGACAAACTATTGCCAAGGTATCAATTCATAAAATTAATTTAGACAAATCCATCCATTCTATCAAATTTCTATTTGGAAACAAGAATATATATCGTTTTCATGTTTAGAGTAAGTCATAGTTATGAAAATTGATTAGTAAACATAAATTATTAAGCGAATCAAGAGATAAGTAGATGGTTACACATACCCTTGTACAAGTTGGGGATAATTTACCAATACTGAAGAATATACCGAAATGATTGAGATTGCATTAGCAGTTTCTTGGGGTACACATATAGAAATATATGTTGTTGAAAAATAATAGTTGATTTAAAAATATTCCTTTATTTTAAACACTATAATTTCCTGTAATTGGCTATCAAGGGATATGCTATTAGTATTTACAAGAGAATTTTAAATTGTTACTTTAAATGCATAGTTTTTTAATAAGGATATAATTACTGAAGAGTCTAGAAATACTTTAAGGAAATAAATGAACTATTTATCCAATAAAACTGAAAAAGCTATTTAATCAATGACACCTTTGGGGGATGTAATTAACTTTCCTTTGTAAATAAATAATGGTTAATAAATGGTATCTGTGTATATGAATTGCATATCTGTTAATGCTAGATTCGTCTATCTTTTAACACTCCCAATAATCAAAAGAGTTAAACTACTGATCTGGTCAGATTATTTAAAAGTAATGATAGAAAAAGCAGAAACAAAATAAAATTGGTATGATATTTTATCTTTCGGAATCAAACTGTATTGGAATCAAATCCATTGTTTTGCCATCCCTCAAACTAGTTATGATTAAAGAGTTGTATTTTCGGATATTTCAAAAGACATATGCAGTACATTTATCAATCTAGTGGGACAAAGTATTGAATCCTAAAAGGTCTCAGAGTAATTGAAATATGAATAATGGACTTAAACCATATATTCGGCTATTTAATATTGTATACATTGCAATCAATAGTAATATCTCTTCACAGGTTTGAAGACTCTCTTAATAAAGTTTCATCGTTATACATAATTGTTAGCATCATTAGAGGAATTTATTTTAAACAAATAGATTAAATAGATTCCTACAGATTTGCTTCTTTAGATATCTACTCACTACAAGGTGTTAAATAAATCAGATATTGTAGAATAATTGATATTGTCATTAGATCCAAAATGTTTGGATATGACAACCATTTTTTAAATTTGCCAAGAAAATGATTTGTATACTCCATTAATGGTAGTATGTCCTCGTATTGATCATGATTATATTACACCGTTATAAAAGATGTACTCCAACTTTTTGAAAACCCAAAATTAAAATATGTTATTAAAATCGTTGTGGTTTATAAAATTGACTTTTCAATAGATTTTATTCCCAAATGAAAAGATTCCTTAAGATAGATTTCAACATGCTTTTGGATAAGTTATTATGTGGTTGTTAATTGATGATATTTTAAGGAACTTTGGAATTTATCTGCCAAAGGAACTTTTCGAAATTCTAAAATTTGCTATGAATTATGCTTCTTTATTCAACTCAGAATAATTACAAAAGTATTTTAATAATCAGAAACCAATTTTGGTGGCTTTTATACATAAAATTTATAAAAGCTTGTCTTAATCAATAGTCACTCATGAGGCATTAGGAATTGAATTTAGTAAATTCATAGGTTCAATAAAAGGATTGGTTCTTGATGAAGAAGTATACATAAAGTCATTAAAACATCTAGTATCTGATAGAAAGAATTTCTAATTAATATTAAACATTTTGGAATAAATTGAGTTGAAACCGCTTTTAAAGAATGAACTTTTTGAATAATCAAATGATAACTACATTAAATCTCTTTTTGCCTCAGATATCTATAAGCAAATAGATCTTTGTTTGATAAATGTAAACAAAAAGTTTTTCTCTCTTTGGTTGTAAAGATAGCTCAATTAAAAGAGAGAATAAACTTTGAAGGTTTTAGAGTTATACTTTGATACCCTACTGGAAAATCATTAAACTTTACAGATCTTAAAGTAGATAGTTCCAACATTAACATCTTAAGAACAGTATAAGTTGATGAAAAGAGAATTAATTACTAATGGATATATGGAATTATTTCAATCTTTAGGTCCTTCGAATAAAGATTTACGAGCTTTGTTTATTAGAGCTAGTTGCATTCATACACCTCATCATGTATTGGATAAGATTCATCATTTTGCTTTAGATGACTTAGAATCAATATTTATTGAAACTAAACATAAAGAAGGATTAGGATACATATATGCACGAGTTGGTAAATTCAATATTGCTATGAGATTTTTTGTTTAAAATTTGCTTGATTATTTACAAGAATGTTTTACATAGTAATCCTTTTCAAATGAGATTTTAAACTTAAAATTCGATTTATTGTTTTAGACTTGCAAAGACAATTTATCTCATAATGATCAAAATCTATTCTTTGAGTTGGGTCATCAACTTTTTAATTCAGAAACTCACTCTCAGATTTGGGTCTTCTCTGAATAAATAAATTAAAACAATTATTAAAATATGATACCAATTTTATAGGTCATCAATGCAAGGCTGTGCGAATATTACAATTTTTTGAGTATTGAAGAATTGATTAATTTGATGGAGGAACAAATGGATATCTTCAGAATGGTGTGGATAAAATGGAGTTTCAAGAACTTGATTTATGATTAAAGAGTGCAGTATAGAATTTGGTACAAAAGCTATTTTATTGAATTGTAAACCTATTTAGGATTCAAGTTTTAAATATTTCATTAAGATGTATATTTTAAAATTATTCTAGGCCAGTAGTCCCGAAATCCAGAATATATGTAGTAATTGTAACGAATTTATTACAAATGAATAACAATAACATGTGTTAATTAGAAAGTGTTCTCATTCAACACATCAGAGTTGTTTATAATAGCCATTCTGTCATATTTGCAATCCAAAAGTCAAAATGCAATTAGAGAGTGTGTTAGCAAATAGGACTGCAAGTGATGGAGTTGATATGAAGAGAAGATAAATTTTGATTAAAGAAAATGAAATCATGAAAGTAAACAATTTAGTTTAATATAAAAATAGAATCATCGCAAATTAGAAGAACAAATGGATGATTTGTAATTAACAGCAGAGGATATTCGAATTCATGAGGAAAATCGAATAATCCGTAATTTAGAACTTTTTGATAAATTTTTTAATTTATGAGTTAGAATACACAATACTGATCATTTTGATACTTCCAAGAGTTTCTTCTACTCTTCTTGACTTAACATTCCAAATATTGCTTAGACATTTTGTCCTTGGGATTATTCAAATACTTTCAAGGCACTTGAAATCTTTGTATCAATAGCTTCACTAGATCTTTTTGTCTTGTAAGAATTAGCAAAAACTTTGAGAATCTAAAAATATTAATTTAGTAGATTACTTATAAAGCATTTTCTGGTTTTCCATTTATTAATTGATTGCAATCTGCAATGACAAAGTCTGCCAATTATTCATGTTGAAGACGAGCCTCTGGTTTATCATATTTGAGAGGTAACAAATGTAACCAAGTTTGAAGTCCTTAGGCAAGATCACCTCCTAAAGATTTTGATTAATATTTGATGATTTTTCCTAAGGCTGCAATTGAATTGTCTCTGGCGTGTCCATGTTATTTTTCTGTGTCATCTTGGTTCTTGTCAACCTTTAAGGAATCAACTAGAGCCTTAGATAAAATGGGAGCAACATTAATGTACAATTACTATTATGATATTTAAATGTAATACCTCTGGTGTATTGAGGGCCATGATACCAATTCCATAAACAGCAGCTTATCTCACAAAGCACACTTTATCAACAGCATAGACTGTCAAAGCTTAAGCGAAATCGTTGAGTTTGCCTTAAACATATGGGTATCCCAAATATTCAACCATGTCATCAATAAGGAAAATACCAAATTGGTGCATTTTTGGAGATTAGGTTGGGTCTAAGACCTTGGGTAAAATTTAATTGCAAATGACTTCATAGAGTGGTTATACTTAATCTTTGTGAGTCTTGAAGATGGATCCAATGCATTCAGCAATTTTAACATGGAGTTCTTCTTCAGTTTCGGTTTCTTCTTTGATAACAGTCTTTTCATCTTCATCAACATCTTCCTCCTTTGACATTTTTTCATTCTCAGCCTTTCTCTTGTCTGATTCCAACAACAATTTAAAGACTTTGTCTGAAAGTTAAGTAACTTCTTCAGTTGTCATGAATGGTTATCCAACTATGTCAATAATTTCTTTGATGCAATCGACTTATTCAATAATGACCATAGGATCGAATTCTTTCTGAGCAGCTTCTAATATGATTCCTAAGAAGTATTTAGCTCCGTTAACCAATTGTTATACATTATTTGTAGCCTTAACATTTTCAATAAGACTGACTAAACATTTGCATGCAGCACTTCTAATGTTTTCATCGGTATTGAAATTGCAAAGAGGCACAATCAATTAGGTGCATGAATCAAAGTAAGGGAAGAAGGATTCTTTCAACTCTTCAATGAATACTGACAACATATGAATGGCGACTTCAGCTTCCTCGTTATCATAAGTATGGAATTCTTCATCTCCAGTTCCTGTATGTACTTTGAACACTTATTAAACTAATTGGAATAATGATGGGATGATTTCGGGTAGGTATACAGCAATTTATTATGGGCATACCAAGGCTAATCTTTACCATCCAGAGAGGACATAAGATTTTTAAGGATCAACAGCTTCAAGTTGACTAGTTTGGACTTGGATTAAAATTCTAACTGTTTCAGCTAAAAATGGTTAAAATGCAAGTTAGCCAACAGCTGAAGCTATTAAAGTGATAGTTTCAATAGTTTATCCTTTCAATTATCTATATTCTTTATTTTAATGATTCTAGAAGACTTGGAATAATAATGGTACAATTTCATTAACATAAGGAAGGAATTGTTATTTACTAGATTCTGCTGTAGCTGCCAAAGCACTCATGGCATTTTCTTTTACAATAGAAATTCCATTATTCAAATATTAGATTGTTAATTAGATAAGATTTTGTAAATATGATTCAATTCCTTTTTCAGTTCCTTCAACAAAATTAGTTAAAGCAGCTAAAATGTGAGATGTAACTCTTGGAACATCTTCAACTTATAATCTGGTTAAGAATTATGGTACTATCAAATGTAAATAGTTCTCTTAGAACTTAGGTTTCATATCATCAGCAATTTAACCTATAGCATGACAAACTGCATATCTAATCATAGGATTTGAGTCACTCAACATTGGAGATACCAATTCAATTATTGGTTTCACTTCTGCTACTTCCTCTATGTATTCACCAACTTATGATAATGCCAAAATTGCAGCATATTTATATCTCCAATCTTGATGTTGTAATAATTAATTAACTATTGGACTTAATACTGGTAACATTTCCTTATCACCAATTGATTCAATCAATCTATCAATTGAAGACATACCAAATCTTGTTGTTTCACAATCTTCATCCTATTATATATCATCATTAAATCCTTCAGCTGGCTTCATCCATTCCTCAGATACTGTCTAACTAATTTGGATCATGTGGAAGAAAATCATTTCTACCAATTGACTCAAGTATTATTTGTCTTGTTTAAAAACTCTTGGGAATTTTTCAGCTAAACTTATTAAAGTTTCTGTTCCAATTCTCTTCAATCCTTATTCAATTTGAGATTCTCTGAAAATAGCTGCGATTCCATTGAAAAATACGTTGATTTGTTTTCTAAAGAACTTTGGTTCAGCATCAATGATATCAGAAAAGGTTTCCATAATTTCTTCTCCTAAAGTTTGATCTTACACTGTAACAGCCAAAGCAGATTACATAAGGTTTGGAATGAGATCTTAGAATGCTCTGTATTATTTGGGTTCAGATGTTGTTACATAATTACCAATTGATTAGATTGTTGCTGTTTTAATCTTTTAATCTGGACTAGCAAGTCCTTAGATGAATAGAGTGTGAAGATCGGCTTAATGTTTATTGAATAGATCTATAGCATATGTGAAAAGATTGGCCAATATCTTGAATCCACATTCAATCAAGTCATTTTTTGGGGATAAGAACAATTACCATAATGTTTATAAGAGATTAGGCCATGAATTTTTTGTTTCATCTTCGAAGAGTGATCCTCCAAGTTCTCCTATAGTATCACACAATTGACTTCTCACATTAGAACTAGTTTCAAGCTCCAACAATTAGAAGAGTGACACTTTAACAATTTCCTAAGTCTCTGGAGTGAGAAGGCTCCATACATTTTTATGACTCTTGGGTGAATAGTTACTGAGTGAGTTTCTCAAATACACTGGAGCAAATTATCTGATTTTTAATTCTTCATGTCTGCATAGATGGAGCATTGATGTGACAAATTCACTTGGCTAAGAATCTCTATATTAGGCTAGTAACTCCTCTGCCTTTTATCTGGTGGCATTATCTGGTGAGAACACACCATGGATCACATTAAGAAGCTATTCTTACAAACTCATTGTTTTTTTATCACAAATTTTGTATTTTTAAATATTAAAATCATCAAATTTATTTAAACATATAAATCTCGATTATTCGAATTTTCAAATATACTTAAATTCCCTCTCATTTCCAATCAATTACTAATGCACATAGTTCTTCATTTACAGTATCAATTATGGTTCATTTGTACATATCGGCAATTGAATTAATAATTAAACATCCTTAAATTCAAGAATTTATTATAAGGGATAATTCAAAATGATTTATTTAATAATTCTAGTTAAATGAAAGGTTATCATCCAAATCAAATAGTATTCTCTTGCATAATAATTATGAGATTGGTTCTAAATATTCAATTAATTCACTAATATTTCACTCCTTTTTATCTTAATGGATATATTGAATATTTGATTAAGGGATTTACACAACTTATTAATAAATCTATTTGAAAATATTTTTATAGAATATTTTAAATAACCCCAAAAAATTTATAAGATCTGTATGTATTTTTAAACACATGCTGAATTATTTAGATAATGATAACTAATATACATTAACAATTTGTCAATACCAAGTTAGGCCAATCATTTTATTCTAAAGTATAATGAAACAAAACCAAAAAAGAAGTAAAAACTTAATTAGTTTTCCTAAAGATATATTTATTGGAAAGCCAGATTTATAATTGAAAAACAGTCTAAAAAGTTTAGAAGTTCAGAAAAACAATTTAACAAAGACAAGGTTAAAATACTTAACTGAATTAAACTAAAGACTAGAAATTATTTATCCTATTTTTATTAATTTAAAATTAAAATTACTGTAATAGAGAATATTAGGATCATTCATTTAGTTATTTTTTGGTTTATATTAATATTAGATAATTATATTATATCTTATTTGCTAAATAAATTAGCTTTTGATATTGGATTGCTTCGATTATAACAATTAATTTTAGAGATTAAATTTATCTTATTGTTCAAGTAATTATTAGATTTCATTTGAAAATTGTATTTTTAATTTCATATTATTTTTTCTCAAAATTAATTGAAGATTATTTTTTCTAGAGTTATATATTTTCCTTACCTCATTCTTTGAACACAGTAACTTACTAGCAATTATTTTATAGGTATAATATTCTAACAAAATATTCATAATATTTTTCAATTTATAATAATAATTTTTTGAATATAATCAAAATGATGGAAGAAATGGAATATTTAAGACTGCCACCAATTTTGGCAAAATAAGTTTAACATCCTGGTAATTATAAAATCAATAGTAGAGGAATATGTGCGAAAAAATGATCCTAAGGAGCCTGTTAGAAGGATTTTTAAAAATGTTCCAATATCTCAAGACGAACGCAAGCTACTGCAATAACTTAAAGATAATCTAGCAGCTTATAAAATTGAAATAAATCCTGAGTATAATGATTTATGAACTAGCTCATAAACAGACGAAGTGCTTTTACGTTATCTATATGCTAATAATTTCAATATTGAAAATACAAAAGACATGCTAAGAAGTCATTTAGGTTGGTTACGAGAACCAAAAAATTATGAATTTGATCAAGATGTTCTAGATATTTATGTAATTTCATGTATATAATAGAATAAAGGCATTGTCTACATTTTAGGAAGAGATAAATAATATAGACCTACGTTGATTATTAATTGCGATTAAATCACAACTATTAATGTGGAACTCTTAAAACGGGCTATTAGCATTTTATGTATAATAATGGAAGATTATTGCTTTTTTGATGGTAAAATTGAAAATTGGAATATTATTATCGATCTTAAGGAGAAATGTGTTTTAAATGTTAAATTATAAGAGTATTATTCTTTATTTTAATTAATGTATTAAAATTTTCCATGCACTGTAGATAAAATATTTATTTTACATCCTTCCTTAAGTATATAATTGGGATGGGCTGAATTTTTGGAGCACGTTTTTAACAAAAAGAAGATAATAATTGTATCTGACATTAATTAATTTAAAAAATATTATGAACCTACATAATTAGAAAGGAAATATGGAGGAAGAATAGAAATAAAAAAGTATTTTCCACCATTGAATACCATACCTGAAGGAAAGTAATTAACTGAACCTTTAAAGCTTTTAGAATCCATGAATTAATAACAATAATAATAAATTTAAATACAGACTAAACAAAGCATTTAAGCCTAAAACACTTTCTAAGAAACAGTGACAAAATAAGTTTAACCAACAGAGACCCTTAAAATGACAAAATCAAAAATTGAGAGAGATTTCTCTGTTTACCCATAGCAAGAAGTCAATGACTTTAAAGTTTATAGACCAACAGAAATTTCCAAAGAACCTATTAAAAACATTTCCAAATATAATCGGCTAACTTAAGCAGAAATAATGAAAAAAGAGTATGAATTTCAAGTACAACAAACCATTCTGCAACAAAAATAGGCAGAAGTAATGAAAAGCTATAAATATAAACAAAGCTAGATGATTTTTGAAGGAAATGATTAAGATGAAATATTAAGTGAGTAAATTCGAACTTAAACTGTAAAGCCTTAATCTGTTTAAGGTCAACCCCAAAATGCAAAAGGAAGATTAACAGCTGAATAAGCAGAAGAAGATAATGCTGCTTGCATAATATTTTGATATTAGTATAATTTTATTCATAGATATAAGAAATATCAAAATTTATGGATTTTTATTTTATCTTCCAAATTTGTTGATTTATAATCAAACTCAATTTCATTTGCTGGCCCATTACAAATAGTGACAGCTCTTTTTCTATTAATACTTCCAAAAAACTATGAATATAAAGTTTCTACTTAATCTCTACCTTTTGATTAAGGTTAAAAAGTATTTATTTCCTTTCCTTATTCTGAAATCATAAAGTATTTATTATCTTATAGAATTTTAATCTCAATAACTGTTTTAAGTCTGTTTGAGTGCAATCGAGAAGTTATAGGTTTATTAATATCCTGTTTTTTGAATTCTACAGTATTTATTGGACATTATACAGCAGACAATTGCAGAGGCGTTTTTTTTCGTTTAGAACTCTTAATTTGCTTGTATTTCTTCTATATTTATGTAAAAGCAAAGGATAGGGGCTTGAGTAAGGGCAATCCAACTGATTTTTATTCTTAGAATCTCTGATTTAATTAATATTGTTGAGTATGTTAAGATGGTAATTTGTTAATAGGACCTTTAAAGTTCTCATAGTTATTTTTCTTTTTACACCAATTTTATATTGAATGCTTAATACAGAGATTTCTCATTGTCAAATCGGCCTGCAATTTATCCTGGAACTGACCTCTGGTTTTACAACAAAATGCTTAAATTTTTAGCCAGTTTATATCAATATTCAACAATAGTAGTGTTTGGTTTTATTCATTGAATTAAAGGATGGAATTCATACTTCTTAATTTATTAGTTTGCTATGGAATTTAATCCGAATTCAGTTTCTAAGTCATGGTTTAATTTAACATATTATCATTATATAATTAACAATAAATTATTCTTCTCCATTGATTAATATAATAAATATTTCATGGAGCTGATCCGATTTGGAATGTAACTTAATTTCCTTAAACTACTTTTCCCAAACATCTCATATTCTGTTAGTCCACATAAATTTTGTGTTTTACGATATGAGAAATATCATTATTCTATAACAAGGCAACAATATCCACTTAATTATTAATAATGTCGGCATCTATTTTTTAAATCTTGAAGCCTTATATGAATACAATCTTAACAGAAATAATGTTATCCAATCCTTTTTCAATCTATATTTTATAATGTTCTTTACATCACAAAAATATCGATTTGGGTTTCTGAATTACTCTAAATGGAGTGCAACATCATTTTTTTCTTCTTATTTTAAATATCTCTATTCAAATAAACTTAGTTAATTTTGCAATCTATAAATTTCAAAATCTTATTCAGTTCTGATATTATTTATCTCTTACTACAAGTTATTAATTTCCTATATTAATATATTATAAAGACTTATTCTTTTTAACTCAACATCTGAGGAATAAGTTGTATTTCCTCCTTTAATTAAAGTAATCTATTGTTCGATTCAGAAATTTCAGTAATAATTCTTTCAGACTGTAATTGGTATTAATCATTTTACTCTTTAATGATTTTATAAGTTTGATACTCCATCCTATTTAAAACCGGATCTGCTTCAGACATATTATTTTATTTATTTAATTAATCAATTAATAGAAATGAAAATAATTTTTTACAATGAAAAAATTAATAGCAATTAGAAACAATAGGATATAAATTTAAACTTTATTAGAATTATTATTTGGATATAATTGCGTCAACTCATTCAGATAATTTTTGATTGATATATTCGATTAATCTGTCAACTATATCAATTTCGGTTTATCTATATAATTTTTTGAAATTTAATACCTACTAACCTTTTGATTGCTGTATTCTGAGTCTTCCAATTCATTAATTTTAGTAGCATCTTAAATGTTTAATTAGGTAACTTCTACTAAAGCATTTGAAATATTAATTAATCCATCTAATTCATTCAATCTAGATTATATTTCCTTAAGTCTATTGTTTGCAGTGGCCAATGAAACTTGTAATGTTTGTTTTTCGTTTTTTAAGTCATCACCTAATCTAGTCAAATTTTCAATCTAAAAATTCTAAATTTTTTTTTACTTATGTTTTGTGATTTGCTTCAAGTTAATCTTGTCCTTCTTATAAGGCAGTTATCAAACGAGCAACTAAACTCAATACGTTATTAAGGGTTTCTGGGTTAACTTTAGTTGTCATTTCAGCTAATCCTTCAATAATTGGCTGGAACAATGTTAAAGAACTCTTTTTAGTATGAGCCTCCAAGATTTCCTTAATTTTTTAGAAATTCTCTTTGGTTTATAAGAGATTGCTCTTGGTGTCCTAACTAAGAAAATTATTTAAAGAATATTTACGTAAGTTAAATTAGTGATGCTCCTTCACCTCTCAAATTCATGAGTAATCTTTATGCTTCCTTACAAGCCAAAATGGCATCGCTATAGTCTTGATATTTAGCTGTAAAATCTGTATTTTCTGCATCCAATCTTGATTAAGCATCACCACTTCCTCTACTATTTCTATCTAAAGCAGCCTGATCTGCAATAAATTATAAAGAAAAAAATTACCCTCATTTACTCTAGTTTAAAGAGTTGTTAATTCATTGCTAAGACTTGTTTGTTCTTATCTTTAATTGTCCAAATCGGCTTATGCTTATTCTAAAGTAGCTTATAATTTAGCCAAATCAACTTGGCTTCTACGATTGAATGTGGCATTTTCTTGATCTTATAATTAAGTAAGAGAAATGAGTTCATCCTTAATTTATTACAAAAGTTGCTTTAATTCATTGAGGGATCCTCCTGTCTTCATATTTACAGAAACTAAATTGATCATTGACTTTCCAAAAGGGTGATCGCCATACTAGGCAAGTTTGTCAGTCATTTCAGTTATAGATGTTGCATAGATGCATGCAATCAAGGCTAACACCACAAAGTGTTTCATTATTTTATTTTAAATTATTATGAGTACCTCAAAAACGAATTATAATATTATGTTAAAATATAAACAGTAACGAATATTGGAAGATGATTTTTAACCCTATAAATTGATGGTACTATCTAAATTATAAATTAAATAAGATTTAACAACATAAATTGCGTTCATCTGAAAAAAAGAGACCACTCAGTCGTCCCAGAACATCATCTGTAAACAAGCCTCAAGTTGACATATTACCTGAAATTAAAATTCAAAGTGAAATACTAACTTAAGCTATAAATTCCTTAAGAAAAACTATTAGCTAGTTTAAGGAATGAATTTATAAATTATTATAGTTATAGTACTCAACCTGTAAGTAATTCAAGTATTTGAATTGTTAAAGCTCATAATAACATTCAAATTCTCTCACAAAATATATATATTAACAATATCTCATATTATGTGATGCTTATTATTTAATTAATTGTATTAGAAATGATAAGAATTTGCAATAATAATTTTTATATAAACATAATATTTATAAAAAATATTGGATGAGATATCAATTTATCAAATATCAAAGATATTGACAAAACATTGTTTTTACTCCTGGATTATACATTAATACTAAAAAACATTATAAACAACTCTATTCAAACACAATAGGTAGACAACAAAGAGATCTTATTTTATTCTTAATAATCAAGTTATATTTATTCAAAGAAGCTTAAATTTTTCAATAAATACTAAATAAATGGTTAAAGTGATATTATCAGATGCAGTAATTTTTTATATGCTTTAATTAAGAAATCAGCAGGCTCCTAAAATTTAACAATTGGATTGGTTTAAAACATCTATAGACCCATGATTTGTAAAGACTTTGATTTAGAGAATCCTTTCAATATGTATTTGAAAGTTTTTTCAATACATACTAAATGACCTTAAGTTTCACGTTTATATAGTTAGCTGCAACAATTGACTTTTTGATTATGATAAATTATTTTCTTTTAATATACTTAAATACTCATTTTCTTAATAATGAAATGGCTCCACTTACTTAGTAATCCCAAATCAAATAGGCCACCAATGCTCCATATAATGCATAATTTATGATGTCATTTGAATGAATTTTCCACAAGAATAAATATGATTATTTTTTATACTCATTCCAACCTTGCTTTTTGGCAAAGGAAATGTCTTTATTAATCATAAACCCATAAAATCCAACTACCCATACGGAAATTAGAATAGTATATGCTAACCAATGTCCACTAAGGATTGCAAATGACAAATACAATACCATTTCACCTGTATAATTAGGATTCCTATTGTATTTAAACATTCCTTCTGTAATCAAACCTTATTTATATTTCAATGTATAGTATTTTTAGCAATCGCTCACAATCATTAATACAACTCCAAAAACATAAGCAAAAATAGCAGTCACTACACGAGCGTTGCTTGGATTTAGTATTCCACTTGATATTTATAACCAGGCAATAACCCAATATAAGCTTAATAATAAAGTAGTGAATATTAATGAACCAATCGTAATCTTATTCTGAAAAGTTCGATCTGGAAATGTAAAATCTTTGACAACCCAAATGACTCCATAGCTACCATGCAATGCCAACTAATATAATATATTTCAGTTATACGTAGAGATAAGCACCTAAAGAAAAATTTTAATACCACCAAATGAGGAAAACAACAAAAAAGGCTGTTAATCCTTTTTAAGCATTAATTATGTGGCACTATTTGATTACTCTAGGTCCTCCCAAAAAATCATTTACGATAACTTTAGCAAACTCTTAATGTTACCTAAGCATAAATTAAATTTTTATCAATAATATAATATTATTAATATGTAAATTCAAATAAAAAGTGAACTAATTAAGTATATTGATTGTTCTTCATCCGATAAACACTCTTCAAATTCTTCCTATAATGTTCTTTAGATTACTTTCTCTGATTATTCTTAATTGCATTCAAGATTTATAACATCTTCATTGTCATTTTCTATTCGAGGTAAATGTAGGCTTAATTCATCGTCGGTGTCTTTTTGTTTATTTCCATCATCATATTGTTCACAATTTTTAATTAGGAAGGGGATGTCATTATCTATATAATGCAATTCAAGAGATTTAATATAATTGGCAACAAATCGATCCTCATACTAAGTGAATATTTAGTTTTTCATCGATTGAGTAGTTGAAAAATTTTTTATTTTCTTTGAATGAGCTAATTATCCAAATTTATTGAGAAAATCAACTTTTTATTTTAATTCTTTTTATATTTTGCTATTTTAATGAGTTAACTCCTCACAAATCATTTGATGTAATTCTAGCTATTTTACTAATTGCTTTTTATGAAGTTTTTATTCTTTTGATTTTAGCATATTCTCTTTAAGTTGATGCTAAAATTAAGTGTTTTTTATTTTAGCAAGCATATATTCTTCATACAATTGCTAATACTCGAAGTTATCAAAAGACATATGCTTTTAAATTTATAAATTTTGCTTCCTCTCAGTTTTACTCAATCTTGTCTCTATTTCATGCAATTCTAATAATTTTTGTGAAATTGCTTTTTTAAGATCCTTTAGTTACTCATACTAATTTCCAATTTAGTCACATTTATTTTCGATTACCTAAGTAATATGTCTAATTTTAACATCCATTAAACAAATATTTTCATCATATGCTTAATTTTACATTTTATATAGTTTAATATAAATTATTATTTTCTCAAAGTGTTTCTAGACTATTAAGTAATTCTATTTGATTATATAACTATACATTTAAAAAGTAACAATTTAAAATTCTCTTATAAAAATTGATAGAAAATTTCAAGATTACTAGAAATCAAAATAAAGGAATATTTTTAAATCAATTAATGTTTTTCAACAACTTATATTTCTCTTTGCGATTCCCAAGATACTGCTAATTCAATCTGTATCATTCTATATATTCTTTGGTATAGGGTATTATCTAAAACTTGTGCAAGAATGCATATAACCATCTATTAATCTCTTGATTCGGTTAATAATTGATGGAGACTAATCAACTTTCAAAACTGTGAATACTCTAAACATGAAAACGCTATATATTCTTCCTTCCAATTAGAAGCACAATAGAAGGGATAAGTATGAACATTAACAAATAATTAAATCTAAAATGTAAAAGGAAGACTTAATTTCTAAATAATTAATAAAAATTATCAATATTCTAAAATTTAAAAAATACATAATGTCAATGAAAAAAAAACCATATAACAAGATCAAAATTTGATTTATAAACCTAAATATCAATCATAGTTTCGAATTGTAAAAATTTGTATTATTATCTTATATCATCTTGAAAGGAAAACAAAAGAATTCCAAGATATTTAATAACTCAAATTAAATTTATCCTTATATTCTTGAATTTTCAATAGTTATAACAAGGTGTTTTAAAGGATGTAAAATTGATTTTTTATTGTTTCTAATTCTTATAATAAAAAATCCATAATTAAGTTTGATAACTCTATATTTTTAAACATGAATATTATTCTAACCCACATCCTTAGTGGCTAAAATTTACTTTAAGAAGATACTACTATTAATATTCAGCCAATAAAAATTCGATGCAATATTTTAGAAGCGCAATTTCTAATTACTTCATCCTAATGGACCTCCCTAGTACAAATTAGATTTTAGTTTAGGTTTTATTCTTTTTGTTCTCTCCAATGAATCCTTTTATTAATTACTTTTATAAGGTTCTACAACAACCGAGATTATTCGCTTTCAGAATAGAACATATAAGCTCAAAATATCATGGAAATTCATTATTATCCCAAGACCTTCTATTCCCACACACTAACTTCTACAAATTAAATCGAAAAATCCTCAATATATATAATTCCTTTTACTTAATATAAGTGTGATATTTTCAAACCGACTTATAAATATACATTTATTCTGCAGACATGGTCACAGATATGGTTGCGATAAATCAAATTTGATCTCTTTTCATCATTAATAGTATTACCCACATCTAATTCTCACAAACCTGTGAGAGGAGAACACAGAACATTCAAAATATAATTTTATACTTCGTAAATGATTATTGCTTGTACGCGACACTATTCTACATCTAATTTGATAAATTTCTCTTTGACATAGACATCTTTTAAATCTTTCCAATTCTATTCTCCTCACCCCTTTTATGATAGTTACTAATTTGGTGCTATTGTAAATATAATTACCATTGATTTTGTACCAATTCTTCTTAGAAACATTTTTTTCACTATATCCATAGTGCCACTTATGCAATTCCTTAAATTTTTCTCAAACAAATTAATTGAGATTTTAAAGAAAATTTATTTGAACCACAATTAATAATAACTTCTGCTTAGCTGCCTAACTATTTGTGAATATTTCATTTTTAATTTAATAAGAAATTTCAGTACATTACTTAACTGAAATTATGTTCTTGCTTAAATCATCTAAACGAATTGAGTTTAGCTTTTAATCTAGGATAGGTTTCATTATAAGTTTAAAAATAAAAACTAAATTCAGCAATCATTGAGAAAATTTATAATTCACCAAGTTATAACCAAACAACTTCTAGATTTTAATCTTAGTATGTCAATTCCAATCATTGATTTCATCAAAAAAGTTTTAAAGCAGATGCTTAAAAATTTCAAGGAGGATTAATCTTTGCCTTTGATTCAGGTAGTTATTCTATTTCCACTTTATAATTTTCTCTAACTGCATATTAATTAGATTTCTTTGGCTAAAATAATGTATCAACTTAAGTAATCTTGTATTTTTTTATAAGTACTGTATTATAAATGTTCTTTAATTATTCTACTTATGCAAAATTATTCACTTATTTAAAGGGGGATATCTTTAAAAATTATTCTATTGTTGACAGCCTATTTTTATTTTTTATTGACAAATTCAAAAATATATGATTGATTATATTCTTTTCGTGAAATCATAAAATTAGGAATTTAAAATCAAAATGCCTAATCTATGTTATGTAATCCTATTTTATTTCAATTCAGAATATTAATATACAATATAAACTTAACAATATTTTGGACTGAAGCTTAATATACAGATGAGGGGATTGAAATAATTAGGATTATATCTCATAATTAAGATCCTTTGAACAAATTTTGAAGTATTTTAAATCAAATCAGAAATACCTTATTAACAAGAATTATAACTTTCTCTTTAAAGGAAAAATCAAATATGATAAAAATGCAAAAATTTATCTTAATTTTCCAACTAATCAAGAGGTATAAAATCCTATGTTGTTTTTCCAAAAATAGATCTGGTTTTACGATTCACTAAATATTTAATAAGCTAATTTACCCTTTTTGTTTTTGATGTTTTTACTATTTCATGAATAAAATAGAAAATTAGCTTAATTATTAATTATATTCTGAGATTGTAATATTTCATAAATAAAAATTGAATCAATAAGTTACGAATTATATTTTGATATTGTTATAGTTTCAGTAACAAAACATTGAAAAACAAAATTACTTATGTTATTCTAGTATTTAATATTTATTTAAATAATAGTCAGGAAGTGCTTCTTTAATGGTTTTACATTCTTTGATATAATTGATAATTATAATACTTCAATTGATGAAAAAAATTTGTTTAGAGCAGAAAATTATTAAGTTATTAAAAATACTAGTACGTCTGACTGCCTTTGACTTAAGCTTTATCTAATGTGAATCTCTCAATTTATTGGTCGAAATGAAGATGGATTTGAGAATTCTAAGGTTTGACGAATGAGAAATACTTTTATCTTCATTAATGGCAAATTAAAAACCTAATTGCAAATCAAAAGTTTTCGGCATCATTTGGGGCAAGTTGCTAATAGTAAATAAAATACTTAAATACACATACATTTACTTCAACGATAGAGAGAATAAAAATTTCCTTATTTTAAGCTTTATATTAAATATGAATACAAAAATTAATTTTAAGATTGGATAATGATTTCACTGAAGTTAAGAATAACTCCTAAAGATAGTAATTAGAACCAATTTAATTATATATTAATAGAAACAATTCATTTATTTAAGCATTTCTTAGTAGAAAGATCAGTGACTAATTGTTGAAAGTTCAAATTGAGGAAATATGAATTTGATTTAAATATCAATAATTAATTCATCTCGAATATTAAATCAATATTTTAACCATATTATGAATTTCTTTATGATTACATGGATTAAGATGGATTGACTTTTGATTTCTACAAATAAGAATTATTATCTGCTAAAAGAACTGAAAAAACAAAATCACCCATTTTAGTGTTTAACAATGAAAATTGTAAATATTTGAATAATGAACTAATGGAGTGGAGCAATAATTTAAAGTGCAAGATTTAATCTATTTAAGAAATCTCTTATACATTGAGAAATTCAATGCAGATTTTTACATATTCCTATATAGTTGGTATATTTACATATACTTATTGTTTGATTCTATGATTTACATTATAGAACCTAATATTGTTAATGAATGAACTACATTTATTGTGTTAATTTAATATAACTTTTAGGATGTAGAATTTCTCCCTCATGTTACAGATTTTTTAGATTCACTTACAATAAGAAATTTAGAAATAACTTTCTCCCCAAAAAGTTATTAAAATTATCAGTGATTAAAGATTTTTATTATATATAAATGATGCCTTTTAGTTATAATAATCAATCGTGTTTCATATGTTTATAGTTTCTAATAAGGGTTTTAGATTCTAATCTTAATAAATTACAAATATTCCTTTAAAAATTAAAGCATTAAAGTTTCCAAAATTGGATTTTGATA